CCTTAACTTTCTTTCTCGTTTATACTAAAAAGTCAATACTAAGGTCCTATGATAGTCAATCCGATTTTATCTATAGCGATTTCCTAATATGATTGTGTACGAGTATTATGAATGAATTCGAGAGGTAGGTCGAGCTATATTAGAAAACAGGTTTGCGGTTTTGCAATTAGATCACGAATCTCGAGGTCTCTATGTAACTAATATTGCACAACAGTTCAAGTACCTCAAATAATATAAAAAAAATATTGCATTATGTCTATAGTCTATACCCCTATAATTATCTACTTACACCGCTATGACAATTGTTATTTTATTTTTTCAAACGAGAACAAAATCGATCTACTAATTTCATGTAGATATAGTATATGTACATGAAATAGCCTTCGATTTATGTATTTTTTAAAGAAATGTTTAAATTTTAATGTACATTTCCTTGAAAAGAAACAAGTCTAACAAATCGATTTTCAATATTAGAACAGTTAAATTACTATTATAATATTGGTTACATATAGGTATTATAAAAAGTAAGACATCGTTGGTCTCCACATTTAATAAATCATCAAAAACTATGTGTAAGAGTGGTATAATAGAAAAAATATTTCTGTTTAGGTACATGTACGGACTAATGTTCTAAAGTATGGATATTTTTCCTGATTTAGTTTTCTTTTTTATTATAATATCTGCTTCGGTGGATTCAAATCGGAAGCCAGAGGATACATTTTGTTTTGTAAAGCAATCTGCAAGTCATTTTTCCACAAAGACAAAGTCTAATGCGAAATCTAGTAATATATATATATAATAACTAATGCACTATTGGTAATGGCCGAATAAAAAATTCAAATCACGCGTAATAAATGAGCCAAATTCAAACACAGGTGACCTTGTAATTAATTTCCTGGTGTGATGCTTCGTCGTCCTCAAATGTACATACGTTGTCTATTTCTCACATATAGTACTTGGTCAACGACTAAATTGATTTAGGAATTATATTTTTTAGGGATTAAATTTTCTTTCAAGAGTTGATGAATACATAGATTCGTGTTTGTATCTGTTCATTAAAATACTAGTGCAAAGCATCCGCATTTTTTGAGGTTTTTGTGACTGTGACAGTTTTATTTATTTAATTTTGATTTTATATTTTAAGTCTAGTTTTTAGTCTAAGTATATATTTTACGGCTTTGAAAAGTACACACGGCAATCATGTTTTTTTTTTTTTTTTTTATATATACAACCTTACTTTTCTACGTTGCTAGTTTTATTATCTATGGTTCCAGATAAAAAAAAACTAAATTCATTATGAGAAGAGGTTCATACCTATGCCCTAGTAGGTCCAACCTTACTGTTAAATTAATTTTGCTATGGACATAGACGTCGTATTGTTGTTTTATAATCACGGGCAAGTGCCCGTATTATAAAACAACAATTAACAATTAATTAACAAGTCCAAGTGGACTGCAAAAAATTCAAATAAATATTTCATGAGACTGTCTCAAGCTTGAGAAAACGAATATACACATAGTAATAGCTAACATATCGAAGACCTTTTGACATATAGGCCAGAGAATATAGGCCAATAACACAATACTCGTTAGATATTATTAAACACTGATAAAATTATTCATATTAATGTCCAGTTCGATTCACAAACAATCGTTAGTAATAATATTTGCTTTGATTAATATTGCATCATGTGGAAAGATAAATTAGCTCTTATAATTATTTAATGTTTTTTATTAAATGTGCGTAATTTAATCGTCGATTGGGGAATTTTTAAAATAAAGCATTTTTTATTAGTGCATCATGCACCTCGCTGGAAATGATCTACTGTACTAATAGGTACATGACTTAGTTAAAACAGAATATTATTTTTCAAATTTCTTTTAACAATTTGTAATAATAACGTTTTTGTATGCATTATTTTCAAACTCAAACAAAACTTTTTTATATGTAGTTTTAGTATGTAAATAAAACAGTTAGTTTAAGACTGGATAACGGTTTAATTATTAAATCCTGACAGGGGCTTTTATGTATTATAAACACATTGACGTCACAAATCTTCGTGTCTATCTAAACTTATACATACATGACCCACATCTAATTATATAAATAATTGATAAAGAATCGTATTCCAAAAATTTAAGGCAAATTTCTATTATTACAAATAATAACTGTGAACTTATTTCGGCTGTTTTGAGGGCAAACAAGTTTTTTTTTCATTGGATAGTATTAAACAAAATCGCTCTTTCCGTCCTTATCTATGCTGAAATCTTTAAAACCACGCAACGAAAGCAGTTTTGAAGCGACTTTAAATAGCTAGAATATTTTTAACGAGATTTAAATAAAACACTTTCAACGGGTTAGTAGGCGAAAAGTAAATAAGTTGTAAATTTAGCTCATTTGCGAAGTCAATCAATATATTACAGCATTTCATTTAAATTGCAATTAAGAGTAAAGGAACTGACGGCGTGTGCCTTATATTGTCGTCCGTGTTCGTAAGTCCGGAGCCTCTTATACTAACAGGACATTTTGCTTTGAGTAAAGTAAAGTTTCATAGTCACCAAGGGTGCTACAAGGAAGGCACCGGCCTACACTTGGACCACTGCAATGTGAGTGGGAGCTTGGGGAGTTGGGCGGATGCTTGGTTTTAGGCCTTTTGCTGTAAACGTTATTTATAAGGATATTTTAATGTAGGTAGCAGGGAGGCTCTCGTGGTATGAACGCATTGCTAATAATCAACGGGTCGTAATCTCAACCAACTCCAATATCCAAATCCAATCCAAAATATCTAATTAAAAATTCTGAAACGTCTTGGACTTCGTCTGGTGAATCTGGTTATTAAACATTTAGTAGGATTATGGAAATTCAAATGTCAATTTCTTTCCATAAAACTTTACACCTCTGTTTCTTTATCACACAATAAAAGTTAAGTACACTGGGCACTTTATTGTTTTGGTTTGTAGTTTCATAGTTTCTAGTCCGACCATAACAAAGTGCTCTCCCCATTTCCCATGTTGAATTGTAGACAACTCACCGGCTTTCAAATCCTTTTTTATTTTTAATATTTTTAAAGATTGATGTATATGTAGATGATAATATTTTATATAGCCACTAAATAGCCTAACGAAAACTTTCCTGCCTACTGCTCCACTAACATAACTTTATAATTTTTCCGAGTATCCAAAAGGCAAAATGAGTTGATAGCGCATCTTGTTTAGATATTATAAGGCTGGGATATTTCATCTACCATCAAATTAACTCAATGTTTGTCTCTTATCTTCTATCAAAAAAATACATATCTAAATAACTAAAGTAAATAGTATTTTAAATAATCAGAGAATACGCTTTAAATAAATAAAAATATTTCTAAATGTACAGATGTATGATCTGTGGTACCTTTTTGTGCTAATATTAAAAAAATGAAAAAGGTTTGTATTTTTGTCCTCATTCAATCTTGTTAAATTAATGAAGCTCCTTGACTACACATAAATTAGTCCAATAATTAAAACTGTCAAACAGCATAGCATCAAAAACATGAAAACCAATCATTAAGACTTTAAGATTAAGCAAAATAAATTAGCCTAATAATATTAAAACTGGACATTGTTTATACTCTGTACTTACTTAATTATCCCTCCTACAAATAAGACCTAAGTATTATCAACGTGATTAGTTAATTTCATTTCGACCTTGAAATACAAATTATAATTTTAAAACTTATCAATTACTAGCACTGTTGAAATAATGCCAATTAAAGAAAATATCATTAAAATACCCTTTAGCAATGGAATATGTTTAAAAATTGTACAAGTAAGACCATGTGGGTTTGTATTGACAAGTTAGATCTTATCAAATAAAAATATAGGCAATTATTGTACAAGTCACTTTCCAAATTTGTTTGTAAAGAGGTTGTGTTATTAATTTAAGCTCCCTAATTGAAAAAAAAAACTCGTAAGAACTTACCTTATGTGAGATAGAAGCACAAACAATATAGTAACAAAAAGTTTCGTAAACAATTGTAGATGGAGCGTAGCAAAGCAACAAGTATCAAGTTGTAATTGAACACAGCTCGTTCATAATTTGAATTTGAATCATCGTAAATTGATTGCGCATGCGACTGACTTTATAGACTTTTGAAATATGACAGTGACATTTGTTAAACAGCGATCAAACACTTTTGATAGTTTTCATTTTGTAATATTGTTGAAACTAACTACTTTGGATCGAAAATATTTAAATGCCAATGTTAATAAATATTATGATGATTAAAATGATCACAATAAATAAATGTCCGCAACAGTCGAATAAGTCCATACTTACGAAAGAGTCTTAATTATTTATAAATAATTAACACGCTAAGAGGCTTCGATGTTTTTCATTTTCTTAATTGTTTTTAAATATTGTTAAATTTGTGCAGGCATAAGTGTGATCCCAATGTACTAAACAGTTTTAAAATACTAGCTGTATCAGAGACTTTGCTCGCGTAGATTGGTTATTTTGGGCATCAAAATTTGTTTTCGAAAACCTTATAGATTTAAGCCATTACCCACAACGTTAGTCGCATCCTGTCCTATCAAATCCTGCAAGTTAATCTTAAAATACAGAGATATAATGTCACGGACATTTTTTTCAGATCATTCTTTCAGACAGTTTTTGGACATCTTAAACCTTCCTTCCTCAATAAGCCTAAAGTCGTCTTCGGAAATTATTCAATTTCCACCTGTATTTCCTGAGACCAGTGTGAAATTCAAATAAATAAAACAAACAAACTCTTTAACTTTATATATTAGTATAGACAAAAAAAACAATTCAACTACCAAGATCTTGTAGTTCCACTACATTTGTTATCAAGCGTGCTGTCAAGCAAGTGCGTCAAGCTAGCTAGCACATGGTGGTCTTGGTTACTTGAACGTATTTTATAAAAGGCACTCGCTATTCAATTGTCGTGCGATTTCGTCGACTATTGAGAATTTAAAGCTAATTTTATTTACTTTCAACACAAAATGGCACAACCGAAGGAAGGTGAGAAAAAAATATTTTTGTTTGTTATTTTAACTTTGAGCACATGGTATAATCCGTCCATTTTTAAAAGACCGACGTATTCAAAACGAAACGTCTTTCGAATAAAATTCGTCAGGGTTATCCTTAGCTTTTTGTTGTACATACATAACAGTGGCATCTATGTTCTTGACCTTGAAACTAATTTGCAGTCATTTTTATAACTTCAAATAGTTAATAAAAATAAAGTAGTGACATAATTAGAATTTCGGGTGACAATGTTGTACGAATAGATAGGATATCGTTATCTCTTAACATTAAAATTCTTTTTTTATTTTGTTAATTAAAAAGGCATTATCATTTCAGAACTAAACATTTTAAATTTGGTTCCTTCATAATGTTTACAACCCTAAATAATCTTTTACAACTTTCTTTTAAAACTTTTAAATTTAATTAATTGTATGTATATCTACAATTAAATAAAACACTTTAACGGTTTAAAACGCGATATATTAAAGTGTTTTATTTAAATGTGTATTACTCGCTTAAACTACAGACAGTATTTACCTACATTTAATTAAATTCTTTCCTACATACTAGTCTAAACTCAAACTCAGTATCAATCATAATATTTTTCACTTTACAAGCGTGTTTATCATTCAGCCAAGGCAATTAAACTATTTTTATAAAAACACTCCTTGATAAAAAGAAATTGTATGTTTTTAAAATATTTTTTTTATAGCCGCAGGATACAAACTGGGAAGCTTGATAATCGAAGGAAAGACGAAACAAGTGTTCGATCTGCCAGAATGCTCTGGGCAATGCATGCTTATCAATAAGGACAGAATCACTGCTGGAGATGGTGTGAAAGCCCACGACATGGAAGGAAAAGCAGCCATTTCCAACCAGACGAACGCCAAAGTTTTCGAAATCCTAAAGGCTGCAGGTAAAACCAGTTTTCGATTACCTATTTGTATAAACCAACATGCCTTTGCGCATGTTAGTTTCGTGCACCTTTTTACCCAACACGTAGTCGACAGAAGGAACTTTGATAAAGCAAATGAATTCATAACCAAAATTCTTATTTTTAGCCGTAAACTGGGGTCCCACCTTTGAAACAAGTTTTTTGTTTAATCTGTCTTTCAGTTTAACTCACACGTTTATTTAAAAGAGACAGTATTATATGGTTTAAGACATTATTTTACACATATGTTGATTAAATTACACGTTAATAATCAAGAATTAGAATTACTGTGTCTAATGTTAGCTTTTAGTTGCTAAAATATTAATTTAAACGAAATGATACAACATTGATTAGGTTTACAATATATATTTTCAATATAGGGGGTAATATTGCATAATCTTCAGTATATGTCATTTTAATTAAACAACCCCTTGTATAAATAAGATTACGAAGTTATAAATAAGTGATTAAATACCTAGATAAATTACAAATCAACAGTTATGTTAACTTATAACCTTTTGATATAGATATGATAATAATGAAACAAGCATAATTATTATATCATTTTGTTTGTAAGGTCAATTGATTGTAAGATGCAAACTTACAAAAATCAACAACACTTTTCATATATTATTAATGCTTTGCCTTTCGATATAATTTACATGCAATAAACTAATTGAGCGTATTTATTGGTCTTTATAAGATGCATTGTGTACTTGAAACTTAGAATGGTTAATGCATGCAATATATAGTGTAAAAAAAAATTAGCAAAGGTTGCAAGTCTGTATTTAAAGAAGTCTGTCTCATTTCATACAATTATGATTTGTATGAAATGAGACAGAGTGCAATTCGCGTTAAGAAGGTAAAATGCCAGCCTACCTTCCCGTTTGAAATTGTGGTCCAAAATAAAACTTTGATATTGCTTTTCTATTGAATGCAGATTTATCGATACTGTGTAGAAATCTAGGTCTTTAATACTTTCTTACGTTCGATGTCATATAGCCATAATTAAAAACCGTTTGAAAGTACACAATTTTATTGCTACAGGTATCAAAACAGCATTCGTAAAAATGGCATCGGCGACTGCCTTCATTTCGAAAAAATGCGATATGATACCAATTGAGTGGGTCACCAGACGGTTGGCAACTGGTTCATTCTTGAAACGTAACCCTGGTGTACCTGAAGGTTTCCGTTTCACCCCACCAAAACAAGAGACCTTCTTCAAGGATGACGCCAATCATGATCCAATGTGGTCAGAAGAGCAGATAGTATCAGCCAAGTTCAATGTTAATGGAGTTCTTATTGGTACTATATTACATTCTATTTCAAGCATTTTTAATCAAAACTAAACAGAATCACGAAAAGACATCAATGCGAACAATGTTTTAAAATTATCTTCTACTAACCATTTTAGGCCAAGACGAAGTTGATTACATGAGACAAGTGACAATTCTAGTTTTCGAAATCTTGGAGAAGGCTTGGGCCCTTCGGAATTGTGCTTTGATTGATATGAAAATTGAATTCGGAGTAGACGTCGATGGTGAGCAATTCCTAAGTTTAAATGATACTCACCCAGCTGACACATTACGTTTAAAAAAAATTGACCTCAGGTTTAATAGAAATAAGTTATGACGATCTATTTTTATCGATATTATAATTAATCGCCACACAACTAATTAATAAATTTCTAATGACAGTAATAAAGGAGGCAAATTTTATCTTTTTTTTTATTCAATTGTTGTTAACAATACAATCACACAATAGCCTAATAAATATCTGAATTATTATTTTTGAATTATTGGTTTAATGACAAAAGATGTGAAAAATATACTTCGCGTTTTAGGTAACATCTTACTTGCCGATGTTATCGATTCTGACTCATGGCGACTGTGGCCATCTGGTGACAAGAGATTGATGGTTGACAAACAGGTAAAAATACAGACGTTACGTGAAATTATTGGGATCGATAACGTATTTTACTTAAACAGTAGTCTGAGGAGGTCATTAGCAATTTTTAGTAATAGTATTAGTAATTTCGTACAGCCTATATACAACAGTCTATTGATTTTTTTAACGTATATAACTATTCTCTAGGTTTACCGAAACCTATCAAATGTGACCGCTGCCGATCTGAACACAGTGAAACGTAACTTCGCCTGGGTAAAGGATCAACTCGACCACCTGAAACCAAATGTCCACCACAAAGTTGTTATCTTCATGGGTTCGCCTGCTGATGTTGAACATTGCAAGAAAATAGCTAAAGGTACATTTCGTCTTTGTTTGATCTTCACAGGGGAATCAGAGAATCAAGCTCTCAAACGTAAAAATTACATTTGCATGAAAAATTCTGAAATCCAGATACTGTTAATTTCATAAGGATGATTCAATTGATCACAACTAGACTATTTATCTTTAATATATAGAGGATTTCAGCAAAACACCTGTTATGTAGACTATACCTTTAAAAATCTGAAAAAACATAGTTAACATAGTGCAAATTGTATATAAAACATTTCTATAAATATTAACTTTATCACATATCCGGTGAACATTAATTTTTAACCGCAAATAAAATTTCCAGCCGGTAAAGAACTAGGACTTGACGTCGATATGCGTGTAACCTCAGCACACAAGGCCACAGAAGAAACTCTTCACATTATGCAACAGTACGAAGACACGCACGGGGCGCTTGTGTTTATCGCTGTGGCTGGCCGGTCTAACGGCTTAGGACCAGTATTGTCAGGCAATACATCATACCCTGTTATTAACTGTCCGCCGCCTTCAGATAAACTTGTACAGGTAATTTACGTTATCATACGTATCAAAAACGGGGCGAACTTTACAGTGAAGTTGTAAGTAGGCAAAGTATGACTAAGAAACTTCCGTAAACAAGCAAAGTCGTGAAGAATATTGCGGAAAACTTTACGGACCCGTCGGTGTAGTGGTGATGGTATGGCTAATAATCAACGCATCATAAGTTTGATACACATCGGTTCAAACATTTATCTAATTACTTTATAATTTTTCTGAAACACGTTGGATTTTGTCTGGACATCTAGATTTAATGAGTAATAGGAATAGCGAAATTCCGTTCAGGTCACGAACCATCATCCACACATGATAGCCGTCAAGTTTAGTCTCATTTCGGTTGCAGACTGGATTTCCGAATAACCAAAGCTTAAACGACAGCGCATCTTGTTAACATGTTATATGGCTGGGATAGTTCAAGTGAATGCCATTCTTGTCTGGCCTTTTTTATTAAAAACACAAATGGAATGAAAGCCAGTGTCGTGTGGCCTGACTGCAGACTCTTTATTTGTTTATTAGTAGTAGCCTCATTACTCAAATGATTATTGTTTTTGTTACAGGACATTTGGTCTTCCTTGTCTGTACCGTCTGGCCTTGGCTGCGCTACTGTCATCTATCCAGACAGCGCTGCTCTTATGGCAGCTCAAATCATCGGTCTTCAAGATTATATAGTCTGGGCTCGCCTTAGAGTTAAAAAAATCGAAATGGCAGCCTCACTCCGGGTATCTGATAAGAACATCAGGAAACTTACTCTGGAATAATTATTTATTATATTATTGTTGAAGATATTTTTATATTATACTACATGACGCCATAATCTCATAGCATTCGTCGTTTACAGCATTCCATTACTTTTTATTAAAAATGTTGTTTTAAATTTGTGTTTCACTGTTCCTTTCAATTCATGTCCTGAAAGATTTTCAGTATGCGTTAAAATAATCGGGTGTATTCTAAATATACTTAGAAGACTACATAAAAACAAACATCGTTCACATTTCCTATGAATAATTAAAGTTTTTAATGATTTTAAGCTAATTCTCTGTTTCAATCGGACTTCACAAAGTGTCCTGCATTAGTGTGAATTCATGTGGAACCTACTAAAAATAATAGATGCATTGTTTGGATTTATGAAACACACGTCAATAAAGATGTCTTTTAATTAATGTTTAAACAATAACTAACCATAAATAAGACATTATTTTGTAATAATTATTTTTTATGTGAAAACAAAATAAGCATTGTGACGTTATTTTAATATACTATTTATGTATACCATTTTTTTCAATAGAATTATAACCGCATACTCTATGGTAAAAATATGCATCCGTTGTACAGTGTACTAGCAATATTTCTTAAAATGTCAATGTCAGCTGCTCAAAAGTCTTGTGCAGCAATAAGTACTTATTTAGGTGTAAGATTAACGCGCAGATATATTTTTACGTACAAAATGAGTGAAAAACCAGCAGATTATAGTGTTACAAATGGATTTGAGAGCAAAACTCCGTTCCTGATAGGTGTTGCAGGAGGTACAGCCAGCGGCAAGGTTAGTTTCACAAAATATCAGTTTATCGATTTTTGCTTAATAAACATAAATTGCGTAATACACGCATTCTCATTTATATTTTTACTACTATTTTTTGCTTACACGCAGTTAAATGTAAGCAAAAAATAGTAATAACTAAGTTGTATGTTTTAGTGTGAGATAACCTCAATGTCATTGTTGGAAAACAAACTTCCGTTTTTTAATAAAGCTATTCTGAGTGTTACTGTAGGAAAACAAACGGTCTCTGTTTAAACAACGCTTAGAAATTTGTATGTCAGAATTTGCTTACTTACTTTTTACAAGACTGATTATGATTAACCTGCAAACTTCAAGCATAGCTACAAAAAAACCATAGATATTAAATTATTAATAATTTTCAAATTGTGTACACAGAAATGGTCTAATATAAAATTACTCAGTACTAATAAGGTATTACTACTAAATTAATTTTCAAAATTTTAAATAATTGTCTAGCATTACTAATTAAATATATAAAGTTTTCTTACCCTGTCACGCTGTACAGATAATATTATTACCACATAATCAAAGATTACAAATATTAAATATCCATTACAGTCTACAGTATGTCAAAGGATTATGGAAAAATTAGGTCAGCAACAAAAAGAGCAAACAGAGAGACGTGTAGTGTGCATCAGCCAAGACTCCTTCTACAGAAGTCTCACAACATCGGAAAGGGTCAGAGCAGAACGGGGACAATTCAATTTTGATCACCCAGATGCGTTTGATGATAAGAAATTACTGACAACACTAAAAGATATACTGGCTGGCAAGAAAGTTGAAGTACCGGAATATGACTATATTACAAATTCTATAAGGTATAGTGTTTAATTATGGATTAATTAATTGTTATGATTAATCTGTAGCATAAATATAGATGAAATAAGAATAAAAGGTGATTAAATTAATAACGATTATAACAATACTTACCTAATATATTTTGGGCAAATGTGTAACTCTTTATCATATTTGGTACAGTCTTCTTCCTTGCCTTGTCCTATCATTTGGGGTCCACCCTAATCATTGCCAGGTTTTACAATTCTTGGTCATCCATATGGTCAAAATGTCCTTTTTTAGTTCCTTTGTGATACTTACTTCTGCTATCCAGTATAGCTAGAAAAAACATATTCTAAGGAGGCCCTAAGAATATAGTTTTTCTCTAACTTTATTTAATTACCAAAACAGACCATGTCTGCCTCTTTTATTTTGTCACTTGTTATTCCAGCGGCCCCCCCTTAACACATTTGTCTTGTTTAGTTGAGTATTTTTTATTTTTTTAAATAAATCTATTTTCTATATTTTTTAACAAAAATTTACCCAGTCAAGCTTGCCATTATTCTGCCTTTTAAGGTAAAGAGTTTAATGAACTGTCAAATGATATGTCAGTTGACAACACAACTATTTATACAATTCTTTATTTTACACCAGTGACCGCTCCCACTCAATCTACCCAGCTGATGTTGTGCTTATCGAAGGAATATTGGTCTTCTACTTCCCAGAAGTAAGAGATCTGTTCCACATGAAACTTTTTGTTGACACAGACTCAGACACACGGCTAGCACGGAGAGGTAATTTTAATGAATATTTTACAATATGCTACATAGTCCTAGCATCTCTTTGAATCCAAGCTGTATTTCATTTTTGTTGTCTTACTTATGATGGATAAGGACAGTTTAGCATGCGGTTCACTTGACATGTGACGCAACGTAGCCATATAACAACTAAACAAGACGCGCATACTATTTAGGCTTTGGATATTTTGAAATGTACAGACTGAAACCTAAATGCCATTAAACTTAGAGCTTTTGCATCTACGGACGGTGGTTTGCGAACAGGGAGAAATTTTGATATACCTACCACCAAATTAATATTCTGATTCCCAGATTAAGTTAAACATGTTACAGAAAAATTAGAAATATTATTTATTAGACCCGGTAGGGATTGAACCCAAGATCCGTTTATTATTAACTTAATATTGCTACTATTACACAAACGAGCACGTCAACGAATACCGTCAAAGTATTTTGTGTAGTTTGATATACTTTGATTGGAGCTTTAACATTATTTTTTTTTAGTTTAGTTATTAGGTAGGAAACTAAATAAAATTAATATCAAAGCTCCCACACAACAAACATAATTTTTCTATGACACTAATTATTTTCAGTACCTCGAGACATAATGGAGCGCGGTCGAGATTTGGAACAGGTACTCAACCAGTACATGAACTTCGTCAAGCCGGCCTTCGAAGAGTTCTGTTTGCCGGTGAGAGACGTTTTATGTTAATCTATTCGCTCGTGCGCACTGCAATGTCCTCTTTCAATGTGTCACTTTTTTTCATTTAACATAATTCATTCAAATTTAGAATTTCATTTTCCCAAAAGTTTTAGACAAATAAAAGCTTTAGATTTTTCTGCTTCAGAATAGTATGTTGTGTTTTCTTATATGATAGAGAAGAAGAGACAAGCATGAGTTTCACTCGATGGAAGACGAATTACCCCAGCCATATAACATCTAAACAATATGCGCCGTTGAACTTTGGATATTCGGATATCCACAGACTGAACCTAAAACGCGATTAAATTTCAGAGCTTTTTCATGAGGACGATGGTTCGTGACCCGGTCGGAATTTCGATATTCCTACCAGCCATTTAATTTCCAGATTCCAGACGAAATCTAACATGTTTCAGAAGAACTGTATATCGATTAAGAAATTGTTGGACCCGGTGGGGATTGAGTTGACCCGTTGATTATTAGGCATTGCTTCCACACGAAGGATTCAATCTCCCGTCGTGTTCACACTTACAATAACAAATATTCATAAATAACATAATCAGTACATATCAAATTAATTCTAATTTCAGACCAAGAAGTTCGCCGACGTCATCATACCCCGCGGGGCGGACAACCTAGGTGAGAATATAAAAGCGTATTTGATTTTTTAAACGAGCGGTGTTTATGTGTTGTGGGAGATTAGAAGAGATGTGGATGTTGTATTGTTATTATCGCCGAAGGTAAGTACACAATAATAGCCACTGCAATTAGCGACCTCTTGTTACACTCGCGTGCGTCCCGACGAATAAAGTGGTAAATGCATAAAACCTTATTTATCAACTTCGACCAACTACCGTAAAAGTGTCACAGTGTGTAATTATTGTTAGGTGGAAGTAGCCTTTTTTCTCTTGAGAATTGAGTCTTGTTTTCTTTTTTATTCAAATTATAAACTAAGTATATTAATGTTGTTCAATGAAAAATAAAGATTTTAAACCCTAAACCGCGTCTACTTGCGCGTATAGATTAGTTTAAAATGGAAATAAAACACTTTAACGCTTTAAAACGCGATTTAAATGTGTACTTCTCGCGTGAATTACAGACACTATTTAGTTCGAAATTGTCTTTATTTTATAACGAACTTTATTTTTCAAATTGAATAATCGTTTTAGAGAATTGAGCATGAAAACAAATGCCTTAACATCATCGTCACATCGTAAATACTTTTTATGAATTCGCGTTCTAATGCGTCGAAATCGTGGCCCACAATCTGTCTTACCACTTTATTCCTCGGCGCTGATTTGCAGCGGCTATGTACCGTGTAGCTGCGTCTAAGCGTCGTTTCCGTTGTTGCAGTGGCTATAGACTTAATCGTTCACCATATTTGGGACATAATGTACAAGAAGCGACCGCGCGTCAACGGCTGCAACGGACTGCACGACGAAGACGGAAGACGCCTCTCCGGTAGCTCCGAAGATACGCTGAGCCGATGAGTATGAACTAGAGTAGCACATGAGGGTAGTTTTAGAATTTATGAAAAGTTCACTAGAAAATATTAAAGCAGTATTAAAGAGATATATAATTGACCATTCTGTTGCTGTTATATTTGAGTATTGAGATCCCGTGAAGCCGTCTTACTACAAACGTGTAAGGGTCTCGAATGTCCAGTCAGGATTGCAAATCCAGAGGTCCCAGGCTTTGATTCTGGTTCGGGCGACATGTAACATCGGTATTTGGAATTATTTCATGGAAATCTATAATTGGAACTTTAAACCAGTACGTTAAATTATCGGTCCAAGTTACCACACTAAAAGTGGATGGTGTTGTAAAAGTATACCAATGCCCAGTAGAGTCTCATAAGCTCTTTCAATTCTCTCCTATACAAGAGAGGACCCGTGCCCAATGATATTAGCACGCTGAAAACATATTGAAGTCCAACTTTCAATGGTTAATATTTGTAAAGCAGCAACAGTAATGGATATTCAAGAATCTTAAAAAGAGAGCTTAGTATCACTAAGCACGCATCGATATTCAAAAATGAACGATGTAAATCAATCAAATATGAGATCGCTCCAATGTATTGAAAAATCATAATATTCTAAATCTACAATCGTGTGTCACTGTACGATCAGTATCAAAATTTGAAAATATTATATTCCGATAAATGATTGTAATTTTGAATAGAAAAAAAATATTTCTGATTACTTTTGCTTAACAATTACCCGAAATTCAGCCAAGCCGTTACCTGGCTCTTTAAACTGCAAAACATCCAAACGTCGGGTCTAAGGACAATGGGTAGTCCAAATTTTGGAACCTTCAATCTTTTGATACTGATCTTGATAATCTGACTTTATAATAAGTTTTGGGAACTTAAACGTAAGACTAAGGCGAACACTTGGACAATGTAGTTCATTTAAATGTATTTGTATAAGTATTACAGTCAAATCAGCTTAAAGAGGTTCTTGCGATTGTGGTAGGGTAGTTTGAAAAACGTAGTGGAGAAAGCCCCAATTTTTACATAAAAGCTGTTATTTTACATTTGAGTAAAAAAGTGCGGTATGCACTTGAGAACGAGGAGGTTGTCGACCGATTTTAATGGAATTTAGTTGAAATATTTCGAAAGCCGGAACGTGTTTAAACTGATGTGATTGTAGAGAAAGCATTTATTAACATCGTATAACATAATATGTTTTGTAATTGTAACGGATTTCAGCGTACCTAGACTTAAGTGTCTTACGTCGTATTTTATGTAACTTCAGCATTTACAGAATATCTTGATATTACAAATATTTTTATATCGAATGGACGGTGTTCAGTACATTTTCATATTTGAAATTATTAGTTGACATAAACAGTATACATATAACGGAGAGTGCAAAATAAGAAATGGTGTTAATATGGAATTATTAACAAAGTACTGGGTATTTCGCAACTACCCGAAATGAGTCAAGTTGGCTTACATGGAGATAAAAAGCGCCATCTGTGGCGATCTAAGTTTAATTTTTAAGTCTATTTCAGAACGACCGAAGCTTTTCGTGCTCTTGATGTACACATGAGTTGTCTTACTAATAAAAATAAATAAACAATAACGTGAATATTTATAAATTAGAAAAGCCTCTTATACTTGGATGGCTTTCGCATAATAAAGAGAATCAAATAAGTTTTTATATGTATATATTGGCGAACTTTAATTTTAATTACATTAAAAACCCCTTTCTATCGGTAAAAATTGTTCCATAATTTTACACTATAATTCCAAAGGCACAAATGAAATTGTAAATAGTATCTATGTAAATGTCAATGATTTTTTTGTTTGGCCATTAAAAAAAAAATCGAGTAATGGATTTGCAATAGGGCGAAGACTGTGTCCGTATCACTTCGCCGACTTACGAGAAAGTAGTTAAAAGACGCCCTGTCTGACCGAAATAGTTTATTGCTTCCCAGCTTCGAACCAGACGACCAGTGAGTTACGAATTGTTAACTATTTAACTGCTTGGCCATATTCCTTTTATGTATTGGATAGATTTTTTTTGGAAAATCAGTTATGAAATATACCAAAACGAATGATCAAGACGAAAATAGCGCGTCTTGTGTTAGTTACTCTATGGCTCGTGGTTTTCACCTTCCAACCCCAAATCCTGTCTGTCATATAAAAAAATAGCTAAAAAACTATTTTTGAAAGACATAATATATGCATATCGTAATTCCAAAGACGACTTGCAACTCTCTGTTGTGTGTCGAATTGATTACTAAATAATACACTGTCTATACTTTACCCAAATAAGTTTATCTAATATATATCTCGTTTTAAACCGTTAAAGTGTTTTATTTAAATGAGATCTAAATATTTGCGTATTTTTTTTTTGTTTATCTTCGAGCATACATCTTGGTAATTCTAAATTAATGGACTTATTTCTTAGACAATGGTCAAGCGAGCTTCCGTTTTGTTTCCGTTAATATATAGGACTGAATTCCCGAATTCCAAAATTTGTGATACAAATAAAGTATAATGCTTAAGCAGAAATAACAGTGCATATTACATAGTTGAAGTTAGTTATTATAGTATAGTTATTTTTTCACTTTAAATTACATTTCTTAAAAAATGTCACTAAATTTAGCAATCTGAAAAAAGTTTTTTTTTTCTAATAATTTTCTGTTCAACCTGTATTTAGTTTTGCATTTATAAAATTATGTATGAATTTTGTCTCGAATATAATTACAAATGAAATTGTAAAAATATGAGAACGGAGTTGAAACTGTAATTTTATGTGGTAAACATTTGTAATAATATGTACTTGTCTAGTTGATAAGTTATTTGTATATTAGTGCTTAAGCAATAAATATTTGCAAATTGGATTTGATTGGTTTTTTTTTATTTGTAACGTAATAGAATCTAATAAAAATAAACAATCTCAATGAAAGTTCAAAAAAGTTAAGACGGCCGATTCGTTTTAATAAAAAAGATTACTATTTTTATACTATCTGTGTTGTGTCTAGTTTTTTATGTAATTTTAAAATAATTTCCTCGTTTTTTGTTAATATATTTTTCGTTTTCACAGCGGGGCTTGAACCTGGACCTAGAGGTTTGTCTAGATCTCGTCCGAGTCTAGGTTTAACTAGCCAAACTCATCTTGTGTTGCTTGGCGAAAGTAATGACTGTATCTTACGTAACTATGACGTTGTATACTGTTAGAGGTAGTATAAGATTATATCGCATCGCTAATACGGTATATATTTAATTCACAAGTTTTTGTAGCTACGTAATTTGTCCGTAAAGCTAATGTTGTATTTGAAACGAATGTAGCAAACATCATTATATTATTCTGCTCATACTTGAATTATTATTTAGGATGTCTTTCAGTACTTCTAAATGTAGGCTTGTTTAAAAAAATAATTAAGACTCACATTCTCAATTATTGATTTATTTTCCAGTTGCAATCGACTTGATCGTGCAGCACATATCTGAATATCTAAAGCGGAGTCCTGCCGAAAAACCTGTACTGGAATACCCGGGAATTTCGCGTTCCACGTCAGTTCCTGGGAGTCCGCAGAGGAGCGGCAAGAGCGGACGACCTCATTGAATATAAACTCCTTTTTATAATAGTGCCATATTTTAAATCTGGCAACATATACTCATCACATTGACACATACTCTATACCAAAAATAAGCACGATTATAATCTATGACAATTTCCTTCACAAAACTAATTTACTAGCAGATTTATTCCTTAGAATTACAAGATTAATTATTAAAAATGGCTATAACTACTCAATACTATAAGATTTCTCATATTTTTAAGAATTGATTGCTGTTAGTGAGGCTGTAAATATCGTTTTAGGGTTGTTTTCGAAATTACTAGTCCAAGTGATGTCTGAGAGGCTCGATGGCTCTTGTACTTATTAGAGAAATAAATTATTGCTTGAAATATCGCCCTCACTTAATTCTAGTTAATTAGAAGCTGGCACTAGCTTTTAATTTTGAATTTTTCACAAGAGACATTGAATATCATTTAAAAATGCTTATTATTGTGATTGATTGAATGAAAGAATTTATTATTCAATGAACCAAAGTTTTTATTATAACATGTTTTTGTATTAAATTAAGATTAGGCAACCGCGTTTAAAGTGATTTAAAGCAAAGAATTCGACATAGTCTTTTATTGTACCAAAGAAGTTAAACTTAGTTTTGTGTTCTTGTTATTTGAGGATACTTAAAAAAAGATGAACCAAATTTATATTTAATTATTGTTCCAAAATGCGAGAAAACGATGTTACGAAAACTTAGGGGTAGATATTTAGTACTAAATCACTAAGCACTTAATTTTTATCATACAACATTTACGTTGTGTATAGCTATTTAAAAACTTACTAGAAAGAACAATATCTTTAATTCTTGCCTTAGTTTTAAGAAATCACAGATACATACCCTTTATTCAACAATTCTAGAAATAGGACTATATTAAACGTAGGTACAATATAATGATACCAGAACTAAAATAGTGTCTATGTTATTTGATTTGTATGTAAATGTAACTCGTGGATTGTTTACTACCAAAATAATAATCCACCTAGTTATGCTTTCCGTTTTGTTAAGAGTGTTGAATTTTAAGATAGTTATTTATTTTTTTAACTATTATTTCTGTATAATTATCATACAAGTCTTTGGCAACAAGCTTTGACCCGCCAAAATGCATAGCGGCCATTTACTTTTACTTGACAGCGACTTTTATATTTTTAATCTGTATTTCATAGGGTTCCTTTTTTGTCTGATAAACGCGAGTTGAGTTATATTGTGATTGTTGTTAAATTAAACTTATTCTATTCATAATGCCTTTGAGATTGATGTTTTTGTATGATAAGCACCTCCACTTGTGGGCAGTGACGTAGCTCGGTACAAATATTTATGTCAATAAAGCTATTTTGTTAATATAATGTGTTTCGCTTTAACTTCGATTAGTGACAAACTGTTACTGTGTGCTTCAATAGTTCAGATGAAAAGTAACCTCCGTTTATAGAAGGAATATAATAAAACATTAGTAAATTAAATTGGGACCCACCACGCCGGGTGTATGTCAACAGCGAAGTTGGCGTGACCAAAAACTGAAGGTGGTAGAAATTTAATAAAGTAGGATAAAAAAGAAATAAAACATTTGTTAGGTACATTTTTAAGTCCGAATGAAACATCAAATAAAATTAGATTCGCATTTATTTCAATACACATTAACATAATAATTACATAAAATATACAAAATAAACAATAATATAAATTGCAAAAATATCTAGAACTTTGCACGTTGCGACAGAAGACTAGAGGGCGCTTTAAACTAATATTGTATTTATGCCAAAAAACTATTTTTTATATTAATTCGTCAATCTATACCATTTTAAATGAAGCGTTTATTTGAAATCAATATTATACAGCTTAATACTGTAACCTTAAAAAGAAATAAACTTGTACGATTTCTTGCTTCGTGTAATATTATAACATGTTATAATATTCGACTTCATGAACTTATTGCCCTATAACTCACAAATTACACTATACATTTGGTAAACCGCAATATATAATAGACAGAGTACAATTCTGATATTATACATTAAATATTGTTGTCGTCTTTGTTCCACCTTATTGTATCGAGCAAGACGGCGATACAAGGTACTAGATTCTATAAATGTACTATAATTGTATATGGCAGCCGTGCTTCTATTGTACAAAAGTTATTGTATTTTCCTTATAATATGCATAATAGTCCTGTAATCTACGTCCTTCTATGAACCAGGAAGATTGTGTTTCTTAGATTTTTTATGACACAAAGGTGAAATACCACCTATAACATCCAAATAAAACGCGGCCAAACCTATTTAGTTATTGGACGTTCATAAACATAATTGTATACTGTCTGTATTTTACGCGAGTAGAACACATTTAAATAAAACACTTTAACGGTTTAAAATTCAAGTTAAAATTATTTTCGATTTCGGCCCTACGTTTCGGATGCTTTGCAGCAGCCATGTTGATGATAGTTTTCAAATAAGTTTAACTAATATATATCGCATTTTAAACCTTTAGTGTTTTTTTAAACATAATTATATCTGTACGCATCCTGCAGTGAATATAGTAATCTAAATCTTTTAGCATTGACATTCATGTACTCCTTACTATTTGCAATTATATAACTTTCTTAACGACAAACGATACTTTCCACTATAGAGACTATTTACACCATATAAATTCATTATCGTATTTTACAAAATACTATAGACACGCTTTGTTATCTATAAAATAAATTATAAGCTTATAATTCAGTACGTTTATATACAAATTTGACGCTAATTCATTGAAATACAGTCGCAAAATTACACCATTATTGTGAAAACCTAGTTTCGTTAAAGTTGAAATTCGCTAGAACGAGATATACACGGATACATGTCGTACTTTAAGATAAACACCACAATCAAATATTAACCTTGTTGTAAATAATTAGAGTCGAGAATGCTTAAACCAATCATGAGAGAAGATATGATTGTATGCTTAAGATTTGGAGAGAAGAAAAGAAAGCTATCAAGTCGAGTTCATAGACAATAGTGTTCAGAAGTGATTCCGATTTCTTTTTCACTTTTGCTTGTAAAATAAATAAGCCCAATAAAAGAAAATCTAAAGACAGGTGTTTTCTGTACATAATTCAATTGGACAAACATAATCGCATTCATCAATTTCTAGAGAATTTCAACTTTTTCGCGTACGCTAAATTTAAAGCTAGTTTAGTCTAGGCAAATATTCAATCTTTTTCAATAAAAGCGTATACGTTCCTCGTGTCAATAGCCAACGATGAGGTACTCTCCATATGGGGCTGAACAATAATTACCATTTTATAATAGAACGCTTAATGCAAGAAAGAGACGCATTATATACGGAGAACAAGAGGAAACGGGACACCACAATTTAGAGCAGCAAGGACAACATGCCGGTTTCAAAACCTAGTTGGTAAAGCGAATCTAAAAACGACTTCCTGACTCGTTAGGAGTAAACATAAGCTATTTACCTAGTAATAAACTGAATTAAAAATGTTTTTGTGACAGCTCTTTGCACCGAAGAAAATGGCGGCTGTCACCTATATGTGACGTCACGTATGTGACAAACAAGACCCAACTCAGGGTGGAAAACATTCCCATGTCATGTAGTATACAGCCAAAAGCTCATTTACGCACTTCAACCAAGTCGTCTTTGCCTTTACCATAAGAATAAACGCTTTTTAGATCATCTGCTAGTTAAAAATAAGCGTCCAGAACTTTGCCCTGAAGTGTTATCCGTCTTTTGTTTCATCCGTACATAACAGATAAAGTATTCGGTTGCTTTGTGTGTTAGTCTGCCGGCCTCGGTGGTGGTGCGCGCGGAGGCAACGGCGAAGCTGGAACCGACCAACTTTCACTAGTACCCCATCTGTGAAAAATGAAAGCTATGCAATTTATGCCTGTTAATATCCGGCTCGAAGGACCAGATTTTTAAAGCAACGGTAAACTTCTCCTCCTTCGAGCCAAATATGACATATTTTTAATTTTGTGTATGACAATAATAGATAGACAAATCTAAACAAACATGGCATAAACAGATATTTGACAGAAACCATATTTTTTTGAAGTACCTCGTCCATATCTTTTTGAATCTATCTGGCATGAAAAATCAAAAAATGATCAAACGCCTTGTAAATTACCTATCAACTATACTTACCTACTATAGTTATTATAAATTATTTTTCGGGAATGGTACGATACATACTAAATTAAAAACAAACCTAGCTGTGTGGTTGTGGTGCGGTAGCGGCCGCTGCTCCCGCCTCGCTGCAACGTGATGCCATTTGACGTAACCGCTGAGCCGGCGCTTCACGAGCCCCGCCAGCGAGTGCAGCCAGCCTACACACCGCGCCCAGTTACACACCCCGCACGCGCCCAACCCCCCTCCCAACCCTCTCATACGCTGCGCACTTGAGGGAACTCTTTGGTGGAATTTTAATGCAAAATAAACCTTGCATTGTTTGTGTCCAAGAATTTAGGCGCATATGACTTCAGAGACCAATGATAATGATCCATAAGTAAATCGAAACTAAAGTTTTCAAGCATGGAAATAAAATTACTGGTTAAAAAATACTTCTCAAGGAAATATAAAATGTTAAATACTGCGTGTAGTTTAGGCGAGTAGTACACATTTAAATAAAACACTTCAACAGTTTAAAACGCGAGATATATCTTGTCTCCCCGTGACCACGTCGGGCCGTAGTTAAAATAATTTTAACGAATATATTTCGCGTTTTAAACCCTTAAAGTGTTGTATTTAAACAATATATGTTTTTTGTTGAAAAAGTTGCGGGATTACTTTGAAAGCGCAAAATTTCTTAGCACAAACAATATGCATTAAGGTCCAATATTGTTCATCTTGTCTTACTGCGCACAGTTAAAGAGGAACCTCAAATGATAACTGGAGTTTGGATGATTTTAATGACCAAAGAGCTCACCCGTAGTGCTGAACCATATGCCTTGCTGCAATGAGCGATGATGAGCAAAGCGCTTTCTTCCGTGAAGAGATGCCGTACACCACGCTAAGCTACCACGAGTTTTTAGACACATTTCATGTCGCTTACGGTTTACCAAATAGTTTCTATATGTGTATTATATAGGAAAGTCAGATATCAAAAACTTTTATTTATTCGGTATCAAGATCACGAATAAACCAGTCTTATAAGGCAGTTGTCCCTCCCACGAGAAACACGAAACAACTTTCTGATATTGTCTCGCTTAAAAAACCTGTCTTTGAACTTAGCCCAATGACATAACCTTCGGAAGTATACACGCGCTTTTATGTTGTCTATATTAGCTCAAAACATATCTCGTTCACGGCGGTAGGACGACTGCCTTATTTGCTTTGCTGATTTTGCCCTAAAGTTACCCCAAAAACCACTGGTACACGATTGAAGTCGTTATTAGCATGGTGTTAGGGTCGTGTTTAGTGTAGCGAGGCACGTGACAGAGCACGGATGGCAGGCGATATGTGGGGCGTGAGGAGAGCGGCAAAGCAAAGGTTGGATTAACATTGGAAATATTTGAACAAACATTTGCAAAAATCTCATCCTGTGCAAAAAGTAAGGGCAAAACGGATTGGCAGTCTTTTCAAATATTTCCCGCGACACAGATATACATACAAGGTACAAGATTGTTTTTCTACGACAAAGACCCACTTAAGTAGCGTATTAGAGTTGACGTGTAAATCGAATTTTTGTTTCTGATATAAGAGGCACTGCCACCGTACAGCACATCAGAAATCAGGAGACAATGTTCTTTCGCTTTACATTCTTACCCTCTACTGGATATCAACGTATAACATGTTAGTAACAGCATAATACTCAACGAAATGCTTAATTCATAATTCTAAAAAAGTCTACACTCATTTTGTCATAAGTCAAATATTTAGTGTGATAATGGGCAGATATAGTAGCCCACATGAAAGTTTTAATGACTAACAATGAACTAATTTCTCTATTAGTCTCATTGTTTAAACAAAATATGTATTTTTGTTTAAATAATGACAGAGATGAAAGAAGCTGTCAAAGTTTGACATTTGAAAATTTTCTGTATATTTTATAGACAGCTAAAGCACAGCTGCGCTAAGCTTAGAAGCTGTGCTTTCATAAATAAAGCTATATGTACATGATATATAGGATAAGGATAACATTATATATGAGTGATATGTTTGGCGGATTATCAGTTTTATCTTAATGCTAATAAAAAATAATATTCATAACGAAGATACTTGATATAAAAATATATATATATATATATATGTATTATTGTAGTGTTTGGAGGGAAAGTATAACTATAACATGTTACAGTTATAAATATTAAGGTATTCAGGAAGACAAAAACTTTGTGAAACCGTATAGAAATTCAACCTTCGTGTGTTGCTTGGTTAAAAAATATGAAATAAACAATAATCTGCCAAACAGATTAAAATGAGAAAGTGGCAAGCGCAGCATTTGATAAAATAATTTTGAATTGACATACATTATAGGCTGGCTGCTCTCGGTACATATATAGAACATGTAAGATCCATGGAAAAACAACATATAGAAACTTAAAAAACAGAATGTATTATATGTTAAGACCTTATGGAATGCAAATGCTGTATATGATATAAATATATTTTCTTATGATACACTTAATATTGTACTTTCTTTACTTTAGAAGAGCCCAAATCTTTGGCCAAGATCGCATATTTTGGTAATTAAAAATTTTAAAATATATATTTTTTAATATGTATTAGCATGCACCGCTGGTACGCGCTGTACTATTTATTTTTTTATATAAGCGGGCAGAGGTGAGCCTTTCATTATTTCATTAATAATGGATAATCTCGATAAAATACGCATATGCCCTAACGTCACGTATCGTTCGTATACTCACCCTGGTCGTCGTGGTGATGTTTATGCGTATGCGCGGGCGCAGGAATTTCCGCGCGGAAGCCATTGCGCACTTCCGCTCGCGTCAGACTCTGACTTCGTCCTTCTGATAACCTAAAATCCACATGATGTTATTCTTAAAAACTAGTTATAAGTAGTTGAGCTATCACCATATTGTATCTTTATCACACAAATGTGAATAATGGTGGTAATGAAAAGGCCAAAACTTAAAGTAGCATGTACTAATTCGTAAAAGGTTGTTAAAATAAAAGTGATCTAACTTATTAAGGAATTTTACAGTCACAAGGTTTTTTAAACTCAATTGTATAAGTTAAATTACAGATTTCAGTATCTAATTGAAGCTTACCTATCGTTAAGAAGTAAGGGCGATGGTGGGTGCAATCTATCGTGTAGTGGAGGTGGTTCTAATTCCATGCTACCGTTCGCTGGAAATTTATTAATGAAGACTAATTAGTACGGAGTTACCGGCAACAAAATATAAGTTTCCCTATTTAACATTATTTATTCCATAAGTAATATTAAATTTAAATGTATTTAAAATAAATTTTAAAAAATTGAACTCAGTAAAGTCTAATATATAATACAAACAAAAAATATGTTATTGTCACCACACAGATTTTAGAGAAATACTATTACAAAAGAAGTTACAAGGCAACCTCGGAGACGGAGATTTACAATAATTATTAATAAGGGTAACACTAAAACTATAATAAGTTTATACAATGTTCCAAAAACGTTTGACCTTTTAGGTTTTCTAATAATTTGATTAATCAACTTTGAAACCATGCATAGAAAGTCAATATCAATACTTTTTTATGATAGTCTAGTTCAAAAGAATGGTAATCTAGTTCACTTGATTTTAGGTGAAATAACATCTGAACAAGGTGCGCTAACAACAACTTTAGATATTGGAAAATTCACAGACTAACACCGAAACACGATTAATATTGACAGTTTTTTTGTGTACGGTGGTTCGTGACCCGGACGGAACTTCGATACTCCTACCATGCATTTAATATCCAGATGAAGACCAACAGATGTTTCAGAAAAATTATAATCGATTAGAAACATCTTGGGGATCAAACCCACCCGTTGATTATTAGTCCGGCAAAGCCATTGAAGCGTAGGTCAGATCAGGATGTATCTCACAGCCCTTCGAACAAATTAAATGAAATAATTCATCCTGGGCTATGCTTCTTATTACTAGGACTTTACCTTGTGTCCTAGGATGTCGCGACATGCGCGGCGGTGGTTCTGGTGATCTCCCAGCGCTGTGTTCTCGACTTACACTATAAAAATAACGTGTACCAGTTATATACAACGTCACCCACGACTATTCCATACACTAATACTTTCTAAACAGAGTAAGAATTAAATTAAGGTATATTGTATTTATGACAGACGAGGATAGACAGGCCCAAGCGTAGCTAGATTTAACTTTGACATTAGACACTTTCCATCTTTAGTTCCTCTTTGAACATGAGGGCTGCAAAGTGTCTAAAACGTCTAATAAAATATCTCTCGTTTTAAACCGTTAAAAGTTATGCTGTAATGCACCTTTAAATTATAGAAAATACTTAAACAAGTGTAGGGCAGCATATTTGCAGTGCTTAATGAGGTTGCACTGCCTGACTGAGAGTGTACCATAATGTGGATATTCAGCCATAAAAAAAAATAAGACAGGTAAATTAGTAAAAAAAAAATTACAAACATAATAATACCATATGTAAATTGAAGCCGTAGCAGGTAGATAATAAAGCTTAAATTGCTGCTAATCGAGTTAAAATTAATATGGAATTACCTTCTATGTCTCGGTGTAGCGTGCAAGTCGACTCTGGAACGCCTCTGCTGACTCTGGTGGTAGAACCTCTGCAGAACTATAGGACTAGTGTTGCCAGAGCTCTGAAAATGGTGTAATTTAATATCTGTTTTTATCTGTAAAAAGCTACTCGACGCAACACACACTTTGACTAAAACCACTATATTTTTAGTTTATTAAGCCGTACTATATCTTATAAATTATTTGACACTTACCGTGGGTGAGGCTCTCCATCTACTATCCGTTGAAACTCGACGTACCGGTGCGGGGGGAGGAGATGCGCACGCTTCAATTGTTCTATAATTTATGAACATCATTAGATTATGTTATTTGTTGGCTTTTACCAAGTACAAACATTGTAATCTATACTAATATTATAAAGAGGAAAGATTTGTATTTTTGTCTGTAATGGATAAACTCAAAAAGTACTGGATCGATTTTAATAATTCTTTTTTCATTATAAAACTACATTGACATTGAATATTTAGTTTTTTTTAAGCAGTTTTATGCTTCACTTAAAAAGTTCTCTTCAAAGCGAATTAGTTTTAGTATTAGGAATCACACTTTGCATAATGTTTGTCAAAGTTCTTTTCAGAACTATCGCTTTGAACTCGAATATTTTCTTTTGTATTAGTTTATTCTTAATTTCTGATTTAAAATAAATATCCTTCATAGCAATATGCCTAGAAGAAGAAGGTCGCAGCTATCTAAGAATAGTTCCCAAGCGAGATTAGCAAAGTTTGTCGTATTGGAGTCTTCTTCCTAAAATCATCGTCTGGAAAGTATTAGAGTGTACGGCTCCCAATCGTAAGCCAGAGATTTTATCGTCGAACGTTCAGGTTCGTCTTCCAGAACAAAATGCAAGATCGTCGCAGCGACTTGAAGAAAATAGAGCTAGGAATTCGCGAACGCGTGCACGGGACACTAACACTGAACGCTCGCAGCGGCTCCTGAACCAGCGAGATAGACCACGGTCGTTAATAGAGACGACGCGCAATACAATCTTTTTGTAATTTAGTGGTTCATGGTCGTTTTAATTAGCATGCTTATAAATTAAATATTTGTACTTATTTATTTCTACCCGTGCGAAGCCGGGACAGGGCCGCTAGTATAATATAATGTACGTTGTGTATTCAAGGATAGACTATTCTTACCTTCTCCTTGGACAAGGTGAATGGTTCGACAGCTCAGCTTCTAAACTAGTTGGTTGCGAACTGCTGCCACTAGGACTTGCATTGTTGGCCCACCAAGCTCTAAAAAAACGAACACACTTACTAATAACAGTTATAGTAGCATAAAAAGCATAAAACACAGTTAATTATAACACTCCTAGCCGTGGCTGCTACAAAGCGTCAAAAATGTCGGATCTCAGTTTTAATATATATAAGAAGTTTAAATAATATATTTCGCGTTTTGCACCGTTAAAAATTGAATTTTAGCCCTTTAAAGGGAATAAATAACGTCTTTTCGATTTTTTTAATTGTTATTTAACCTGTATTATTTCATAACTTAATTTATTATTAGAAAAAAATTACGACACAGGTAGTAGGATTAGAGCCAGCACCCACAGCGTTCAGTGCTGTTGCTCTAACCACTTGAGCTACCGTGTCCTACATAATCGAGTGTATAATATGTTTATCACAAATTACCTTGCAGGTGTAGGTGTGACCTGCTCCGGCATCCAGTGTTGTGATCCAGTGACGAAGTTCCGAACTGGCTGCGGGGTGACCGGTCCATCGCCGTTCATATTGACAGACAGGCTGGAACCGGCTTTGCTCGGCCCTTGCCCACAAATGTGCAACGTCGAGTACCAATCGCCAACCGATATGGAATTTCGCGCAGATTTTACCACAAACGGATGTTCTAGGAGCTTCGCGTACTTGGGACGCTGTCTGTAGTTCTTTGTTAGGCTGAAATGTTTAAAAGTGATGTTTGAATGGTGAAATTTAAAAAAAATGCTTACAATTATCAGTTCAACCCATTACTGGCCAACTGCTGGGTAAACGTTTCCTTTCCCTTAGACCAACGGTGCTCTAGTGCGGGTTAGTGGACTTTAAAGAATATACCGTGACTCCACCTTTCCATAATTGATCTGTGCTAGTATTACATACATACTCTGTGAGACTTTACTTCATAAGATACATATACTCTGTGATGTCACTATTCTAGAATATATACTCTATGAGTTTTTGGTACGAGTGTAATAGTTTTATTTTGTGTAGATGATATAAGGCTGGGTATATCACCTCCCATCAAGTAAACCCATGTTTGTCCATCCTGCTATCATTTAAAAAATACCATACTAAAATTTCACCCAACTCCGGATTCGAACTCAGGACCTCGTGATTCGCAGTCGAGTTCACTAACCACTAGACCAAGTAACCAATAATTGTTTCTTGTTTATATTTACATAATTTTAAAGACTCACCACTGTGACACGAATAATTTGAATTCAGGCGTGAAGGCACTGTCTTCTGGGAGTTGTGGTGGGTCGTCTGCGATTACCTAAATAACAAAAACTTCATTTGAAATCGAATATGTAATAAGTTTTGAAAAGGCATTAAAGGCTGTCTGTACTGTAAAGGTTTGAAACAATATAACAGACGACGGTTCGAATGTTTTGCAGCAGCCGTGGTCACGGGGAGACACCGTTAAAATGTTTTATTTAAAAGTATTAAATTATATTTATCCCACTCTCGTATTAATGTTGTCTCAACATTTACTTTACATTTCAATGTCAAGACATTTTTTTGTAAAAATTCACATATACATTAAACATTTTAAATTGTAACTAAATAATTGTTACACTATGTTGTTGTGAAAAAGGGAGGACTTGGCTTGTGCATCACCACTTAAGAGCGGTGATGGGCCGGCTTTCAGTGCCTGATTATATCATAATCATCATCAGATATATAAATCCCATATATACAATGATATTTGAATTATATATCTACCTTTTTTATATAATATAGCTTAACGATAACAGATTTAATATGGGACAATAAAGCGAAAGTGAAAAATGGCCGTAATTAAAAGTAACTCTATTGTTCATAGTCAGTCTTTTTCATTGTTTATCAAATGAAATTAATAAGTATAAAAAGTATGTATTTTTTGTTTTTATAATATACATTTATTCATACATGCTCTTTTATATAAACAGAAAAATGAAATAACATACCCTAGTAAGAACTTCAAAATCATTCTGACAGTCTCTATAGGGGAATACTCCTGTGGCCAATTCAACTAGAGATATGCCCAAAGACCAGACATCTGCGCGTATATCGTAGTCTGGCCTACTTGGATCTGGCGGGTCTATTCTCTCCGGCTGAAACCATAATTATAAATCGAGTTTCAATTAAAACCATTATTATATATGTAAATTTCATTTCTAGTAAACATTTTTGTATTAGTTGTAATGGAATCAAAATTATTGAACATTTTAATATTTTTGACACGTTATATTGGCATATGTATAAATTAAAAGTCAATTTTGGATTGAAAAAAATTACGTCACGGGCTGGTTCTGAGTCCAACCTAAAATCGATTTTTAATTTATGATCATAATCATTTACAATGAAAAGCTTAAAATATAAGAATGCATTTCTAAAAAAGTTCTACTGTTCATTCACCGTAGCTAACTAAACTGATTTAGACTTGCAATGATATTCTCCGTATGTGTAACTAAATCTATTGATATGTATGCTCATAAAATAACATAGCTCATTGTACTCACAGCCATATATGCAGCGCACCCGGCACTCCGTGTCTTTGCTTTAGAGTCTACGAGTCGACCGCTGATACCAAAATCGCACAACTTGACATTACCACGCTCGTCGATTAGAATATTGCTCGGCTTAACATCACGATGGATCACACCGTGGTTGTCTTTCAGGTACGATAGCGCGTTTACAGTCTGAAATACAATTATATAGTGAGAACAAACTGTTATATATCGAAGTAGCTGTGCCCGAGACATCACATTTATTATTGCAAACAACCTCCTCAGCCTTATTAACTATAGCTGTTACAACGATGTTGTCCGGGTTCCGTCGTTCTTGCGAGTTAATCTTAAAAGGTAACAAATAACGACGAGAACAAACCTATAGATATCTTAATGAGGATTCATTCGTCAACCTTTAAAATTGGTTGAAATCAAAGAAACATGTTCGAGGATCTTTGAAGGGTTTGGTTTGGTTCTACCGTTTTCGCACCCAACGGAAGCCCTAAAAGTTGCATAATTTTCCCTGCTTTCACCACATTTCACTATTGGTCGCAGCGTAACGTTATATAGCCTAAAGCCTTCCTCGGTAAATGTGGAATCAACGCAAAAACAATTTCTCAATTAGAACTAGTTGTTTCTGAGATTTGCGCGTTCAAACAAATAAATTCTTCAGCTTTATAATATTAGTATAGATTACGCAAAATACAAGGGTTACAGAGATTTTTGTATGATACTTATTTGTATAAATCAGTAAGAATTTCTTCTTTCCATACTGTGATAAAATCATTACTTACAGCAACCGTGACTTTCCCCAATATGGCTTCTGGTATGGGAGCTCCGAGTCTCTTAAGCAGCTTATCAAAGCAGGACGCCATCAGCTCCATACAGATCCAAACATCGGCATCTGTCACGAAGCAGCCGAGACACCTCACAATGTACGGACAATCGTGTGACCGCACTACCACATCCAAGTCCATGAGAATCCGTTTTGTCTCTTCGGAGTTGCCAGATCGACGCATTTGCTAAGATAGATAAAAAAAATATACAAAAGAATCACAGTAAATTAACAAGTTTATTTTTTAATTAATACTGATTACTATGAATAATGATTTTAATAAAATGAGACTTATTAATTTTAATTTTTCTCTTGAGAAAGATTATTTAGAATAAGTATTTGATACCTTACCTTGACAGCTATAACAGCTCCCGAAGGCTTGTGAAACATTTTGACAACATGTCCACAGGTCCCACTACCAAGCTCTCCTAACTGCTGAAGATCATCTATATTTGATCTGTACTCCACTCCTTCTACATTTAGCTTGCCGCTCACCTGTTGATATATTTTAAGAAATTAATTAGAACTATTCTTAATAATTTTTTGTAATGCCTAGGAATTATTATTTTACTATTGCTTATTAGTTTACTTTAATCATAAACTTTTTACAACACACACAAATACAATTAACAAAAACATAATCTATAAACTATGCTAGCAGCCTTATTTATAAAGCAATCTCTTTCAGGCAACCCTTATTAGGCAATTCATGTAAAACAAATTAAATTAGGGGAAATCTGCAGAATGTGCAAATATAAATAGTTTTATGTATTACTTATTATTTATATATGTTAAGTTTGAAAGTTGGAGTATGTTTTTTGTTTAATAACATGAAATAACAGAAAAAAAGATTTTGACTATTCCTAACACGTACTGTGTTTAATTTCCTATGCATTTAATGCTATAAAGGTTTTAATGCAACCACACATACAAGAACTATGTATATATATATATACTAAGCTATAAATAAATTGATGATGAACATTTCTTTCTTGAAAACTAGTTCAAACTTAAACATTTGGGATCTTTGCTGCATGACATAATAAATGAATTTAAGTACATTTCATCTATATCAATTAACATTTTACCTTATACACCTCTCGCATCCTGTGCTCAGTGTCAGTGGCCTGGGGTGACCTCGGAGGGAATGCAGGTATGTCTCGACCACTAAACATGAGAGCTGCAACAATGTGTACACATTAATTAACATATTTATGTTTTGAGTGCTTGAGAAATACATGATAAGGGCTTAACTGTACTCAGGATAAATATACATAGTAATAGCTTGGCATTAAGATTTATGCCAACACAAGTTGCATATTATTAATGTTGAATTGAAACAAGTGGTAACAGTAGTTATCAATATTCTATAACATTTAATCCTAGCTTGTTATTTAAACTGTAGATGCAGTACAATAAGTCTACACAGTATAGAGACAATTCTGCATTTAGTATAAAGGCAGACTGAGGCCACAAATTGTGTCACTGTTTGTGCTAACATCTAATTGGAACTTTGTCGGTGTTAATCTTATATTTGCCTCCTAGTAGATTTATACATAATATTGAGATAACATGCTCTTTTCAGCTGACACAATTTGATGACATGCAATGAAATGAAATATCCACCTACTAGCCATTCAATGTCAAGTTATGCAAATATTTAATAAACATATTATGTGGGCTTTTCTTGTGTACTCTTCAATAATAAGTTAATTAAATCTATTTGTGTTCGAGATTTCAAAAATAATATTCTATACGTGAATATACCTATCAGACAAATACTATTGGTTATTGTTGTTTAATCCGCATGTCTTATTTGATAATGTTGGTCTACTGCACGGCTGTAAAATGTATTATTAGGTATCATGTACTCACGGGGCCTAGGCCTTCGGGCGCCCCCAGTTCTAGAAGCGCCAATACCACCTTGGTTGTGCATTGCACCCTCTCTCCGAATACGCAATTCATTTTCAAAACGTTCTTGCAAACCTTTCAGTTTCCCCTCAAGTGAAGTATTAGACATTGTAATGTACAAAATAACACTTTAATTACATCTAAACACTTAATTCTATACATTAATAAGCAAATAATGTACACAAAAAAATAAAATCAAGGAGAAGCAATCCAAAATTTTTCTTTCGTGAAAGAATAAAATATGCGTGTTGCCATTTTCACTTTAGAAGTGACAATGTCCATTGAATGATTAGTCTGGAATTTTAATCTGTAAATACTATCACAAGCCACAGATAAGTAAGCACATCGATTTTTATTTTTCATTCAACTTTTACAATTACAATTTACAACCAACTTCGTTCTGTATGTGTATCGTTAAATATTTTGCACATAGTGGATTGGTGGATATTGTGATTTATGAATTTGATTCGCGACTATACAATAATATCAGCGATGCAGCAATTATAATTATTTACAATCATACCTAATAAATTTGTGTTATTTGTCTCTTTCGTAAAGTGTACCATAATTGGAAGTTACTGTGATTTATGATTGTACTATAATACTTACGGTCTTTTTAAGTATAACTTTTCTAGCGTTTTCCGTGTACAATATATTAGTGGGAAACTTTCATTATTAGTCACTGAACTGTTTTTAATGTGATGTATACGGTCAATATTTTCTTTGTGTAAGTGAAGTTCTTTGACGAAAATTTCTAATCCAAAATGATCACGTGTGACCAGTAAACGCTGGTGAAATCATACACTATGATGCAGTCCACTCCGGATGGATGCATGAGTATTGCGGAACTAGCGAATCAATTGCGTCGCGAGAAGATCTTCATCAATTCGGAAAGACAGCTGTTGCAGAATCTCAATGAAGAGTTGGAGAAGAGTGCTTTAGAATTGCTGCAGCAGTCATGGATATGTTCGCAACAGCGTCAAAACCTATCAAACTTAATAACATCTAGGTGTGAAGTCGATTCAATAGGAGCAGTCCAGAGAGCCAGTCAACTCGAAGGAACCACCTTTATAGATGTTTATAAAGTCCTTAAATACAAAGTAAGTCTACTAGGCTAGAAATGACATAATGTGTATGTTAAATATCAAACAGTTATCATTCATCCACCCACTTTTGTGTATTTTATTACAAATAAGCAGGTTGATCTATGTGAATCATAACTTTAAAAAAAATCACTACATTTATTTAGGTAATTGTGAAATGCATAAAAATTAAGAGATATTGAGTTTCACAATGTTAACATTGAAGGAAAAGAAAGAAAAAGTATCTTATATACCTAGACAAATAGTCAAAAAATCTTATAAGTATAATTAAAAAATTGACCTAAGTATGTTGTACCTGACTGATAAAACAAGAAAACTTAGTAACAATATCTAAATGTTGTAAATAAATGAACACAAATATTGCTGAATACATATTACATTTGTTATCTTAAAGATCTGACAAATACCTAGTTCTAAGACTAACACCTGAATCTACTTCATGAATTATGAATGTTGACTGGTGATGGAATTGTTTTTTTTTTTTAATTTTGACTGATGCTAAAGATACTAACATCTCTATATAAGATCTTAAAACTCAACAAACAGTTTGCAGACAAGATTATTTCTTATGAATATTGTTGACAATTTTTTTTTCCAGTTTTATCTTATAAAAACTAGATAAAATCCCACCTTGTTAACAACAATAAAACAGCAGACTAGGCTAATAGTAATGACTATTGTTTAAGTTTCAAATGCAAATAAGCTTATCTATGTTTTTTCTAGGAAGCACAAACTCTTGGTGAGCTACTAGGATGGCTCCGGGACACTCCACATTTGATGGCTTTATGCCTCCTCCTTGGAGAGGACCAGATGCCTGTATCACTCCCATCTTCCCTCGTAGCTGGGTTGTATGGGAGCTGCCGGTCTGCTCCAGATCGTACAAGACTGTTGGCTGTCATTCGGTCCTTGATCAAGTATCAGCTTGCACCATCCAATGATCCAAGAAAGTAAGTTTTGTATTGTTATATTAATATTTTTGCGGTAACTATTCACACAATTACAATGAAGTTTTGTACAAACCGCTATCATGTATATCTTGGTGTTAGTGGTGATGATTTTAACTAAAAACTAAACTGTATGTATGGGTTCTTTTATATGTCTTGTAATTATGTTCCTTCATATATCTTGTCTCTAATGTGATACATATTTGAAATTCTTGTTTTACTATATTAGTTATCCTCTGCTGAAATCGCTTGACAGGTTTTGAAGAAATTTCGTATTCATATAAAGTAGGTCTATCTTTATCATTTTCATACTCCTAAGTAATAAGAGTACACCTATGGGTGTAAATTCTAAATGTTCACATTTCTATAGCCAACCTCAATTTAACATACAACACTGCAATTTAAGAAGTACTTAATTATTTCTTTTTTATACTCAAAATTGTATGTATACCAAAAGGCATACTTTTGAATCATCATTTGGCATAGTAGTAAGTAAGAAAATTAGTATTATTCGTGTAAATATTGCACGAATTAAAAAAAAAAAAGCCATATCTTATTCAACTTAATCTGAATAATTTTTTTCACTCGATAGAATTAACCCGGACGTCTGATATAGTTGACAGACATCCTCGAGATTTATTAGGCAAAGGGAGTACCATAAACCGTTGGTAATAATTCCTCATTGGGAGCATGTCACTGACCTACCATAACAGGAACAGGATCTCCTAATATCTAAATTACAATACATTGCGTTCATTCTACAATACCAGCAGTGATTGATCGATTATACTAGGTTCGCTCGGCGTCTTTGCCTGCGTTTACTTAAGTATATATTCGATTATTAGAGTGTTAATACAAAAAAAATGCGACTTAATAATTTTTCAACGAAAGACGTTTTTAGATTTAAATCGATATCAGTTCTCGACATTGTTTGCAATCTCTACAAAAAAATCAGTAAAATTATTTTTGTTCAAAGTTTCCGGTGTGTGCGCTGAGAAAACAGTTAATACCCAAAAATGTGTGTGAAATAATTTGTTCTTTCCATGATGTATAAAATGTCCGCGACATTACATGTGTATCATTTAATAATTAGTCATTAAAAACTGTTATTATTGTAATTACATTTTGTCGGAATACTTTTTATGGCGAAAAAACGTATGGCAGTTAAATACTGTCTACAGTTTACGCGAGTAGTACACTTTTAAATAAAACACTTTAACGGTTTAAACGTCGCCGAAGTTAAAAATCATTTTCAAATAAGTTTAACTAATATATCGCGTTTTAAACAGTTAAAGTGTTTTATTTAAATAAGTATGGCAGTTAGTCAACAATACCGTTCATATAAAAATGTACGATTATTGAGTTTCTATATAACCTAAGTAGCTATGCAAAACGTAAAGTCGAGGTCAGTCATTGACGAAGGACTGTATTTATAATATATAGACAATGCAAATGACTTAGTAATTACTTAAAACACATTTCTGTGTCCTGTATCACTGATCGTTTTTATTTACAGGCAAGTAGTTAATCATACGTCTGTGCCTTGCCCAACGGAAACAATCTATTGTTTCCCCGAAACCCGGAATATCTCGCGCTCAACGCAACGCTAAGCAACACGCTTAATTATTTAGCTCAAGGGGTCGCAGCTATAATCTAACCGTTTTTGATGAGCTTCGTGAAAATTTAACCTACAACCCGTAAATTATTATTATTATTAGTACTTGCATTGTGTAGTTTCACCTGTTACATGCTCGCGTATTACCTTTATACTTATTTGTAATGACTCAGTTCATATTGCAAGAAAATGATTGTACATCATCATTCGTCACTTTCACTAGGAAGCGAAAATTATGAGAGAAATTCTATTTTTAAATGAAACCATTTTAACGGTTTGAAATGCGAAATGTATTCGGTAGTTAACTTATTTTTAATTTATTTCACTACGGCATGACTTTTCGGATGGAAATTATCCAAGAACTATGAAATATAATTGACAAAAAAATTGTAGGCACCATTTATTTAGGTACGGATAAAGTAAATTAAAAATCAAACTACAACTAAATATGTATATTGGGATATAATGAACATAACTAAACTAAAATATATCGCATCTACATCGCTAAAAGTTGTGATTTTAAACTATAAAATGAGGTTCTTCATTAAGAAAAAATGCAGAAGTGCCCTTCACATAAGTTTTATAATAATTAATATTCGTCGCTTTCACTTTGATAAATTGTTTTACATAAGAAAATGTTAAACTAATAGATGTGAGTTTTATATGTAGTCCTTTTTTTAAATCTACACATAATTATAACGTAGTATATTGGGCGTCTATTACGTGGGAGATATTTGTTCTGTAAGTAATCATACACATTTGTGTGCACATTTTTGTAAATATTTTTAGGTATTCTGTAATATTGAAACAAAGCAAAAATGCAATATTTATGAGAATCGAACCCACGATCAATTTTTAATAAGTTACTATTAAAAATTGATCGTGGGTTCGATTCTCATCAGGTAAAACATGTTTCTAAAAATCAATAAATAACTTTTCTGATACGTATCAGATTTCGTCTGCAAAATGCGGATATTAAATGAGTGGTAAGACATGAAAATTTCTATGGCTTTTCAAATGCCCATGGCTGGAGTACTTCACCTACAATCTAAAGTAACGCACGCTGGTATGTCCTTCTCATAAAGTCATAAAAATTCTATATTTTCCAGATTATTTCGTACGAACAAGTGCGCCCTGTCGTCCATTTATGCAGTATACCGGGACGGTCATTCGCCAGCGAGACAGTTCCTGGTGGCAGCACTGCAGGGTCCCGTGATGGCTGTTCTACATGAGGACGAGTTCTTCCTGGATGTCGACCCGGATAAGGCGATGGAGCGGTTAGTTTTTTCTTGATTGGGACAGTTCTGGACAGACAGGCTGGAGTGCCAAGGCGTATAGTGAAGTCGGCCCTTTAAACTCACACAATTTGTTATTCCATCATAACATAGAAATAATAATCACAATCATATACTGTCTATACTTTACGCGAGTAGTACACATTTAAATAAAACACTTTAACGGTTTAAAACGCGATATATTAGTTAAACTTATTTGGAAATGATTTTTAACTTCGGCCCGACGTTTCGGATGCTTTGCAGCAGTCTCCCAGTGACCACGGCTACTAACCGTTAAAGTGTATTATTTAAATCACAATCATATTTTGCGTTTGATTATTTTAAGCGTTCACAATTGGGATGTCGGTCGTATTTATCGATAAAGATAAGTAACCGACATGTAACCAAGAAAAGTAGATCATCTACTTTTCTTGGTTACATGTCGGTCAATATAGTAACTGAAATATTTCGTTCTACTTTACAGCTTCATGTGGACTAAAATATTGCATAATATTAATTCCATAAACGCACAACTAATATGATTGTGATTATTATTTCTATGTCATGGTAAAATTACAAATTGTGTGAGTTTTTAAGGGCCGGTTTCGCTATACGCGTTGTCGCTCCGGCCGCTAACTTCAGCACTATTGTGTTCAAATATTCGCAGGTAGAATTCTTTTCTACAGTTTAATATAATTTAACCCAGCTGACAATAAGCAAATATAACTATGATGTAGGTATGATAAAGTCATTCGGACTATCACGAATTTAAATTTTCATACACATTGTCAATCTTCATTGAAATATAATTTATACTAACTGTAATAATTTAAACTGAAATTTAAAGTCGCATATAGCTCAAAGGTTATAAAAATTTCGATGAGTGCGACTGGTCCAAGTTCGAATCCTACGGAAGAAATACTTTCAGTTTTGACATGACATAAAAGTCTGATCTGTGAATAAAATTCATGAATTTAACAGACACAAATTTCACACAACTTACAATTTCTGTGGCATGTACCATTGCCCTGGGGCATGGGCCAGACACAAATTTGTTGTGCTCTTACGAGCACAAGTGCAATTACATTCGCACCTATTAGAGCTCACTTTTCAGTAATATAAATCTTAAGACAAAATATGTACACATTGAAATAAACCACTTTGACGGTTTAAAACGCGATATATATTCGTTAAACTACTTTGAAAATTATTTTAACTGTGCCCCGTTAACAGTTAAATTTCTTTAATTTTTTAAATTCTTAATTAAAGGTTCTCAGCGGCCGATCGCCTCAAGAAGTTCGGTCAGCCGAACAGCGCTGAGTATCAAACAAAGGTGGCCAGATACCGCAAGTGGACTGTTCAATCGCTGTATAACCTCACCACCAAGTTTATCATCGCCCTCCGAGACTACTGGCCCAACTTTCCGACAACCATTGCCTGGATTGTGCAGCAGATTGTTCATCTATTGAAGCAGCACTCCAGGTAAAATGCCATATTTCTTCCGCAAACTACCTGTCAGTGTACAGTATGTCTTTTTCAATAGGTATAAAAATTTACCTTTTCGCTTCGCTTCAATATATATAACAGGTTTAAATTAAAAATATTTGCAAAAATATCCACTAATATCTGTTTGGATTAATTTAGGGAGAACATATTTATAGATAATCCGATAATAAAATCTCTCTTAGCTACTTATTTATATAATGAATACATTTAAATACAACTTTTGACGGTTTAAAACTAATTTTATTGTAGTTCAATTATTTTAACTATGGCTCGATGCTTGAATCGGGCTTAAACGTAGGTTTAAATGTCGGGCCGCAGTTAAAATAAATTAAAAATAACTAATTAATTTCACGTTTTAAACAGTTACAAGTGATTTATTTAAATGCATACTCTAACAATAAATACAAATTAATTATGCTTCTACATTTAAACTTAATTAATTATTTTGTTAAACTATATTTCTCTTCCAGGATTACGGAGCGAGAACTCCACGCGATATGCACAGACCTCGTGTTCAATCACTTCATCTGTCCAGCCATAGTGAATCCCGAGGCCCACGGCGTGGTGGATATCCCAGTTTCGTACATCGCGCGCTTCAACTTGATCCAAATCGCTCAAATCATACAAATGCTGTGCCTCGCCAAATATCAAGAGGTAATATTATAAATAAGGAAGGGCTAGCTATTTGGATGCTAACACTCCCGCCACACACAAACATTAAACATATACAATCAAAGGATAACTCGCATTTTCTATTAACACAATATATAAAAAGTTTTTTATTTATTTCACTAACTCTAACTAATAATAAATGGAGATACGTTTGTAAACTTTAATATTTTTCCTATGTTATTGCACATGAAGGCACCATATTATTTAAAAATCGAAAAATTGAAAAAACTTTCGACTCGGGCAGGACTTGAACCGGCATCGTCAGCGCTCCGTTACTCTAAGGGTTAGAGTCTAACCAATGGACACGGTAGCTTAATTAAAGCTATCTAGTTATATAATAGGTCATCTTTATCTCAAAGGTGGAGCCGAAGGTTCGCGATCTATACACGAAGTTCGAGCGCTCCTGTGTGTGGTCTCTAATCGAAGCCGTGACCAGCCCGGCCTGTGGGCCTGCCGCGACCGCCCCCACACCGGATGCCACTTTAAGGACCGATGCACCTCATAGGACTGTCCTAGCGCTCTTCACTCTTCAAGATCTTCATTCACTGGTAATTGAAATGTTAATAATGACAGTGTTAGATTTGTTAGTAACAATTTCACTTATAACATATTAAAGGCCTTTTTACGCTAGTTCTTGCAACTTGAGACATGTTTTCATACATGGCTATGAACGGTTGTTCGTGATCCGGCCGACATTCTTACCACCTATTTATTATGAGAAAAAATATAAATTGATTAGAAATATGTTGGACGGTGGGGATCGTACCCACGACCCGTTGTTACCATTACACCGGAATTACATGAAGCCGGAAGGTTTGAAGGTACACTGAGAGTTGAATAATGACCTTACGGTAAAGGGAGAATGGGTAAATGTCAAAAATCTCTTCTCGCTCACGTCGGCCGAACAGCTCGAAACACCGATATTCTAAACGAAGGCCGAAAGCCTTACATAATTTATTACTATTGAATGTTTATAGATATCATTCCTACGGCGTATATCCTCGAAGTTGAATAACAACACGTCAAACGGTACAACTGAGGAACGACAAAATGGCAGCGCGTCTTCAAACGAAGTTGCTAACTTTGGGTAAAAATATATTACGTTTTTACTAGTACTCAAATATAGTAGTAGTGCATATTTAAGTAAAACATTCTAACTTCAATTTTTCAAATAAGTTTAACTAATATATATATCGCGTTTTAAACCGTTAAAGTGTTTTATTTAAACTAAAATGAGATATCTTATCAGTGACAGCACTGAAGCATCGAGTCTTGATGTGTCGGAAGCGGAAATGAATGGTTTGGATAGAAGTGACAGCACCGACGGTAGCGACGGTGCCGGTCGGCTCTCCGCCTTGCTGCAGACCTTGGAACCCAACTACCGATCAAGACTGCACGATCTCTTGAGAAAGCTCAATAGTCTGCCCACAATTAGGTTAGTAGATCCAACGAATGAAACGTTATCCAAAATCGATATCGATAATTGCTTATAAAATAAACGTATTTCTAAACTAAAACAACTACCCACCATAAATTTAACAACTCTTTTATATTCATAAAAATGTTAGTCTATGCTAATATTATAAAGCTGCGGAGTTTGTTTGTTTGAACGCGCTAATCGCAGGAACTACTGGTTCAGATTAAAAAAATCTTATTGTAAAGGTTAGAGCATTTATTTATCTTTGAGGGTTTCCGTCGCTAACGCTACGAAAGCGGTTCAAGATACCGGAAAAATACATATGAAAAAATTAATCCACTTTAAAAAATGTCCGCGATATGTCTATCTTTTAATATTAATTCAAAATAACCTTTTTGAACCTTTTACCATGAAGTCAATTATTTTTCAGGCCGTCACCGCCAGAGAGCAAAGAATCCCCGGAAAACGGGCCAAGTCGACGTGGCATTCTGAGCAAAGTGCCAAAACCAAGGTTACCAAGATCTAACGGATCTGATGAGAAACAGGACAGTCACTTGGAACCACTTGAAGTCCTCCTCATCAAACTAACTAATATTGAAGAACAAGATTATGTCGGTAAGAAAGAGTTACTATATCATAACTTTCATATCTTAAATTATTTTGATGGAGGGAGAAAAATACTAACTATTTAACAAGAAAACAATAAATTGGTTTCAAATACGTATTCTATAAATATATTCTATTGTATTCTTCAATCAATCGAATGCTGTTTTTGTGTTTCAAAAGTCAGAAATTACGAAAAAGACTAAAGTCGACTTCTCTTTTAATAGGTCTTGTACCTGAATCAAAAGTTCTAGAATGTTACTATGGTGGTAGTGATGCGGGGGACACTGAAGACGCCGCTGCCTTACCTCCGGGACCACCGACCCCAGTACAAAAGCGTACCAGGTATACATTTCCACTATTTTATTTACCATAACCGTTTTAATGCAATGCCTTTTCTTTCATTGATATTATGTTAGTTTTTACCAATTTTTGTTTAAAAGATTCTCAATAAGATCAGACTAGTCCATTCCGATAGATAGAATCCGTTACTTGTAGTGTATTTTTTCTAACTTTGCAAGAGACCACAACAAATATGCCCGAATTTAAAGCATAGAGAACTAGTGATGCTTTTATAGAGTGTAGTCGTTGCCACAGATGACATATGAATGAATGACATGAAATATTGATTATAATACATGAGTGGGACTTCTACCTTCTATCGATGTTCACATTGCGTACATCCCATCCTTATGTAAATGTCAAACTTAAGAAATTTTAATTCCTGCATTTGCGTAAATACATTTTTAAAATTTTTATTAGTTTTAGTATACAATTTTAGTTTTTACTAAGTGCATTTGAGGTAGTTTATTATTGTAATGTGGAATCAAGTGTCTCTAAGTGTTTTTAGTGTGAACCATGAATTTGTGTAGTGAAAATTGTGTTTTTTTTTACTAAAAATGCCTAGTAAGAAGTAATACATTATAGTCTAGTAATTCCTACTCCTGGAATCTAGTTCTACATATTATACTATGTTTTATGATATAAAGTTAGGTCTTGTTCGGATACATATAAAAATGTATAAATAAATACGTGCATTGCTGTAATTATACCACGCCGGCTATCCATTTGTACCCAAATATCCTTGTATATCTTAGCCTCAATTTCCACATTAAAAATTATTGTTATATCAAGGTTTTCGGTATCTCACGATGAAGTCTCACTGGGAAACACTTCGGACAACTTAGAAGCAGTTTCGGAAGCTGCGTCTAACCACAGCGTCACGTCCAGCCTCGAGTTGGAGACGGAAGACCAGAATGACAATTTGTCTGATATGGTACAAACGTTTAAGAACAATAAGGAATACATGTTAAAAATTTTGTCGTTTTTCACTAGTTATATCCACCATACGATATTTTCCAACACACTTAAACACTATTATCTGAAACTTACAAAGGCATTTATATGTTTTATAGTTTTGATTGAAAAATTTACAGGTATCAGCGAATGTAAGCGGAAGAGGAAGTCCTAACATCTCCGGCAGAGAGACTCCCTCTTCCCAAGTGACAGACGGAGACGCGACAGGAGAAGCAGTTAGACGGTACGTGCTATCTCATTATGATATGATACCAATGTTACCACTTGAGCCTAGCATTATTAGATAAACCTGTTTTAGGCCTCCACCAAACGCAGCAGTCAGTCAAGCCACCAGCGCGGCTCAGGCGAAGCTTTTAAAGCAGACTCGTAACGAAATCGAGGACAAGTTCTGCAAATTTGAAATTAAGGTAATTTGTAAAAAATTTAACTTGCCTATTAATATTAATATGCCTATATAAATTAATTTTCGTATTTAGTGATAGGTATTGTTTGTTTTTATGTCACATATGGTAGTAAATAAATGTATGATATCTCTTACTTCTCTTAAAGGTACTAGCTTAGCTTAGCTGCGTACACTTAATTATATCAATGAAAAATGTCAAAATGGTTCAGTCTCTTTCACTGCATGTCTCTTCCTTTATGATACCTCCAGCTGGTCCAGCAAACGCTATTTTATTATTTGTAAGCTTTAAACATAGACATGTAACTGTAAAAGACATTTTTTAGATCATTGAAACAAACAAACTTTTATATATACTAGCTGTGCCCGCGACTTCGTCCGTGTGGATTAGTGACTTGGGGTAGAATTTTTAATTGTTTAGGCTGTTTATTAATTTATGTAAATGCGCATTTATCTCAGCCAATCTATGGTAAGTGCTACTTACTGCCGCAACACTCTCACCTCACATCACTCCTACTCTAACTCTCACTCCCACTCCCACTCCTATTCCCAAAAAGCCAAAGAAGAAAGTTTTAGCTTCTTGATTGTTCTAGCTTCAAAAACCACGAATTTCCATACAAACTTTCCCCCCCCCCCCCCTTTTAACGCCCTTTTGGCAATAAAAAGTAGCCTATGTTCTTTCTCAGGGTCTAAACGATCTGTGTACCAAATTTTACTCAAATCCGTTCAGTAGTTTTGGCGTGAAAGAGTAACAGACAGACAGACAGAGTTACTTTCGCATTTATAATATTAGTAAGGATTTTTTTCAATTTAATTAAGAATTCAATGTGCACCAGTAATTCCTGAGATTAGCCCGTGCAAGCAAAGACAATCTCTAGCTTTATAATATTCGTATAGATTACCAAATTAAAAAAAAATCCTGAGTCAATAATTTTGGTTGGTTGCTGTGTTTGTGTGTGTGTAATTCTAAGATATTGTTTTCAGAAACTGTTAGAAGGCGACGAGACCATCAGCATTATGTCCGACACATGGAGCACGGATGTGCTGGCGTCCGACTCCGAGACCATCGGCGACACTTGTGATCACAATGTCAACGCTAATGCCCAAGGTGGTAAGTTTGTATTATTATTTTTTGTTCTGTAAAACCTTAACTCGTTACGATAATCTGGTCTATATAGTACTACTTTTCTGCCTCATTGGTTAGTGCTCTCTACTGAAAACCACGAAGTATTAGGAAGTCTGGGGCGGGTATAATAGACGAGGACAGACAAGCACGAGTTTACTTGACATTGGAAACAGCGGTCTTTATGTATTACAGGTTCGACAACAAACAATACAAACGCTCCGGACGTATCTGAGACAGCGAGCGAGTCTGCCTGGAGTATGGACGTGCTGGCTTCAGATAGCGATAGAAATACAGAGGTAACCCCTTTCCTTTAAAAATCCCCCCTTTAGACGAAATAAGATCGTTTGTCCTTTAACTTGCCTGAAGGAAAGCAATGATCCGGACTGTTATGACTGCTTGTAAAAAGCTCATATTTTACTGATAAAATAATTATTATTAATATAAACGAATATACATCGCGTTTTAACCCTAAGTGTTTCATTTAAAGTAATTATGTTAATAATAATTCAGTGAAAAATGATGTATTGTGTTTTGTATGTAGTTTATATAATTGAGAGTCGAGTACGATGAACAATTAAACGTGTGTTCTTTCTTTCTTCTCTTCCGACCGGTCTGTAGGTTACGTGAGTCATCTACTCAACTCATTTAAATAAACTAACTTTAACGGTTTTAAATACGACATATTTTTAACCACGACCGACGTTTCTGGTAGGGAGAGAAAGTCAGAAGTTCCACCTTTTTCGTGGCGAATAGTATTTGGAGAAACTAGAATATGTTCTTTTCGTATTTCCTCACATGTAAGGTGTTCAACCAGAAACTATATGCGAGTATATGTATTACTTCTCAGATATATGTATACTAAGCTTGTATTAAATTGTGTACAGGTGGATACAGACGATTGCGTTTCTGTCGCAGCCAGGTCGGACACGTCGTGGCCGCGACGACCGTCTGGGCAGGACGATATCATATTACGTGTTAACCAGGTACATAACCCCTCTTTTGGGTAATCTGGGCTTCAAACAGATATTTGCAAATACAAACGCAAAATTTCAGATGTTTATGATTTGATCAGAGCCTTATAAAAACTTCCATATGTGTGGCCAATAGTTAATCGTGTTGTTTACGTGAAGCAAGGACCTGGAATCCCACTAAAAGAATATTTTTTCCCTCCTTTAGGACATAGATATATAATCAACTACTTGCCTGTAATTTATTGTTCATTAACGGACACAGAAATGTGTTTGCGAAATGTCCTAAGGGGAAACACGATTATCAGGGATGTTGGGGTCAAACACCAGAGATCAAAAACTTAAGGCCTTGTTTTTAAGAAATACATTAATGAAAAATTATTGTATTGTTTAGAATGGAAACGCAAAAAGACCAGATACCAACAGTCCACGACATACTGCGCGAGCAAATCATCCGTTTAGGTAAGTTATTCGTATAGATTGTAAATTCGAAAAGCCTAAAATGTAATTTTTTTTGTTGTTAAATATGACAAAACCGTCAACCGTCTTATGAGGGCGTATACTTGCTTCCTTGTATATTCTTTCAGGTTTTGTTTTATTAAAATTGTTGAAGTTTTGATTGTTGACATCTTTATAGTAACAAAAACCTATACCATTTCGTTCAGTGCCTATAGGAGTAAAGAATTAAAGATATTAGAGTCTCCCCGTGACCACGTACGTGAGGGCTGCTGCAAATCATCCAAAAGGTCGGGCCGTAATCAAAATAATTTGGAAAATAAGATTTACTAATACATTTCTTGTTTTAAACCGTTAAAAGTGTTTTATTAAAATATATTAGTATATCGATTTCCAATTACGGCCTGACGTTTCAACTGTTAACATATTTTTTTATTTCTCGTTTTAAACGGTTAAAGTGTTTCTATCGCATAAAGAACTGAAACTCTTCAATCAAATTAATTTTTACAATTAATCGGAGAAGTATAATTTAGAATTAGTGTTCCATAATGCATCACATCGACTCTTATGCCGTTTACGACAAATAAAAGATGTTTAAGTACAGTTTTCAACTTATAGATCTGGTGTGTACCTGAGTGCGACAGCGGCGCTATCTCGTGGCGGAGAATTAGATCTTGCCTCGCAACCGCCGCACGCGCACTACCCTATCGAGAATCGGAAGAGCATACTCGTTAATGGATACCCGGTATTTTATACAATCGTTAACTATTTTAATAAATCAATAAAAAAGGTAAAATTTTCTACATGACTTAGATACAAAGTAACATTTTATTAATTTATCTATTTAAATTGTTTAAACCGAAAGTAAAACGAGTAAAGCTTTACTAGAACTGGTTTGCAAATCAGTCAGAACAGTGTATATTCCAGTAACCGAGTTTTCATTTGTTTTATATAGAATATGCTTAACTTTTTTATTTGAATTTAAATAATTCATCAAAAGGTGATGACGTGTTACGCAGCATCAGCTCCGGAGAGTCCGAGCACAGCGCCGGCTCAGCTCACTAGTGATGTGTTCGACTACCCGACACCAAATAAGTACGTTTTCTCTTTCCCACTATCTCATATAAAGAACAGGGATAAACACTTCCGCTACTATCATCGCCTAAAATATTTAGCAATGCAACAAAACACCAGAATACTATCAAATACATTTACTTCTCACTTATTTGTAAACACACTTCTTCTTTTAAAGTGATGGCACTCCCATGCTACTTTGCCTCACTTAGTCACCAATTCACAAATTCATTGGCTAGCGGAAATCGTCAAAATCGGTTTCCGCATTATTTAGTAACATTAACGTAAGTAAAATTATTGTTTTAAATACAAATCAATTGATTTACTCTTCACGGTGATTTTGATAAACACATAATCCAATAACCCTAACAATTGCTTTGCAGCAACAATGCAATATCAGAGAACACGACGGAGGAAGGCGAAGGTTCACACGCAGCAGCCAGCAGCGGCTCAGACGCGACCAGTCAGTGGGTGACTGACAGCTTTCCTCGACTAGACGGTATACCCAACAAGTATAATATGCCTTCAACCTCTAAGGGATACGAGGAAAATGATCTTATGGACAGGTTAGAATGTTTGCACTTTTAATAATTCATTTATATTATCTGTTTGCTATTACTTAGTACTTTATGTACATTGATAAAAATCGACGATAAGGACAGGACTTGAACCGGCATCAATTGGTCTAACCCATTGAGCTACTGTGTCTCACACGTCATCATCTGAAATTCGTTCAACCCATATTGGGGCTGGTAGAATAACAGCGTTGTGGTTTGGCACCACCACATAAGTTGAGACACGGAGTGCTTAGTGGAATAATATGTTTTAATAAATAAAACACTTTTACCATTAAATACGCGATATATATTAGTTAAACATATTTGAAAATTATTTTAACTACGGCCCGACGTTTCGACTGCCTCGCAGCAGCCGTGGTCACGGGGAGACAAACAGACACCCCTATATTGCGTTTTAACCGTTAAAATGTTTTATATTAATATGTACTACTCGCGTATACTACAAACAGTATTTATGCTTAGTGTTCTCTTGTCTATAATAAAGTGGTTTTCTTTCTTCTTCAAGTGCACTGTCCTATGAACCTTGAGAAATCATTGAAAATGATATTATAGTGTTTAACGTACCATATATCTATCGTATTTCTTCAGGTCTCTAAACTCCAGCGAAAGTTCGTTCAACGCCCTCTCAGTGTCGCAGTACGGTGGCCGGTTCGATTCGGGCATAGACACTGAACGACCTGAAACTGAACCGAGGTCCGCTATGGCAGAGCTGATGACGCGTATGGGCTCTGTGTCTGTCGGCTCTAACTCCAGAGTGGTCAAGTCCGAGATGCGGACGAGTATAGTCAGCATCAGCTCGTCGAGGTAGGATATTTTTTTAATAGGAACTTTTCCCTCTGTCCATAGTGTGTTTTTCCTTACTTGGCGTTTTTGGTAAACGAACACACAATTTATAAAAATAGTGATTTTCTCACAAGGATTCATCTACACTGAAATAATTTGTTACACTGGATTGTATGTTATAGAAGTCCCACTCATGAACGATCGCTGAAAAGCATTACAAACGTCGATTTAAATAATAATGACTTTAAAAAATGTCGTCATTAATGCAATTTTGAATATGAAATACTTAAGTTACTTTGCCTGGAACCCAAACTCCAGGCAAAGTAACTTAAGTATTTCATATCTGTGGTAGAACATTAATATTCCTTGTATTGGTTCCTTGATTGTAGGGTCGAAAGGCGACGGGAAACCAGCAACATGTCACTGAGTACATTGTCAGTGAACAGCGAGACATCCGTTTCTGGAGCGAGTTCTAGCCAAGACGTGAACTCGGAGAACGTAACGGAGAGGAGAGTCAGCCCACCACCACTCAAATTATCCACCGGTGCCATACCTAAGAGCATCAGCTTTGATGCCACTGCTGAGAAGTCGCAGAGGTGAAATGTCCAGCAATATAAAAAAACACGTTTAGCCCCGTTAAAGTATTTATTAATTACGTGTAAATTTTCCAGGAGGCGTATAATTGGTGAAGAAGGTCTAGTGGGTAATCTGGATGAATTGAAGAATAATGTTAAGCGTTCTGGGGGAAATTTATTGCACAAGATCAAAATGTTTCGCCAGAAAGGACGTTCCCATCACAGCGGTGAGTTGATTATGAGGCAATATTGTCTAATGAGAGCCGAACCCGTTTGGTAAAAAATTACAGAGGCATAAAACGGTTGCAAGTTATACATTTTTCGTCTTTTTAGTCTTAATCATTAAAATCAATGATAAATAAAATGTTTTATTACAGCCGATGTCAAAGTGGCCGAGGAGGAGGTGCGAATCGATGAAAGGAGTAGTGAGGGCGCTGGTGAGAGTTCCGAAGAGATTTTGGCGAAATATCGTCGACATCCTGAAAAGAAGCAGCGGCAGACCACGCGCCGACCTTCAGATGTCCCCGATACTGAACTAGACAGGTGAAAATCCTCTGGTTGATATAAAATCCCTTCTTTTTACTAATAATAACTGCTACAACACAATTCTTACGTTTCTACAGCTTTTAAATCCTTTTTAATAATGGACGTGTTTGAAGGTAATAAATACACTCTACATTAAAACCTTCAAGGATTGTTTTTTCATTTTTTTTAAATCTGGATCCAGTAACGCCTGCGACTTCGTACGCGTGGAATAGTAATTTTGGTCATCATTTTATTTATTTTTGCAATAGGGAGCTTTATAAATTACAGCGGTTTATCACGATGTTCGCGTCCTGTGATTCTTGCGAGTTAATCTTATAAGTCACACATACTGTCGCGGATTTTTTTAGATCATTTCGGTCTTTCAGATGTGAAGGTGTGGTCGACCTAAACGAGCCAGAAGTATTCAACAACATGAAGAGGAGGTTACGTATAGTTCTATCGAACACTGACTTCCATAGCGTGGAATACGTACCTAACGTGAGTAAACAATAAATAATCAACAATTATTATGTGTCCTTCGCAGTTCCCAATACTTCTTTCAGGATAAAAGCGAAATTAAAAATTGACTAAGCTCGTTATTTCCTTTAAAAGAACTACAATAAGTTAGCAACACAGAAGAGAACTCAAAGGTTTTCCCATCAAGTGATCAAGATTCGCTACATCGTGACATAATTTAAATAAAACATCCGTGTTTACGGGAGCACGGCGGTGACCACGTCTGCTGCAAGGCATCCGAAACGTCGGGCCATAGTTAAAATAAGTTTAACTAATATATACCACGTTTTAAACCGTTAAAGGTTTTTATTTAAATGTAGACGACTCGCGTAATCTACAGACATTATCGTAACATAGTCTTTAATAATATATCGCGTGTTAATCCGTTTTAGTTTTCTTATTTTGACTTTTATAATTTCATTTACAGCGATGTACAAGCACATCCCTAGCGGAGTGGGTGCGTGCTGGCAACTGTGCGGAGGCAGCAGCAACTGCTCGAGCGCTTTCCGCTGCCGGCGCACGCGCAACACGGCTCGCGGCAGCTCTAAGAGCTGATTTAGCAGCCCGGAGGCCTTACGCAGCATACCTCGCCTCTTGCAGAGCAGCGCTTGCTCACGCGCACCACGACCTGAGAGCGTAATTTGTTTTTACCTAATTGAAACACATAAGTTCTGTTTCGTAAATCGACTGAAATAATATTCAAAGGAAACTGTATTAACGGAATTAATTGTTATTTATGATTCGTTAAGGGCTAGGTTTGATATTATAAAAATGTATTATCTTTCAATTAAAAATCGATTTTAGATTGAAAAACATTTACGTCATGGGCAGTAGTCGAATCATCATCCGCATCGTTCCATGCTGTCGCTCTAACCAATTGAGCTACATTTTATAATCGATTTTAATTTATATAGCGCCATCTCGTGTAATAAAATGTCAAAAATATTAAAGTTCATCGTATCATCTTTACCTAAAACTAACGCACAAATAGAAATTAATTGGGTGGTAATTGCAGACAAATAAAATTGGTCCGAACGGAATGCGCGGAATGTCTACGGTGCGCCAGCGCAGCTCGTGTGTTAGAGCAGTTGGAACGAGGCGCCTCGCTGCGGCGCTTGGCTAAACATCATCACGCACAAACAGCACATCCAATAAATGGTAAGACATTTTATTATTAGAAGCAAATGTTTATTATCTATATTTATCACTAGCTGATCCAGCAAATGTGGTTTTGTTGTTTGAAAGATAAATATTTCGTCCATATAGTGCAGTAATGCCGAGCACCATAAAAAATATCCTTCTAGTTAATCTTAAAACATAGACATATATAAACATATACTGTCACGGACATTTTTTCCCCGATTTCTTTGTACCTAATAGTCACAACGCAATATTATAAAGTCCAAAGCCTTCCTAGATGTGTATCCAACACAAAAATACATTTTCAATTTAGTTTCTAAGAGTAGCGAGGAACTCTTCAGCTTTATAGTATTAGTATAGATTAACAGGTGAAAATGCCCGTAACAAGACAGAAACAAATAAACATTACGAAGAGTTTATCACATTGAATTATAATTAAATTATTGTTTTTTTTTTTTATATCTTTAGTTAGTGAACTAATGGATGAAAAAGCAACACGACTGACAGCTAGTATAAAGGCAATAACGGCAGAAGTCAAATCTGATCCGTCGTGGGAAGGTAAGAAAAGTATTAATTTCTTTCATTAATAATGTATTATAAGTGGGCTTGCAACGAATTTTTCAAATTCTTTTTTTTTCTGAAACATATGGGACTCCGTCTGCATATCTGACTATTAAATGGTAGGACTATTGATAATTCCGTCCGGTTCACGATCCACCGTCCACAGATGAAAAAGCCGTTAAGCTTAATCGCTTTTCGGTTTCAATCTGTAGATTTCCGTATATCCAAGCCAAAATAGGTCGACGGCACATCTTGCTTAGGCGCTATAGGCTGGAGTATATCACCTACCATGAAGTGAACGCTATGCTTGTCTTTCCTTTTCTATAAAAAAAATGTTTAGTAGCTAGATGTTAACAATTGCTACAATACAATACATTAAAACAGGTGCTACAGCAACAGTTCTTGAGAGCGCCGAGGTAACAGTAGAACGCGCCGTCTTCGCCCGGCTTTACTTACAAGTCCTGTTCCCCAATGGAGACGGAGACATAGCGAGAGACCAGTGAGTAAGGCCATAAATTGGCGCACATCTTGACACTCACACATTGCTTTAAGGGCGCCTGCTAAGTCATGGGTTTACTAATCTTATTATTTGACCAGCTGTGCCAGCGACCTCGTCCACGTATAATAGTTATTATGGGCGTCAAAAAATTGTTTTTGTTAACCTTTTCCTCTTTAAAAATAATCACTGTTACGCACGACGTCGTTCGAGTCCCGTCATTCTTACATTTTAATCTTAAAAGATAGACATATACTGTCGCGGACGTTTTTGTAGATCATTTAAAGAATAATCATTTTTTCGTACAATTTTTTTTTTCGTATGGAGATGAATAATTTTCCCCGTTTATTCCACATTTCCCACGGTTCTATTGGTCGCAGCGAGATACCTTAAAGCTTTCCTCGATAAATTATCTAACACAAAAAAAAATCAATTTAAACTAGTAGTTCCTGATAAGCGCGTTTAAACAAACGAAAATACTCTTCAGCTTTATAATATTAGCTATAGATATATATATATAAAGCTGAAAAGCTTAAGGAAATATATATATATAATCTTATTGCGTATTTCAGAGTTCTAAGTGAGCATATGCGGCGCTTGTCTGCATGCACGAACGCAGTACGTGCGGGTGTCTCTACTCGCCACCTCTGGGCTGCTCCCTTTCCACACGCCCAACTGTTGCTGCGACATCTTCCCGTCTATCGTACGCCACGTGATAAGGTTAGTATTACTTTTTCATTTTCTTGATCATTATATTTAATCTATCTTCAGTGCTCATCTGGTTTCAACTAATTACTCAATTAAGTGTCTTGGGTCCCAGACAGAGAGTTTAAGTTTTACAAATGTGTACCATTTTTATTGTTTCTTTGCTTTTCAATAAAACACTAACTGAAGTTAATATAATTTGAACTATGATCACACGTTGAGTTTCCACACTCTTTAAAAAGAGGGTAGTTTTTAAGTTCCTCAACATTTATTAGCAATCTTCAGGAATAAAAGATGGTTTTTACTGACAACAGGTGTCGTGTATAATGCGTGTGGTGTCATCTCTTATGTCAGTTCTGTCGCTCACTGACGGATCACCACCGGCCGCAGACGATCTTACACCAGTCCTAGTACTAGTAATACTCAAGGTATGTTTAAATATTCGTATTTTGTCTAGATTATTCATTATTAACTTCGGCATTAACTTTTCCTATTCCGTCTGAGAGAAGCTCTTCCTAATGAATCGTGCATTTTATTTTGTCAATAATCATCTTTTTCTTACGTTTTTATATTTACTTGCACCTGTAACGAGCATAGATATGTCGAAGACAGTCGTGAATACGGACACTAAACGTGTCGGTTCCTCCCCCGACACTTTAAAGCGAACTCGAGTAAATTAAGAAAAAACACCCAAGGGATGCGGAACGTCAAGTATCACTTGTGACGATATAGCGGTATTGACGTTCAAAAAACTGTCATTGACAAATTTTTATTTTGTGATGACCTTGGGGTAGCGATTTCTACTGTTTCACTCGGTAGTCGAGTTCATAGCGTTTAAAGTTACTGCCGTTGTGTATATGTATGCCGAACTAACTGCGTTTCCAAAAGTGATCCGCTCAGTCGATTGGATTGATTCATCGTTGCGTGTTTTATGTTAATTCGGACTATTAAACGAGTCTTTTATTCTAAAAAATGTCTATTTTGACTATCCCACCAGGCTATCCGCGACAAGCCTTCATTAGACATATTTGTCATTTCACAGTGCCAAAATTTAAGATCTCGCCCATATCAATAATACCTCCACACTAATATTGTCCAGGTTAATCCACCATCCCTCCTCTCAACCATCGAGCTGGTGAATGCGCTGGGCGGCACCATCCTGACCGGCGAAGCTTTGTACTGGTGGACGCAGTTCTGCTCAGCTGTGGCCTACATTAAGACTATGGACTACGTTGGGAACAATTCGAGCACATAGCCACGACCGGCGCCGCTCACTGTGAGTTAAAAGTGAATGATATTATTTATCGGGTTTTTTGTTATAGAAAGTTGCTTATAGTATGGGGGCCTTGCGTAGTTTGTGGTGGTACTTGATTACTAGAAGCTGGAACTTCCTTCTACCTTCGTTTGATTGAGACTCCTAATTGTGTGTGACATTTCTGAAACGGCAAAGCAGATCTTTTTTAATAATAGAGGAGTACAGTCAAGCACGGGGTTCACTTGATGATAGGCATATACCCCAGCTTAAAGCATCTAAACAAGATGCGCTGTCGGCCTATTTGGGCTCAAGATATTAAAAATGCACGTGGTTCGTGACCCGGACGGAATTTCTATATTACTACCTATTTAATATCCAGATTGCCAGACAGATTAGAAACATGTTAGACCTGTATTGTATATATGTATAGTTGGGAGTTGTATTGTACACTTAACGACTACTTGACTCCATTGTTATTATTTTTTTAATCCTAAATATTATAACTTTACCTAAACTCTATCGGTATATTGAGGCAAAGTAATTGTAATAGGTAAAATGGCAACACCTGAGTTTTTTTTTTTTTTCAGAGGTCAGCGCGCCCAAAATTCTTATTGGATGGTGTCTCGAAACGCGAGCGCCGAAACACATTATAAATTAACTAGCACTAATTCCAATTAACAAGGTTTTGTATATTATGTAAAGTAGCGATGTATAAGTTTCAATTTGTGATTCGCTATCTTAGTGGCTATTGCCATGGCCACTTTTGCACAATAATTAGCTTAAATACTGTCTATAGATTTCGTGAGTTCACTTTTAAATAAAACACAAACGGTTTGAACTCGAAATATATTAGTTAAACAAATTAGCCGTGTCTTCCCGTGACCACGGCTGCTGCAAACGTTTCAACGTTTCAAAACATGTTTCGTGTTTTAAACCGTTAAAATGTTTTCTTTAAATAATTATCATCTCTTTTATTACGATAGAATATCTTCTTGTGAATCATCTCTTTTTTAGTTCTAAGGTTAAACACATTCTTCAATATAGAGTGGGCAAATTGAATCCTTAAAACGAAAACTTTTGATGTTTACAATAGTTGTCGCACTAACTTCGACACCAAAATAGACTTTTTAAAACTTTAAATCTTTTCTAATACAGTATGCAAAAAAGGCAAAATGTTTGCGTGCAAGCAAGCATTTTGTGTTAAAACAACGTGGCAAAGACTTTTCTTGTTGCCTTGTATATAGTCTAATTAATACCAATAATATTGCGTTAATATAAAAATGCTTCCATATGTCGTTGGTAATAAGTGTACAAATTGTCTTAATGCGTACGAAAATTTGTTTTTTTATTATTAAAATGTGATTGAAAATCGAAATAATAACAGGACAATTCAAACAAAATGCCGCCTCAAACATAGTTGAGCGGCGGTTAAATCGATGGTTAGGAGGATCTGAAGCAGCTTTCACCTAGTTCTACGGGAGAACATTCTGTGTAAGGTGACCAATAAAGTTGACAAAAAATTTGTGCATTGTAATTTTCACGAATTACTAATTGGTTTACGTTTCTTGAGCGAAGAAAGGGACTTGGTCGATTCCGCGCCGCCGGTAGCACTACTAGCGACGCCAATACCAAGATGGCCGCAGGCTTTGGATATCCAAACGATACGGAGTCCATACGATGTCTACTGACGTATTAATAAATCTGTGATGCGCGATAGTGGTAAATTATTTTTGGAAATTATGCATATTCTCACGGCTAAGAACGTATTCTTGTTACGATATATCTATATTCTTACAAAAGTAGATTATAGTAAGCTTCTCTATAAATAGATCAAAATATAGGTAACATATTTTTCTTGTATCCTATAAGTAATTATATTGTGTAAGGAATTTATAGGCCCAAGAACTGGAAGGCAATTTATGCAGGTACCAGAAAACAATTTGATCTGAGTAACAACGCTTGCAAAAACGAACTTTAATTTTTTTGTACATAATGACAGGCAATTTTACCTTTAGATAACGCACTTTAAAAATTTAAAATTTATTAATCGCCCTACAGAAATAACCTTTCAGATCTTGCAATAAATATAATGTTTCGTAAATGTTGTAATCTCATAAAATAATTAAACTGTTAAATCGTCTCGAATTGCAACGAAAATGGTTCTAAGATTTGTAAGGAACTTTATGTTGGATCAGAATTTCTTTGAACATTTTTTGAAGCACTAGTTTATTTTGCACCTAATATCTATAACAAGTCCAGTCAATTTATTAAGCATTTGGTTTAGCTGTGTGTCCGGGAAAAAAAGTTTAGAATTGTAGTTGTCAAGGACTCATCTTAAGTATTTACTCTTTGGCGAATAGTAAAGCCTAATTGACTCAGAATATATAAAAACTGAATGGAATATACATTTATTTATTTTATTGTCATAATCATTTGAATTTTATAATGGGTAGCCCTATGGTTTTGTTAAATGCTTAGTTATTTTATAAATTATGTATAATGTAAAGACGTGCCTTTTATTTATATTAATATAATTATTTATAAGTGTAATATTGTAAATTCATATTTTTTGTACCTTAAAAGCTACTAAGTGTTATGTACTTGTATTTTTCATATTTATTTTTGTGGAATGTAATTTACATGGTAAGGTAACGCAAGTGTTTTATAAACGAAATTGAATACAATATAAATAAATGCGATAAAGTTAGGACGTGTAATCTCCAACAAATTTATTATATAGATAAACCATTAGATTTTCATTCATAAATCACAAGTCACCAATGTCGACCTGCATCATAATATTAACGTATCTTGCCTAGAATCGAAATTGTATAGAAATTATCAGCTACTGTAGTATCGCATGTAATCGTGTATTTAGAAATAAATTAACATAATTATAAGCTATACTTTTATTTAAATGGAAGGGTACCTCTTGTTGACCTAAGCCACAATTTTATTTTTGTTTCCTATAGAAAAGTTCTCCCCAAAACAGTTGGATTCTATAATTATTATCTCTAGCTGTGTAATAAAAAACTATTGCACAATTCAAACTCTCACAAAGAGAGAAGCACGAAATGAAGTAATGATAACATAAAATTTGAAAGTGAATAAAAACATCAAATGGGTCGTACACAGTTTTATTGCATACTTGATTTTAACACTTTAAAAAATTTACACTTATGAGCGACGCTGCACTGAAACAAAAAAAGAACATTGTTTTACTTTCATCATAATATTATAGAACAATAATAACATACATTAGTTAATCAGAAATATTTAACGTCATGGCATTCAGTAGTAGCAAATAATGTAATAACATCACAATACTAAATTTATAAAAAGATAGTTGTATTTTGGGTCAAACATATAATAAATAGGTGGGAAATACTTTGAGTTAATAATTACTACAAGAAAAATGGTTCAAAAAAATTCACTTTATAGTAAAACTTTCTGGACAAGAAAGGGAATATTTAAGTAGTTATTTGTCTGAATTTTACTTGAGTTGAACTCATGTAAATAAAACACTGAATGGTTTATAATGCAACATATATAGGGAACCAGTCCCCTGTGGATAATGGCTGCTGCAGAGCAAATAAATAGTAAATAATTTACATCGTATTATTCGCGTTTTATACCGCTAAGTGTTTTAAATTAAAAGTAAGTCACTAGGTAAATTTAACACTTCTAGATTTAGTTTAGTTTCAAAGATGGATTAAAAAATACCCAAAACACATACTTTGCTTACATATTCACTCTTAATGTACAACACTAACGGATAAGTTGCCTCAAATTTAAAGCTATTATTAATAGTTTTTTATTTGTAATACCTTATCACAATGTATGACCTATGACCGGGGCCTCTCTTTCTTCTCCTTGTACAGAGCAAGCAATGACACGTTCGCGACCTTCACCACCTGCAAACAGATAATTTGTTACAAATAAAACATAAACAAACATGTCCAGATGAAAAGCCACTTTCTCAGTCTGTGCGATGCATCATGACATTCAGAGTAGCAAATACTCCAAAATTAAGGGCAAATCATCATCAACAAAACCAAGAATAACAGGAAAAAGAAGGCTTCTAAAATAAACTTTTACAATAAATAAAATAGAATAAATGCAGTGTTTGTAAAATTTGTTCTTGTTACCAGAAGGTAACAAATTCAACAACTGGCACATTATTTCTATTAAATAGATGTGTTGTTACATATTTTCATGCCAATTTTCCAATCTAAAAAAATATTCAGTTTCTTTTTATAATGTGATTTGAGTTGGTAATAAATGCATAATAGAAATGATAGAAATAATTCCTTATCACAGAATATAATCAAAATTTACCTTAAACCGAACTCCAGGAATGTCACCAACGGCGTGACCTTTACGACCGAATCCCGCCACTAATACTTCGTCGTTTTCTTCAATGTGGTTAAGACAACCGTCTCTCGGTACGAAGGCGGTAACTTTTTTGCCGTTTTTGATCAATTGTACTCTTACACACTTGCGGATGGCAGAATTCGGTTGTTTGGCTTCTACACCACTGTAAAAATAGTTTTCTGTTGCTTATTTTAAAATAAACAACGCTGGCCAATAAATTCATATTACCATACCAAATTAGAAAATTATTATCGTCGACAATTAAAATGGGGGGGGGGGAACTGAATTTGTACATTATTATTCTCAAAACAATTATTGAAAACACTTAAAAGAAACTGCTGACTAGAAATTAGAGATAGTCGACGCATACACAAACAAAACAGTTATTGATCAATGAATATTCAAACCGTAAACAGCTCCAAAAGGTCATTGAACCACGTGCTATCTTCGCCGACACTTCAGATGCCACCTCTCGCAGTATTATCCTGTGATTGTAGTAACAACACATTCACAGGAATAATACCACGCGCGGGAACATCACTTCCATGGATCTTCATAACACTATCACTGAACACTTCGCGATACTCACACTTTCTCCAGGACGATGCCCTTAGCGTGTGATGCTCCTCCGAAAGGGTTTGCCTTCCACCTCGTACCCATGTGGGCCTTTTTGAACTCCTTGTCCGCCCATCGTTGCTCACGACGATGGTTCACGTGCTTACGCGCCGTGCGTATACCACGGGGTTTACCTGCAACACGAAATCACCGGTTCTAACCACTGACCCGAGTACCACAAAAATAAACACCCGACACTTCGAGGACGGTCCCGCACTCAGAGAATACATTATTGTACCTCAAAATTGACGGCGGTTTAACTAGATGAAAAAGGATTCAAGACGGGTCCACGAGAAAAACATGTCTGCGCCATGGCCGACACCTATGCATGATATTTAAAAAAACTATTCTCTCTCGTCAAATAGAAAACTAAGAAATTATCACTTCTACTTAATTAAACTGAACTACGCACTTTTCAACACAACTAACAACAAAATTTTAAAAGAAACTACAGAAAATTGGCGCAAAACCACCGCTTACCCATTTGGATAGCGTGACACCAATCGGGTACCGACGGGAAAAGAAATAAAAATTTGCCAACCGCAACGCAACTATAGGATCATAGCTGCCAACTAAAAGAAAAATAATGTTACTTGCCACCCTAAAAAATATAATAGCTAATATTAACCTTGCGATAGTAATATATGTTGGTTTTTTATATACAAATACAAAATAACTTAATTTAAACATAATAAAATATATATTTTTTAATTTAAAAAATATATTTCTAATCATTTCACTTTATTAGTGTCAAATCGCCTTTAACTTGACACTGGCAAATAGTTAGTTCTTCTTGCCACAAATGAAAAAAAAACAAAACTCATAAGTCATAATATAAAACCAAACTTTAGGAAAGCAATTATTGTGAATTTGTGACAATAAACGGTATTAATTATCAACGGAACCCTTAAACTTGCATTAACATTAAGAAATAAGGAATATGACACTTAATCTTGGAAGAAAAGACGGTGGACCCGGCTACGTCGGTATACAATTTTGCCAAGAATGCAATAACATGCTTTACCCGCGCGAAGATAAAAACAACAAAGTTTTGCTTTACGCGTGTAGAAATTGTGATTACAAGCAGCTAGCCGACTCAAACTGCGTGTACGTAAACAAAATTATGCACGAAGTCGACGAATTAACACATATAAACCCAGATGTAGTAAGCGACCCTACCTTACCCAGAACTAAGGATCATATGTGCCCAAAATGTAATCATCGTGAAGCAGTCTTCTTCCAGGGCCAGACACGACGTGCAGAAGAGGAAATGAGACTGTACTATGTATGTACAAGCTGTAAACATAGATGGACAGAATGATGTTTAACTGGGTATACTTTATTTATTAAGCGAATTAAAGATATGTTAATTATATGGTTTTGGCCTTTTATTTAGGAAATTTATTGAAATATCCAGTTATTAGCTCAATTTAGGATTTAAAAGAAATAAACAAAGTTTCAAATAATGTTTTATTTAACTTAAAATATTGCCAAGCATTTTAGTGTATAAGTTAACAATTCACAGCCATTAATTTCATATACTGAATTAAATTAAGAAAAATCAGTCGCAGCTACATATCACCTCTGTTTAATAATTCCATATGGTCTATCAGGCATAAAGTAGGTAGAAGCATTTTTGGAAGATACCAATTATTTTATCAAGTTATCAGCAAATTATTACAATGCAGCAATAAACACAAATAATATTGAACAGTGCTGCAAGATATATTATATATATATATATGTACTAAGCTCATGTACTACCTAATAGCAATTCAGTTTCACACAGATTGTAAATCTTATTACATTAAATAATTATTATAAAAGCTACATAAATTAAACAACATACACTATTTAGGTACTCTGGACATAAACAACAATTATTATTAATAATTCTCTCATTATACAGGCCTTTTTCTTATGTAAGCTTCTAATATCTAGGCAACATATTAAGTCTAATGCTAATTTTTCTTACACTATACGAGTTTGGAGGCAAAATAAACAAGTATACTTAAATAGTATTAAAATGTAACAAAGAGTACCGAGACATCATCTTACAAATTATTGTTACTATTCTGCTTGACTGCTAGACTAATAAAAGGCATTTGATCTAAATAGTTCTATACACTTGGATTTCTACTATATAAATTTTTTCTTCCTTTTTTTATAGCCAACAATACATTTATAGCAAAGAGCACGGTCAAATTGTTTTGGAAATATTTCTATATTCAGCAGTAGTGATTTTTGATAGATTAACAATTTTGAACCGGTTCTTTTTTCTTTTTATCAAAGAGGTACTATTTATAATTTAAGATGCTGTAACTAACGAGGCAAAATATATATACTTTACTTTCTGCACACATTGAATGTCTTTCCATATTAGAAACCAAAAGAATTTGTTTCAAAAACATATTGAGACCGTCACAAACCACTATGACAATAGCAGAAATATCTCTAAGCAGTTTGAATAGTACTTTTATTCATATCTTTTTTCATTAATATTTTTATTCATATTACTCTACTAACTATTCATAGCTAATTCTAATTAACAACATTTAGGTAAATACTGGAAACAAATCTACATCTAGGGGAGACAATATTTAACAAGTGTACATACAAATATCAACCTTGAAGGAAGACGTATCTGGTGAAGGGAAGAGCATAGGATTTAATATTCTATTAATATAGAAATAAGCTGCATAGCTCGTTTACTATCAGTGAGAGGAAAATATCTATAAAGCAGGAATGAAAATACTTATACTCATTTTTATTCTTTGTAATGAAACTCAAGTGACAAGCGTTTTTATAGTTAAATAAAGCTACTAACAGTAAAAAAATGATGTGGGTAATTTTTATAAGCGAACAAAATTGTATTTTTCTTTATGTTAAAGAGAACCACTACAAAGAATAATGTTAAAGAGTTTACACTGAATTTTTAATGTTTAAGTATGTTTTGTGTAATATTTTAAGTCATTTTTTATGATACAGAAGAACAGACAAGCACAGACAACTTGATGGAAGGTGAAATAACCCAGCCATATAACATCTTACAAGATGTGCTATCGACCTAATTTAGGCTTTGGATAATGTGGTATAAAAGCATTTTGTTTTTAACAACAATGAAATAATGGCATAGACTAGAACATAGAAGAAATTTTGTTCATTATTAATTGTACTTTTTTCTCTTTTCTTTGAATATGTAAGAAGAGGACACATAACTCCTCACAAGTCGTCGCCATTCACATACTTACTAGACAACACTAAACTAAACTTTATAAAATATCGACAATTATAAATTTCGCTTCCCATTTGAATGACGTAATAATTGGCTTAACATTAGATATACTCGTTGTTTATTAAAAATGTGCGTAAAATTATCGCTTTACAAGCTAAAACTGTTATCAAATGTAAGCTCAGGCGAAACAACCATTTTTATATTATAATAATGTCAAACCAAACTCCATTATAATCTTTACTATTTCTCTAGCAATAATTTTTAGTCTAATCAAAGAATATTTTTTAGTGTAATGTGGGTAGTGTTTCAATTGTTGTACCCTCTTATTCAGACGTTATTTCTATGAAGCGAATTTTAATTAAATAACATCATTTTGAAGTCTTAGCAGCAAGACATGCACTAATAAAGTGATAGTCTATATAATTATTTAAGAAGCGTCTACATAACCTTATCAAGTCGATACCGGGCTCAAAGCCTATTTAATATGTCGATCAGACAATCGGACGAAACGTGATAAGATTTCGTAAAATCTTGGTGTTAGATCTGCAGATCTGACGACTTAAAACTGGTATGATATTGTAAAAAAAAATAGTTAAGTGAATTGTAAAATTAAATGGCAACAGAGAATTACATATTATAATTAATAATATGATACTTTTCCTACTTGAAATTATCATTTTATTGTTACAAATATATGTCAAACAATCCAATTATTCGCATTACCTTGCTATCGTTCTACACCCATGCATTTATTGAAGAAGTTCATTCGATTTACGAGGAGCAGAAAATACCGTGGGTAATTTTTGAAAAACTGTCTTTAAAGTTGTCTGTAGTTTACGCGAGTTGTACACATTAAAATAAAACAACGGTTTAAAACGGTATATGAATTATTAAATTTATTAAAGTTTTTTTAATTATATTTACCAGTGACCATGGCTACTACAAAGCATCCGTAACGTCAGGCCGTAGTTAAAACGATTAGTAAACAAGTTTAACTAATATATTTCGCGTTTTAAACCGTTAAAGTGTTTTATTTCCGTAAAACTGACTTTGTTTATTTTCTAAACAACATTTCACCATACCATTTTCGACGGAATTTTCACCACGGAGTGCACGTTAAATGCACTTTTAAATTTTTCCAGGAAAATTACTGTTACAACTACGACAATGCCGTACATTATTCAATCCCCTTTTATTTCATTAAAATTAGCCTTAGTTACCATCTTATCTATTCATTGTGGCATCGATCCTCAGTCGTCTGCCACGTATAGAGAACCTTCGTCACTGTTCCGGAGGTAACTCGGGCGTGTTGTCGGGCAGCGGAGGCAGCACGTTTGTCTCGAATCTCCCCGAAATGTTCCCCGGGGGGGAGTAGTTAGCTACGACTATCACTTTACCAGCTCTAGAACGGGCTTTGCCCACTCCGAAGTAGCGCGTTGACACCCAGACCATTTGTGTGAAGTGACCTAGAGAATGCATCATATTTGGAACATATAATAAAACTAGCTGTCTCAGCGAGTTCGTCCGCGTAGGAGAGTTATTTTGGGCATCAAAATTTGTTTTTGAAAACCCCCTTTTTAACTCTATTAATTTAAGCTGTTACCCACAGCATCGTCCGCGTCCCGTCGTTCTTGCAAAATAATGTCAAAGATAGACATATCCTACTCGTGGACATATTATAACATTAACATCATTTAAAAAGGAATCATTCTTTCATACATATTTTTTGGGTATCTTGAATAAATTTCTCAGCGTACGCAACGGACACACAATGATGAATAATTGTCCCCTTTTTTTCCACTTTTTCCTCTTATATATTAAAGTTATAGTTTAGAGCCTTCGTCGTTAAGTTCTCTAACCAACACAACAAGTATTTTTCAATTTGAACCAGTAGTTCCTGAGATTTGCGTGTTCAAACAAACAAACTGTTCAGCTATATATATTAGTATAGATAGATGGAACTTCTATGAAGTTAACAAGCGATTAATTGATTAAGAGCATAGCATATTAACCAACCTGCATTAACATTAGCGTGGAGAACATCTGATTCTTTGAAGAAATTGTACTGACGCACGGCCGCGTACCAATAGGACGATACTTCTTGCCCTGTAAAGAATACGGCTATTGTATCAACATCAACATATTCGATATCAGAGAAAAGTATGCAATCCTACTACATATGGTTTAAGACATTTATTTACGCAAGAAATACATTTTCACTTAAGCGTAAACACAATATTATACGTTACATAATATTATATGCGAGTAGGTACGAATTTACAAATATAGTTTGGTTTGAAATGGTTCTCTGTTAGCTGTAAATCTGCTTTTTAATACGTTAATAAATAAATAATAGATACTGGATTATAAGATGGTGCAACCTTGTGGCATATTGTATTTTTTTTTCTTTATTTAATCTTTTTTATGTTGTTAACAATATAATGTTTTAAATTAGTTTTAAATAGTTTGTATGATTTAATTTCTTTAATAGTTTTGGGTAAGTGATTATAGATTTTAGCGCCATCATACAGAATGTTATTTTTACCATAGTTAGTGCGTGGCTTGTATAGATTTAAGTCATTAGCGTTTCTTAGTTGAATTTTTTGAATTTGTTGATTTTTATGAAATTTTATTTGTGTTGAGATGGCTCCATTTAGAATTTTGCGTACAAGTATAGAAGTAGTATAAATATAGGTCTGATTGATAGTCATAAGTCGAGTCTCATTATAAATCGTATCAGTAGAAGTTAAATAATCGTAATGGAATAGTCTTTTTATCAGTTTATTTTGAGAAATTTGTAATGATTTAAGATTTGTTTTCGCAGCCGTGCCCCAGACCTCAATTAGATAATCAATATGAGGTCTTATTAGTGAATTATAGATAAGATATCGCACTTGGATTGGTAAACAGCGAACTATGCCTTTCAAAGCTCCAGTCAGAGATCTAAGCTTACTTCTAATTTTGTCTATGTGTAGGTTCCAGGTCATAGCACTGTCTAGGATTAAACCAAGGTATTTTTCACTATCCACTTTTCTAAGAGCTTTATTATCAATCGTCAATGGTGTAAAATTTGGAATTTTTTTGTTTTTAGGAGCAAAAATAATGTAATTAGTTTTCGTAATATTTATAGTTAATAAGTTGGAATGGAACCACCGGCTTAAATTATTTAAATCCTCTTGTGCATCTCTAACTATGGACTCTATGGTCTCGCCAAAATAAAAAATACTTGTATCATCGGCATAAAGGGAAATGTCACCTTTTAAACCTATGTCTTTGATACTGTTTATATAAACCAAAAATAACAAAGGTCCCAAAATGGAGCCTTGTGGCACACCGTAAGTCAAATTTGCAGTACTACTTTGTGCATCACCTATTTTTACTATTTGTTTCCGATTTGTAAGGTAAGTTTTGAAAATTTTAAGAGCAACACCTTCTAAGCCTAGTTGTGATAGTTTATTTATGAGAATTTTGTGACTCACAGTATCAAAGGCTTTTTTTAGATCTATGAATACGCCAATAGCTACTTTTTTACGATCTATGGATACTTTTAAATTCGTTATAATATCAATAGTAGCCGATAGAGTACTACATTTTGATCTAAAACCATATTGTTTTTCATAAATAAATTTTTTTGAATCTAAGAATTTAAGTAGGCGCGTATAAAGTATTCTTTCGAAAATTTTTGAAATTACTGGTAGGACCGAAATAGGGCGATAATTACCAGGATCTGCTTTATTACCAGACTTATAGATAGGTGTGACTTTAGCAATTTTTAACGAGTCAGGAAATATTCCTATCTCAAGGCAGCGATTTATGCAGGACGTAAGCTCAGGAGTGATTATATTTTTTAAGCATTTTAAAGCTTTAGTACTAATACCATCGATACCAGCACTAGTATTTGAACATAAATTCCCAATTATTGTTCCAACCTCCGCATTATCTGTTGGTTCTAGATTGTTTATAGTTTTATTTGCAGACCCAGTTGCACCATCTGATATGTTAGTATAATTACGAGTATTATTTATTTGTTCAGCCAGGACAGAACCAATCGTTGAGAAATACTGATTAAAAACTTCGCATATAGCACTAGGATCAGTAACAAAGCTGTTTTGACTAAAGTTTTCAAGTTGGATAGGAATTTGAGTCTCTGGAACTCTATTGTTTGAGAGATTGTTTATGAGCCTCCACATCTTTGCTGGTTTGGCCCGGGATTCATTAAAGGATTTCATGTAGTATTCTGTTTTTATATTCTGTATTTTAAGAGTTACTTCATTTCTTTTTTTAATAAAGATTTCCTCACATTTTTTGTCATTTGGTTTACTTTTATGTTCTTTCCATAGCATATTTCTTTCATTTATGTAGTTTATAATATCTTTATTTATCCAATTCTGTCGCGGGGGATTTAGAATTTTTGTTTTAATTATTTTACTATCCTTTATAGTTTCTAATAGCTTTTTCTCTAATTGGTCATAATTAATAATTTCTTTACTTGTATTAGTTTCTTTCATGTTGTTATATAATTGTGTGTAGTCTATTGATTCATATTTTATTCTTTTGTGATATTTCGCACGTTTGTATTGATTTGCTTCAAGATATAATTGTTTGTGATCGGACATTGGGTAGTCAATAAGAGCCAGATGGTATTCATTTCCTTTTATATTAGTACAAACATGGTCTATTATACTATTTGTTGATTTCGTTTCTCTTGTGGAATATTTTTTGTCTATTTTATTTAAAATTGTAAAAGCATTTTCTTCAAGAACCTCATTATATTTAGTAGTTGTTTGGTTTTCATTAAGTAAATTTATATTAAAATCACCAAAGATAATTGCTCTATTCATTTTATTAATTATACCCGAGTAAACATTAAGAAATTGATCAACATTAGCTGTATCTGGCTTTCTATATACTGCGCCTATGTCCAGTGAGAAGTTCTCAATACGAATCCACAAGAAATGATTATCTTGATCGCATTTGCTCTCAATGAGGCTGTGTGATAAGGTATGATGAACATATATAGAGACTCCACCACCTTTCTTCTTGGGTCTAAAGTTGAAGTAATGAAAGTATCCTGAAATATTGAGTCTATTACCCTGGTCTTCATCTTTGATCCAAGTTTCTGTAAGAATTAAAACGTGGACTGGGTAGGAGAATGAATTTAGAGCACATTTCAATTCGTCCAGCTTTCCTGTTACATTAAGGCTTCTTATATTCGTGTATAAAAATTTTAGTGACTTTTTACCCATTACTTTAATATTTTCGTATTTATAAACTATTTCATGACTTATAATTCTTTCATTACCTCTTCTTTGTTTTTCATTTGCCCCCACATTTATTAGTTTTTTGAATTCTGTCTTATTATTTTTGGTATTCCCTTTATATATTTTATTATGAGATCCTTTTCACCTTCTTCTGTACGCCTATTAAGCTCAGCTTTTAGATTTTTCTTAAAATCTTGCTGCATTTGAGTTTGATCCGAGTATATTTGTATTGTAGTTGTTTTGGAGTTATTCTTATTGCGTAGGAGTTGTCTTACGGAATCGTTTCTTTCATAAAATGCTTTAATGGGTCTTGTCTTCTCTGGATAGAATTTGCCAAGTCTTATAACTTTTACGGGTTTCGGACAGTTCATATCTATATCTGTTGTTATTCGTAGGACTTCTTCATTGTCTGCTTTCTTCCTATCTTCCGATTGATCATGATGTTGTTCAGGAATTCCTACTATAAACAGGTTTTTACTTCTATCCTCTCTTTCTTGAATTTCAACTAAAATAGATTCCGTATTTATAGAAACCTGTTCTCTTTTTGCGTTTAGTTGATCGATATTAGATTCTATGTTCGAAATTCGTTTATCAGTTTCACTATTTTTGTTTTTTAGCTCTACGACATCAGATTGTAATAAAAGTTGCTTCTCTGCCAATGTTTTAGTTACATTCTTAATGTTAGATTATTCATTTTTTATAGTTTGTACATCTTCAGTTATTTTGTTAATGAATTCCTTATTATTTTCAGTTTGCAGTGCCTTCATTTCCATTAAACGTGATAATTGATTTTTGATTTCTCCTAGTTCCTCTCTAATTTCACTCTCACTATCACATTGTTTTCGTTTATTTCGCATTGTGATTCGAAAAGATTCTAAGTCTGAAAACTCCGTCATAGAGTCGGAAGCACTCTTCAAGTTTGGATTCGAACCACTGAGGCCACGGCCGGGTACACTTCCAGTAGGTGAGCGTAACATAATTCTGGATAACGCAACAGTACTCTCTTTATATGGCGTTCCGTATCAGAACAAACTTCGTATCACAAATCTATTTTACGTTATGATATATTTTTCTTTTTTTTTATGTATACATATATGTTTTTAAGATATATTTATTTATTGTAGAATGCTGGTCTCATAATATAATAATAATAAAAAAAAAAAACTTTTTGATTGAGTGGTTTGGAACTCGGTTTCACTGAATCTTACAATCACAGGCAGCTCCTTAAACAAACTGCTATCTTGTTATATTTTCATTACAACCAATCTTTAGTACTAGTACTTCGTAGTGTAAGAATGTGTCGAAACGAATTGTCGTACGCTAATTTCGTTTACACTATAATTAATCACGTCTGCATACAAATTCAATAATTTAGTTTGACGCATCACCAAAAACCACTTCGACGGTATCCTAAGTTCATAATTCAACAAAGTTCACTAAGTCCTTTACTTTCAACCGAACTTGATTACGCCACTTTCACTTCTTTTTATTGTATTGTATTTAATTTTGCAAACTTTCACTATAACTCACTTTAATATTAGTCTATCTTCGTATTGTCTTAGTATTACCACTTTATATTTGTTTTTTCTATTTTTAAAACAATATTTTTACGCAGCTTATGTTCGCATGTCAAGCGCCTACCCGCAAACATCTTATAAAAATGCGTTGTCGATCTATTTAGGCTTTGGACATTCGCTAAACAACGGACTGAAGCAAAAACTTATATTTGAATGAAAGAAAAAATAGATAAATGGAGGAGTTTTGCATATTTTTACGACGTCTCGCTCATTAAAATTTACAACGGTGTAAGGCATTATAAACTTTAACTAAGTAAAGAATATTATTACCAACAGACTAACACAGTGGACCTGTAAATGTATGAAATAAAAGATACACACGTTATCGATATCGATGTTACTGTTATAAATATTGACCTGAGTTTTTTGTTGTTACACAAGTGTGTATTTTTTTTAGACTTAACTCGCCTTATTAAAAAAAAACACAAACCAGAACTGCGGAGTCTCGGTTTAACTCTAAAACCATGGTCTAAATGAACCTAAGTTAGAACCATAGTTTGTCCAGTACAAACTTTTAACTTCTTTTTGTAATAAGGATTTCAAATAAACCAGGGTTTAAACCAGGTTTGATGTACTAAGAGTTGAGCTTTCAAATGCATATTTTCTATGATACATCAAACTGGAATTACTTTTAATTACCTGTTATATCTGGTTGTATCGCGCTTACAGGCCTTTGGTACAGATTTTGACCGACGTCCCGATCATTCCTGTAGTGAAACTTATTGGTGTGAGCGAGATGGTTTGCCCAAGCCTGAGCGTAGTCGCACAACTGAAATGTAAACACTGAACAATGAATAAACATAATTTCGTCGTAGCCAGCCGATGTGTATCAACGTGTTTTTGCTACGTCGAAATAAGACGAGCCCTAGAATTTATAACAGTCTCATCGTCCTAAGTCAAGGCGAAAAGAGAAGTCTTATAAACTTTGAGCAATTTAAGAGTTTAAATAAAACACTTTTTAACGGTTTAAAAAGCCGAATATCTCTCGCTTACACTTTGTAAAAGCCGTGATCATGTGAGGACTGTAAATGGCGGGTGTCCCTAATGTGATAGTCCAAGCTTCAACACTAGCGCCATCTGTTTCTTTGTAACGTATTTCGTGTTTTAAACCATAAAAATATATTTGATTTAAATGTGAACTAAAATCTACACTGACGCAGATTCTATACTTTAGCTCAGTTGGTACAGCAATAGCACGGAGCGCTGTGGTTTGAGTCGCCGCTATTTGTTATATATAAAGCTTTTATATGCAATAACACGCGCTAAATAATTATTCACTCAACTCTATAAATAGTTTAAAATCGTACTCGTCAAAAGCCGCATAGGGCATGAAGTTCGGAAACAGCACAGATAGGCGTTCACCTCTATAAAACTTTCTTTAATACCTCGTTAGTGGAGGCGTTCTACTCATTACGTGACTTCAAAGTTCAGAACACATAATAACGAGCGGCCTTTTCATACCTGTAAAATCGCGTAGGCTGATAGGCAGTTCAGTGTGAAAATTTAATGACTGTCTTGGTCTATTTCGATAGTCAAAGAGAAGTCACAAAATATCTCTTACTAGCTGTACCCGCGACGTCGTCCTCGTAAAATAGTTATTTTTGGCAACAAAATTTTGTTTTGTAAACCTCCTCCGCGTCTTTTTGCATTATAGCTGTTACCTACGATTTCGTTCGCGGCTCGTCGCTCTCAAAAATTAAACTTAAATAATTAGCATATATCACAGATCACCTCTTTGGGATCTGTGGCATATATTGTTGCCCAATATTTTGTAGATCAATCAAAAAAAATCTAAATTTGTAGTAAAGAGGAATCATTCATTCATACATATTTCTGAGTATCATGAATGAGTTCGCATCGGACCCACCTCCAAACATGTATAAATTGCCCCGTTTTTTGCACATATGCCACTGTTTCTTCTCTTAGATCGGTCGTAGCTAAAGTCGATAAATGCACTAACCAACAAGTTCTAGTTCCTGAGATTAGCGCGTTCAAACAAACAAACAAAGCTTTATAATAATACGTATAAGGATTTAGGGAAGTATTTACTTGTAAATAGATAGAGAGATACTAGTGGTGTATGAGTAGGTACACATACGGTTGTTGTGACGATTCGCTATCCTTTAAAATATTATCATGCACCATAGAACCGGCACGAACAGAAAATTTTCAAACGCGGCTTAAATAAGATAAAAGATTTATATTGTAGGAATAATAGCTTTATTCTCGTGAAACGCTCAGCAAACATCCAGTTTAAATTGAGTTTCCAGAACAATCCCGGGAGCTTTATTATGCACACAAGTGGAGAAAAAATATGGCGAACGTAACTTAATTGAATAAATGAATGAGATTATTGACAAAATATATTTTTTTTTTCATAATATTTGAATAACGTTGCCAGATGATTAAATTAAATTCCATTACAATGCAATATTCTGTGGTGATGTTTACATGCTGCTTCCCACGGATGACTGTATATACTTGTGTGGGTAAGACATATAATCATATAGGTTGATAATCTTAACAGTTTATTAAATACCCTCTGTAGTTTACGCGACGTTACATTTAAATAAAACACTTAAAACTGTACAATAAAATTATAAATAATATTAGTTTGCATTATAAAACCTTGTAACTGTGTTATTTGACAGCTTATGTTTTATTTTGGTACAGACAACAAATAATATTAATACGACTGTCTGCTACCTACTGTCCAATTATGGAAATTTAAAAAATATTCTGAAATAAAAAGTAGTCACGCAATATATTTATAAAAAGATAAAAATAACGGCTGTAGTTGTAATGTTAATAAACTTATTTTTATATCCGACATACGTCATTAATTCACATATCATTTTTTTGTTTAGTTCTTAGAATAATTCATATTACTGCAACAATGGGGATGGGGCGTTAGGAATATAACTCTCCAAAATTATCGGCAAGTAGACACGTCGGGTAGTAGTTAAAATAATTTTCCATATCTATAAACATATATCGCGTTTTAAACCGTGAAAGTGTTTTATTTAAATGTGTACTACTCGCGTAAACTATAGACAGTATTTTTCACACGTTATTTGTGAAAAAAATTATGAAACGGACAGCACTTGAACCGGCATCGACAGCGTTCCGTGCTGTTACTCTAACCAATTTATCTACCACTAGCTAGCACTATCCACCCTACTACCTTATAAGGATATGAGACTTACCTCAGGAGCCATATATAGCTGTGGTGCCCCATGCCTCTGTCGGTAAACATTGTGCCAGCACAAACACTCCGTGATGAAGTCACTGTCCTGCCATGCAGTTCTCACTTCACTCCACTGAACCACCATGCTCACCGGTCTCGTCTTTAGCACCTGGCCAACAAAATATTATATCGTTAACAATATAAAAACGAATGTAAGGTTAAAAATCGATTCTAGATTGGAAAAATTACATTGCGCGAGAGGTGCATGAATAAATAGGTTGAACAAATTCGACAATGACATTTAGGTCACGGTAGCCCAATTGGCAACAGCACGGAACACTGTGGATGCCCCTTCAAGTCCTGCCCGTGTCAGAAAATTTCTTCAATTTAAAATCGACTTTTAATTTATATACTGCAATCATATTTAATTTATAAAACGTTACACACGTCAACATGTAAAAATTATTACAGTTTACAAATGCAACGATTGTATAGCGACAAATCTACAAAAATATATTAGACATTAATTGGTCGGTGCCCGTGGGGTATTGGGCGAACACATACCGTTTCATTGATGAATGATTTGTTTGCAGGTAAGTCGATCAGACTTTTGTGCCCTGCCCAACTATACGATCTATAGTTCCCCTGGAATCGAATGCTTAATCTTTTCGCTGTAGAGGCGTTTAAAATGCATGGAGAACAACCTTATCACTGTTAATACCTAACAACACGATCAGATTTTAAATAGTAAACAATAAACTTGCAAAGGCTACATCAAGATTTGGCTATATCTTCACCAATATATGTGAAAAGGCTTGCGTTGGCATTATGCCAAATTAATGTCGCCAAATATATATTTCTTGGAATACGCTGAAGTGATGCCATTTTATTGTGATATATAAGGCACAATAAGGGCAGAGAAATTCCCTAGCCAACTGCATTAATAAAATTTAATAGCTTGAAAATGTATAATTGGAAAATATACAATAACATTTGTATTGCCGAGAGATGAAATATCCAAGTGTTAAGGATGAATTTACATTCCAAGAGGTGCATGTATCAATAGGTTTATAAAATTTGACGATCATGTGCATGTGTAACATGTGAAAAAAAACGCGACTGACGTTGAGTAGCAGCAAAATACGAAAGAGGTTTGCAAAAACAAATTTGGATTCCCAAAATAACTATTCTACGCGGACGAACTCGCTGACACAGCTAGTGAAAAATAATTTCAAGCATTCATAACGTATTCTAGACTTCAATCTATTCTCAAAAAAATGTTTAGCGATTACAACATCGAGGTCAAGTTTTGAGGTTCTCAAAGAAATCCACTTGTTCCAATGAATTTTAAAGTTTGCCGCATTCACGAGATGTAATTCTGAATGCAGCATCTTATTGGCTATTCAGAACTGCGGCTTGTGCCTGCGTAGACTTTGCGTCAATACCTACTTTTAAATTTAAAAACCATTAGTATGTAATAAATATAAAAAATGGTAAAAAAAGTTAATAGACATTTTACACCCTCAAGCTCTACAGCTTTTAATAAAATTTATTAATAAAATAGTAATAATCTAATAATAACAATATTTAATAGTAATTTATACTACGCAGTAGGTTATATAAGAATTGTGTTATAGTGGATGATTTATCTTCAGACCTTATGAGCGTGTACGATTTAGGTACCTAAAAACTTGGTTGTTGAGCTCACCTCGGCTTCAAAAATTAATCATTTCACTAGAAGTTAAAATCAAAAATTGTGAAGTTTTTCACAGCCTTATAAAGTTTATAACAATTATTATTTTTTATAACTCTTCTCGCACGGTACGATAAGCGGATTTTTACGTAGTTAGGCCTGTATTGGAATAAAAAAGAAATTAGAGAGTTGTCTATGATCTTTTATAATATATATTGTCTAAGAATCTATTAAATAGCATCACAATTACTAATAAAACTTTGCAACTTCCCGTTCAGAACTGACCTATATCGGTCGACACTTGTTCAACCTTGATCCACTTCCGTGGTACGAAAATTCCAATAAAGAGGTTTTATTTTATATCAATCAATCAAGATTGTATACCATAGATTGAATAGAGTATTAATCTAAAACAATCGTTTTTCATTTGTAGTCTTTACTTATGTGCAAAACATACAATTGAATAATTCTATTAAGTATAAAATCGTGGGCATCAACTAGTTTTACATATCTATTTAAGCTACTAACACAGTCTACAGAAATTAGCGAACTATACTAATATTACAAAGCTGAAGAGTTTGTTTGTTCGTTTGTTTAACCGCGGTAATCTCAGGAACTACTAGTTCGAATTGCATAAATGTGTTTCTTTTTATGTCTCTATATACTCGTAACTTCATACGGCGAACAATAGAATCAAAAAAACAGTGGGAAATCTTTTAAAAAAAACGAAGAAAATTATCCTTGAGGGCTTCCGTTGCGTGTGTTACAAAAGCAATCAAAGAATTCTTCCCCCCTTTCAAGCAATATGTAGAGAAAAACAAGGAACATATGCCTTTTGCGATGTAAACATACATTGGGCATAATATTTAACACGTATCATATAGTTTAAAATTACCAAACAATGTCAAAATTAAAAAACTACGTATTTTTTATAATGTATGTATATAATAAAAACTTAGCATTACATATTACTATCATATAAAAAAAGCATTACATATATATGATTCCTCTTTAAATTATCTAAAGAAATGTCCGCGATAGTAACTTGAAAGAACGGTTTTTTTCTTAGTTTCAAACTAAAAAAATTATCAAATAACAAAACAACTTTTTGCGGATCATCCGAAAGTATGCGACTATTTTATCATGCTCATATTCCTCTAAAAACAAAATCGCTCGCGAATGCCCAAGTTTATTAGCCTTTGCCTAAAGATCTATTTTCGTTTTGACAGGCCTATAAACTGCGGAAGGACTCATTTAAAGGTCGACTTGTTTAGGTCAAGGCCGGAACGATTCGAACTTGTGGCTCAGGCAAGACTTGCAATTATGAAGGCTTTTAAAAATCTGTCAAATTTTGAGTGACGTAAAACCGATGGCGGTTCGAGTGAGGTAGGGGACAGCTTTTGTGATGTGGCCGCAGTATAATATTAATATTTTTTTATGATAAAGAAAGATAGACGTGTTTACTTCATGGTAGGTGAAATACTTTCTAACACATCTAAACGAAATGCGTTGTCGGCCTATTTTTGGCTTTTGACTATTCGGCACTAAGTCTGAAACCGTAGTGAGATTAAACTTGACGGCTTTTTCACCTGTGAATGATGATTCGATATTCCTACCACCCACCCATTATCTTCATTTCCAGAAGAAATCGAACATGTTTCAGAAAAATTATTAATTTATTAGAATGACAATAGGGATCGAACTAAGCCCCGTTTAATATCACAACACATTGCTACTGTTTACGTGCAGACCTTACATATTAAAGCCCCTGCCGAGGCTGGCAGTAAGAGTGTCAAAATCAATGGTGCTAAGATGATGATAACATTGCACTCACCTTTTGTAACAATTTGGGTCTATTGTCAAGTTGTTCCGTATCGTTATCGGTAGGCTCGTTGTTGTTTTTCGTTGTCCTCCTATAAAATATAAGTTACGATAAAAAAATATTTTCGAACTGCCAAACCCCCCATGACTACAGCTGTTGTATGGTATCCGAAATTTCGGGTCGTAGTTAAAATTTAAGAAGTTAAATAATACTAATGATTTGAAGTTTAAACTATCACATCCTAACGATATAAATAAAGGAAAACCTTCATTTCCTTTAAATTAACTAATAAACGTAAAAACTTTATCCTGTATAATTTTAGCAATGTTCATCTTTATATATACAATTCAATCAATAAAGAGAAAAACGTATCTGCTACAGATTGAACATATTCGGCACGTAAGGATTTATTAATACTAAATCTAGATACAACTAAGTACCATAGATATTACCTAATTATTACCTAAACTATATAAATACTATTCTATTTTATTCATAATAGATACTTATAAGGTAAAACTCTACTGCATTTAAATTTAACATTTTAATATTATTAATTGTTTTTATTGGCTCGTAACTTTTACCGCGGTTGCGTTATTGCGTAAGTACCACAGATTAGTGATAGTACTATAGGTTATAACATATTATCTAAATAATTCGTAACGTATGTTAGACTTCATTACTCGAAAGTCGAAGAACTTCAGAACCAAGGATGCTTGTTTATGCCTTTATAAAGCGTTAGTACTTTCCCGATTAGAGTATGCTTGCGTTATCTGGAATCCCTTTTACGACATATACAAAAATAAAATTGAGATGGTGTGAAAGAAATTCCTTCGTATGTTAAGCTATCGCTTATTAGGACATCGTTGTCACTATAAAGATCTAATGGCACGTTTTAACTTCCTTTCCCTGAGTCAACGCCGTGAGCTTCATCTTTTGACAACATTGAGGAAGATATGTTGGGCCCAGATAGACTGTCCCGATTTACTTCCACATCCCAGCTCGAACTACGCGTACCAAAAACTCCCCCCCTCCACAATATGGTTTCATTGCATAATAACGCGTTGTAAAGGTGCTGTCTCTGAGTACATGCCTACTATATATACTACCTATTAAAAAAAAATCCTAGACAAGAAGAATATTAGTTTTAATTTATCATAAGAGACAGGACTGTCTAGTTTCCTAAGTAAATAAATAAAATATTAATCTAAAATTTTGTACATATTCTGTATGCATTTAGTCTAAATTGCATATCGTGACAACTTCGGAAATGGGGCGCTAAAGAAAATTACCTCGGGGGGTGCGTGTCTAACTACAATATTATTAATAATACAATATCAGCGATAAGGTTTTACCCCAAGGTTGCTTAACTAGCTTTGTAAACGTCGATCGTAGATTATATTTTGCGGTAATTATGTAATTATTCGTTAATGGTGTGTTAAATATTTACTACAAAAATAATTTATGTTATTTTAATTATTATTAGATGTATTAGAGAATCGTTAACACAATACCTATATCTATTTTGTACAAATTTAAAATGAACAAAGCACATTAAATGGTTTAAAACGCGAAATATGTCATAACAAAATCAACAACATACGATAGTTTAGTTAAATTATGTATTTTAATAAAGCTTCTTTATAATAAAAAGTTCGCCCGGTGTTAATTTAAATTTTCAAGTAACACTAATTTGTTATACGAAGTTCAAAGTTTTTAAGTTGAAAAAGTGTTTGAATCATATTAAATAATAATAAAATTTTATAGTAAATAACAGTATTGTAAGTTAACAGTAAGTAAGGAAAAATAGTCAGATCTTTCTTCTTACATACCGTAAATAATAATTATTGAAAAGCTGAATAAAAAATAGAACGATCAGATTTAAAACGTTTTTTTCTGATAAACGATCGTATAAAACTCACCCATACACAATATAAAAGCGTTTTAGATGGCATACCTATCATGATGCAAAAGAGCAGGAGCGACTTTCTTCTTTAAGTTGGCTAGGGCTGCTAGTTCCTCTCGTTTCCGTGATGGTGGAGGAGCACCGCATAACGTCAAAAGTGGCATAGGCGATGGCTGGGCATTTTTTGATAAAAGCCTGTGGAAGAATAAGAAAATAAAACTGATGTCGAGTTAATAATCTTACTTATTATCTTGAGTAGTTTACATTTTATAAAATGCCTATGTGTGTGATAATAACAGGAAAAAATAAAATAAAAAATTTAAGACCTTTAATATTAATTCGGCATATTATGTGATTGAGTACCTAAACATTTTTTTAAGATTACGAACAACACGATTATTGATATATTTTCTGCATATACAAATATAAACAAAGCATTTTTTACTATTATAAAAAACAATTTATATTTTGTATACATACTAATTATTAGTAGCTGGATACGTATAGCATAATATTTAAAAAGAAATCTATAGTGCTAGGCAAAACGTAAAGCGATATTTTAAAAGGCTTTAATAATTATATGTCGATAATATCTTCATGCATTGAATTGGCATATTTATTAATCTGTGCGCAACTATTATGATCATAAGGGAACACAGAATTTTTTTCGAACACAACAAATAAACAAAAGAGCTATTAGTTAAAAGACCTATGACATAAAGGATATAAAGAGCATACCGCTTTGAGGCCGGTGTACGTTTCGACAACAGAGTATAGTCGTAAAGATTAGAACTCGACGGGTTGTTATTGATTGCGGGCGTGGGGGGATAATATACTTCATCTTCTCTGTAATTGTTATTCACTAGCATCGATTTTAATGGTAATAATTCGACATTATCGTCGCCGCGGTGCGGACGGTCGCGTTGTGCCGTCATGCCGGCATCGTGCGGTTCGGCCGGCTGTTCCCAGCCTACTGATAGATTTGGCCTTGAAAATGCTGCAGCACTACCGCTGAGATGGAGATGGGATGAGGAAGTGAAATCTTTTTCTTGTTTTGTCGCGCCTGAAAGCGCATTGTTGAATGTTTACTATTGTAATTGCTAATTATTATGAACAGGCATTTTCTTATAGAAAAATCCTATAAAAAATCAAATTATAAAGTTGACCAAAAACTTGTAAACATTTAAGACAACCGAACAATAAATGAGTATAATAAAATTCTTGATTGAAATTTACATACTTACTATATATTTCTAATTATAACTACATGGGTGCTCGTATTAAGTGTCGATTAATAATATTTTATTTTCTCACATAGTATTATATGATATGTTTTGCTTTTAGGGCAAATTTTATATGAAAGTCATATTCTACGCTACTCGTCAAGAGTTGTTTTGTCTTCTATTATATAATTAATGTAAATAAAATCTCATTGTTAAATCATATTTTTAACTAAGTTTAAAACCTCTCTTTAATGGAAGTGGTAATTCGTATAAAGATAACAAAAGGCAGTCTGAAAAAGAAATGTGGTATTCTGTTCTTAAAACAGATTAAATAAACCTTTTTCACCCGATAATGACAGATCATTGACACATCGTTTTAAACGCTTTTGACAATTTGCTGTTTCGCGTTTTGTTACTAGTATTCAGGAAAATAATATATTTTTTTTGAAGCAGCCCAAAGTAATGCAACGTTTCTGTTGGGTTTTCCTGTTTTCGTCAATTCCCCAGTTCTACGTGGCAAGTGGGCGATAAGGGAATTACTTTTTCCTCAACATCTTTTAATTTAGCAATTCGTAAGTACATTTTAATATAATTTACTACCTTATATACCTACTCAAAATATAGTACATACCTATGTTTTTGGTTTAACGCTATTGAAGGAATAAGTTGTTGATGACTCATATGTGTAATCACATTAGTAGTACCACCTCTTTCATATTCTTTTGTTATTATAGGTAATAATACACTTTGTAACATGGATGAAGTTGAAATAGCTGCAAATGAACAAGATGATAGTCAGAATAACAAAAATCCATTACAGGTATGAAGACATTGTTAACTTTTTAAATTTTCTTATATTCTTGACACTTAGGATTCTATTAACTAATACACTTTTTAAAATAGCTGTAAATATACATTTTATGATTCAATATTAAAATAAATGTATTGTTATTCAGTTGTGCAATACCTTCGCATGCACCCAGTTTTTATCTATTTTTCTTGCAACTTAAAATTTAGAATACATATGTGAGTTAAGAGACTTTCATATAGATAAAAAAAAAACGATTTGCAAAATTTTATTAATCAGATATTTTGTTGTAACATTACAGTTCCAAAAATCAACAATATCATGCGTTCAAGAATGTGAGGCAAGCAATGCTGAGAGACTCTGTATCTTTGATATATCACGTAAGCTAGACTACGGCAATGAATATGATATTGGTGGAGCATTTATTAAAAAGAACCCTGAACTATGGTTTTATATGACAACAGAAATTTGCCCAAGCAATATTATCATATTAAACCTCTTTGTTTGCCATAGAAACATAGGATATATTAACTTAGGTATTAGTAACTCCAATGAAAGGGCCACTGATAGCAAGCAAGAAGACTATGTTTTTTTAAGTGAAAGCCTGAGTTGGAAATCTTTCAAATCATCTAAAAAAGATCAATGCCATTATATAAAAAGTTTCATTTTCCACACTAATGATGTAGAAAGTCTTGTTAAAAAGACACTGATAATACCTATTAAAATAGATGTTACACCTAATTTTAACCTTAATCTTGAGTTAGTCAAAAGAGTACAAGCAAAACATGCAATAGGAGGTATAATTAGAAAAGAAACACCTGACTTTACATTGGAATCTGCAACCCATAAGAAGTTTCCCACCCACAAAGTTGTGCTATGTACACAAAGCCCTGTACTAAAAGACCTCATCAAGAACTCAACTGCGGATTCAATGTTTTTTGATACCACTGATGATGTTCTTGAGCTATTAACGGAGTATTTGTACTCTGGTACTATAAAAGACATAACAAAGTATGATAATGAAGTGTTGCTAGAATTGGGAGAGAAATTTAAACTTGATAACTTAATGCCTTTTATTGAAAATGCTATTATTGAGAAGATAACAATAGATAATGTTATTGAGACGGCGCAATTGGCACAAAAGCACAGATTGCAAAGTGTAGAAAGAAAAGTTTATAAATACTTTAAAGATAATCCAGACATACTACAAACTGATGCTTGGAAGAATCTAGTTGATGTTGTCTTAACAAAAAAACTATTGGAACATCTATATTTTGATAAGTAGTTTTATAAAAAAGCAATATATTTATAAGAAAATTGTCTATTTACATGTTACAAGGAATGAAAAATATAATATTTCTTGCATTTAAAATGCGTGAATTCGAATTGTGTTAATATAGTTATTATATTACTTAAAATAAAACTTTATACTATAAAATGTGTTTTTCTTTCATATATTCTACCTTTCATATATTTCAAATTGTGTACTGAAGCACTGAGCAAGAACTCTCAGCCTGCTTAAGTAAAAGTATTATTTGTTCGTACATAATTCAATGGCTTTTTGGAATTTACATTTTATTGGTTTATACATTGTTTTTCGTTTTTAAAGTCTGTACAGTCGGACTGTTTAGTATCTGTTAGTCTGACGTAATTCATGTCATTGTCACTGTCAGTGTATACTTTACCCTCTTCGAATTCAGGTTTTCCAAGATACAAAAAAATATATTTTTGTTATATTTATCCTTATTCCTTTGGTTATAATTTAGAGAAAAAGTATTTGCTATATCGGTATCAACCTAATACTGGGCAATTCAATATTGGGACATTTTTAAGCGCGTGCAAAATAAACGAAACAGTGGAAATGGAAAACATAGAATTTGTAATGGTTAGTAAATTATGGTGAGATACGTACTTACGTTTAAATATTTAATTTTTAAACTATTAATTTTTTACAGGATAATTTTGTTATCCACGGCCATCAACCATGCCAAAGTCACGAAGCAAAGTACCTATGTATCGATAATATTTACGAAAAACTCCAACGGCCAAATTACTACGACATTGGTGGGACATATAGCCAAGAATCACCGGACTATTGGTTTGTGTGCAAAACTGAGCTGATTGGTGAAATATTCCTCATCCACATATTTGTTTTGGTTAAGCAAGATGGTCATTTAAATATCAATTTGAGCAGCTCAAACTCAATGAGATTTGATAAAGAAAAAAAGATAGCATTTTTGTGCCCAGATTTAACTAATCATAAAATGGGCTGGGTCAATGAAAACTCTATGAAATATGTTACAACATATTGTTTTGATTTCTTTGAAGGTGATATGCTTATGGGGGAGACAATTGTATATAGCTATATCTTTTACCAATAAGAAAGAGGAAGAAAACGATGAAGGCATACTTGACTTCAGTTCATTACTAGACGATCCAGTAGTGGCTGATTTTACTGTAGAAAGTGAAGATGGTGCTACATTTCGGGTTCACAAAGTATTGTTAATGGCTCACAGTGAAGTTTTTAGAGCCATGCTCAAAGAAGACACAGCTGAGAGTAAAAATAATCATGTTAAATTGGTGGATGTTAGCAAGGATGATTTGCATCACTTACTCACTTATATATACTCTGGCACTTTAAAGAATATAGAAAATATAAATTTCTTCAACATGCTTATACTAGCTGACCGATTTAATTTAGTGGGATTAAGGGAACTCTCTGAACATGCACTGATACAGCAAATAGCAATAGATAATGCATTGGAAATGTTAGCAGTTGCTGATTCATATAATTCACCATCTTTGAAAACCGCGTCATTAGTATTTATTAAGAAAAATAAATCAACTCTGCAAAATACCATCTTTGATGAACTTGATAATGCTGAATTGATAAGAGAATTGTGCAAGTTTTTAGTTGCTTAAGTGTAAGAAATATTTTTTAGATTTATTGTATGCCTTTTATACTGTAAATATACCTTAATTTTCTAAATAACCTTGTTTATTATGTTAGCCCCTTTAGCTTTAGTCATATATAAATGTGAGTCACCTTATCACTTACTATAAATTGCGCAACATTTTTAATTTATTTATATAATGGTAAGGTTTGGATAGCATGGTATGTTTTGGTTGTAAGGTAGTTATACAAAACTAAAGCAAAATAATTAGCAAGAGAGGGAGAGGGATACAAAATAATATGAAATATGCTTTGGAGTACAACTTGTTGCAGAAACGTTAGTCTTAAACCAAGAATAATGGAAAATCTGTTAAAAATTTAAAATTAGAGACATAGTATTCACATACGATAATAATATCTAAAATCATAAAATGTATTCAAATTTCAAATACAAAAAAACTAAAAGTATAAAAAGTTGTCAATGTCACTGTCATCAATCACTCAATTGGGTACTTCGTGATTTGACGCGACATGGCGAATTATTGTTTTTAGAATTTTTCCTTTTATCACTTAGGCTAGTGTAGAACTAAAGAATAGATTTATTTCCAAATGCTATGACACAAATTGAGGCGCTAAGCCTCTAATAAGAATGGTTTTGAATGCAGCCGCGCAAGTGTTAAGGTTAGTATTAGCTATGATACTTAGATTTAAAAAATACGATTTATTATGGCTAAATTACTTAACCTTTTTAGGGAAGCAGATGAACTGAAGCAGAAAATATTACAGTTTAATTCGGGTACCACTCTATTACAAGATCGAAGTCTTTGGACAACTCAACAACAGTTGCAAAAAGTATGTCTGAATTTGGTGTTCTATGTTTTTCTTTAAGTTAGAGAACAGGACAAAGGAACAGCACGTTATACAGTCTAACGTTGGCCTATGCCAGAAAAATTACATTACTGGGTTGTTACATTAAATTTTTCATGATCAAACAAATAGGGAAATTAATATATTGTGTTACAGGCTTACCAAAAAGTTTTAACATTAGATTTGGATTATGCATTGGAGAAGAAAGTTGAGCAAGATCTCTGGAATATTGGATTTAAACAACAAATTGAGGCATTGCAAGCTATATCAAAAGATCGAAAGGTTTGTAAGAGAAAATAAAAGCTTTTGTTGCATGTATTTGTTAATCAGATGTATTAATTCAGTAAATATCTATTTTCAACTGCTTTAATAATAATATGCTAAACTAATACTAAAAATGGGGGTAGGGTATAAAGATAACCCGATAACATAAAGATGTTAAACAGATATACCGTGAAAGCCTAACTCAATTTATGTTAAACAGATGTTAGTAATGTATATTCATTTTTTGTTCTGAATAAAGCAAAGTGTATTTGTCTTCTTGCTAAGCAAGGGCTGTAGTATTAAAAATATAAGCACCCTTTTAAACTTCTGTTTCTCTACAAAAAGTGAAACTGTATTTAATGTAACAATGTGTATGCTGAAGTGTTAGTTGAAGTTAGTTGATATAACCCACTCACTTATGTATACATGTTTTCAAGTTCTTATACATACATTTTCATGCCTAAATTTATGTTTTGTTTACAGAATGGTCAACGGAGTGAAGCACAGTCTATGCTCTCATGGGTCCTTCAGGCTGCCGCTGGCTTCTACTTGAGCTTGTTACACCAAATCTGTACCGGTTATAAACTAGACTTGCCATTTAGGTTAGTATTAAACATATTTATTTTATCATTATGCTAAAGAGTTGAATGGAGACACTGATTTAAAAACTACCCTCCTGATTTTTTTTAACTGAAATTTTTATAGTCTCTCATTTAACATATTGGGGATAGATTAGGTTTAAGATTATATCTAGAATAATTGTCTATTATTTTGGATAACTATCTAATAATGTCTTAGACGCCGAGCATCTCTTGTCGGAGCAATTGAAGGTTGGGACACAAGTGCAGGTGTTCTGATAAAAAACAGCAAATCTGGAGTTGCCGGAGCCAGATATGCATGCCAGCATTGTCTTGTTCATCTTGGTGACCTGGCTCGGTACAGACAACAGCTTAGAGTTGCTCACACATTCTACAGACATGCGCTAGCTGTGTCACCACATTCTGGACAACCTTATAACCAGGTCACTATTATCAATAAAATGCATCAAAGTTATTAAGCCTTATATTTAATTTTTCTAGTAGAAGTCTGTAGTTATATTATTATTTATTTCATTAACAATGAATATTATATACATACATAATGCTTCTATATGCAGTTTATTATATCATATTAACTTAGAAGTTTTTATTTTCTTGAATTTTACCCACAATTCGAGATTTCTTCAGAGACAATATAATATTTATGGACTGTTTTTTATTTCAAATTATTTTCGCAATCTGCATTTACCTAATACTGTTCCTAGCTGGCGCTAGTAGCATGGCGACGCGGGCGACGTCTAGCGGCGGTTTATTGGCATGTTCGTTCGTTGCTCGTGCGTGCGCCGTTCCCTCCCGCCCCCGCCAATCTCGCCAGGACTTTAGCTGCTGCTGCAAGGTAGGTTTTTACTTTATTTTAATTTAATCTTATATTTGATGAATATCTAAACTTTAAAGGTCTCCTATATACCTAGAGCGGCTATATAAAATTCTTAATGGACACAACTTAATTTCTTAATCTGGTTATTAAATGGGATGTAGGGATATTAAAAATTCCGTACGTTCCGTTTGGTTTTAGTCTGTGGATTTCCTAATATCCAAAGCCAAAATAGGTTGACAGTGGATCTTATATAGATGTTATATGGCTAGGGTCTCCTCTATAATAAAAAATACATCAACTTTTTTCAATCAATCAATCAAGAAGATTTATGTTTATTGCACATGATCGTATTCGAAGATTTTGTTGTGTAAACTTCCTTTTACTTTTTTGTACTTTATGTACCTGGAAGTGATTACTGACAAGTAGTAATAAAATCTATAAGCATATAACTGTTTTTTCTGTTTGTGCATATAAGTAATACACAAATGATTATGTCTTTGTTTTTCAGTCGTGATGGAAAAGAGGTTGCCCCATTACCCGTTTTAAGTGAAGTGATAAAAACTAAATCGGTAACAGTGACTAAGTCCAGGCTTGATTCGCATTCTTATGTCACAGAGCTATTGAGAGCACTACACTATCTACATACTGTGGAACAGTATGTATCGATTTTCATATATATTTTTATTACAACATATCACCCAGTAACTTAATTAGAACTGAGCTTATTGTGTTGAAATTTATTTCAGCTTGGAGAGTGCATCGGAATTAGTGAATACTTTAAATAATTCCATATCTCTTCTCATTGCTACAGACAGTTTTGATTCTTTGACACTTATTAAGGTATGTGAAGTATTTCTAACATAATTATAAATAACTCAACCTTAACCTTACTTTGTATATATTTTTTTTTGTCACCCGTCGTTGTTGTTGTTGGTTTGCTGGAATATATCCCACTACCCATGGTTGGGGATTTTAGGTTAACTAACATTTACTATATACATAGTAATAACCTCAACTGACATTTAATGAAAGTTTCAAGAAAATTGTTCTAGTCCTTTTGTAGATATACTAAAAAGTAAACCAAAACTATTTTACATAAAAATTTCTACAACTCAATGATAAACACCACCTTACACAGATGGCGTGCCTTATTATCTGGATAGTACACTCAACGACAGAAGACTTTTCTATTGAAACTGAAGCTTTAAGTGAATCGGAAGGTCAGGCTGCCCAACTGGCTGGGTCGATTGCGAGCGCGACTGTACTTGCTTTTCTCCTGCCGGCTTATACAGCCGACCAACCGCCACAGAAAACATTACCTACTTGTGAGTATATTAGAATTATTTAATATACATTTTTATGTTGAAATTAGATCTCTAAAGTTTTACAACTTAAAAATAGATTTTAGATTGAAAAAAAAAGGACGACACGGGCAGACTTGACCTCGCATCCACAGCTACAGTGTCCTACACGTCACCGTCGATTTTTTTCAATCTATCAATACTTGCAACTCTCGCGCATTGTTTTTTAACTTTAATACTTGCGTATTAAGGTTCAATGTCTTATGCTTTGCAGCTTAAGAAAATCAATGAAGATGAAATTACATAGTTTAATTTTAGAAAACTTAAATATTTTACACATGATGGTACTATGAATATAAATAAAAAAAAATCGACTTTTCAAACATTCTTGCTTTTTATAGGATTGTTGATGGGAAGTGTGGTCTATATTTTTTTCCAGTAAAAATATTTCTTCAATGGATCGTCTGTCAGCCAAAAGCTGTGAAAACATCAGCGTGGATGTCCAGGCCTCAAATTTGGGCTGCCTTGGCTCATGTCTTTAATAAGTTGACGGAGACTGCTTCCTTTCATGACGATAAATGTGAGTAACAAATTGATATTTTATATTTATTCTAGGTATGATAGTGTGTGTGTGCTTTGGAGTCATACAAATCTATCCCAGGGCTCGAAAGCACCGTAGTGGTGGTGTGTTTAGTGGTTATACAAATAAAATACAAAAGTTATTAAAAAACAAATAACTTTACTTTTTATATATAGCGTTATATACCGTTTAATTGTTTTATTGAAATCTTAGCCCAATGTAAAAAAATCATCTCTTTCATATACTTTCAGTTGACTTAGTGCCATTACCGGAAGACGAAGAGCTGAATGGCTTCCTGCCTCTGGAGGAAGTATTGAAAGGTTTACATTTCACGAACCACGCTTCATGGTCGCAGGACTTGGCTGAAATCGAAATTAGTGATGATGCTGGGTAAGATTATGATCCAAATTTTAGTGCATTTTTTTTAACTTGGCATTTTTGGTAATCAAATACACAATCTACTAAGTCTAGATTCTATGTTGTAAACCACTGGTGCACCGACCGCGGCCAGCCGGTTGAATACTGGTGACCCCCCGACAGCAATAATAATAATCTAATTAATAAATATTTTTTCAATTCAATGCATTATTATTGATTATTTATTGGGTTCATGATTTGCCTGAGTGGCCCCTAGTCTTAATAAATCTGTGCGTGCAGGTCTAACCCAACATGGCTTGAGATTCTCTTTACTAAAACGTGGGTTTGAGAAATAGTGATTACTGAGATTTTAAAAAGACTCATCCCTGACAAAATGATGTTCTCAGGCTTGATGTTACCGCACTAAGCTTGGTGGGAGAGCCGGAGCTGGAACACCGTGTACGGGCAAGGAGAATCGTATTGCTTGGCAAGCGGCTCGCCGACCAGCACTCCGAACAACTAACATATACGTAATAACGTCCTTTCCATTTGTGGAATTATATGACACTATCTCTATGGGTTTTAAAAATGCATATTCCGACGAACGGTATAATATAATCTTGCCTAAAAAAAATCTCCCTTGAAGATTATCTATGTTTAGAAATTTTAATGCGTTTTTAATGAGATTAATTTGGTATAATCTTTTACAGCGAAGATGATGAAAAAGTAACATTCACCGCAAGCGCAGTTGGTGGGGAACAATTGACTGAAGCGTTGGAGTCGTTATCGATTGTGCAAAAGGAATTAAACCCGGAACCGGTTGAAGAATCTGACCCTGGACCGCCGCCGCCTATCATCATATCCGAAGCCGATTTTAGAGAAAAGGGTGGGGTTTTGAGAATCTTATAGTTATATATTACTATAATTATCTAACTCACACTGGTGGTAGTTTTGCTTTCTATTATATGACGTATAAGTGATGTTTTACTGTTTTTTTTCAGTTCGAGAAAAGCGTGTAGGTATATTAAAGCCGCAGGGTTCTCTAGAACGGGCTCGTGAAGAACGTGCGCTCGCCACTAGCAACACCGAGGATTCTACGGTAAATATAAATAAAAAAACTAAAACTGTTATAAAATCGACTAAAACGAAAAGACTTACTTCGACCTATCAAGTAAGTTTTATCTATAGTTTACGCGAGTAATATGCATTTAAATACTGTCTATAGTTTACGCGAATAGTACACATTTAAATAAAACACTTTAACGGTTTAAAACGCGATATATTAGTTAAACTTATTTGAAAATGATTTTTAACTACGGCCCAACGTTTCGAATCTCTGGATTCCAATAAACAGCATACCGGCAAACGCGAATACACCGTTAGTCAATTCAGTAAGGACCCGGCCAGTTTCGCCAAATACCGACTTCGACGGAACAGATGGCGCTAGCGTAGCAATTTTTTACTTTGACGTCAGAGACATCCTCCATCTTTAGTCTCCCCGTGACCACGGCTGTTGCAAAGCATCCGAAACGAGGGGCCGAAGTAACTGTTAAGAGAACAAAGAAATTATTAGTATATTCATATCTCTTTTGATACTCTGGACGTATAGAAAGAAGTCTAGAAAATAATTATGTATTATAGGAGACTGCTAAGGACGAGGTCGATGTAAAGACCGAAGAGAAGAAAGAGTCTCGTAAGCCACGTGTTAACATCGCGATGGCAGCTATCATGCGAAAACAAGAGGAGATTAACAAACAGGTTAGAATCACACAATTTGACTTTAAAAGGGAAATTCTAATAAGTTAGGAACCTACTTCTTTATGTCCCAGAAACGATTTTATTGAATAAATCTTATCTTAGTATCTAGTCGAAACAGCACTTTACCTTATGTCGCAGCTTGATTATAAATTTTCATTACATTACATCTCCCAGGTGAAATTCGTAACTCCACCGCCAACACCGGAGTCTACTAGCGACGCCAGCGAAGCCAAAGATGATACACCCAAAGTCATACAACCGAAAGCGATGAAGTCCCTCGCGAATCTGCCCATAGGAAAGAAAACAGGAGGAATTTTATCGCTTAAAGACAAATCTGCAGGCTACCCTCACTTAGTCAACGCAGAACCAGATAAAAAGCAAACAGAACAAGAAGAAAAATTCGACAAACCTCAACCTCAAAACACCCAGAAAAGACAAGACTCTCCTTGGCAGCAAAACTTTGACGCCCAGAGGAACTACCAAAAAACCTATGGGATTACAAACCCCGGCAGCGGCTACAACCCGAATTATCAGTCTCCCAATCAGGGTATACGGCTTCCCGTGGTGAACCCCAAAGAAATAGATGTTAGAACAGCGGCGCTGCAAAAGCAAAGTTCACGCCAAGAACTTTTCCAAGATGGCCACAAGTTCAACCAGAATTACCAAGTGTCTGGGGATAAAAAGAATTTCCTAAATGACTTACCTCCGAGGTTTGCCAATCAGTACCGTTATTGGCAAGCGGCACAGGACAGCCAAGCGAATGAAAATAAGTTTAGGGATGACAGTTTCAAAGCTAACACATTCGCGCCGCAGCAGTCGTGGCCCGCACCCGAACAAAATTACCAGCCAATGTCCTGGTGGAAGCCGGAACAGCAGTCCTTCGCGCCAATGAACCTGCCAAGCTTCTACCCGCAACAGGCGCCTCATATCTCGAATCCGTACCAAAACATGCAATTTAATCAGATGCCTGGGCAGAACGTGCCAAACATGAGCACAAACATGCCACAGTTGAACCAAAATCTGCCACATTTGAGCCAGAACGTGTCAAGTTTAGGCCAGAATATGCAAAATCAGATCCAGCTTGGCTCCAACCCCTCGATGCAAAGTAAGCCAGAGAACTATGCGGTCGGCCAAACGCCAATGCCGACGTTACAAAATTTAGTGCCGTCACCGAGCTTCAATTCTTCCATAAGTAGTTTCGGAACGTACAATCCACCGGTGAGCTACGATTCCGCGATGTACCCGCAGTTTGGCAAGTACTACCAACCGCGGCAAATGTTAGACAAGTCCGGCTTCCCTAATAAGGAGGTTGGCATGAATTTTGCCGCCAACTCTGTGAACATGCAGAGATTGAATTTCAACGAAACATTTAGTCACGATGCTGGCGGAATTAATCCTATGGATCCTGTCAGTGTGAGTATTTTGTTTTTTTATTCATGAAAGAAGTGTACTTTCTCTAATGTACCTGAACACCATATAAATATATATGTAGCCATCATTATAGAATATAGAACTGAAAATTGAGTTACTTATTATTAATCAACTCTTAGGGCCAGTCCAGCAGTCTTCAAGTTGCACGTGGACTTGACAACCCAAAAGACACGAACACTTACTCGCTCTTCAGCGGCTCAGAAGTACCCGGACACTCTCATCTACCGCAGCAGGTAGAATTGCCTTTTTTATAAGTAAGACGAGTACACAATAAATTACGGAAATGATAATACAGAAACAAAACTTTTCAACCGTATAAAACGCGTTAGTAATCTAATATTTTGCGTTTCAAACTGTTCAAAGATATTTAAATCGCGTAGTTTGTGCTTTAAATGATCTTAGCGTTGCGGTCCAGGTAAATGAGGTACTAGTGTTGTCTCTTTTCCACAATACTCAAAAAATAAACGATGTCAATACCTTTTAACTCTATTTCATTTATTTCATGTAATCATGAAAAGACCAATATATTTATAATTTTACCTCTTTTTTTAGTCGCTATGGTCCGGCCCCGGGTCGCCCCTCGAACGGCTTCTCGAACAACAGAAACAAAATAAGCAACCGCCACACTGATACGAGAAAAGAAATAAAAATTCACAGTATTTTTCTATTATGACTCATCTAGAAGGCATGAACAGCAAAAACAATATTTTTGTATGTCTGTGATATGAAGGCAAAAAAGTATGAGAATTTGAGAGAATGTCTCAGACAAAAAATAAAATGAATGTTTATAGCTATTTTCTGTATTGCAATACTATAAAAAAAAATGAGTTACTATTAATACTTATATTTCTACTAAAAATGTTTGGTGACGTAAACTTACAGTTTTCTTCTAAAACGAGTTAAAAAAACTTGATTTACTTTTAAATTACTATACTGCATTATGTTGTTTGTTCGCGTTCTTGCCTAATACTGGAGACTGTAAATTTTTATGTCATTAATATTGAAAGTATGAAATTGCGTGAATTAATTTTAAACCGATTAAAGACATTTGTAAATTTTATGTTATGTAAACTCTTTTATAATAGTGTATTGATTAGTTTAAAGTTAGGAATTATCGAATTAATCAAATTGGTTGTTTTGGATTTAACTTTAATTCTATTAATTAAATGCACTGTCAATAAAGTAATTTTCCATTAAAAAAAAATCTGAAATTATGTCGACAGTGCATCTTAGTTACATATTATTTTACCTCGTCAAGGTTGTCTGCCCCCTTCTATCAAAAAACAAAAAAACGTTGGAGTCGATTTTAATTCGATATTTCCTACACACGCGTTATCTTCGTTTTAAGTGAAACAAAAGTTCAAGTCAAGATTGTAAAGGAATATTTTGTAATAAAACTATTTTTGTTACATGTGTTTTCGTATCGCTCAATTTTATTCGGATTCAAATTTATCAATATAGATCCTAAAAATCACTAATCTAATACTTATACCAATAGGCCTCGAAAAAGTATATAATACTGATAAATGACATTATTCTAAAAATTCATAGGAATTGCAGCTGAGCTGATATTTTTGGGTGAGTAAAATAAAACAAATTAAATATAAATTCAATAATTTATATCTGTCGCTAATAAAAAATATGAGATACAATAAGAAGCGTAAACTAATGAATATTGAAAAATATTTACAAATAATTTCATAGACAAGTCATTGGATAGAGTTACGTCGAACTTGCTACGTTTTGGTTAATCTGTATCTACTTAACTATCATTTCGTGTATTTGTCAACCGCCAAATGTAATTATGGAATATAATAATAGGCAACTCCTGGCAACACTCGGTAGTCATTGCTAGTTAACAAAAACACTTAGCTATAAACAGTGGAGGTTACTTCAGATTACGGACATTAGTTATTTATATAAATCTAACGTCATATTGGCTATATTCATCCGCTATTTTAACAGATTTAGAGCTATTTAAAATCCAGCTAAGTTGTAAAGGTTAAAATTAAACTAGAAACATCATATACGATATGTACAAAAATTGACAAATTTACATAGCACAGATAATAAATCAATAATTTGGGCAATGTTTTCACAACCCAGCGTTATATTTCGGCTATTCTCTATGGGTGCATTGAGTAGGCACGGATTTGTATTGCTTAAGATATGTAAAAATACTATTCCTATAAGCTCAACTGATTCTAAAATAAAATAAGAATAGAGCATTGAGAACCAAATTATCAAATACGTATGTATAGGTCGCGGCACGGATTTTTAGCGCTGAGCGAAGTGTAGAAGGGCAATAGTTGCGCAGCTGTAAAATCGCGCACGTAATTGATTGGAAAACGAGACTGTACTCGTGTAGCAAGCGGAGCGTCGTGTTGGTCCGAGAAAGACAAAACGACTGGAGAACCAATCAACGCTAGCGCACATGACGTGCACTCGCCCCGCGCCCGCTTCCGTCCCTTCGATACCTTATTTTTTACTTCTGCGTAGGATCCTTTCAGCGCTAAAGATCTGTGTCGCTACTAATAACAATATTGAATTCATCATAACATCGCACATAACTATATATATTTGTTGACTAGGATGTAATTGGCTGGCTGCGTGCCCGGTAATTTAAGCAGTTAACGATTATCAAGTGATCTATTCTAGTTATTACTTTGACGAACACTATAGTTATTGGCACAAGAATTTGAAAAGCACCTTATCGGTAAATTTGAGTTATTGTTGTAGTCGAGTTGTTTTTACCTTTCTATCATAACTTAAAAATAAAACGACTCATACCACGTGTAGTTCAAGTTATGGTTTTAAAAATACCAATAAAACTTACGAAAAATTGATACCGGGTGATTTGGATTTGGAGCAATTCTCGACTGGATGCCATAAAATTTACAACAAAAGTCTTAAATAATGTCGGTTTTGCATGACACTAGTGACAAAAACGAGAACATCTTGCGTAAATTGAGAATTGTCCCTTTTTTTAAACTGCAGTGACGTGGAGAGTGTGGTAAATTGTGCTACAACCTCCTCGGAGACAATAGCCAGACCAGAACCACTAAACACACCACCAGCCCGCTACGGTGCTTTCGAGGAAGCACTGGGAACATGTTTGTATGACTCCAAAAGAATTGCTCCCCCTAGTAACAATGGCAATTCATAGACATGCTCGCTCGGTTACATAATTTATCGGTAACTCTTCAGTCTTGTACCTCATCACAAATTCTGGACCCCTAACACATGACACCTTTCACAACTTAATATATTGCAACAATCCTACAAACTTTAGCCCAGATGGCCTTAAGAGCTACGATGCATCTTGCATTATCTGTAAGCGACGCGAAAGGATGGACCGACACTTTAATTAGCCAATAGGCACCACAACTCGTCCGTCGAATTTTAAGTCTAAATGTATTTCCAAGTTTTTTTTCAACCTTAATGTTCGTTAGACACAATCTCTTCAACAAATACTTACAAAACTTGTGTATCAAATACTGTCTATAGTTTACGCGAGTAGTACACATTTAAATAAAACACTTTAACGGTTTAAAACGCGATATATTAGTTAAACTTATTTGAAAATTATTTTTAACTTCGGCCCGACGTTTCGACTTCAACCCAGCATCGTTCTAGTTGGAAAATTTGTAGGACTGTATAAAATATTATATGTATCGTGTAATACGGCAGATACAATATTTATATTAGTTACGAGTACAATAGTATACATATATATACACATGATTTAATTTTTTTCACGTCTTGACCCGAATTAATTTCATTACCTTTTTTGTGAACAATATTTAACGTTTCATACATAATTTGTATAAAGAAAAGATGACAGACGTGTGATAAGTTATCAGTCTAACAATTAAAAATAGCTTCCTTCTTAGATTTGCCTATGTTGACTTGTTGATATATTTTTACGGCAAAAGTATCACCTTTTTGTTTTAGTATACTAAATAAAAAAATCGTCATATGTGTATGTATATGGGTAATCCGATATTAATAAACAAGTATGTATAAGCACAATAAAATTAGTACAAGACTTAAAATTTCACTTACTTCATAGTAATGTGAAGATTGTCAATTACTTTTGTGAAATTCACACACAAATGAAATCGTACAATTTCATGCGTACAAAATCTAAATAAAAATAAAAAGTTACGGGACTTATATTAATTATAAATATCAGTTTTAAAATTTTCGTCCTATCGCAGTCAAACTTAGTATTGTAACATATTATACAATGTGGCAAAATTAATCAAGTGCAAGTTATAAATAGTATGATGGAAATATCTATGACACAGGCATATTCAAACCCGCGTAGACGTCATATTGTTCCATTGCGCTGTCACTGAGCTATTACAATGGTCATGGACTCTTTAAATGTTCAAATTAAAACACCTAACACCAGATGAATCTTGCTCCTCCTACTTCGCAAAAGTTCAAGCGACTAAAGTTGCAAAAGTCTTCCGGGGGCAATTGTCAAAAAATTATAAGTACACCTGACGTGTTTAGGTGTTTTAAATTGCATTTTCCATTTCACAAGTTTTATTTAAAACGGAATAGCTCACGTTTGTTTCTCAACAGTGAAGGTGTAGGCATAATCGCGATCCAGATCGAAGCAACTCCTCTTCTTTATAACCGGGAACTGACCCTAGAATAATAGGAAGTAAAGAATTTTTAAAATAAGGCTCCAAAAGGAATGCTCCAATAAGATTGTATTATGGTCCTTTGCGCCGGATACGCACGTTGCAAGTACATTGACTGAACTTTTAGTCATTAAAAATTATTTCTTGTTAAATAAGTTACTGCTATCAAACTAGGTTCCTGATCAGTAGCAAATTCTAATGAGCTATGAATACAAATTTGCTAGTAGAACTTACCAAAGTATCACTAGGCAACCCACGTAGCTTCGAGTTCAAAACAAACGGCACACCCTCCAATCCGTTGTAACCTCCAAGAGTCTGGTAATTCGAGACGCGGGGTAACGGCGCTGGGCCCTTTTTCCTTCCATGAGGCCCCGGCGAAAGCGGTCCGGGGCTCCCATGCGGGATAGGAGATTTATTTGCGGGAGGTCGCGGGGCGGGTCTCACTGGCTTTATGTTGTAGGAGGGACTTAGCGCTTCGTAGTCGTGGTCGCTGGTAAACTCTTCGATCTTCGGATACGTGGTAGACGACTTAAGGTTCAGGTTATTGAGCTCGTTAACAAGTGGTGACAGCTTCGGCGGTCGTTCGGGGACTGCACGTAATCTGCAAAGAAATACTTGCTATAGTCAAGTTTTGCTTGTAGTTTACGCATACACATATATATTTAAATAAAACATGGGTTTAAAACTTCAAATATGCGCAAGAAACACCATTCATTTTCAGTTTCTCGTGACCATGGCTGATAACGCAAAGCATCCGAAGCGTCGGGTGATAGTTAAAACAAATAATAGAATAGTAACCTAACTAATCTTTCGCGTTTTCAACAGCATAAACTGGATTATTCGAATGTTCATATTCATTCAACGGTCTTTTGCTACACATCATATTTTTATTGGCTTGGGATAATAAGATCTCAGTCGCTTAACAAGGCTTCATAGATGTGGTACGTTGATTTGTTTTGAAAACTGGATTATGAAAGACAAACAAACAAATTCATTGTTATAATAACAGAATATTTAGGATTATAAAAACACAATGACATGCTTGAAGGACCAAAATAAAAAGTAACTTATTATCTCAATTAACAAATGTTTAACTGTTAACACACAAATTACATTGGAAGGCAAGCTGTGCAGCATTAAATCAGAAACAAAAACACAATTGTTATCTACCCCGAACATCCATTCCACAGCAATTTGAATTGTTTAAATTTTGAAGGGTTGAGGCTGTAATATAAATAACATACTTAGATATTGATACACTTATACATATCTCTAAGGGAAAATATATTTTTTAAAGTTTTATCATTTTAGGCTTAAATAAAAGATAAATCGTGATGTGAATATTTACTTATAAATTAGTACTTTGTATGTTAGATACCGTCACAGTCACCAAAGACCGCGAGAGTTCAATTCACACGTTGGCAATTAAAATTGTAACTTATGAACATATACTAAAGCTAGAAGAGCAAAGATAATAAAAATATGGGACTTAAAAAATCTAACATTAATTTGAGTACTTACAAGATTATCTACCAACTTTGGCATAGATCCATGTATTACTCCATCCATCCATCATGTATTATCCATGTGTACTAGAAAGATCGAATAAGTGTGAAAATATTATTACCTTCTATTGGCTTCTGGCGTCGTGTTTGATATGACATTTTCATACTCGCTATGGTGCGTGGGCGACGTTTCACCGCTTCCGCCGCTCACCTTATAGCACACAACCTTGCCATTAATTTCGCTGGAAATATAGAAAATTTGCGTTAATGAATCTCTCTTTAAATATTCAGCTCTTAATGTAAGTGAGATTTTTCACTTTAATTTAAGTTTTATTTGGTGTCACAATTTCAAATATTGTTCTGAAACGTTGTATGTCGAAGCTCTATCAAAATTGCTTCACCTATTCCAAAGATTCGAACGGACCTAAAATAAAAAGTTTTATTATAAAATGTATAAAATAAACATATTGAAAACGCGACGACTTCAAAATGAAAAAGGTAATACTTTCGAAGCAATTTCATAATTCTTACGAGTTGTTCGTGTCATTGTTGTTGTATCAAATAACAATAGTCGTATATACTATGTTACAAGAACGTGTAAATATGTATAAAATTACGTATATAGTATACTAGATACGCTTCAGCTGTATAATTTTGTTCAGATGCATTTGTAACAACCACGAAATCAAAATACAGATTTACTGGTCCTTCAAGCCAGATTTCAAGTAAGTATGAGTATTATAAATAAAACGCAAAAATATGTCCTAAACCTCGTTTTCCTTTAGAGAAAACGTCTTTATGGTGAAAGTTACTATTACTAACCCGGCTAATAGGAAACCCTGGGGCGCAGAGCGCATTCTTGAACACACGATTACATCAGTGACGAGTGGAGCGCTATTTAGCGCAGGTGAAGCAGGAGCTGCGCCTCCGACACGAGACACTCTGGTGCACACACGTCGTTTGCCCGCACGACCGGCCACGCTGTACCCCGCTGGGGTCGCCTCCCGTTCTCCGAGCACCATTAAACCGTCCATCACATATCCTGGAACGCCTGATAACAAAATGATATTATAAATAAGGATCGAATTTACTGACATTTGTTTTGGTTCGTTATTGTCTTTTGAGACCTGAAGTTCCCTATATGGGAGCACGGGAAAGACACGTTTTTGTGATAGTATATTTAACTACCAGTATACGTTATTCTTAACGCTAAATTAAATTTTGATTAATGACATGTCCCATTACAAGTACTTTTTTTACCGTATAGGAGATAAACCAACGGTATTTGAAGGTCCAGCCTTAGGAGGTTGGATACATATACCGTTAGACGATCACAGCTCACAAATAAGAAATAATGTAATTATCCTTGAAAAGTAATTGCGTGATTGATCGGGGTTTAAACGTTTCGCATGAAGGCTGAGGCCGTTACGGTCAATAAGTTTCAGGTGTTGGACTTTGGTTTATTGAATGGACTTGCATAACTATCTTCCGTTCTATAACTTAATACTAAGTACGATTAACATCCTATTCTAATAATCTATACTGATATTATATGGCTAAATATTTTGTTTATTTGAACGCCCTAATCTCAGGAACTAGTAGTTCGAATTGAAAAAATATTTTTTGTTGATTGAAGCGTTTTCGAGGAAAGGCAACAGAACATCATACCAAGATTCATAGGAGCGAAAAAGCCTTGGTAAATGTAGGAAACACGGGGACCATTATTGATCTATGAGGGTGTCCATTGCGAACGCTGCGAAACGGTTCACGATACACCCAAAAATGTGTATTGTATGTTGTAAATAATTATTCCCCTTACAATCTAAAAAATGTCCGCGACAGTAAGTAGTGTCTATTTTTTAAAATTCACTCTGAAGAACTGAGTTATAGTAATCAAATTTTGGTCAAAATAACTTTAGCCAAGTCAGATAGTTTGTTTATAAAGCACTAGCTGGTGCCCGCGACTTCGTCTACGCAGGATTAGTATTTGGAGTAGCTTATATTAGCGTGGCGTAGAAAAGAACTAACATTATGCCATAAATATTTTTTGAGTCTCATTTTAAAAGTATAACTGCTTGACAATATTTTAACATAAGAAAATTGGCAATATACGGTAATTAGGCACTGCAGAACCCTGATCATAGGCCTATAGTTATCTAGCTACTGCAGTATGCTCTTATAAACTATATTTTTATATTTAACGATTTGTTTCCTTGAGCATAAACATGCAGTTTTTTTGCTTCGGAAACAATAAAGTAATTATGTGTAACTAACGTTCATGGCAGCGCATGCCAGAATAGCTCGCAGACAGGTAGGTTTTTTCCTAGTTACTTGACACTTAATGTCATATTTTGGACAGCTCACACAATATCTTTAAAAATTGTAGCCTATGTGTTATTCTGATGTATAAGCTATATATATATATTATTGGAAACTTTAATTTAAATCCATTCAGTAGTTTTTGCGTGAAAGAGTAACAAACATCCATCCACACATACAAGCTTTTACGTTTATAATATTAATAGGAAGTAGGATGTTTAGACATTCCAATTCTGATTAATTTGAAATAAACAAGAATGTAAGTTAGGATTGAGAAGGTAGAACAAAATGAGTTTTAAAGAAACGCTGAGGGACAATTAATTCAATTCGATCATAAAGGACGGAGTCTAGACTCCAGACGTTGTAACAGTTAGGATCAATAAATAAATGACGACAGCCAAGCGTCTTGGTTTTTTGTGACGTTGTGAGGTTTTATGAGGTGTATGTGCGTCTCAGAAAGACAAATTGTTTTTTTTTTTATCACAAAGGACTGTATACAGGTGTCCAGTTTATGGATAGGGGATTCAATCTTATTAACATCGTGTTATGCGCGGACTATTTTATCATTGGAGGTTTGTAACCCAACAAACCGAAAACGCGAATTTTCACTCCTTAGCATTTCTGCTTTTAAACGATACATCGTGACCCGTAAGGAAACCCACCCATTTGTAACTAGATTTTCCAGACGCAGCGTCAACAGAAAATTATTTACAAACAAACTGTCCCAACCGAACCCTTTATAATCTAATGTTATGGAAACATTTAAATTTAGAACGACAGTATCTGACATACGTGCGCATTTAATCGTGTCACGCTCACAGGATATATTATATTTTTTACAAAAATATTTATGGATTATTCAGTTATTATTAGTACGATATTTTTAAATGAATGTCAAAATAAAACGTATGAAAATAGCTTATTGTGTTGCTATATCAAATATTTAGTCTCAGCCATCTTATGGTCCTGTAAGGCTTAAAGGAGCTTTGTAGCATAAACCTTTATAATCGGTTAACAAAATAATATTCCCACGGAGATAACTCAACAAGTCCTGTAAGCCTGCTCGGCTTACTGATAGGAAATTCGAGTCATCAAAACAGGGCTTCCTAAGAAGCTTTCGACGACTCGATTTACCTGTAATCTGCTTATAAGCAGACGCGAATTAAGTTATGCTATAATATGTTGTACTAAATGTTCTACACAATAGACAAGATTAATAAAATCAAGCGTGGTTAAAGCAGCAGCACTTCATTCATGCATTCAGCTAAAGCGTGGTTAAAGCAGCGTTATATATATTTTTTTAATTTGCCATTAGGTGAGAAATAATAGTAGTTCCAATGACATGTTAAAATTACTGTGATAGAATACAGTTAGAAACAAATGCTATAAATAAAATAATATAATTAATTTCATGACAGAGGGCACCAGACGAGCAAGGAGTTAGTGAAAGTTAAATATCCACTGTAAAGGAAATCTAAACAAGATGTTAAGAAGAAAAACTCTAATCATGATGAATTTTATCAAAATGAGTACATCAGTCTGAGCTTGAAGAATCAATTCGTGGGAATCAACAAACATCAATGAGCGTTAAGTCCCACCCAGAACTATATAAAATGGATAAAGGAAAATTTCCACTATTTTATTATACACTATACATTTAATTTCAGTACATCCATTACGCCACTTGATAAAAACCGTTTATAGCTTCTTCGTAAAATAATGTTATTTGTGTTTTGTTAGAATAGTGCTAAACAAGACAGAGTGAATGAATAAAATATATATTTTGCTGTGTGGGAGATCAAAAAAGTTTTTGCGTGATAATTAGTAAAATGGATGCATGCAATAGGTTCCCATAGGTTAAATAGTTGGCAGGTAAGATTTATATAAATTTACGACACGAACAGGATTTGAGTCGGCATCTACAGCGTTCCGTGTAGTTACTTCGACCAATTGAGCTACCGTGTCTAAGTGTACTAAGATTTCTTCTTTTTTTTTTCAAAAAAAAGAACACAGGTAACGGTTTAATAAAAAAAACTCACCCTCAGACTTCGACAAGCATATGTAATGGCTAGGCTTCTTCCCAAACAACCCGGTCTGACGTAGCAGCCCAGCATCAGCGTCCTCATCGTACGTCCTGCTGACCGGCCAGTACCCAGCTGGACACTTGGCGACACTCTCAACTATTTGCAGAGACAGCAGAGGCCGCTCGTCTGGCAGAGCGCCGCCCAACGCTGACAGCACCTTCGACATGATCACTTCATTGCTGCAGCACTGTGAAGACCGTCAGTGGATGTACATCTGTTGGACAACAGGATTTTGAGGTCAAGTCAAGGTCAAGGTAAACAAGAGATGAAAGTTGACGATATTTAAACCAAGATGAGACCCCATTTTGGTGTGGTATTTTAGGAAAGTAAAGGATGTATTTGTGTTAAATTAAGCTATTATATGCTTTATAAAGTCATCACCTATTAGTGTTTAATAGGAGATAAGTTACCGTTTATTAATATGTGCCAATTTTATTTATTTTTTTGTTTTTAAATAACTATGTGAGGAGAGAAACCCAAAAATTATACTAAGTAAATAAACCCTACTTTCTCTGATTATATACCTACCTAATTACAAAAATATATACAATACTATAATTAATTTACAATCATTTTTTAAGTTATATTGTGCCATCATCTGCAATAACATGTGAAAAGTAATAGTTTTCAAATAGTGTAATGTTTTTACTAACAGACAGCATCTACTCTGTCGCAAGCATTAGCAAATATTTATCCTTCACATCTTCGTGTTCTTAATAAATGTGAGTCATAGTGAACCACAAATGTTTCTATTATTTATTAATGTATAAATTGAGCTCTATGAATCATTGAATTGTGTTAACTACACATTGAATAAATTTTGGGTTTTCACAATATATTTCAAAAAAAAATAATTTTCTGTTGCAAGTCAGAAATAAATTAGAAATACTTTCAAAGATGCTGTACATTAATATACAAACAACGGAAAAAAAAATCTCATTTCTTTTTTGTTTTTATATTCAGAAATAACATGTACACCACATATATGGTTCAAGAAATCCTACATACAATGCTAAATGATAACTAACCCACTTACTGTTACTCATAACTGTATAACTGTGCAACAGACTATATTATTCAATTGGACTTAAACACTTGGTGAAGCAAGTGTTTAAGGCCCAACTGTTTCAATTATTGATTCTATTTTAAGGCTAAAATGTGTTACAATACATTATATTTTTCTATGTTTAATAAAATTTATATACTTAGAATATTAGTTTATCTGAAAACTATTTTTCTTTAATGTCCAGAGGTAATATGATAAAATATTAAATAGAGAGTAAAATGTTAACTAAAAAAATACACAATGAGAATGTACAAAAACATGCTTGTGTTTAAAAGATATTTTCAATATTCTTTTTTAGCCTGGGACTGCTTTGAGCTCACTGCCACTTTGGGAAATCATTTTGAAAAAGACATATAAGATAGGATTCTGTTCCTTTCAATTAAAAAAGCTCGAAATAATTGATCCACTTATTAAAGCTTTTTAAAAACATCATCACAATTAGAGAATTTCTAATCAGTAAGACTGTTGTTTACTTTTAAAAGTATTATTCATTCATGCAGGATATTGGCTATGCATTCATTGTAAAAAAATCTTATATGAATCAGATGATAACAAAGTATACTCACAGCCAGCTTTTTTCGTATTTTTAAGCTATAACACACAACTCTATACACTTTGCAGCTATATTATACATTTAAAGGCCTACAAACAAAAGTTCTTACACAATCAAGCTTTGTTTCGGAATCTCTCTAAACACGTCAATAACATTCATTCAACTTACGAGTATCCCGTTTGTAGTATTATGAAAGTTGGCATTATGCCACAGGAACACAGCTGTCGTGAACTAGGCCACGAATTACATGCATCTTACTCCGATAAAATTTTACATCAATTAAACCAATTGTTCTTAAGCAATCTGACGAGAACAATGACCCCTTCTCTTATATCTTTCAAACCGGAGTATAAAGATAAACAAAGTTAAACTTACCGCAGTTATAACGACAGACACATTAAATTACTTATAAATAACAGAATCAAAGTTCAAATGAATAATTTGAGCTGGGACGGAATTGAACAAGATTCGATTGTTATCACGAACGAGTTGCTGTTTAACACCTTTATTACTCCGCCTTTGCACAATTCTAGTTCTATTTTATTAGTTTTAAGTCAGCATTTTTTGTTTTTAATTTTTTTATTTTATTTATGGGCTACTTTTAAATTATTTATTCGAATTAAAAACATAAAACCTGACACCCGACAAGTTGTATGACGTGCAGACTAAAGAACTTCTGAGCATAGACAAATGCAATCACTGAGTCAAAATGTAGAAGATGACGAAGTTGCATTGTCTAGCATATGCTCTATGGAAATATGATTTCTCTATGCTATCAAAATATTCTTGTGCAATTGAAAATTTCTTAAAATCTTTACATAATGATAATAAAGACTTTATTAACGCTTGAAAGGTTAAAATAAAACAGCATCAGCTAAATTCCTATCTATTATTTTAGTAAACATGTTAATAATATATTCTACAGATAGTTTGCAATATTTAAAACTAGATAAAGTATTATACAACTTCACAAAAGTGAGAAGCGTCAATTAAATTACGTTATTTAGCGAGCAAAATACTGGATTGACAACATAGGCATTGTAATTTATCACATGAATTAATAGCAGAGCATTTTCCTAAAATTACTATGCCTGATTAACAATAAAAATACATTTTATGTGTCGAAACATAATTGTAAAACGATGACATTTCTATTTTTATTCTGTACTCTAATGTATCCCTTGTACAGATAATAAATACAATGACGTGCTCAACTATTCAATAATTTTGAAGGGCAGTGGGGTTGTGTCTGTGGTCCCCGAAGACGTGGTGAAAAATGGTGTCACGTCGGAAAGGTAGTTACGCGGAATGAGACCAACTAGGAGTGCTAATTTTGCAGCAATTGGCGCTTTCTCCTCATCGTCAATTATAGTATCTTGATCCGGCATAACCTAGACAAGAACAAAATATGATCTATAGACTAGTTTTTATAAATACATAGATATTATTGATGACTCAAACCATTACAATCATTTCATTTCTTGTAGAAAACATGCCAACTACATTAAATAAATAGGTCATAAAAATATATAATATAAGATAAATCTAAATTCTTACTTTATCTGCAACATGTTTCTGAATTAGACCATCTGAACCAACATAGAAAGTGGAGAACCCATCATACCACCTAAGGAAAAAATAGTTTTTTAAAAAATATAATAATTTTACTGAACAAAATTCAGTACAGATAGCAATTATATTTTATTATTATTATTTTCTTTCAGGGACACCTGTGGTAGGACGGGAGATCAGTCCACGTTATCAGCTGACCATTTCACCCATTTCCCCAAATTATATTTTAAGAAATGGAAATCATTACATAGTATAAAAAAAAAGTTGCTTTTCTGTCCCTATGTATACTTAAATTCTTTAAACGCAACGGATTTTGATGCGGGTGTTTTTAGATATAAAGAGTGATTCAAGATAAAGGTTTCATTCATTTTTCTGTAGTGAATTTTGCATTGCACCCGGGCGAACGCGGGGCGGGTTGCTAATTATATATAAAATCAAGATTGCTTACATTTCCTGATCTTGGAAAACTTCCTTCATGTTCCATAGTTTATACTTCCAAAACATAAAAAAGACTTTTAATCCAGATATTCCTTTGATACGCCATCGCATTCTGTAAATTATAGGACGCAGTCATGTATAAATATATTTTAATAGTAGGTATTAGCCTGAACAAAGACCCTTCTGTATTTATAGTATTATAGAAATACATAAATTACCACAGCCTAGAAGGCTTCAAACAAAAAATTAAAAAGATAGATAGTTAATTTTTAAATAAGATTTAGGACGAAATTTTTTTAGTATTTGGTTATTTTAATATTATTGTAATATTCAATAATCAATATCCTTACTTGATGCTTGAATCCTCTGGATGAACAGTAATTTTCATGACCTCAAACTTGACATAAGCAAATTTTATGTGACCTACTGTGCGTAAAAGTGCTACTTGTTTGACGTAGTGAATTAAGCCCCTGAAAATAGAAATAGGTGACATATGGAATTTGTTAAAGTTGCAATGATTTCCTTAATTGAGATTTATATGAATAATGAATGAACAAAATTTACCACATGCTGCCACCAGCATGGAATGCTGTGGATACCTCTATCTAATCCAAAATCGAAATTTATATAATGCCATTAAGTGGATATGTAAAATACTAGTTATTTATTGTCTAAGAGGTTAAGAAATTCGGGGGTATAATTGCCTTGTTTTTATTTAGCATTACTTACTAAATATTTGACCAAAGGTATATTTATAATATAGACCTTTGACCCTTTTCTGTTTTATGATGCTCTATAACTAGAGAAAAAATATGTTATAATGGACTATGTAAATGGTTGTTTTGTACTTACACTGTTGTAACACCTCTGATATTATTAACAAATACTAAATTAGGGTGGTAGATAGAGTAGTCAAGTGGTTTGAAAAAAAGTTCTGGCATCTGAAAGTTAAACACAACAACAATATACATACAAAATTGTCCAATGATAATCATGCAACAAACAATTTTAAATATCCCATTACTATCAGTGGCAGAACAGAAAAATAATGTTTATATATTCTTATAGCATCAAATATTTTTCCTACCGTAGCTGAGAGTGTATGAAATACTTTCATCAGCTGTTCCTCACTAGGTTTTCCTTCCTCTGAAGGGTTCTGAGTAGCCGGAGATGGTGTCACAGGTCCTTGACAGAAAGCAATAGCATCTCTTTCAAAGTCTGAGAGACATGTGGGTTCAATATCCTAGAAATTGAATATAATGATTATTGCTCAACTAAATTAAAGAAAAGGAATTTAAATTTTAATCCTCCACTTAACTTTCCAATCATCCTAGAAACTTAGCATAAACATTGGAATTAAATCTTACCTCTCCATGATATTTAGTAAAATCAATATCATTCATATTGATGGATGGTAGGGAAATATAATTATATGGACTTTTAATTTCTACATAGTCATCGCTTCTAAGATCCACAGATCTTACACCAAGCTCCTTGTAATTTTGGACAGGACCCAAATTAATATCTTTTCTTCTAATTGCATCTGCAGACTCAATAAAGGTTATGTTTCCTTTTTCACGTCTGTTTAAATTGTTTGATATTGCTAATTCGTGCAGATTAATGTCGTCTCCATTATCAACTACGGCACATTTTGGTGCGAGCTGATAGCTTGAAATACGTCGTTTATTCAAAAACTGAAATCGAATAGAAACTTGACATTTTAGAACTATTAATTTACGTGAAATAGTTTTCTTAAGCTTAATACATGTTAAAAATAAGAAGTTTCAAAAGCAATACTTACATCTTCCAGAAATTGGGGCCGAATCGGAATTTTCCGGGACAAACGACTCGAATGGTTTTTTGTCGTAACTATATTGTTTATCGGCAGTATTTTGTGTGAAAATGTGCGCAAACAGATGGCCATTGTGACATTAACGCCTGTTTAAATTGCTTTCACAGCTAACCAAGAAAATTCGAGAGATGTTCGAAAATTTTCGCTGGAGGAAAACACATAACATGCCCTTCTTTTAAACACACCGCTCATGACAGTAAAATGAAAATTCTTTAGATGTCAGTTTCATGTCATCTTAAGATAGTCAACAGATGATATTGACAGTTAATCAGATGTTTTTTAAACAAATTGTCTGTCACTTGATCCTGTGAGGATTTCCATTTGTTTGCGTTGTTAATTAAAATTTTAATAATTTAGGGATCAGCAGCGTCAGATTGTGCAGCTATTTTTTATATTTGAGTAGGATAGATATATAGCAAAACAATATTATTAGACTGTCCCTTCAGAAGGAAGCAAGATATAATGAATATACAACGAATACTGCCTAGAGTTTATGGAATTTTAACTAATTTTAATACCGTAAGTATACATACTTCCTACAATTTTTACCTTTCAAACTTTATACATGTACCTCAGAACTTTCGCCTTATAAACACTGACCATTAACTGCGTATATTTTTTTTAAGTGCGCCCCTTTGACTAATACGAGTACAATTCGGTTTCAACATGATAAAAGCAGCATTAATGAACACAGAGCAAAGGTCATGGCGAAGGGGTTGCCCGAAAAGAAACCATTACCAGGAGTGAAGAGTATAGTTCTTGTAGCTTCTGGGAAGGGCGGGGTTGGAAAAACCACTACAGCAGGTAATATCAAATTTAAGTAATCTAATATGGAATATAGTAACAAAGTTTAAATATACATAATTTGAAGCTTATGTAACTTCTGTATAGATTATTGTTATTGTCTTATTATCTGAGTTTTTGGTGAAATGTGTCATGAGTTTTTAGTTTCAAACCTACAACAAGTTTCAGAACTGAGGCCTACAGGTTATGTCTGCTATACCTCACACCTAAGTTTTTTAAAAAATTCATAATGGTAGAATTTTGTATTAATCCTCCTGCCTAACTCTATTATTATTTTTAGTGAATCTTGCATGTGCTATGAAAGTGATAGAGCCAGATAAGGAGATAGGGTTGTTAGATGCTGATGTGTTTGGACCATCAGTACCCCTCATGATGAATATAAGTGGAGAACCAATGCTCAATGACGACAATCTTATAGAACCTCTCCTGAACTATGGTGTTAAATGGTAATTGAGATGAAAATCATTAATATTGATTATAATTGTGCTACTTTTAAAAGTAGAGCCTGAGTACCTATAGGTGCTTTTACTATTGGTAAAGTGTCTGTGGAAACATGAAGACAACACATGGAATATCATATCATCATAGAAAATTAAAGTGAAAAAAAGGTAATTTTCTATTTATGCTATTGTTACATATTAAAATCAAAAACCCTTTAAAAAATTTCAGTATGTCCATGGGTTTGTTAGTATCTGGTGAGAATGCTGTGGTATGGCGTGGGCTGATGGTCATGCAGGCGTTAGAAAGACTGACAAGGCATGTTGCTTGGGGTCCCCTTGACTGCCTCGTTGTGGACACACCACCTGGCACGGGTGACACGCACTTGTCACTAGCACAGAACCTGCCTATTGATGGTATATATACATACAAACAGTGCCTAAAATTCAGCTATATTTTAGATTAATATTAGATGTTATTATTATTCTCTTTTGGGGACACTGATCAAGGGCTGGGTCCTTGATCGGTGTCCCCGATGATGATACAAATAAAATTGTGACCCACTAAACCCTTTCTCACAACATAAGTACAAAATTAGCTCAAAGAAGGAAGTAGCATGTATAACTTTCTATTCTAGAAACCACTATCAAAGAATGAAGTATGATGTTTTTAAGAAAATTATTTTACATGAAACGTGTCTTTACTTATTTTTTTTTTTTTACACTTCTAATTCAGGAGCAATAGTTGTAACAACACCTCAGTCAGCTGCACTTCAAGTAACAAAACGTGGTCTTAACATGTTCGATAAGCTGAAAGTACCCATAATTGGTCTTGTGGAGAACATGTCACACGCGGTATGTAAAAACTGCGGGACAAGGAACTATATTTTTGGAAATGAAACAAAACAAATGGCTGAACAGATGCAACTAGAGATGATTGAAAGTTTTGAAGTCGATCCAGATATGTCTGAGTGTATTAATAGTGGAAAGCCAGCGATATATGCATTACCGGACAGCATACATGCAGAGAAATATAGACAGCTAGCGAATAAAGTGTTCAAATATATATCTAATAAGGATAAAGAAGAAGCGACTGCCACGAAGTAGATTGAATACCGTACAATCAATCAGGCAGTGCATTTAGAGGCTTTTGTACTGTGACCAAATATACATATGGTATTATACTATGCTATACTTATACTTCTGGGTTTTGGGCGTCCTACTAAGGTATAGTCAATAATAGAGCACAAATGCCAATGTGCACAAGACCTGCAGGGAAATTTTGTGTTAGACTCCCGATCATGTTTCTATCACAAGAAAACACTTATCAGAGTGTAGATAAAAATTAACCTTTCTAATGCACCACGGGATAAACCCAGCGTATACTACTGTACCATAATATCTCTATTGGTTAAATAGGATATTGTTAATTTTAGTTTCAAAGAAGTGCAATAAAGTCGAAGGTATATAACTATTTTGATTAAGTTTAGTTTTATTTTTTGTGACTCTAAAAGCAAGCAGACTTGTGTTGACTAGGCTTGTAAAGTGTAATATGAATTGTATTCAAGGAATGATCAAGTTGCAGTATCATTAGGTATTGCACACCATATGTATATTTGTACACATATAACGAGTAACTGTAGTGAAAACTTTTCAAATGTATCTCTGGTCCACACTTTTTATTATCAGTTATTATACAAGTAATTGTTGAAACTTTGTTTATTTAATATTTTACAAACAAATCTGTCATACAAAAAATGTCTTACTCAACTTTATGGCATTTACAGTGCGCAAATAGGGGTATGTCGACAAAATCAAAAGAAATAAAAGTACTATAAAAATATGTCTTTTAAATATTTACAATTTAATACATAGATTATGTGTGTAAGTACAGTATGCAGACTGTCCTCATTAAATTCGGAATGAACGATAGAAAAAAGAAACGCGCAATGAAAGTTGGGATTTAACTGGTCTTGTGACAACCTGCGCGGGAGTGTTTTTCAAGGCTAATATGTGCGTATGTCGCCGAAAATCTTTCTTAATATCGAATTGCCCCGTAAAAGTTTGGCTGTCTTTTCTTTTTATGTTATAATTAAATAGTTAATGATAAGTTGCTTTACATCATCTGATAGTAACTTAACTAAGCACATATTTCTTAACACATATGAAAAATCCCACCACTGTGATTAGGTGGTCCTTTTATCGCGCGCATTAAAAACACAACGCAACATAGGACGATTCAAAGAAACGTGTGAAGTACTAAAAGACAGCAGAAACTCAATAGATTTTTACATGATGAAATTAAAAAAAAATACCATTTAAAATCAATTATATCTAAAAACTAAACGTCACGGTGTCAGCATATAATGCTTCTCGTCATAAAACACACTTAACGATGTAACGATAATTATTTTAGTGTTTAATAAATGTGTAAAAACTTTTTGCTTAGTTTGCGCGCAAAAGAAACTGGCTGGACAGAATTAGGAAAAAAGAAGAAAAAGAGAATTTCATAAATTTGTTTTATTAAAAATATACCAATGACAACGTGTAAAAACATTAGCGCGTAAACTAAGCAAGATGGCGCCTATTTACATAACATAGTTTCAGTTCGCACATTAACAGCCTAACCAACAAAATGTCCATCCATGCGATAGCACACACTCTACCACTTTTTCTTGTGCTCGTCCATACTAACACCGCCAGGCCCAAGGTATACTATCATGAGTAGACCGCCAATCACCGATAGAGTCTGAAACAAAAGTGATTTATTACTTTTTAATTTAACACTAATCAATTTTATTTAACTAGCTCTTCTTTTGTGACTTGACTGAAGAGACACAGAGAACTTCAAACTATTATCTTCTCACGTTTGAGCAGATAAAATACACTGGGTTTATAACCGAGCCATTGTATAAGGAAAATAATTTGAATGCAAAAAATTAAACCAATGTATGACACAGTTATAGTCGAAACAGATGTTCCGCTACTGGCATAGTAGTATATCGCGAGTTCCAGTGCAACGTATCTCATACATTTTAAAATCTATCTACAAATAACTTATTTTATTTATGTCACATGTACATAAATATTGAAAACAAACCTGGAAGAAGTCATATTTAAGGAAATCTCTGAGCGGCTTGTAAGACGGCACCGCCCACCACGCATTGTGATATAAATTGAGGACTGACAGTACAAGAACCAGCATCAGTGCAGACAGTTTGGTACGGTAGCCCACTGTAACCAGGATCATGAGGATGCTGCCGAGCAGGTCTTGGACAATCTGTAAGATAAATGGTCCATTGTCAACCAGAGAGAGATAATTTAAAAATTCTTTTATAGTCCTGGAAACTATTTCATGTGCCTAATCAGCAACTCTATAAAGCACTTTAACGGTTTAAAATACATATGCACTAGTTAAACGTATTAGAAAATTATGCTAACTACGGCTCGACGTTTCGGATGCTTTGCAGCAGCCGTGGTCACGGCGACAGTCAAAAATATTTTCCAATTAATTTTTAATAAGGTTTATCGCGTTTTAAACCGTTAGTGTTTTATCTAGATAATATTAGATCAATATATTAATAGACCACCAACGCCGTCCCGTCAGCAGTAATTAATGAACGGGCCAGTGATTCTGCTATTTTTAGATATATACATATTCAAAACCCTTAATCGCCTACATAGCTCATATCTAAGTGTCATATGGTCATAGGTTCAAATTACGGAAAAGTGTTATTGTTATATAGGGCATAGAAGCCTAGGAAAAAGTTCTTTAACAAGTAAGAAATACCACAGACTGAACACATTAAGTCTTTCTTTTAGAATCTTACTTCAATTTAACAAAACGAGATTAAATAAAAGTAGAGAGTTCATGTTTTGAGAAACGCCTAGTTGATGTTCATTTTGAAGACTATTTATTGTTGCCGATTCGATTGTAGGAAAGAGACAACATTATTTTGTTGAGTCTCTGTAGTGAATAAAATATATTAAAACAAACCTGCAAGAACGACACTTCGAATCTCAACAGCGTGATGAACATGAACGCCAACAGAATTCTACCAGCAAGCTGCAGATACGATTTCGGCTTGTTCTCACCGAGCGAGGGCACACCCGCGAACAAGCTCCGCCCTTCAGCCCGGGCCTCCGCCACGACTAGTAACAAGGCACCTATGAGAGCCAAGTTTCGTAGAAGGAATTGCATATCCCATAATATACTGTATGCGAATGTCTGTAAAGAGATTGGAATTATAAAATGTTCGGTGTCATCAAGGTAAACCCATTTTAATTCAATTTTAATCACTACGTACGAAATGTTTATGAAAACTTAACTTGACTTGATGGTGAACATTACAATTGACCTTTGAGATCGCAGTAACATATAACATACTAGAAAGCAAACAATTAGCGGTAATAGCAGAAATATCTTTGATACTCCTAACAATAAGGGGTAAAAAAGAGGGGGGAGGTCAAAAGGCCCAAGATTTTGTCCCTATTATCTAACTTATCTTACACAATATATTGAGATTCTAGAGGAATTACTACCAAAATACTACGCAAATAATATTCATGCGAAAAAGTATTTCGTAATTCGTATACCACGAAACTATAAAAGAGTAGGCAAATGGCAAAATTTTATATCACTTACCTGTAACACTACAATGAAGAAGAGCATGCCACAGGCTATATCCACCTTCAACCTGCCCAGCACCATTACGCATCCTCCCAATTGACCAAATAGGTTTACTATCTGTAATATATTTTTTTATCATTACTTATCTACACGTCATGAATAAGTTTTAATTCGTTTCATCGCAATGAAATACTACGCTATATATAGATTACATTTAAACTTCGTAAATTCATTATGGTTTATTTTAAAGCACTTTAACGGTTTTAAACGCGATATGTGTTAGTTATACTTTGAAAGTTATTGTATGTTATAATTAGTTATTATAAGTGCTGAAAGCATCCGTAATGCCGTATCGCGTTTTAAACCATTAGTGTTTTAAATACTGTCTATAGTTTACGCGAGTAGTACACATTTAAATAAAACACTTTAACGGTTTAAAACGCGATATATTAGTTAAACTTATTTCAAAAATGATTTTTAACTTCGGCCCGGGCACGGGGAGAAATAAGTTTAACTAATATATCGCGTTTTAAACCGTTAAAGTGTTTTATTTAAATTTGTACTACTCGCGTACACTCAGTATTTTATGGCTTTTTTTTGTTAGTGGCACCCTAAGTGACGAAAGCGAAATTTTAAAAGTGTCATATCAAAATTTTAACCCGAAACCGCTTATAAACCACAGATTCAGTTAAACTTAAGCAATAGATCTTAAGAAATAATATTGTGTGTGAAATCCCGTTTCCCCTATGTAGCAAATGGGTAGATACTATGTTTAGCTAATTGTAGACACAAATCTCGGCTTTAGGACCTGACGAAGAAAACCTTTTTTTTTATTAAACGCGAGTGTTTAATAAAAAAAAGGTTTATCAAAAGATACGAAGACACTCCGCAACGGTGCGTACGTGACGTAATTGATTTTGGCAAGTGAAAGTGCTGAGTGCGAGTTAAGTTTTTACCGCGATCATCCGCGCTGTTTCCAGTTTGTTAAATCGGTTACTAGGGTCAAGGCTGTCCACTATAATTCAATGGACGTATCTTCACGGATATCAAACGATTCGTTCTCAATTTTACGTGTCCAAATTTAATAGGTCAAGGCAAGGAATTTTATTAAAATATAGTATCCGACGAAGAATTAAAAATGATGTTAGAGCATACTATTTCGAAACACGAAGAAGTAAATGCCGACTTCAGGCGATAAACGAACATTCTATTTTTGCGTCGAAAAATGTCTTTAAAATGCTTTATCACATTTTAATTTACCCTTTTTTTACTGATGGTATGAATGCCTAATGCACACCCACGTCGGGCAGTATCTAGTTACGCGGGGAGTGTGATAAATCGTATTTTAAGCTCTTCGGAGACAATAGCCGACCAGAACCACTAAACACACCACCAGCCCGCTACGGTGCTTTGAGCAAAGAATGTGTCAAAACAATTTCATCAGTGTATTTCAAAACATCGCGATCGTGCAATAAGCAAAACATTAAACAACTTACTGAATCTGGAATTGAAATATATAATTTTAAATGTAAACTTTATTTTATTCTTTATACAAGCGATAAAGCAATATATATGAAACATGCCATGTTAAAATGTGTAAATTTCCTTGTTACCTAGTTTAGTGTTGTTTCCTAGTTTTAAAAACTAACGAGTGTTGCGACAAAATAACGTATTAACTTAGCACTTATTTTAAATTAAATATCAAATTAAAACATTTATTAATATAATTGTATGGCCATAATGTGTATAATAAAGTTCATATTAATTAAAGTAACAGTAATTTTGTAAGATGATAAGAATTAATATTTAACGTAACTTCCTAGATACTCTTAAGTGATTTAAACGGATTAAATGCCTACATTTTATTGACTTCTATTCAAATAAAAAATATATTTCTTACATGTGTACATATAAATTCTCCTAAATTGTCTAAAAACATCTACTATTTAAAAACTGTTGATCCATTTACAAGATTAAAAGTGACAAACTAAAAAATAAATTTTACTTTGTATTCTTATTAATAAATATTAATATGTATTAACTATATGGAAACATCATAACTTACAACAAACATTGTAGCAAGGAACTTCCCGCAGCCCCATGACATGTCCATGTAGTCTCTTTGCTCTGACCATTGGAACCACATTCGTAGACCATCTTCAAGGAATGTGGATATGAGACACAGCCGAGCCACTGTTGGTAGTACATTCTTTCCTTTTCTTATGACCTTTACAAGATTAAAAATATAAATTAATAACGTAATAATGAACTAACATTAAATGAACAAAAATGTCCCAGTTCACTTAGAAGGTAAAGGTTTAAATATTTTCATAATTTATTTAGTTTATTAGATAGAAAGTATAAGTCACCTTCCATGACAACGTTCAAAGATTTGTCATTTAACAAAAAATAGCACAAAGCTAACATAAAATTAGTAGCTAAACATGGTTATTTGATAACTACATTATTCTTTACATGTAGTTGCTCATAATGCCATTACATATGTGAAACATCCTAGTTAAATTGGTAAGAGCAGCAACACTGATGGCAATTACGCCAGTTCAAATCCTGTTTGCGCCATAACTTTTTAAATAAATGTTTAACTTATGCATGGATTTGTTTCTGCCTTCTAATTTTAAAATTCTAATCTTCAAATCTTTTTTTATAGACATTGCAAGTCATAATGATTCACTTATACTAAGAAAATCACATAAATTAATAAAATATTTATAATGTATTTATCACATTATGTAATGTTATTGTAATTTATTAGTAATAAGTTACTGTTTTACAAAAGATAAGAAAATCCATGAAGTAATATATGCATACATTAATTACCACAGTGATAAGGTAATGTGTAAGTGTGTGTAATTATAAGTGTAATACTTATAGCATTACCTAAATTTGTGGTCATTTAAAATGCAAATAAAAATTTTATATCTTACGTCAATAAATAATCTTTGTTAAAAATAACATGTAAGGTATAAATGTATGTACAACTCAAGTACATATTTAACATATTTTTATACATGTTTAGAATTAAAATTTTTACTTAACAAAAAGAAAACAGTCATCTAATTAAATATATGTGTTTGTACAATATTGACAAAAATTAAGTACTTATGTGAAAAAGTGTAACATAACTTTCATTCTTATGTTAGATACTAAGTTTTTTTATTTATTATAGCCATTCAGATGACCATTTGCTCCAAATTGTCTGTCTTAAGTCTATCTAGAAACTTTCACTTATTGAATAATATTGAAAGTGAGGTTTTCATGCCTTTGGGAGTTGTGTATGGCAACAGCTCCATATTGTGAATATTGACCTATGAAATGCGGCCTCAACTTTATTCACGCGAATAAGATTTCAAGAAAAAATATTTTTTATATTGCACTTTGTTCCACCTGTGGAGTTGTTATTGCGTCTCAGAAATATAAAAACACTATAAGTTAAAAGCAGTGCATAGTTTTATATTGATATATTAATGTACGTAGTAAATACTATTAATACAGCGAAATTGGGATAAAATATTCGAGTCGGAGCCAACTTAAAAGTTGAGTGACGTGACAGGAGTACACGTCGAGTAAACGGTCTTTTTAATGGGATTTATGAATATTATTATTATTACCTGATCCGCTATATCTTCGGCCGTAGAAATGTACTCATTGGGTATCTGCATTTTTTAACACTTTCTACCACTAACACTATCACCTAAAACTCCTTAACAAAATTTCACTGTCGTCGGTCTTGTCGATGTCGTTCGTCGAATGACGTGTGGACAGTTGGATACACTTCCGGGTCAATAAAAAGCTTTTAAAATCGTTGTATACAATTACGAAATAAACAATTACAACATAATAATCAGTATTTCTTAATAAAAATATTCTGTTTTTTCGTGAGACGTTTGATTAAGCGTAAAAGCGAAATGATGATGTAAATATTTTAATTTGTAATTTTACCGGGTATTTTTATAAAATAATGTCAAACAAATGTCAAAATTGTTAGGTATGCGGAAACGTTCCGACCTACGTAAAATGTTAATAAACGTAGACAAAATGTTATCTTAAAATGCCAGTATGTTAAATAAAATGTTTTATTGTCATTTTATAGACATTACTGTAATCATCATTAATAAATGCTTATTTTGATTCAGAGAGAAAGCTACAGATATTCCTTTTAATAATACGAATTACAGTGTAAACTGTCAATTGTCAGTTTTCAAGTAAATATTGAGGAATTTAAAACTTCAAATAAATATTTAACCAAGCCTACCGAAAAATAAATAAATAGCAATTTAATTTTAACAAGATACTAAATTAATAACCTACATAAAATCGGCAGACATTAACTAGTAGCCGATAAGTCATTTTTCAGAGGTAAGACAATTAATTTGTCTTTATATGAACAAGCTTTGTATTAAACAGGATTTTTTATTATGTTTATTTGTTATAGACAATGCTAGAGGTTACCTGCAATGACCGATTAGGGAAGAAGGTACGAGTTAAATGTAACCCTGATGATACAGTTGGCGATTTAAAAAAGTTGATAGCAGCGCAAACTGGGACCAGATATGATAAAATCGTCCTAAAGAAATGGTACACAGTGTTTAAAGACCACATCAGACTATCTGACTGTATCCTTTTAATGTCTTCTACGTAATTTCTTATTAAAATGCTTCAGACTTGATAGAATACCAAATGATTAAAGTTTCTAAATATTTATATTATTTTTAGTTTGATTACCAAAAATCAGCCACACATCATGCATGTGTATAAAATGCTGATGAGGCAGTTAATGTATCTTCAGATACTTTTGTTTTCCATATTTAGCATTTGACATTTATGAATGTATTTGGCTGCTGTCATAAATGTTTAATGTTGGTGATAACTTTTGAGACTATTAAAAATCTTTTATCACCGATTAATTTAATTAAAAAAAAATATTTATTGTTATTTTCATAAAATGGTTTTCAATAATTAATTTTAATAGGTATTGTCTTTTATATAAGTTCCTTACACCTACAATTCAGATGAAATTCACGATGGGATGAATTTAGAGCTGTACTATCAATAGATTTATTATTTTCCTTCGGGGACACCTGTGCTAGGACGGGTTATAAGTCCACGCTATCGGCTGACTATTTCACCCATACTATCAAATAGGACCTTTTAAACTTTGAATAAATATTTGTAAAATAATAATAATTTTTCATTTAAGATCTTGTTTGCTTTCTTTTTTTACAATTATCTCAAATAAAGTTTCTATGTATATTTATATATTAGTTTTAAAATTTGCTTTAAATGTAGTAACATTATAATTGAAGACTGACACCTACAACTTATGGAGCCACGTAACTTATTAAAACATCAGTTTGAACTTAAAATGAATATATTTTGAGTTTCATAAAGCATTGTTTTTATTTACTTAAAAGCTTTCCTTTTTAAATTGATATTTTGAAGAAGTTTGTGCATATACCGTTCTATTTCGATTTTAATGGACGGAAATATTTGTTTATTATTTTTTTCATAAAACTAAATGTATAGGTCTATCTATACATTTTTTTCGTTTTACTTTATAAGACTTGTGGTACGATGTTCCTAACATTATATTATTCTAAAGATTTCTCTTTTCTAAAGACGCCTTAACATTATACATGTACCTATGGTAGAGATAGACGTGTTCGCCAACGTCTGCAGATGAATCTGTCATATAATAAAATAAGGTTAGTACGCTTGTAGACAAAAATAATAAACTTTTATATGTGTATAGTGTTTATATTTGTTTTTTAATACTGTTATTTGAATATAAGAGGTGTCCTAATAGTTGTAAAAAAAAACATCCACTTATGGATATGACAATTGACACGATGAAACTTGACAGTACAAAATGAAAACGTCATTCTATTGATGCGTGGAGCGTGCCCTCCCTACAGAAATTGTTTTATAACAAAAATTTACCACGGACATTTTGGAGGCAAATAATAGAGCATAATTTTGAAACATTGTTTAAATGATAAGTATTGTTAGTTGTAATTATAATGTCCGAAACGGAAGGTATGTTAATGTTACAAACGAGTTTTATAATTCGACGCTGTGTTTCTAATTCTAAACGTTTTTACAGAATACAATCAGCAGAAGCCAGCTAAAACGAGCAAGCAGCATAATGTGTTACCGATATGGGGTAATGAACAAACAATGAATCTGAACCCTCTTATTTTAGCAAATATTCAAGGTTCTAGCTACTTCAAAGGTAGGTAAGCAAACGTAACAATCCAGCGGAGTTTTCATTTGATGGCGTCCGAGTTCTTTCACTCTTAGCTCCGTGATTCCTTTTTTGACATTGTTTTTATTATATCGTTTTTTTACAGTACATCTGTTTAAATTGAAGACCTACCATGAAGTTGTTGATGAGATTTACTACCAGGTGAAGCACTTGGAGCCATGGGAGCGTGGAAGTCGAAAGACCGCGGGCCAGACTGGAATGTGTGGCGGCGTGAGTATGTTAATAGACAAACTTATCTGTTTTGTGTTATTTGTATAGTACAGCTAGTTCAACCTGAGCTTCGGCTGTCAAAAAAGAAAAAAGTCTTTTCTGTTTTAATTTTATTGTTAAAATTCAAAGTTTCAATTAGAAATAAAAATTATTACCTTTTGATACTGTTGCCAATAAATATAAAATGGTACATATTTTTTGTATTAGCTTGTGAAAATTTCAAATGAACCAAATGTACACACACACATACATCAGTTATAGTAGTTTGTACATTAATACTTCTTTTTTTGCTGTTAGGTAAGAGGTGTTGGTGCTGGTGGTATTGTATCAACCGCCTTTTGTCTCTTGTATAAGCTGTACACATTGAGATTAACAAGGAAACAGGTGAATGGGCTTTTGCAGCATAGTGACTCGCCATACATCAGAGCTCTTGGTAGGTATGATATGGACAATTCTCAATTACATGTTATCATATCACTTGGTCTATGTTATTTGATCTTACCTTGTATTTCAAGTCTTTATAAATCAATTAAATTTATAATTTATTCCCTAATCCTAAATTCCTTGTTAAAGGCAAGTTATATTTGTAACTCAAGTGAAAAATTCATTTCCTAAAAAGATCACGGTACTAATTATGCTGTTATGAAAAATTTAGGTTTTATGTATGTGCGGTATACTCAACCACCTGCAGACTTGTTTGACTGGTATGTGGATTACTTGGATGATGATGAGGAAGTAGACCCAAGGGCAGGAGGTGGCGGCACTACCACAATGGGTGCACTAGTGAGACAGATGCTTATCAAGCTTGATTGGTTTAGTACATTGTTTCCAAGGATACCTGTACCGATCCAAAAACAAATTGAGCAAAAGTGAGTATTAGATATGTGTGTAATCTTGTTCTTTGTGCGTTGCGATTACAAATCCCATACTCGCCACATCTATATCTATATAAATTTCCTTATTTAAAATATCTAACTGCAGGCTAGCTGACCACAACCGACAGATGGCACCAACAAACCAGACTGCAAACTATCGAGGCGGTGGTACTAGCAACTACAATCCAGGCCGCACAGATGGAGATAGGCGCGAGCACGATGACAGGGACAAAAGAGATTACGGTGATGGTGACAGGGACAGGTAAATAAGAGAGTGCCTTTTTTTAACTAGGACTATGGGGTAATCTAAAGTCTAAAATATATAAACCATGTGGTCTTATTCTGAAAACATTACACCCATAACAATAAAAAAAAATCAGTATGGATAAACTATGATTCAGAAAGAGGAAATGGGTGGAATGTTCAACAAGTGATGTGGACTGATCACCCAGTCTTCTATCCATGTCCCCGGAAGAAAATAATAATAATTATTATTCAGATTTTATTTTATTCATATTTTGATTCTTGCCTAGTTGGTCCCTATACAAATTATCCATTAACGTTATGTCTCATTATTATGGACAACACTTGCTTGACCAAAACAATTGCATTTCAATATGATATTATAAAATATAAAAACATATTTGTACAAATACCCTGTATTATTTTTAGAAAAAACTTATTTCTCTTCTATCTACTTATTTCTGAGACTATCATTTGTGATGAATATCACCACTTTTATACATAGGTAGTCATATTTTAATTGTGATTCTGTTTAGCCAAGAAGTAGTGTTCTCCATCTGGAACTTTGCTTAATAGTGATATTAATTAACTATTGTTAACAAATTTAAGCCCAGATATAACCGAGACTATAGATAACCTCATCATAATATTTACAGATACGCAAAAGACAGAGGAGGCAGACGTGAAGACAGAGAACCGAGGGACAGGGAACGGGATCGCGACCGGCGTGAACGAGACGTGCGCGACAGACACCGTGATCGGTCGCGTGATCGCCACATAGAGAGATCGCGCGATCGCCCGCGACATAGATCCCGATCAAGGGACCGTCGCTACAGATAATGAATGTTGTACCTCAATTTCTATTTACAATGATACGCAATTGACAATTAAAATAGATATAACGTTTGGAACAGTGTTTTGTTATACCTTACAAATAATTAAAAAATATTTTCAATATGTATAATATAAATTATGCTATTGAAATATTCTTTTTACATTATTGTAATATGAAAAACTGATTATTAATTTTAGTATCTTGAGGAAACTGAAGTGTACCTTTGAGAAACAATTAATTATATTTTTATTAAGGCCACATAGATAGTTTTAATTTGCAAAATCATTTGTTACACTACAAAAATAAATATAAGGACATAAATAGAGAAGTTACAAAAAACTCATTATAATATTATTTATTTCATTTACATGTAACAAAAATAAATAGCAAATAAGATCGATTGAATAAAAGCAACTTTTCAAATAACAAATCTATGCAGCAGCGCCTTTTACATTTTCTTGCTGTTCAAATTTAGGGTATTTTTCTTCCACATCAGCCCATGAAATTTTACTGTTAGATAAATCTCTTACAACTGATGGTACTTCAGATAACAGCAGCCTTACTTGACCCATGCCATCTCTCTCTCTTAAGGTGACACTATGGGGCTCCTGGATTGTATCAAAGTCTACAGTTATGGCATATGGAACTCCAAGTTCATCAGTCCTTGCATATCTTCGTCCTATAGAGCCAGACGAATCATCTACCTTATGTGATACATCTACATTGGTCAGTTCTTGAGATAGTTCTCGCACAAATGGTGCAAATTCTATATTTCCACTAAGAGGTAATACAGCACATTTCATTGGGGCGACTGTAGGAGGTAATGAGAAATAGGTTCTTTGTTCGTCACCTTCTCTCATTTTGAAGTTGTGCTCCAAAATGCAGTATAAAATCCTTCCAACACCAAAGGATGGCTCAATAACACTAGGTATAATCTCTTCAACATGAACAGTTTTCTGGGTCTTCTTGACACTGACCAAGTCTGATGTCATTTTGAATTCTCCATTTAATGTTGCAAGTATGTATTCACCCTCAATTTCAAGTTTAGTTTGCAGTAGCTCTAAGTCAGCAGGTTCTAAGGAAGACAATGCATCATTAATAGCCTTAGCATTGTTTTTGAATTGCTTGCCAATGGCTGCTTTATTAGCAATAGCTTCAACTACTTCAATCTGCTTTGGAGAAGGCAACTTCTTTTCTGCTGCCAATCTAATACCAGTTGCTTTTGTGTGCTGGGTCAAGTCATAAGCTGATCTATCAGCACAGCCAACACATTCTATCCAGCCATAGCTAGATAAACATTCAGCATCCCAGCAATCACAAGCATAATGAGCCATTTCATTGCTCATATGTTGTCTGAATCTCAACTTCTTGGGATCAATTCCAACTGCCAGCATATATAAATGAATTCTGGCCATGAAGTAGCCCAGGGTTTCATTGTTAACTATGCCCTTGGAGACAGCATTACCAATTGTCATGATCTCAGCTGCTTTCCCTTGCTCTTGGTTATTCGCTGAATAGAACAGCATTTGAGTATTTTTCACAGATTCAAATTTTGGGTGTTCCTTGCTGTCACAGAAATGTTCAATTTCACACATTGTAAACTCTCTTACTCTTAATAGACCAGATCTTGGAGATATTTCATTTCTGAATGAGTTGCCTATTTGTGCAGCCGCAAATGGAAGCCGGCCTTGATTGAATTCCAACAATCTCTTAAAGTTAACAAATATACCTTGCGCTGTTTCAGGCCTTAAAAAGCCTTTTACTAATCCAGATGGACCAATTTGCGTGTTGAACATTAGGTTAAATTCAATTGGTGGAGTTAAGTCATTACCACTCACTGGAGATTTCATATCAAATCTCTTCATCAATGCTGACATTTCATCAGCAGTCATTCCATCGAGTTTAACTAGAATATCTTCAATTTCAGCTTTTAGTTCTGTCTTTGTGTTCTTTTCAGATTTAATCTTCTCTAGATGAGCTTTGATCAAATGGTCCAATCGGAAACATTCCCCAGACTTAACATCTTTTGTCATAAGATCGGCAAACCTTTCCACATGCCCTGAAGCTTTTAATACTGGCTCAGGAGTCAAAATTGAGCAATCCACCTCTAGCATTTGTTCCTGCAAAATGAAGTACTTCCTCCACAATTGAATCATATTACTTTTAAGTGCACAGCCCATTGGGCCAAAATCAAACTGACCAGTAATACCACCATAAATAGCAAAGGATTGATCATAGAAGAATCGTCTTTTTATTAAGTCTTCCATTTTTGCCCGATCAAATAACTCTTCGGCAGGAGCAAGGCTCAGTTCTTTATCTTCTAAAATCTTTTTTCGCGCTTTCAACTCAGCAACAGCCTTTTTAACATCCAGCTCAGGAGCCTTTTCCTCTTTTAGTTTTCGAACTAAATCACCCTGCTCTTTTACATTAGCGCGAAGTGGGGCTAAGATTTCTTCGATTTTTGAGTCTGCCATTATTATTTCTCTTAAAGGATTTGGTATTTTTATTTTACGATGTAACTTATTGCTGCCCCAAGAGACACTATGCGAAAGCCGGATTTGAGAACAAGCAGTTATCAACGGTTTACTAAATGAGCTACACTTATAAACTAGTGCTAAAATGTTTTTCATTTAATATAGATATTATAATATCACATATGGTACACCGGGCTCAGTAAATAAGAAACAAGTTAGTAACGTGGTTCACCATCACCAGCTGATGTAATTTTGTGAACGGTAAAAGTCAACTGTCATAAGACAATTAATATAGACAAACACAAAGTTTCGTCTATTTTAACTACAGAGTGTTAGAATATCTAAAAATTTCATTATATTTTATTCTGGTAGCACTTTGAAGTACTACTATCTCTTTCTTCCAAAGAATAATGCCTGCGATAAAGCGTGACGGCGATAAGTTTGGTCATAATTTTAATTATTTGTTTTCTTTTTCAAATAGATATTTCATTTTTGACAGCACAAAGAAGTCGGCCATTTTATTGCTCGTTGTATAGACGGAGGGGGCAGAAAGCTTTTGAGATAGAAATCATTTATTTCTGTATTTTTACGATCGTTATTGTGTAATATTTATTACTAAATGTACAAACTGGTATACGTATCTTAAAGAATCTGTTTTATCGATGTGTTAAGTGAGAACCAAAAAAATGGACGACCCGAACAGAATGATGGCGCATAGCGGAGGCCTCATGGGACCGCAGGGATACGGACTGCCCGGCGGCGAAGGCACGCCCGCAGCTGGTGAAAATGAAGCTCGAAAACAAGATATTGGCGAGATCTTGCAGCAAATAATGAACATTACGGATCAAAGTCTTGACGAAGCGCAGGCGAGAAAACATACGCTGAACTGTCACAGAATGAAGCCTGCCTTATTTTCTGTATTGTGTGAAATCAAAGAGAAAACGGGTAAGCCATTATAAACATTTTCCACCTACGACGTTGTTTATATACACAAAAACTTGCTAAATACTAAATGGGACCCTATTTAAAACAAACATGACTACAGTTTTCATGTCATTAAAATTGATCCATTTCTTTTATTCCATTTCTCAAACCCCGTAGAATGTATCAGCTAAAGCACGTCTATATATATATATATCAAGATTTATTTATCTGTCTGTATATCTAGTTCTATCACTCCGCAACACTCAAGAGGAGGAGCCTCCAGATCCTCAGTTGATGAGGCTGGACAACATGTTGATAGCCGAGGGTGTAGCTGGCCCAGAGAAGGGTGGTGGAGCAGGCGCTGCCGCCTCTGCCTCTGCTGCTGCTGGAGAATGGGGTATGGGTTTGTTTACATATTGTGCTATATTTTTTTAATTTACAATGTCAAAGTATATACAATATAAGTAAAATATTATACTTCCTAGTTGTATGTTTTTTATAAATACCTTAACTAATCAAGACAAATAGGCTTTCTGGGTTTAAAAATGTATAATTTTTTAATTATGTGTAGGTAGGTGTTAGTATATATTATTAGTATATATATATTGTTTGCATGTACAGTGTGTGCTAATGGAATTGGTGATGGTTGTTATAGTGCTTGGTGATAAAAATATATTTAGTCAACTTGCAATATGCTATGGAACCTAGATTAAAATGCTTTAGGTATTACATATTAGTAATAGTTTATAATATCTTAATAAGTAAGTAATAGTAATACATAGTTGATTACCCTTTCCATAAAAATATTTATACAATCTAACTTATGTGCTTAAATGTAGAATATTTCTTTGTTATACAATTAAAAGGCACAATACTTTAGTTTGAATTAAAATTAGTATTCATAAAACATCTTTTAAATGGTCTAAATAAATAAATATTATAAAAAATATGTTATCTTTATTTAGCTTAGTGTTTCTTAATTCTAGAACCAACATTTTAATGGTTTCCATAGTATATCAGTAGGTAGGCACAGACAACTAATACTGGTGTGGTACGGAGTTGCATGTGATGTTTTTTGCCCCATCTGCTGCAACTTAAGGCACTGTGGCTCAAGCAGATAACGCGATCGAGCATTCGGACTACCGTGCGAAGCTGGCCCAGATCAGGCAGATCTACCACCAGGAGTTGGACAAGTACGAGAACGCCTGCAACGAGTTCACCACGCACGTTATGAACCTCTTGAGGGAGCAGAGCCGTACCCGTCCCATTACACCCAAGGTTAGTGGACTAAGCCACTAAACAATGTGTATAAGTGTATAATCAAATCCAGAAACATTTAACTGAACAATAATCACGTAGAAGGAATATATTTGTTTGTCTAGAAACAATTCATTTACAAGTAAAGAGAGATAGGTGAATACATTTTTTTTTAAGTCAGTGCAGCATTTCTGCTCAATACATATTAAAAAAAAGCAGTGAAAGGTGTGTGTCTTTCTTTTATTTATGTGTTTAAGTAATATTTTCTCGTTGTAATTAGGAAATCGAGCGCATGGTGCAGATTATTCACAAGAAGTTCAGCTCCATTCAGATGCAGCTGAAACAGTCAACCTGTGAAGCGGTTATGATCCTACGCTCACGGTAAGACTTCAGAAACCAATATATTGCTAACATAATATTGTATAAGACAGGCACTTACCAAGGTTTTGACTAAGGCTTCAGGTTTAGAAAAAACATTACGAATAAATGAGGAGTGTATTTTTAAACTTTAAAATGTGCACTGTAAACAAAACGTCGAATTATACAATTTTTGTGGCAAGGTTTTGTTTACTATGTTCCAAATTATGAAGTTCAAGTGCTTTATTACAATACTAGTTGTGCTAGCGACTTCGTCCACAGAACTTATTTTGGGCATACACATTTCTTTTTTAAACCTCCCCTCGTGTATAAATTATAGTCCTTGTAAGTTAATCTTAAAAGATAAGACATATACTGTTGCAGAATCAATTTTGACATACATTTTTTTTTCTCATATTCGTAGCTGATGAAACGCAACCCTTAAAAAGACGAATATTTTTACCGTTTTTTTATAGCCGAAAACCTTTCTCGATATATGCTCCACATTATACAAAGAATTTTTCATTTCGAAACCAGTAGTTAATGAGATTAGCTTGTTCAAACAAACAAACTCTTCAGCTTTATAATAATACTATAGATACCAACGCAGTGAGAAAAAATTACATCAGAACTAACAAATAATAGAGTATATAAACCAAATCTTAGCGCAACTGGCATTATGGTACACAACCAACTTGCTACCAGCTCGACCTTCGCCTCAAACGAATTACCGCTTGCAGTTTCCTGGACGCGCGCCGAAAGCGCCGCAACTTCAGCAAGCAAGCCTCGGAGATACTTAACGAGTACTTCTACTCGCACCTATCGAACCCGTATCCCAGTGAGGAGGCTAAGGAGGAGCTGGCCCGCAAGTGCGGCATCACCGTCTCCCAGGTACGATAATGTGCCGTTTGATCGCAGCTTCCTCGACGCGCGACGCAAGCGCCGGAACTTTAGCAAGCGAGCGCTGGACCTGCTGAATGAGTACTTCTACTCGCACTTAGCCAACCCCTATCCCAGTGAAGAGGTGAAGGTGGAATTGGCTAGACGTTGCAATATTACTGTGTCGCAGGTATGCTTAGAGAAACTTCAGCCGTGCTAAGACAAACTGACCTTGTCTGGATAATGTTGGAAGGTTTCAGTCTCTGTAAAGTCAGTTTATATACTACTATATGTACTATATTTAAGCAATAATAATATTTCCTTTCACTATTATTGGTATTTAATTCTAAAATGGTTATCACCAGGTGTCGAATTGGTTCGGCAATAAGCGTATTCGCTACAAGAAGAACATCGGCAAAGCGCAGGAGGAGGCTAATCTCTATGCAGCGAAGAAAGCTGCTGGTAATTGTTGATTTAAGTTGTAATTTAGATTATTCAATAGCATATGTTTACACAAAGCTATAGCATAATGGTAATAGAATATAACGAAAATGTCTGTCCATAATAGAAGACGACAGACAAACATGAGGTTCTCATGGTGGAAGGTGAAAGAACGCAGCCATATAACATTTAAACCTATTTTGGCTATAAATATTTTTTTTGAAAAGGCATCCTTAATTTTTTGGTAGGTAGATATACTATGTTACAAAATAATTCTTTCTACATTATGATAATTCATTTACAAAACATGATTTAAAAAAAACTTTTTTGTATAACACATAAACTTTGAGTACTATGACGGTTTATTGTAAGATGAGACCTCGTTACAGCTGGTGCCTCTCCATACTCCATGGGTGCAGCTTCGGGCACAGCCACACCTATGATGTCGCCCGCCCCAACTCAGGACTCGATGGGCTACTCGCTACCAGCGCCGCCCTACGATCAGCCGCAGCCGCCCTATGACGGCTCCATGGGCTACGATCCGATGCACCAGGATTTGTCACCATAGGTAATTTATTATTTATTTGTGAAACACAGACGGGGTAAATTAATGTAAAATTACATTGCAAAAGAATATAAAGGTCAGGTTGATCAAACTTTTTCAATGAATATATATATTATTTATATTAAAAGTCAACTTATATTGAAAACTTCGATAATACGATACGGGACTTGAACCGGCGTACAAGTGCTAGTCTAATAAATTGATCTACAGTGTCTCAGATGTTATCGTTGAATTTCCTCAATCCATTGGTACACACACACACCTTCTATATTTCAACCTGTGAAAAAAAGGTTTCACTATTTACAATTATATTATGAATAACTCTTAATAAGATTTTTTAAATGATTGTCATTTTTAGCTTATTAGCTTTTAAACCTAACCGGGTAGTCACATAGAAATATACTAAATACTCTTAATTATGCAACTGTACACACGTAGTGGCAATTTTATGTTTAGTTAATAACATTTTGTTTTAGGTGTGGCGTTATCTCGCCGGTGCGAGGCGGGCCGGCGCGAGCGCAGACGACTAGCGGCCGCTTCCCTTACTACATTGTATACTACACTATAGATATCGCCTACTTACCGTCTATTTCCATTTTAATGTGTATTATTTCGAAACATACCGACTGGGTATAGTATTTCTTTTCTTTATCTTATAAATTTTCTATTGATAATGTGGAAACGTGGAAATTGTAAGTAAGAAGTTTATTCATTCCTATATTGTTTATTAAACATACCAGATCGAAAACTTTTTGCCATCTTTCCAACTTAATTACTTAACAACGTTATTTTAGACTTTGCATGATTTTACTTATGTACATTCTATGATTTACAATATCCACGTTCCCACAATTGGAATTTGACAGCTCTCAAGTATTATTTGGCATTATTTCGGCAGTATTAGCTTTACTTGTGGCGGGATCTCGATATTCACTACTGAACTATATACGGTGGAATATAAATATACGATAGATTTAAGTGTAGCGTATGATAGGATAAGTTCAGATATTTTGTGCTAAATAATGTTTTGGTGAGTCCTCGGTGGCTGTCTTTTTTACATTTGTAACGCGAAATGTAACATGACATAAGAATAACATAGCTGTAACGTTACGTTGCATGATACATTTCCCAAGTACCGACGAGACATTTATCACATCTAGTATGTATAAGTACATAATTTGTATTTAAAGATCAAGCTTGCATAAAAACCAATTCTTGCCAAATGGCAGCCATCGCACGAGGACGAATCTTCGAAGTGTGCAATTTTTTAATATTTTAGCAAAGGTTGTGTTTGGCGCACACGGTAGTTGTTGTTCTACTATATGACACGCGGGCTAATAATGTTTAATCTGTGCTACATTTACATTATCTGTGCGCACCAAAGTGTTGTGAGAACAAAACCTATATGTGGTGCTATAATGTTGCTAGCACAAAATATTATTTTTCGCCATAGTAAATAAGTTGACGTTATTTTTACTTACTTCGTGTTGACGATGCAAGCGGCAGACCGGACGAATATACGATTAGTACCGTAATTTGAATACGAAATATAGATTTAAGTGAATGTGTTCTAAATCAAAATATCTGAGACAGTATACGAGAAAAAAATAATTTGAGCATGTTTTACTGCGCATTAGTATCGCGTCGCTGTTACGTCCTTTTGTGAATTATTTATTTAATGGTAATTACTTAATGAAATAACTAAATATATTATATTAATAATGAAATGTATTACGAGCGCAGCGGCGTGAACACCATGTATACGACAAGTTCAATGTTATTGACCATCAAATTGATAAATACATTTTTGTGTAGTTATTCTGGGTTTTATTTTGTGTCTAAAATTATAGTTTCGTCTGTGAAATGAACTAAAAATAGGCATATATACTATAACTAAGTTATCAAAAAAATAGTGATTTTTGTTTTATGGATCAAAATCACTAATCTCTGCAAATATGTGTTACAATATTCACTTTTCCCGCCAAAATAAACGAATTGTCAAGTCATAAACGACACAGACTAAAAACGAATACGCTCTCCGTGACTTGATAAACACGGATAACCTTGCAACAGTCGCTACGTTAGTCATGCTCACAATTTCCTCTATAAAATTATTGAAACTGAACAGTATTGCAATGTTATTCGGTCAGTGAAGACGTTATGATAAGAAGTGCGCTGACAAAATACGCGTCATTCAGAAATAATCAGAGTAAGTACAAACAGAAACATCTATTTCGTAAAATTTAGTACATTAATTAGTTATGGAAACAGGAAAACTAATGATGACGCTACCGACGATAACATAATATGTATGTCATTGAGAAGCGGGAAATTTAAGTTAGTATACTTGGTTTATAATATTTTGATCAATTTAGATAAGATATAATTTTCGTAACATAGTTCTATAGAGTATGTTACATGTATGCTAACCAACAGTTGGAAGCAGTAGGATAATGATAATTATACTAATATATAAAGCTGAAGAGTTAGTTTGTTTAAACGCGTTAATCTCAGGAAGTGGTTAGAGAATTTATTGAGGAATGCTATAGACTAACATTATAACAATGCCATGTGGCTAATACAAGCGAAGATACAGCAATAAATGTGTAAAAATTGGGAAATTTATTAATCATTATGGAATAATGAATAACTTTCCCAAATTTTTCCGAAGCGTGCGCTGCAAATACGGTCCAAGATATCAAAAAAATATGTATTAAAGAATGATTTCTCTTTAAATGATCTAAAAAAAGTCCGCTATGCTAATGTCTATATTTTAAGATTAACTTGCAAGAACGACCGACGTATTGGGTAACAGTTCAAGTTCATAAAGATGACGAGGTTTGCAAAAACGAACTTGTATGCCCAAATGTAAGTAAAGTATGTAAGTTTAACCATTAAGCCACCAATGCGGTTTATTCTCTTCACAGATAGACATATTTACTTCCTGAAAACACTTGACACATACTTATGAAGTCTGACATATTTTTACATAACATTTACATGTATTGAGTCACAGTACCTTTATTAAATGGTGTTTGGAATATAGCCTATTACTATATAAATCTACATTTTAGGGACATTAATTGTTATATGAATTAAAAAAAAGTAAGCTACTGGTATATAAGTACATAATGAAAATTAATATTTGTACCGACCTAATCAATTAATAACTCTCTTCCTTCTGTAAACAATTAAATGGAATTTCCGTAAAAAAAATGAGGTAAAATCACGAACTATGTATTGGCCTGGGATTTTTAAAATCATAAATATCAATATTGATAGTATTATGTATAATATATTGTAAATATAAATTATTATATTTCACACTTTGATACACAAAGCATACAGATACACTATAACATTTGACGACTATATAAGCCTTATGTAAGCGAGCCTGAGGCTATAAGCGATCTCTTCAGGATTCCAGTACCCGAAACTTAATAAGCCAACATAACGTAAATATGTTGTCTCTAGGTAGAATGTCCAGCATACACAGTGCATATGTGGACGAAATCCACGACGTTCCAATGTCAGTAATCATAAGACCATTTATACCGGAGCTGGATGAGAAGAAAGTGGAGTCGCTTATGGAAACTATTCAGGTAAATTATGAATAAAAAATGTATTATATTAAATGAAACACATTTATGAGTATTTTTTTATGGTAGCGAATGACAAAAAAGTCGGTTAAACAACGCTAATGATATTGGTTAATTAATTTTTACATTAATATGCTTTACATCTGTGGTACAGTAACGGCACGGATTTAACGCTGAAGTCAAAAATAAGGTATCGAACTTTTGTATTTGGTTTATTGATTTGATTAAATCAATAAACCAAGCAAGATCAGCTTTCTGAGTTTTCTGAATAAAAAAAAACAATATCTATTTATTTAATTGTATTTAAAAACTTTTTTTTAAGGATAATATTGTATTGCGATTAAACAAACTTTCGTATAATCAACACATTAATTTCATTTTTAACCTCTTAGTAATTAGCATATTTTGCAAAATAAACAGCTTTGAAAACAATCGATTTAATTTGCAAATTAGTGCTCCTTCATTAAAGCAGTTCAAAGTTTTAATAATAACGAGTAAGTATTTAATACTATATCAACTCATATGGGTGACGCGACACACCCATTCGTTTGAATTTTTTTTATTATTATATATTATTTTTTTAAAAGAAATTAGGGCAATATACAAATTAAAAATTTTAATTGAAAAAGTGAGAACACTGAAACCAAAATGCGATTAAACTTGACGGCATTTTCATCCGTTGGTGATAGTGGTAACGGCCAGTAGTAAAATAATCTTACTATACCCCAATGCCCCAGCCGTATACCATCTTTCACCAGTTGGCTTTGGAAATTCGGAAAATTAAAATACAATTTGAATGCTGAAAATGCGCATTTTACAATTTGATGTTTCTTTTTATTTCCAGAAGGAAGAAGCGCAAGGCATAGTTCCACCAATAGATATTCTATGGATTGAGGGTACGGAGGGCGGTAATTACTACTACAGCTTCGGCGGTTGTCATAGGTACGCTGCCTATAAACGGCTTAACCGACCGACGATACCAGCCAAACTCATTAGATCTACTATCAATGACTTACGGACGTATTTGGGAAGTAGTACGCCAAATCTTAAGTGATTCTTACAAGATCGGTTAGATATGGTCAGCAAATAGGTGAATGTTGAAAATCATGAAAATTCTACTTTATTATTTAAACAAACACTGCAACAGTTTAAAACGCAATATATATTGGTTAAAATTGTTTAAAAAAAATTTTAAGCTGTTTAAATTTGTAGCAGTTTGTTACTTTGACGACAAAGACCCCCCATTTTTTTGTTGTGAAAATTGTTTGAAAATTATTTTACTACGGCCCGACGTTTCGGACGTTTTGCAGCAGCAGTGGTCACGGGGGGGGAGATCTAATAAGTTTAACATCGCGTTTTAAACCATTAAAGCGATTTTTTTTAATGTGGACAACTCGCGTAAACTGTAGACAGTTTTCTTGTAAAACAATTGACGACACATTATAAAACTAGATCTTGCCCATTGGGCTATGAGTATCCATATCGTGTAAGATTTCAAATAATTCTTGATAAGTAACCTTTTTATACTAACAAAGTAATTTAAGGAAGATGGGATGTCTAAGAATAGTTTTTCATATAATATTATTTTTTAGTCTAGTAGTAGTAGTAATACTGTCTTTTCACCTTGTCTGTATATTGTTATCAATCATTTTGGTTCTAAGTGAAATAAAAGCGTATGTAAAAATTATTGTAATAAAAAGTATTTATAATTTCCAACCATTTATTTTTTACATCGCCTAACTACAGAACAATGAGATATGCAATATTACACAATATATGTACAGATATAAATAATATCAAACGTAAACACTTCGCGTGAGTCGGTGCGCTTCGTCTTACATGGTCATACGTAAAAAGCAGTGAACACAAAATTAAATAGCACCAATTTGCAAACTTATGTACAAATACAAAATGTGCCTCTACTTTGGATTTGGTAAAACAATGAATGATTTATTCACATATTACTACGTAACTCGAATATTTTAAAAATGCCCATAGATGGCGGTAATAGTAATATTACAATAGTATCCTTATAATTATGATATCGCTAAAATATATAACAATCATTAGGGGCTTGACTAATTGCGAAAAAACCGTATATGTAGAAAGTCCCTAGGTACTGTATAAATAATGCTTCTTTTAAGACAAAAAAAAACGTGTGTGAGGCCATTTCGCCCCCAGTTCAAAAAAGTTGAGTCTTAACAATAAAATAGTATGAAAGAAATATCAATTAAAAGTTATGCATTATACCAAACTCAAAGTAGATTGACGCGGTGTAATTCAAACTTATAAGATAAAACTATTAAACATTTCCCTATAAGTTTCCCTCTATAACTAATTTATCAACGAGAGAGCTAAAAACTAGAGAGAAACTAAATGCAAAATTAATTTCTTAATATTTCTTATAAAGGTAGGCAGACAATAAACCGTATTTATGTACCATCAAATCTACAACACAGACTTTAATGACAGTTACAATAACTTAAGATATAAAAGTTTGGGCTTATCTTGAACTTAGAAAAACTCAAAGACTATTATATGCTTATAATAAGCTGCATAAATCGAAACACTATGTAATATGTACATTGATGTATATTAAAAAAATAAATATATCTCAAATTTTAACACACGTTTATTGTAAAGACATAACTACAACATTCAGAACGCTGGCGTAAAAAACGAAGATTAGATGCTCTCTATAGAATTCAAGACAAGTTAACTTAAGAAGAAACGCAAAGAAGAAGAAGAATGTAAAGCCAACGGAAAATTCGAGTTGAAAAATGCGGTTGACATTTCCACCAGCTTATCAGACTTAACCACCAAAGGCAATTTGGTATAACTCCTCTTCTATAATAACGCTTTGATAGTCTTATTCATTGCAAATATCCGTATTTTTGCCCCAGCGATCTGCACGAAATAAGATTACATGCAAAAATATAATCTGGTATAAACTATTGTCGTTACAAGACGTATTCATTTACACAATAATCTACAATATGTAATTGCATTGCACACGTTAGAGAAACTAAAAGATTTGTACTTCTGTACGTAAAGTTAGGTGACAGATTTTTAAATTATTCAAAGATATAAACAAATTAAGAGCTCGTAAGAATACATTGGAATGTGAAAACACATCGATATTTAGGTGGGATGGTATTTGCATTTAACACAGTGAGAACCGAGCGAGATAAAAACAGATGTGGCGACAACAGGGCGAGTTTCTTGAAGAATATTTAACGAACACACAAACAAAAATTACGTTTTTAATACGATATTTGCGTTGTTACACAGTACTACCCGTAATTACATCATAACGACGAAACACGAATGTACGGAAAAATAGATAAACTCTAAATATAAATTCATAATGTTAATTGAAAATTATTCATTACGAAACAACTTGAACCAGCATTCACAGCGTTTCGTTGTTGCTCTAACCATTAGCTACACGTCATCGTCTATTTTTTTCAATCTATACATACTCGTGCGTGCAACTCTCGCCGCAAAGCAATTTCAGCCTTAACACTTGCGCATAATGGCCATATGAAATAAAAATAATTTTTCAAATGGGATGCACAAATGAAATTCATTTGATATACTACCATTTCGATATTATGGGAGAAAATCCGCAGAATAGGCATGTATACTAAATTTACTACAGAGTATATAAAGAGACACGCATCTTGTCATATAGCTTAGTAGTAAATAAGCTAGGAAGAAAAGCTGCATGCAATAGCTGGTATGCCAGTGAGAATTCATTAAAATAATGTCACAACCTCAAATGTGACCACTGATATCAAGGTCATATTTGATGACTTTTGGCACTTCTCTTATTAAAATTATATTATTGAGTTATTCCACGACTAACAAGAGGGCTATTATATCCAATATGCCTTACCAGTGTCTGTAGCTATAGTCTATGCCAAAACGAGTTGAAAGAGCGTCGTCTCTTTCCCATAATTCGCTACAAAGACCAAAACGGGCAGTGCGTGTATTTTAGTAAATTTTTCTTTGATATTTATTATGTTTTTGTGGGCATTTAAATTTATTTTTTAATTTACGTCGAGCTTATTTAAATTAGACATTACTTGTTTAAAGATGTTTGTATAACATTCGCATGTTATCTAGAATGTTTGATAAAATTATAGGGCTAATATAAATTCAAAACTAAGATGGAATAAATGTTTGACAGAACAGGCATCGAACCAACGACAAACGGCGTGTCACGCTGATGCTATTCCTGTCAGCTATGAAACAACGTTGAAGACATTAACTTGAGCTTAGCTATATTAGTTAAATAGGCAGTTGAGCAAAGATTCTTTAAGTATAAGAATTGTGCCGGATCGATATTTTTCAACAAGTGTTAAACATTCTCACATTTTACTTCATACTTTTATCCGAAATAGAAATTAAACTTTAGTAGAATTTTACAATTGAAAAATATTGGTAATTGTTTGGTAGTTTACGCTGGCAAATATGCCACCAAGTTGTTGTCTATACATTATTTAAAAAAAACTCTACCACCTTGAATTAGGTCTTATCCTAAAGATAGCAAATATTTAAAGCATTCAACGCACCATCAAGAAAAGTGCCTATAAGTTATCTGTCAAGGATAAATATGTGCAGAGACAACAGTGGAGAGCTTAAAACTATCTACATTTAACATCCACGTTTCTTAGAATTTGAAAGGGTACAACATTTGTCAAATATAGTCTGTGCTTCGATACTTTAAGACATTTCAGAATTATATATTTTTATATTATACCTCTCTTCAATAAAAATACTCTATCCACCGTATATATGACACAAAACATCACGTATAGGTTTTTTTTTATATATTTTAACCCCCCAAGACTATATTTTAGAAGTTAATAGATTTATAATTTGTAATCTATGGCCGCAGAAGTAACATATTGTTCTGTGACAATACATATACAGCGATATGTTATCTACATAAATATATAGAATTATAGTCTATCATCACGCCATAACAGTGAGAATGAATCTAACATTTCAATATAATATTTGTGTATATTAAAAATCTACTAGATTTGATAATTGGAAAATATCTACTATGAGACGCACTGGGAATTTTTTCAACATCTGTATGTGAGACAGAGAGAGACGATATTTACTATTTTGACACAGATAGAAGAATCCTTATAATAAACTCTTCAATTCGTATGTACATTTAAAGCATTTGCCATACTATTCACAACTTTACATATAAGACACATTACATCACTGATTTTCAAAAATTAATATAGACTTAAGTTCAACAAAGATCTACTTTTGAATAGCTTTCTTGTACACCTGGTAATACATATAAATTGAAATAAATACCGTTATAGTATTTTTAACAAGTTCTTTGATAGGCTTTGATAAATATCGTTTTGTGCCATGTACAATAATTTAAAATTTAATTCACCAATCCACTCATATTCTGAAATTACCAAAAACCACTTTATATTATTTATAGTCTATGGTACACTGTGAAGCTATTTAAATTTTATAATATGCTCAAATAAATAATAATTTTTATATTTCAATAGAGCTCCTGGCAACACCACAAACAGATATACTATGATGACGGACTAATTGATAACCCCAATTGACATTAACCATTTATTTTATAATTATGGTAATGGTAATATGAATAAACAATTGTTGTTATTAATATTTTTTCTTTCTTTCAACGCCCTAAAATAACGTTAATTTGTTCTTAGTTTTCTTTAATGCCATTTCATTTCAACTATACTTTTTTTTCGAGATATTTAACATTCTCATTGTATATCATACCTACACTTTATACTTTCGCAGGCTTAGCCTTTCAACCAATGCTTAGCTGCTGTATTAACGTATAACTCATCACTAAATTAGTAATGATAACAACTGACATCAAAAATTCATTGATTGCCCAGTGTAACAAATATCCTTATTTACTACTTCAATATCAGCTCCAACGCTTTGTATAAATTTTTCGTATACGTTGTTACGTACGTACTTCTTTCTATAATAAATATTCATAAACGTATCTTTCTCACCCAATATTGACCCATAAATCACATCTTTCATAGTACATCTGTCTATAGGTCGTAAAACGGAAACCAATTTAAAACAACTTTAACGGTTTTAAACACGAAGTAAGTTTAAAATGTATACTTAAACATAGAAATCCATGGGGTTCATAAAACTTCTCAACGGCCCGAGAGCGCAAGATGCGCTGTCGGCCTATTAGGGCTAATATTTAATTTAACCACATTAACCTTTTCAAGCTGGCTCGGCGTTTGGGGTTTGCGCCCCCCCCCCCTCCGCGTTTTAAACCGTTAAAGAGTTTTATTAAAATGTGTATTACTCGCCTAACCACAGAACATATCAGGATAATTGCTCCCATAGAGCGATCAGCTGTACCCTCACAGACTAGTTGTCGCACCTCGGTTGGCTCAGACGAGATCCTCAATAAGTTGGTCAACGGTGGGCGTGTCGCGCGCGGCGACGCACAAGTAACATCAGTCGAGCGCGCCTATACACTCCGGTTCTTCTAGCACGCAGTCCTTCGGGAAATAACCGGAACGATTGTCACCCTACATGAACATATTTGTTAATATAAATGCTTTTAAGTCTTCTTAATAATTTCTATGTAATAATGAGAGCTAATAGCGAGAATATGCAATATCTTGAAAGAGATTTAAAAATATTCGACTGCAGAAAGAAACACAAAAGTTCACAATTTTTATTAATGAAAGAGAAGGGCAAACTGGTATGAGTGTCATTTGATGGAAGGTGAAATATTTCTGCCATAAAACATTTAAACAAGATGCGCTATGAGAAAATTTTCGACTCGGGCAGGACTTGAACCGGCATCGTTAGCGTTCACGAGAGCAACAGCACGAAACGCTGACGATGCCGGTTCCAGTCTTGCCTGAGTCGAAAATTTTTTTGGCTCTGGAGACCGTAAATCCACAGACTGAAACCGGAAGGTAACCTAAGCGCTTTTTTCATTGGTTTCGTGATTAAAAAATAATAATACAATATATTTAAGAAAAATATCCAACATGCATCCACGGCTTATTGATTATTACATGCATTCAGATGTCGTCAAAATATTTACAATATTTGATTATTATTATATGGTTACTAGATTAGTATATTACATTCATATACCATGTTAGTAGTGTTAGTATCGAGTAGAGTACTACTACCTTGTCTAGTATCCTGCCCTTCCACCAGCCTCGGCTGTCACCCTCCTTGCTAAGCACTAGGACTTTTGCGCCGGGACGAAGCGACAGCTGACTCGACTCCAACGGCCGAAAGTCATGTATCACCGTTGCAACCACCCGCCTAAATGGCCATCTTAGACTAGAGTTTAATCTGAAAATGATAAATATAATATTGTACATAGCATTTTTGGAGACAGATTTTTTTACGGGCTCGTTGGTGTGATGGTCGCAATGTACGGCTAATGATAAACCAGATCCAATGGGGACTGGGTCCAACATTAATCAATTTATTTTTTTTCTGAAATATGTTTGATCTCGTTTGAAAATCTGGATATTAAGAGGGTAGTAGGAATATCGAAATACCGCCCGAGCCGCGAATTTCCGTCCACAGATGAAATAGTCGTGAAGTTTAGGCTCGCATCGGTTTCAGTCTGTGGAAAATAAGTAGACAGCGCATCTTGTTAAGATGTTATATGGCTGAAGTATTTCACCTAACATCAAGTTACAAAACCCCACGCTAGACGGTCCTCCTCTAACACAAAAAATGAAAGATATTTTTTAACGTATTTTAATATGCTCACCCTACAAAGTTCTCGGCGAGACTGACGCTTTCATAGTAGGTAACCAGCTCGACGATGCTACGAAAGAAACGTGACTCCGAGAGGTAGTAATGTGGCACCTGGTCTATCGGCTTACGACACACCCGCATATGCTTCACTGTATTATCCGTCCTATAACATTCATGACATTTGATTATGCTTTAAACTAGTGCTAATTAACTGAAGTAGAACCAATTTCCTGGTCCTTCAAGCCGGAAATTAAAAATTAAGTATTCACAATAAACGAAGCGTGGAATCTTTATACGTAATATTATTAGGAACGTATGAACGTAGGAACTATGTAAAATGAGGCATTGTAAAAGTGACTTTCTTGATAGTTTTAAAAAATTTAATTTCGAATATACAAATAACTAAAACTTATTAAATTTTTATTGTGAAAACGTAACGTTAGAGTTATATGCAATATACGACGAGTTAGGAACACTTAGAGAAACTTTGCATTTTTACTAACGTGTTTTAAATTTTAATTTGAATATTAGTAAGAAAAACAAAGTCTTGGCATATAATAGGGAGATAATTATTACGAGGTTTCTTTACTCACTTCAGCGAGAGAGCGTAATGTGTGTCGTTGGAAGGATGCGGCGGGGCACGCGGTCTCACCCTCAACAAGAACGTGCCGTCCACTCGCCGCTCTAGCCGCGCTGTTGCTGTTTCTCTGCCCATTTCACCGACATACCTACAATATCAGATAATAAACAAAAAAACTTTTATCTTTCTAAAAAGACTGACACAAAGCTTATACTTGAAATTAATTCCCATACTGAAGCACTAGTAAACTATAACAAAGCAATAGCAATTGCGTGTCTGTACATTTAATAAAGTTGCCAAATAAACTTGTGTAATAAATTCTATATGTAATAATTAAGACATGGGTAAAAAAAGATAGGTTCCAAAACCAGATCACTTGTCCTATATAAAGTCTAAATAATTGCATTTTATACACATACCACATATAATAATGAAGCGCATGATCCGGCTGCTGGTTGTGAGGCGGAAGGGGCGGAGCCACGGACAAACCACCACCACACCTACCCGAGAGCGCTATACAGTCCTTATGTGCGCACGCGCTGCATACTGAACATAGGTAACCCTGCCCGAAAGCTTATTCTTATAAAATTGAATTTCAATAATATTAGAATTATTATAAGAAAATATGCGTATATATTACTAAAAATTACCTGAAATATTCGGCCTTTGAGGAACTTTGAACAATGATGGCAAGTTGCAGGTTTGTCAAACGTATGTAACACAAACTTGTGATTTGTATTCCTACATCCCGGCGGTTCTAGATTGTCTCTAGAACAAAAATCAAAAGCAATGAAATACGGGTTCTTGTATCATAAAATCCTTCAATTTGTTAAAATTTGTTCGGAACTCTTATTAAAAAAAAATGTTTATATATGATTAGGATAAGTTCCACATATATGGATATAACGTCGAAGAGATCATATTTTTTTTATTATTATAAAAATTCAATCTTACTCACATGGCGTCTTGTATCGTCTTAAGCCATTTCCGTCGGCATTCGTCCGTCCGCGCGTAAAGCGTAAAGGTAGTTTCCTTCGTCCGTCGGACGAGGTAAAACTGGGATGACCACCTTCCGTCCGTCCGTAACGCCCTACGACCACACCCTTCCTCCACTCTGTACTCCGCCAACCGAATCCCGACACGGTATGAGTATTGGTTATCCTGAAGTGAAAAACATAATTTGTAAACAACTAATAATTACGGTGTCAAATGGAAATACATTATATCCACGATTGGTTTCCAAGGCTCTTTTTATTTACTTATAAAATAAATATTATGGCACAATATATACTGAATGAATTATGAAACAATACAGACTAATGCAAAAAAAATGTAACAAATTTATTTTAAATTAGTTTATGAAACAGGCTATGTCCCTTTTTATTTTAATTGCTGTTCGAATCTAGGAGATGCAAAATGAAAATAATTTCTATCAATTTTCAGATTTAGTAAAAAAAAGCAAAATTTAAAAAATACGAATAGTGTAAGTTGAATTAATACTTTCGGCTCGAAGGACCAAAAGTAAAATATTCATAGAAACATTATTTCCATGAACAAATTACTCACCTTAACGGGCTTGCACAGTAGCATAAGCTTATCGAAGACAAAGACATAACGCAACCTTTGTTTCTGGTCTTCGTGCGCTTTGACCTTGAGCTCACCGTCTAGCAGCAGCCGTCCATATGCTGCAAGCAGAGCTCCGCCTGCACCCAGCTCAGCTCCGTCCCAGTTTATTATACTTTCCTAAAATTCAATAACTTGGTTTAATTTAATGACTATAACGGAACTAAATTTCTTTTCGATTTGGTAATATTATTATTTCTCACAGGTTGCTGCTTGAATGAAAAAAAATATGATAAGGGCGTGACTTCAAACCACCATCATCACGATCACACCCAAGAGCTTATAATACTAATATTCATCGCGTTTTAAACCGTTAAAGTGTTTTATTTAATTACTACTCGCGTAAAGTACACACAGTATTTAGGATACTAAAAAGAGACAAATATTTTCTGATAATTGTGTTCTCAACCATATAATTATTATAATATTAGTACATATAATACATATTTCATAGTAGGGCAATTACCTGGACTTTAGCAAGTAAAGCTAGAACTTCACTGTCTCTCTTCACCTCATTGATATATTGAGCCACATCAACCATAGCTTCTTTCGCACGCTCCAGTCCGCGAAATTCTTCGTGGTTCTAGAAAAAAATTGCAAAATAGTTATTTTTAAGACTTTGTTTAATAACATTTTTTACAAATTAAAAACTCTGGCTAATGTTCACAAGCACAAATAGCTTGCCTCCCAACAAACGATTGCACCCAGTTTTGATATTCTATTAGAAATGTTGATGTACAACGCAATACTATTGTATAAAGCAAGAATTATTTATTCAAGAGATTAGAACACACATCACTATTAATATATATTATTTTGTACAAGTATTTGTATGTCAGATCCGATAATACGTCTTATATATCTTATAACTAGATGTACATACCAACAATTAGTAATAATAATAAAAATGTTAAGAAGTTGCGAGATGCAAAAAAATGACACTTAAAATATTTCACTTTGTTAACATTAAGATCCATTACAACACATTAGATGGCCATTGTATAAAATTTGCATGCTATTGAATGAATATGATTTCCTAACTTTACCACAGATCCTCATTCATAAATAATTATTTTATACTCGTAACATTTTTCACATACCGGCTGTGTTTCCTGCACCAGTTTGTCCAGCAGTAAGTGGTATTTGAGTATCCTCTGCATGGGCACCGAAAGAATATCGCGCAACTGTATCCGACCATCGCTGTGTTCCTTTTGACATTTCTGGAATTATAAACACATAATCTTTTCGTTTCCACGACCATCCACCACGCTGCTCACGTGCGGTTGGTGGACTATCATGATTGTGGCCACTTCATTTGGGATAATAACCGAGACCCTGTGGTGTGACCGAGACCGAGTGGTCTTTGGCAAGCCCAAAGACCACTGGTGCCTTTTCTTTAAAGAACACGTTACACGTAAAGGGGGGAGGGGTGTCGACAAAGTGTGACATGGTGTGACAAGGGGTGGGAGGGGTCCTAAGATTCGTGACATCACATTTTAAAATCTAATGTATATAGAGGTACTAATCGCGTGATTTAAAATATTAATTAAACTAAAAAATATTTCCATCTCTATCTTTTCGGACGATACGGTTTCAATAGTTTTGTCGACGAGTTCAAGCCAAAAAAAAGTACTTCATTTAAATGGAAATAAAACGAATTTCGGATTTGCTGTTTTAATTTAATAATTTTTTAATGTGAAATTACAAAACATGTGACGTCACACTAGGGAGGGGGGTCTCAAAAATGTGACCACCTGTGACAAGGATGGGATCAAAAAATCATGAAATTCGTGCGACGTACTTTATGGATGACCCCCAACCCCTTTACTCGACCCGGGCATCAAAGCCAGGGCTTCGTTTAGCGTATATAGTCAACTTACTATGTACTTACTTTATTAGACATAAAATAAACCTATACATATAATATCTCTATATAATATATCTTACATGTCGATTAACATAACTTTTTTCGGGTTATTAAAAAAAGCATGTACTCCATTTATTTCTTCCAATATTTCTCTTCTTTTAAACTTATGCTGAATGATGCATTATTAAAAATTTAATGTTACGTTATCATATTTCTGTTGTAATCAAGAACATTAAAATAACATATTAAGCTTACCGCAAGTTGTTTACTAAACACCGGGTCCCTAGAGTCCAGTGTTTTTAGCGTATCTTGAGCCGTAGTAAGATTAGAGCAATAGTCTCCGTATAGCAGCAGCTTTTCCCGCCACGCCAGAAACACATCCGCCAACCGGGGTGCGCCACTGCCCGGAACGCAGACCTCTGTGGCCAGTCTCAACTGACGTAATAGTCCTGTGTGAATTTCGTGCAGCTCCTGAAAGTTTTATAAAATTCATCTTCGTCTTATTTATAATATCATCGTCAAAAGTTTTACTCTTTACAAGTTTGGCATTAAATAATATTGTAATTTTTTTTTTAATTAACTAGATTATACAATATTTTATGAAGCATATTCAATTGACACAATAAATCCTTGTGTGTAGTCCTATAACTGTATTCATATTAATAATTGTCCTAAGCAGTCAGAAATATATCCTCATTTCAGTGGCTAAATGGTTTTCTGATATAAAGAAATTTGTAGACTTTTAACCGACTACCAATTTCCATTCGACCGCGTCACTATGTTATTTTACTACAACAGTTTTTCAATTATAAAAATTCAAATCTTTTTAACTGAACTGTTTACAAACATTGTAAAAATCTATTCAAATATTATTAACACATTACAATAGTTCACACGTTATAGTAAGTTCTTTTATTATCAGTAATATACTATAAGACTAGATGCGCATGCGCATAACAATAACGTGCGAATCTAAACAAAATGCTCAATTACATATCTAAAAATAGATATTCCGAATTACTCACCTTTACACCGAAGAAAATAATTTGCATATCTTGCGGCTTCAGACACTGCATCAACGGTTTCAGGAAGTACTTGATTATTTTACTCAGCACGTCCACGTAATTGCATTCCGTGTCCACCAACTCGCGTATAACATAGTCCCGTTTCTCTAAACTATGCGACGACGACGCTAGCTGGAACCCCCAAAATATGTTATCTATCGTCATCACTAATCTATGGTTCACAGATAAGCAATTAGCGAAATACCACTCTATGCAATGCTAACATTACGGCCACAAACTACTGGCTGGCGGTAAAAAAATAAGACAGCGGAAGTAATGAGCGTGTAAATAATTCTATGTATGCGTGCCATGTAAGGCGTTTTTACGTATTTTCATTGAGTTTATGAGAAATTTTATGCTTCAATTGGTGTTTTCTATTATTATTGTTATTGATTATTATTTTTTTTGCAATTAACTTATACTTTGGTGATTCATTTAATTCTTAGTTATGAAATTATATAACATTTTTATTCAAATAAAAATTAATATTAATATTAAAAGTTCAAATTCTCAAATGCTGTTTATTAGAAAAGGGATTTATATAGCAGATTCAGAAAGATTTATTATACACTCGTATACATATATTTAAAAATTCAGTGTGTCAAAGTTAATATGACGTCATTACTTCCGGAGTCCGAAAAAAAAAACAAAAACGCACTGCGGTGAAAGCGATCGGGTGGGGTGCGGGCGGTTCGCGCGCGGGTCCCTTGACGACGCACAGGTCGTGGTAGATCTCCTCGTCGTGGATGCGCGCGCAGTAGCTCGCGTACTCATTCGCCTCACGACCGCTCAGCGTGCCGCCCGCGCCGCTAAGCACGCGCATAAATTAATAGCGAGTCTAACCAAGGCAGCAATGGGGGGAAGGCGTTGCCAGCTAATAATCAAGAGTGGGGGGACTTATACTTTTTTCTTTACAAAGAATATCTTCATAAGTTCCCAGCCGTTATTAGCGCCACACTCAATAACTGACTGGCGAAGACCTTTATACTATCCCCAATAGAGCTTTAACTACCTTTTTTACAATAAACATGGAGCTTGAAACAATAATATTTCAAATACATGGATAATGCATACAAAGATATAGGCAAAGTCCCTAATAAATACGTATATTATAATCAACATCTGCTAAGGGGGCCTTTTAATCGAGTGTGTTGTTTTGATTGAAAATTACAATAAAAACCCTTTTCACTTATTCAACTTCTCTAACTCTTTATCGTCCTTTTAAAGAAAATACCAAGACTTTACTGTTTTAGTAATATTAACAAAAAAATGAGACAATACCGAAAAAAAAAATTATTAAGTTTTAAATTTATTAATCTTAATGCCCAAACATATATATCTATAACGGATCCATATTAATTCCTTTGTATATCATATAGGTCGGGTTTTATCGTCAAATCAGGCACGACTGGGATGTGGGCGCATATCGCCATAGTAACTAAAAATAGGGTTATAAATTTCATATTTTTTTATTTAAGTACAAGTTTATTTATGTCTGAATTAATTGCCGAAATATACGGTAAAGGTACATTGAAATTATTTTTTTTACTATCTTACAGGAGATCTCAAAAGTCGTTCGTTAATTGGAGAGCAATGTGTCATTGTCGATAAAAAACCCTACATTTAATGGATCAGATCAAAATAAGGTTTTATTTCCTTCCATTCCAAACTTCTATCTTTAAAATTTTTCTACTACCACTACGACGAAATTAAAAAAGTATCATGAAGTAAATCGGCCTATTCGTCTTACTTTCTAATTAAGCAAATGATTTTTTGAGTACAAATTGGATTGGAGCAGAATTCAGCTGAACCGGAATCCCGGAAATGCAAACTCAAACACAAACCATTTATTTCACACATGCATATGTACATTATGATAAACAATTATAAATTGTAGTATAATATTTGCATAAAAAGTGTGTGTCAAGAGGGAGAAAGCACTTTGCTTTACATCGCCGCCTCAGAGAACCGGTTTCAGTGTCTCCCGGTGGGTTAGTTACTATTGACTACAAACTATAATAAAGTAAAAAAAAAAACAATTTTTTCTTATTTTATGCCATTTGATACTACGTCTTTTTGGCACTAAATTTTCTTTTTTGATAGCTAGCGTCGCATTAATTTAAGTGGCAACCCTATTACAACCGCGTGTGCTGTATTTCCTTTTAGATTGAGGCCGCCTGCCCATAAGTTCCCGCGTATCCGCCACTCGCTACGTGATTATCTACGCGACATTACTACGGCATCGGGGAATTAAAATAACTGTACGCGCTTTTACGGTTTATGCTCGTGGGTGGCCATTTTAAAAACTCAGGTTTCCTAAATCCTAAAAGAAGTTGGTGCCAGAATCGGAGATGTGAAGCACCTTACATAACACTCACTTTTACAGGCAGATGTTTGTATATCGAAGCCGAGACCTCATGAGCTTAACGCAATGCTTTAAAGTTTAAATAATTAAGCCGAAGGTTAGGTAACAGAAAGTGCATATTTAACTTAATTTCTTCGAAATGTAAAGATGCCGAACGAAACCCTCCTAAATAATTTAAAATCTACAAAAATATATATCTATAGAAAAAGCAACAACATAAAATAAATACAATCTGTCCTATGACAATTTTTCCTCTAACAATGCCCTTAAAATTTTATAGAACACCGCTATATAAATAACATTTTGAATATAACTTGAATCGCGTTTCTTCGCCGCAGTAAAAGAAAACCACCTGTTAAAAACAAGTGTTAAGAAATCCACGGAATGTACATCCTTCGTTTGTTTACGATAACTATAAATAGTTCTACTGTTAATCCACATTCGTTACTTTGTGATACCACTCAATACTTTGTACAACTAGGATGAGTTTCTAAACGAAAGTGATCGAAATTTGAGCATTATTTTTTAAAATCGAGAACATGCGTCTAGATGACAATGTTATTCTATCAACGACAAAAGACGTTTGTACAATGTTTGTAACTGTTTGCGAGATTCGCCAGAACGAACAGACAAATATTTGAAAAACACACTCCGTACCTCGGAGAGCCGTTGGACGCGGTTATCACCAATCATTGAGTGGTGTTAGTCGTAGTCCCACCATCTCAGACTAGGTCTGAACCCACCACGTTAATATAGTCTCTCTAGTTGCCTCCTAAAACCCTACCCTATGCAACAGGACCTGATGGGACATCAATGGTTTGGAAAATTCGATTACTTTCAAACCTTTGAAATCTTTACACTAGTTAGTAATAATATGTGCACACAGCACAAACGCAAACAAAAAAGAAGTGAACTACTGTCTTACTATAAAGAAAGTTTTCACAATCGGACCCTTTGTGGTAAGACTTCTAGTTTGAAAGCACTGAGCACACTATCTGAGCAAAGCGATTAAGACTATCGCAGACACGGTACTTTTACTTTCACTTGGCTAGTATGGTGACAAGTCTAATTGATTTTACATTAACGAGAAATTATTGAACAGATTATTAAAGTTTTAATAGCCCTAATATAATATGTGACAGCATAGCTGACTTTACCAGTTTCGAATGTTAATTGTTTTTATCTAGTGAAAGCAAATGCATCGTATCTACTCCAGTCTTTGCCCGCACTGTGAGTACGACAGTTACAAAACAGCTTTAAAATACCCGTGGAACTATTTGGTCCAAACACAATAATTAAACCAAAATGGTAAGGAAAAAAGATGTTTCTCTATGACCTTACATCCACTGAATCGTTTTACTCTGTCCTCTTAGTTTTGTTAACCAGTGGAGGAGACGTTAATAATTTATAGCGTAATGAAACCGTTTTATTCACAAGTATTTTTAGCGTTTCGGTTATTCAAACTCATAGTGCGGGTACAGAACGGGATCGCCACCTCAGGTACTTCCGAATTCAACTTGACATAGCAGAGGTCCTCATAAATCTCCTCGACTCTCTCCTCACAGTTACTGCTGGGTATCGTAAACTGAACCCAGGGCACGTCAGACGCTTGGGGCTGGTGCGTCGTCTCATAGGAGGGTGGAATGTCCAGGGACTGGCTCGCGCTAATAAATATTATTGAAGCTTAAGTGTCATTAATGCAACGGGTGGAAAAGAGATGGGTATACTTACACAGATTGCAGGTCTTTGTAGATGTCCTCCTCTGATTGGGTACGATTCGCTGAGAAGGGTCTGAAATTGATTATATTAATTGATACAAGTAGATAAGACGATATAAAATCTCAAAAAATGACTCACTAGACGGCTCAAACAAATAGTATGTTTAATTGTAAGTGTAGTAAGATGAACAAGTATTACAAAAATATTTTTGGCTCGCCCAATAAAACGAGATTTAAAACATATAAATTAAAAATTGATTATCAATTGAAAAAAATTACGACACGGGCAGGACTTGAACCAGCATCCACAGCGTTCCGTGCTGTTTCTTTCGAGCTACCGTGTCCTGAACGTCATCGTCGAATTTTTTAACCTATTGGTATGAGCAGCTCTCGCGCAATTTAATTATATAGTGCCATCATATTATGCTGTTTTTCAAAGAGATAAACATGATGACTCTCAAAATGAGTTTGGGAATGTACCAGATACCACATATTTCACAATACAAAGCGTCTTGTGAAGGGTAGATAAATATAACTTACTTTATATTTTTGGCCAGAGCTTTCGGACACTGGCTGAGTTTAGCGAGGGTGCAGAGTACTCTGTGGAAATTCGAGAGGTCGAACAGCATCGACGGATCGAAGAGATCCGTCTCCCTCAATTCGAACACCTCGTGGCATGTCCTGAGGAATACTTTGATGTTGCGCATGCACAGGAACTGTGGGCGAACGTAAACGGTTTTTAAACACTCCGGCATGGTTGGTCAGAGCTCTTGAATTACTATTACACTATTTTAACAAAAATATCATAAGGATACAGTTAAACAATAAGTGGAACAGCTAAGTACTGTCTGTGTTTAACGTATTTAGATAAAACACTTTTTAACGGTTCGATACGTTGGGCCGTAGTTAAAATAAATTGTAAATCGTCTAAACTTATATGTTTCGGGTTTTAAACCGTGAAACAGTTTTATAATCCCAATAATGTATTAGGTAGCCATTTAGGTAATTATGTGCTTAATGCATACAACAGATTATTATCATAGCGAACTAAATGGTTTTCGTATTTTTTATAAAAGTAGGATATTCAATGCAATGATACAAATATCTACGCATTAGAAACATGTACTACGTATTAACAACTAAGGAGAATTAATTATGTAGTTATATATAAGTCTAATTTGTAAGTGAAATAATTATTTTTAAAATATCGAAGCACCTAATAGAAATTTCTTTCATTAAGTATTATGAGTACGAATGAAAGCCTCTTTCATAAGGTTAAAGCATGTCAGTTATCCATTTGGCCTTGTCAACTTCCAGAAAATACGTGTAATCTTTTTCTTAATAGAATGTCAAGATAAAGGGTATCAGATATCCATACTAGGAAAGATATTATCGTTGAATAGCTAGTATTATGAATAACAGAATTTATTGGGAAAATATTAATTAAAAAATTCTTAATGCGCTAAATTATTTACGATAACAAGTTCTATAAAACGCCAAATTTATGGCATACTTCAAAATATTCATAAACATATTTAAAAATTATTGACAGCTTTCAACAGAAAATAAATTAAGCAAAATATATTTTAACAAATATATTAAAATTCGTTTTGAAAACATTAATATTTCTCAAATGTGAGTGCATGACTGCACTATAGAAATTAAAAATCGATTATATATTTTAAAAACATTACGACGATGTTAAGCTGCTGACTCGGCAGTTCACTTAGTTAGAGCAACAGCACGGAACATTGTAGATGCCAGTTCAAGTCCTGCCCGAGTTGTAAAATTGTTCAATTTATAATCGATGTTTATTAATATTCATGTTGTAAAGTTTTGCCTAGCAAAGACAGTGAATGTAAGAGGAATATAAAACCACACTTCTGACTAGGTTGTATATAAAACTTTTTTTTTCACATCTATATATAGTGTGTTTAAGTGAGCAACCGATAAAAGGAAATCGCGTTTGAATGGTTAAAAAATGCGTACAAATAAAAAAATAATTAACCACGAAGTTTTTAAGTTATGAGTCGTGAAAATTTTTACCAATTTCAAATCATCTATTTATTATTCTTGTTCTGTAATATAATTATTTTACATATACAACTATACCTCTATAATATCTAGACTGGAAATTCGATATCCATGCTTCAACATCACTTTTGTAATCAACATTCTTGAAATTGAAACTTGTAATATGATCCTATTGTTTTGTGCATTTATTGATTGCCATTTAGTGACATGTGTGCTTTTCTAAGGCTTTTGCACTGTTGTTGTTAATATAAAGGTTTGATGATGTTAGTAAAATATAAAGGTCTTATTACTTTTCTATTTTATTAACATAAATCTTCCTAGGTCAACTTTTTTTATCAGAACAAAAATCGACCTAAGTTATCTTGACCCTTTTAAAAAAAACACTTTAACTGTTAAAACCATTTTCAAATAAGTTTAACTAATATATCGCGTTTTAAAGCGTAAAAGTGTTTTATTTAAATGTGTACTACTCGCGTGAACTATAGACAGTATTTATCTTGACCGTTATTCAACTCTTTGCCAAAAATCAAAACTTAGTATGGTATTACATAAAGGGCTATTAGTTTAAACTTTGATATTATTTAAGTAGTATTTTGTATGCCTTAATACGTATATATTTTTGGTCAGTAAAATATAAAAATTCCCATACAATTCAATTCACAAATTTATTTTCGTGCAACCAAATGTGCACTACAAGTAATCAATTCACCCGAATTCAGATTTGAACCTAGGACTTGGGACCTATTGAACCATTAAATGCACTAGCCACTTCACAGACAAGCTAGTTACTTTCAATCCCATAAAACTATTAAAAAGATTAAAAGACAATTTTAAATCCCCATTCATTCAAATTAAATACAATGAATACATAAGGGGACATAATGAATGGGTTTCATTGACAACTGATAATGCTCCGTTATTCATTCATTCAAGACATTGATATCCAGTATTCTTATTCATTGAGGCCTACTTATATGTATGTCTGTCTGACTATTACACTAAAAGAATGGTGCATATTATTATGCACATTTAAAACCAAAGATGCCAACATGTTTTAGTTTAGATTAATCATACATCATATACATCTTAGCACTTTAAATAGATATGTCAGTATAGTTATGTATAATAGATATGAATTATTTTTATTAACAAAGTTAATCATAACTTGTAAATGAACTGAAGCTAGAAATAGACCTTGCAATGCAAGACTACAATGTCAGTATAATAAAATGTTTATTACATTATTTAGATTTTATCACTCAAGTTAAGACGAAATTAATTATAATTAACACCCACTAAGAATCAGTGAACTTGAGAAATTACGAAAGTATAAAACAATGGTTACTCTAGTAGTCATCATAATAAGTATTGAGTAATAGTCGCATGTGGGTTCGATATATGCAATTATTACAAGTTTTGGCGCCTAAGTGGTAATTAGAATGAAGGTCGAGTTATCTACCTGAGCCATCTGGGGTCGCTGGTTCACATCCTTTATATCTATACAGCCCTTATGCAGGACGTTCAGGAGGTTGCAAAGTAGAACACCATCTCGTAAGGTATACGCCAGATCGTGTATGGTGCTAGTATCCCAATTGGCTTTATGATCAGGCCGCAATAAGCCACATCTAGTAAGCCAAGAAGCGCAATCTCGCCATAAATCCTCACCACCAGCAGCCATTATGGACACACAAGATACACTTCACATCGATAGTTTCTGAACTATGCTCTGCTTTTTAATAATCAACAGGCCATTATTTAACAGGGGTTAATTGATAATTGACATACAAATTGATACAACAAACACACGCCAACCATAACGCACAGTACTTTTTGACAACTGAAATCCGGTATCGCCATGTTCGTTCTTCATTAGGTTTAGGGTGATAAGTAGTAAATTAAAACTTCCAATACAGATAAATATTACAAAAATATATAAAAGAAAATTTTTATGCAAAGTTTTTAAATGATTGACACATTTATCAACATTTTTTAGTATGTTATATTTCAAACGTACTAAAAAATCTACAATTTGAAATCCGAATTGAATATGGCAATGTAATATTATGAAGTATGTATATAGATTAATTGAAAAAGACAATTGGCAACATTAGTAATAACGAAGTGACGCGGCTCGTATGTCGAACGAACGATTTTTCGTATAATAAATTCGTGAAAGTGCTTTAAAGCAGTAAAGTTTGTGATTTTAGGACTATTTTTTAAGGTAAGTTGCTTTTAAAATAAATAATTATGTACTTTGGCCGATAGAGAGACAATTTAAAACGGATTTTCTTATCTGACACACCCATCGGGTTTTCGAATCTAATCTTTTAAGTCGAAAGGTGTATTGCTATTTGTACCAGCTTTAGTCTTGTTTGTTATAATAGTACAGTATTTAAAACTTAGTACAGAATATAAGTGCATATTTAAAGAACGTTATAAATTGTCGGCCACTACTCATATAGGGTTTATTTTGGGTCATTACGTCATTGTATATAAGCGGGCGGTATGTACTTTAGGCCGGTAGATCGCATCCTGAAGAATCATTAGGAGTAATTGCGTTAAAAGCATAGCTTGTATCTATGCGGATTCTACTTTCACACAACTGATATGAATACTAATACTGCAGTTGTGACCAGATTATTGATTATCTGCACTTAACATGACCTAGTTAACATAATATGGTTTATGTTTATTTAATTAGAATGGCTAATTGCATTAAAACTAAATGTGTTTATTGTTTCATTAATAGTAATGCAATAAGTGAGACCATTAAACTAGTTTTATATTAAAAATCCATCAACTCAATCCCATATAAAATAAACATTAAAAACTCCTATTATTGATTATTGAATAAGTCATTTTTATATTGTAATTTATCTATTGATATTATCTGGATTGAACTATATGGGCAAAAGTGAAGAAAATAAATAAATGCATTTATTTATTTCCTATTATGTGTTTCCTAAATATTTAAATTATTGCCAGTTGGTAAGGCTTACACATTGGGTTTCTAGTCTACTTTTATTGCCAAGTTCTATCCCAGGTCCCCCATATGGAACGTAATGGTTGGTACTGAATTTGACCATTCAGTGGTAGAGTATTTGTTTTTATAGTTGTGTCGTAAGTCTCTTGTATAGCAGTGTCTCTTAACAATACAATGTTGTTATCAGAATAAGCATTCTTGTGTGACTCACAAGGTTGTATGATGTAATGAAGTGTAGTCTGACCTTTATGGTTATATTTTTAAAGTCTTATTGAGTATGCATTTTATGATACTACATTATAGTATAGGATTCTTTCTTATTATCATGCAGATAATAAGAGAGTCCTCATCCGTAAAAAAATAATATTTTACTGAACAATCTCTTATGCATTTTTATTATTAATCCTAACTTGATAATACAAATCAAAACTAAGTATTAACCTTGACAGTTATAATAGACAAAACGTGACTTTAAAAAGAATGATAGTAAAATGGTAAAAATGTTTTTAATAGGGAAGTAAAATAATTGACACTATTATTTAAATAAATTATACATGTCTATTATATAATTTTTAACAAATATTTTATTTTCATCTTAATCTTATTACTTATCCCCAATATTTTCATTTCTATTTTGTAAACATATTGCAAAAGATAGGCTTAGTTTATATAGACATTTTATATTACAATTCCATCACAGATAGTCAAACGTATCCATCATGGAGCAGATCCCACCGCCCAAGGAGGTGAAGATCCTCGAAACAGCTGAGGATATTCAGGAGAGACGTGAGCAGGTAAATTTTGAGATTTTTTATTTTTATATAATAAATAGGTGATAGGTGACATATATGTAGTTCAAAAATTAACCAGTTAAATGTATTAAGGATCTATAAAGAAGGGGACTCATTCACCTAATAATAATTTAAATTGTAATTTTCACACTATTTATTCAAGACCATTCTTAGGGAATTTAATAATATAACAATTTGTACTTCTAATAATATATATTAGAATGGTATGGTAATTAACCTAATTTAAATATGTCAAATTAATTGTTTAAGAAGTTAATACATTCTTAATTACTGTCATGTTTAATATTTCAAGGCTTACATTGTGGTTTTAAAAATTTGTGGCTTTATCACTGTAATATTTTGTAAAATTAAAATTGTTTTTCCTACAGGTATTGAACCGATATGAAGACTTTAAACAAGAAGCTCGCGCTAAGCGTGAAAAGCTGGAAGATTCTAGACGATTCCAATACTTCAAGCGGGATGCTGATGAGCTGGAATCCTGGATCCAAGAGAAACTCCAAGCTGCCAGTGATGAAAGCTACAAAGACCCAACCAACTTACAGGTAAATTCTAAATAAGAATAATTGTATTAATAAAAGAGGATGTGACAAGCAACAAGGATAACATTGTATCAATTGAAGCATCCTTTAGGGTACTCCACTTTTACAAGTTATTTTTATTTTAGAAATTTATTAAAGAACAGTTGATCATGTTTTTGGAATAAGTGTGATATATTTACTACCAATGTTAACTAATATATCGCGTTTTAAACCGTTAAAGTGTTTTATTTAAATGTATACTACTCGCTTAAACTCCAGACAGTATAGTAATGTGATATGTTAGGTACTCCATAATTATAAAGATTTCCTTGTCTTAAGTTAATCTGAGATAAATTAACAAATATACAGTGGATAATGTATTTGTAATGTATGTATTTTTGTGATTTGTTCAATGAATTATTGTTTATTAGAAAACCGCACCAATGGCTATAAATCCAGTACTGGATGGGAATCTTAGAATTGGTTTTACATAGCTTTTAATAAAAATTATCTATTCTCAGGCTAAGATCCAAAAGCACCAAGCTTTTGAGGCAGAGGTGGCAGCCCACTCTAATGCAATTGTGGTGCTTGACAACACCGGTAGTGAAATGATCTCCGCTGGACACTTTGCGTCTGACACCATCCGCAAACGCCTAGATGAACTGCATCGTCTTTGGGAGCTTCTGCTGTCTCGCCTTGCTGAGAAAGGCATGAAACTGCAACAGGCATTGGTGCTCGTTCAGTTCCTGAGACACTGTGATGAAGTCATGTTCTGGATTCATGATAAGGTCGGAGAAATATACAAATCATTAGTAGATATTGGTACAAGTTAGTGAATGTAAATGTGATTAAGGTTGTTTATAACACTTCGAAAATTTTATAGGAAACGTTTGTGTGCGCCGACGAATTCGGCTCCGATTTGGAGCATGTTGAAGTTCTCCAGCGCAAGTTTGACGAGTTCCAAAAGGACATGGCTGCGCAGGAGTACCGCGTCACCGAAGTCAACCAGCTAGCAGAAAGGCTCGTGCTCGAAGGGCACCCTGAGAGGGAAACGATTGTAAAGAGAAAAGATGTGAGCATTATTTAAAAGATTATGGTTCTAGTTGACAAAGATTTTAATTTTCTTTTTCACATGTAATGTAGGTAAATAGTTTATAGGACAAGTACAAAGGAATTTTCATACCTGCTACACTGTCACTAGGGCCACGCACACTTAACTAATACGAATTCTGTTTATTTATACTCAGGAGCTAAACGAGGCTTGGCAGCGCCTCCGCCAGATGGCGCTTATGCGCCAAGAGCGTTTGTTCGGCGCTCATGAAATCCAGCGCTTCAACCGTGACGCTGACGAGACCATCGCCTGGATCTCTGAAAAGGACGTGGTCCTGGGATCCGATGACTATGGACGGGATTTAGCCACTGTTCAAACATTGCAGGTATGGGGTATAAATTGTAGCAATGATTCCAATCTAGAATAATATATACAGTAGAACTCGTTTAAAAAGCCTAATACGATTTCTCGCATAACTCGCCACTTATTCCAGTTCCGGCAACTTATACATATTTCACACATTTCTTAAGGATTTATATTATTCCTCATCACGTTTAATACGCCCGAACCGAGCCGAGAAAAAAATGTGTTATTTTAAGATTTCGTTATTTTGAAATGTACAGACGTAAATGGGCAATATCAATAAATTGATAAAAACTATGGCTTCAAAACCAAATCAAAAAATCAAAATCTTTCTGTCAAACCAACATAAGTGATTATTTTAAAGAACGTTATTATAATTACACTACGTTTCTATTATAATCCATAAATGTATATAACACATAATAATATGGCGTACGTTTTATTAGCCCTATCACGCATAAGACGCGTTTTTTGTACGGTCCCTGAGAATCATCTTAAGCTGGTCTTGCTGTACATTAAATTATAATTAAATGTTTCTTAAAACACAGCGTAAACACGAAGGTGTGGAACGTGACCTGGCTGCTCTTGAAGACAAAGTAGCTACTTTGGATGGCGAGGCAGCTCGCCTTGCTGACATTCACGGAGACCATTCTTCAGCCATTCACAGCAAGAGAGATGAGATCACTACTGCCTGGCAGAGACTTGTACAAAAGGCTCAGGTAATTTACCAGTATAGAGTGTACCAAGTGACCTTATCGCCATAAGTGATAACTTCCAGGCAACCCAAGCAAGAAGTGTGAAACCTATTAATTATTTAAACTTACAAAATAAACTTAAAACAAAAAATAATAAACACCCATCAAATAAAAAATTAGGAAAGGGAAAAGAAAGTTAAATTTAGCAATAATTACATGATAAAAGCAGGTATCGGTCTAAAGAAAACTTTAATTTTTTTTGTTCCTCTCCTCCAAAAGGAACGTCGTCTAGCCTTGGAGTCGTCCTACGCTTTGCACCGTTTCTTGGCTGACTATCGCGACTTGATGTCGTGGATGAGTGACATCCGTGCCCTAATCGCTGCTGATGACCTCGCCAAGGATGTACCTGGTGCTGAAGCCCTACTTGAAAGACACCAAGAACATAAGGTATTTATTAAACCCTCAGTTGTGTAAATTCATTAGAGGAATTATATGTATATTTACCGGTTCTCTAATTTAGAGTAGTGCTTAATCTATAATAATAAATAAAGCTGAAGAGTTCTTATGAATGAGCTAATCTCAGGAACTACTGGTTCGAATTGAAAATTATGGTGCATCTAGTTTATTTTAACATTGATTGGTATTTCCAGGGTGAGATGGATGCTCGCGAAGATGTAATGGCAGCCTGCATATCCAGTGGTGAGGCTCTGGTGTCTGGGGGACATCGTGGTGCTAGTGACGTGCAAACGGCGTTAGACGCCCTGCGCAAGGAAGCCGCGGCACTAAACGCTCTGTGGGAGCAACGCCGTATACTGTACTTACAGTGTATGGACTTGCAACTCTTCTACCGTGACACTGAGCAAGCGGACGCCTGGATGCACAAGCAAGAGGTGAGCAAAGTTGGCGTGGCGTTAGATCGAAATCGACCTATCTAGTCAAAGGATCTCAAAAGCTACTTCATTTTTATAAATAACCAATTTCACCAAAAATATATGTTTTAACCCTTTCGCGCTCAAGGGAAATATTTTTTCCTTAAACAAAAATCGTTATCAATTATTATCGAATCGTTATTTTTAATCATTATTAATATATTATATAATAAATAAAAGGTATAAAGTTGAAGGATATCTATACATCATGCTATTCGAGTGGTATTCACTAACTTTTCACCCAAAATAGCTAAAATATTGTGTTGTATTCGCATATTTAGTTTTAGCCCTCTTATGAGCCTTCCTTAAAAGCTAATTCAAAAATTTCATATTTATCAATTTCGCAGGCGTTCCTTGCCAACGAAGATGTGGGTGACTCTCTGGATTCCGTAGAAGCCCTCCTTAAGAAGCATGAAGACTTCGAAAAGTCCCTTGCAGCTCAAGAAGAGAAGATCAAGGCTCTTGACGAGTTTGCGACCAAGTTGATCGAAGGACAGCATTACGCCGCCGATGATGTAGCTCAGAGGAGAGAAATGGTATTAATTTACGTTACAAATGAAAATTCCATTAAAATAAAAAGTAATCAATTAAAGTAGGTAATTTAGTCCAGTTTAAGTGAATAACAAATATACATATAACTGGAGCAGGACAGAGAAGGTCAACCTATTTATATATATTAAAATGTTAACCAATAACTAGCTAGTAGTAATAACGAGTAACTTTTGTCTTTTTAGTTACTGGAACGCCGTGCAGCGTTATTGGAGAAGTCAAACCAACGCCGTGCCTTGTTAGAGGACGCTTACAAATACCAGCAGTTTGAAAGAGACTGTGACGAAACTAAAGGTAAGTTATAACGTCTTGATTTGTACAATTTAATTACATCAAATAACATAGATACTCGGAAGGACACATATATAGGATAAAGATAGCTGCTAAGCCTTAATAATGGCCAGTAAGAAAAAGAAAACAATCGCCACAAATAAGAACACATAAAGTAAACTCTTACCTCTTTCTATAGTAAATAATTTCTTTAATCTTTTATTCATCAGGTTGGATTAACGAGAAACTCAAGTTTGCGACGGACGATTCTTACTTGGATCCAACTAACCTAAATGGAAAAGTGCAGAAACATGGCAACTTCGAACAGGAGCTGTTAGCAAACAAGCCCCGAGTCGATGAGATTACAGCTACTGGACACAAACTTCTCGAACAAGAACATTTTGCCAAACGTAAGACTTTTATAAAGAATTAAAATTATTAGTTCAAACACCGAAATAAATTAGTATGAAAAATTACCGTTACATAAGGTTTGCTATACATGCCACCATATTTAATCCGTTTTGTGTCCTTGTTCTTTATATGGTTTTGTGAGACAAGGACAACACTAACTCGTTTCGATAAACATACTATACATTGACGCTTTTGCTCAAGTTGTAATTTATCATAAATAATATATGTAACTTATTTTAAAAATGCTGAAAACATATGCCGTAAATGTCTCATGTTATTTATACAGCTCAAATATCTACACGCGTGGAAGAACTCGGTGGATCCTGGGAGAAACTGGTGCAGGCGTCAGAGTTAAAGGGGTCTAAACTGCAAGAAGCAGCAGCTCAGCAGCAGTACAACCGAGCCGCTGAGGACATTGAATTGTGGTTATCAGAAGTAGAAGGACAACTGCTTAGCGAAGATTATGGCAAGGTAATGATCGACACTAGAAATTTTACTTTTTTTGGAATCTTGTTATTCCTGTATGTGGTATAAGTTAGCTTTATATCTGACGGGTCCACCTAAAGTTGTATTATGGCTAAAGTAATAGCAAACATATGTCAGTTATCACTGTACACTACTTAGATTCGACCTGCATATGTAATTTTAGTCTAAATAAAAAATCTGTTGTTACATAATTATAAATACACAGGACCTAACAAGCGTACAGAACCTGCAGAAGAAACACGCGCTGCTGGAAGCGGACGTGAGCTCACACGCAGAACGAGTGGAAGCACTCCGCAATCAGGCTGAACAGTTCATCGAGCGGGGACACTTCGATGCTGATAATATTCGACACAAGATCGTCAGTATTATTTATAATATATCCAAAACATAATATTTCTTTCTGTCTGACGAAATTTTGTCCCCTTTGCTAGTCTGTGAAATATACAAGTACATAGATAACATAAAAAATAAACTTTCACATTATAAAAAGATAATCTACAAAGATTTTACATAATAATCATAATCCCAGATTTATTTTTTTTAATACAGTGAAACCTGGTTAAATAATATTTGTACTGAAACTCTGTACTTCAAATATCTGTATAAGTGAGATAAATTAATCAGGTTTTAACACGTTATGATATCTTAGTTTACATATTAACACGGCGGCCTCTGTAAACGAGAAACCTATAATTTTAATCCTGCTTAAATGGAAAACTGGATTACTGGAAATCCTCAATAGTTGGTACATATGTTTTGGTCCCTTGAGATCCCAGTTAACCAGATTTAACTGTACTTACAATATTCCTTGTATGTCTTAGTGTGTAATCAATTTCATTCGACTTTATAAATACAGGAAGCCCTCGTTGCACGCTATGCAGCCCTCGAGAAGCCAATGGCCGTGCGAAAACGCCGACTACTCGACTCTCTTCAAGCGCAACAGCTGTTCAGAGACCTGGATGACGAGGCTGCCTGGATCAGAGAGAAGGAGCCAATTATTGCGTCAACAAACAGAGGTATTTAATCTATACTAATATATAAAGCTGAGGAGTTTGTTTCTTTGAACGCGCTAATCTTAGGAACCACTGGTTCGAATTAAAATACGAATATTTAATTATAATTTTATCATGCGTGCGCTGTGAACTTTTTTAATGTAGAATTTAATAGATCATAGATGTTGAACCGTATTCCATGTTTAGATGTTAAAATTTTAAGTAAATTAGAAACCCTTGATATAAAAGTTGTAATTTGAACAGGTCGCGACCTTATCGGAGTTCAGAACCTAATGAAAAAGCACCAAGCTGTAATGGGTGAGATGGGTCAACACGAAGCGCGCGTGGAAGCCGTGCGTGCTGCTGGCCAGGCGCTTATCGACGCACAGCATTTCGCCGCTGATGATATTTCCTCGCGTCTACAACAGCTGCAAAGGACCTGGAGCCAGCTGCATGAAAAAGCCTTACAGGTCAGGAAAATGCATGCTAATGAAAAGACTATTTAATTTTAATGTTTTTAATAATTACTAAATATCTGAGTTAGTCTATTAGTATAGTCTAGAGTTAAACAATGAATTCTGTAACATTCGTCTACAAATCTCACAATAGAATATCTATTGGATTAAATAACACAGATTTTAGTGCATGATAAGTTTATGTCGTGTTAGCAATGTTTTTCGTTAGTTTTAAATTAATGGATTAACTACCCAACTGTTCTCTTATTAAACATAAGTAAATAACATTAGCGCCTTTATACCAATAATAGATAAGATGTAAATAAAACACTTAACGAGTTAAAACACGATATATATTAGTTAAACTTATTTAAAAATTATTGTAACTACGGCCCGACGTGTCGGATGCTTTGCAGCAGCCGTGGTCACGGGGAGACAAATAAGTTCAACTAATATAAATATTGCGTTTTAAACCGTTCAAAGTGTTTTATTTAATCTGTACTACTCGCGTAAACTACAGACAGTATTTGATACGATTTTTGTCTTTTAATACAATTTAGAAATATAAGAACGTTTTCAATTCTTAGCGCAAACAAGACCTGGAAGACTCGCTGCAAGCCCAACAATACTTCGCTGATGCCAATGAAGCTGAATCCTGGATTCGAGAGAAGGAACCAATGGCCAACACCCAGGATTATGGTAAAGATGAGGACTCATCTGAGGCGCTGCTTAAGAAGCACGAGGCTCTGTTATCAGATTTGGAAGCATTTGGAAACACTATCAAGGCTCTCAGGGAACAGGCGGATTCCTGTCGGGTAAGGATCATTTATATTTTTTATGTTGTAAGTTATTACACTGATTGTTTGTCTTCATTTCATTATTATAGTTGTTTTCAAATCTATATGTAGTAACAATTTACTTGTGTGCATAAAAAATAAATACTTGTTTTTACATTGAAATAGCAGCGGAAAGCGTTCTTTAGTTTCAAATGTGTTCCAATGTAGCAAATATTTATAATATGAATCAAAAGTTACACATTATGTCAAAAAATGCTATTTAAATTACATTTAGCAGGCTTATTGGTGTAATTCGCAATGTATGGCTAATAATAAACGGTTCGTTGTTTCGACCCCCACGGGGTCCAACATTTTTCCAATCAATATATATTTTTATCGAAACATGTGGGACTTCGTCTGGAAATAAATAAATAATCCGTTTATTACCACAAAGTACATAATTTACAATTAAAATAAGTAATAAAAAAGAAACCTTACAATTAAAAGAATACAAATAGTCAATAAAATTAAATAAAGGAAGCATTAGTTTATGATATCTGAATTTATAGACGACTGACAGATGATTTTAATATTTTACTTCTATCCAGCAACAAGAGTCGCCGGTAGTGGACGTGTCTGGCAAGGAATGTGTCGTTGCGCTCTACGATTACGCCGAGAAGTCGCCGCGAGAGGTGTCCATGAAGCGAGGTGATGTGCTAACACTGCTCAACTCTAATAACAAGGTAAATATCAAGGGCGGATCCAGATTTGGCGCCAGAGGTAACATAGTGAGGGTCAAGTCAATTTAATGTAGATAACAATATATACAAGTAAAAAGTAGGTATTTCATTAATGTACATACGTAAACGAACTGTACTTCTATTTTTTTTTTATTTTTCTTTGTTAATCGTAAATAAGAATCTTCTTATTTAGTCTATTTTATGAGTATCTTAGCTTTGAGGTTCATTTTTCATAAAGTATAAAATATAAATCATCAGATTCAACATACTGCCTTATAAAACAAGTGACTATCGATTTTATCACATTCGATGGTTCTATTATATGATGTTAATTATCTCTGAAAGAATTTCGGCAATGTTAGGAAACTTTTTTTTGTACAAAAATCATGATCAAATACGTTTTTGTTCAAACTTTAATATGTTATATTTCAAGAGATATTTGACCTTGAGTGATATTTAATTATAGTGAGGAATTAACACTTATTCGGTGCTTCCTCGTCTTATCAGATACAGCAATCAGAAACAAAACAGTACTGATATCAAGCTGGAGAGGCGCACGTGTATTTTTGCTTGTGACGAAATAGTGTTACACACGTTTATTATAGTTAGGGGAACATTTTTATCTATGACTTTACCGGTTTAAAACGTGATATATTCGTTACTAGCGTTCTAATGTGTACTATTCGCATAATGTGGAGATAATAGACTTGTATTATAATAGTGACGAGTGAAACAAAACTAAGTAATACAACTAGAAAATGTGATTGCTTGTTCTAAAATATTAACTTAAACACTGACAGTTTAAAACGCGATATATATTAGGTAACTAATTAACATTTTAATGTGTACTACTCGCGTAATACAGAAAGTATTTAAATATAAACAATATAGATATAAAAAATAATGATATATGAAAAAGTGTTCGTTAAAATAATACTAACATTCAATGCCCATTCTTAATCAGGTAGAATTGGAATTAATTTTGTTTTATTTAAACGCTTTATGAAGACGCCACACCATGTTTATCGTGACTACTTATAATATCGATTTGCAAATAACACAAATATTAATGTAGGCAATAGAATATTAGTTAAAGAAACTAGTGATGGATTTTCGTGAAAATGATTATTGTTACTTGGTTGTTTTGTGTTCTTGTCGGTGATATTTTTGTGCACAATAGGAGGAAGCATAAAAAACACGTTGACGTAAGTTTTACTTATACCAATAAGGATTGCTGAAATTTAGAAAACTCACTACTACATACTGATCTACCAAAATGGCTTAGAGTGGCCTATTTGTCAGAATAAACATGAGACGCTGTTTTGGGTTCGAGTGCAGTCCGTGTCAGGCAATTATTTGAATCTAAAATATGTTTTTAATGGAATGCCCAAAATTTCTGTAAGAGTAAAAGCTTGAAAACTTTATTATTTTTTACATGTTATTGCACATGAAGGCACTAATTTAAAAATCGAAAGTAAATTGAAGAAATTTCGACTCAGGCAGGATCGTCAACGTTTCCGGGCTGTTGCTCTGCCCGAGTCGAACAATTTTTTCCAATTTATTTTCGATTTTTAAATTATAGAGTAAAAGCTGTAAAAATTATATAGGCCGAAATGATAAAACCCCATGCTTTTGATAAGACATTGTTTACATAATTTGGATAAAACTGGTCTCTCTGTTTGCATAGGGATTACGAGGGACCATACAGTAAGTTATAAAACCGAATTGAATGACACTTAGTCTCAGTTGTAATTGAATTAAAGTGATTCACAACGAGTCCCCATATAGATGACATACATACAGATAAATCCCTTAAACTAATTTTATTCAACAATATATTTATACTCTACTTTTTATTCGTTATTTCGTAATTGTTTTTAAACACAAGGATTAGTTAAGAAAACGTTACTTAATAAAAATAAAGTTCGTATTAGTTACCTTTGAAAATAAATTGATTATTTTCTAAACGTTTTATCACTTTCAGGACTGGTGGAAGGTCGAAGTGAACGACCGCCAGGGCTTCGTGCCAGCCGCCTACGTGAAGAAGATCGAAGCCGGTCTCTCGTCCAGCCAGCAGAACCTTGCTGACTCAAGCTCCATCGCCGCTAGGCAGAATCAGGTACATTCTAGACTAATGTATATATTGGTGTGAAGTATTTAATGATCTTTAAAAATGACTAATCTTTACAAATTCAACTGAAATCTTTCAAATTCCATTTATACAAATTTGTGTTATTATAACTGTAACCGCAAAAATAATTTTTAGTAAAGTAGCAGAGCACAAATAGTTGCGCATTATACATCCGGGAAATATGTTTTACCCCACGCGTAATAGCGAAAACGCAATAAATTGTCTACTGTACTTTTAACTTTTAAAATATTTTTTTAAAGGTTTAAAAACGAGAAACATATTAGTTAATCGCAGTCACGGCAGCTGCAAATCATCCGAAACTAATATATTTCGCATTTTAAACTGTTGTATACTATAGTATCTGTCATTTAAATAAATAAGCGCTGAAGTAATTATTGTTATAAAACTAAGATTCCTTTAAAATCTAGTCAATAAATACTTTTTTACTAATAAAAGACGAATTAGTACTAAAAGTACTTTCACATTATATCACAGATCGAGGGTCAATATGACAACCTGCTGGGATTGGCCCGCGAACGCCAGAACAAGCTCAACGAGGCGGTTAAAGCTTACGTCCTTGTACGTGAAGCAGCTGAACTCGCCACCTGGATTAAGGATAAGGTACATACATCGAATTCGGTAGATTGATCAAACAGGATCACTTTCTGTTTTTTTGCGACTGCTATAACTAACTTATTTCTAACCTCTAACAGGAGATGCACGCGCAAGTACAAGATGTCGGCGAGGACCTGGAGCAAGTGGAGGTGATGCAGAAGAAGTTCGATGACTTCCAGAACGACCTTCGCGCGAACGAGGTCCGTCTGGCGGAGATGAACGAAATCGCTGTGCAGTTAATGACTGTAGGGCAGACGGAAGCAGCCCTCAAGATTAAGACTCAGATGCAGGTAAGAAAACCATTTTAATATAGAATGTACATTATAAATTAAAAATACGTGTCAAAGCATTAGATGTATTTTCATATATATCTACATTAGCCAAACAGTATTAAGAGAAGTTTAGTTATTTAAAAAAAAAAACTAAAATTCTATCATTCAATCTTGATTTTAGGATACATATCTTGTAACTTTGGTTCAAAAGTATATCTCGTACACATTGTATGTGATCAATGAACTATAAATAATTTACAAACAAATATAACGTTAACTCTTAAATGCATGATTTTTAAAATATTTGAGTGGTCTTAGTGCACTTAATACTCTTATACCATACCCCTAAGTAATTGTCTAATAATTTAAACAAAACAAAATATATATATTATAGAAAACAAAAAATATTGAATTACTGTATTATGATTCAAAATCGCAATTAATTTTCTCCATTTTAGGAGTTGAACTCGAAATGGTCGTCGCTCCAACAACTGACAGCTGAACGCGCTGCTCAACTGGGTTCCGCTCACGAAGTGCAGAGGTTCCACCGTGACGTGGACGAGACTAAGGACTGGATAGCGGAGAAGGAGCACGCTCTAGCCACTACGGACCTCGGGAAGGACCTTCGCTCGGTTCAAACCTTACAACGTTAGTACTGTTTTAAGGACATGAGAAGACTAATAGGTTATTCGCTGGTATGAGCGATGATTCTTAAATTAAACATTTCAACGATTTAAAACTCGAAATATATTATGTTACTGATTTAAAAATGTACTCTAAATTTAACTCCTTTTTATTAATTTTTAATATTACAACAGGTAAGCACGAGGGTCTAGAGCGTGACTTGGCTGCCCTTGGCGATAAGATTCGTCAGTTGGATGAAACTGCCAACCGTCTGATAAGAACTCATGGAGACTCAGCTGACGCCACTTACAGCAAGCAGCGCGAGATAAATGATGCTTGGCAGCAGTTGCAGGCCAGAGCCAATGCAAGGAAGGAGAAACTGCTCGATTCTTACGACTTGCAGAGGTGAATACAGATTTTTTTTTAAGCATAAAAATATGTATAGTTAATGTTTACACTTGGGTAGATATAGGTTAAGGACAAAGGGAAACTTTGTAGGTAACTTAAATTTTCCATTTACAGATTCCTCTCTGATTATCGCGACCTGATGGCATGGATCAACTCCATGATGGCTCTGGTTAGTTCTGATGAACTAGCCAATGACGTCACTGGTGCTGAAGCTCTCCTCGAGAGACACCAGGTAATGCCACCTTATCTCTTATATTTCATTTGAGATTCATAGTGTTGTTTCATAGTATTCGCATTGTACATATTGTAAGGGGTTTATCGGTGTCATTTCATATATTGTAGCGTTTCTGCTTTGTAAATAATTAAATATATTAACAAGTATATCAGATTGCTATACTGGACGTTTGAGATAGTGAATTATTTGTATTTTGCCTTGTACATAAGTAGTTGATATTAGGTCTGTTTCAAATTATAGCAATTGAGTGTGATTAGAGTTTGTTGTATACATATTGTATTGAAAAAAGATCGACACATTTAAGGTTCGAATTGTGGAGCCTAAATTTGAGATATGTTTCTAGACTCAGCGCTTGGAGATAGACGCGAGATACGGCGTAATGCCGCAGGTCAGATGCAAGATGTGTGCTAACCCTAACAAATCACCATAGAATACGTTCAGTTAGTTTTGATGAATAAAATGCGGCTCCTCAATGATGGAGTTGACTTTCTTAAATGTTAGAAAATTTTAAATATAGAAGGAATCTGTTAATTTTTTTTACTTAAAACTCGACTGAATGTTTTCTGTTAATGGGAAGTTTTTATAAAGGCGTTTTTAATCTGTGACACGACGAACATATAATTCTATCTTCAATTTAATACTCATTGGAGTTCTCTTTTCTTTAGTCGGATAACAATCTTGAGTACAACAGATTATATTTTGTTAACTGTCTTTTTCAAAGATAAGCAAGTGAGTTAAAATAATCATATCTTCTCTCTCGTTTTAATTGTTGTCTGTCTATTTTAACATTGCGAGTGTGGAGGCCGCACAAATTTTCCCCTCCGCTAATATAATCACTCTATTGACGTTTTTTATTGTAACAACATTTTTGGGTCTAGATATTTTCCACTTAAATATTAACGTTGAAATGTTGTATTTAGGAGCATCGTACAGAAATGGACGCACGCGCAGGCACGTTCCAGGCGTTGGAGCTCTTTGGGCAGCAGTTGCTCCAAGGTGGCCACTACGCCTCCCTGGAGATACAGGAGAAACTCAGCGCCATGACTGACGCGAGACAGGAGCTTGAAAAGTAAATATATTCTTATTATAGGCAATACTTCACAAAAAAAAATCTGAAATAATTGAGATGCTCTTATTATATACATTAAAATAAGAGAAGTAAAGTAAAAAGATGAGTAAGAGAAAGAGTCTAGTAGTGTTATAGTTTTTAATTATACTTTGAAATAAGTATTACGCATGTTTAATGTTTTTGTTTAAACAAGCTTATATGTGAAAATGTTAAACTTATTTAAATGTATGTATGTGATAGTAAGACTAGGTTTAATTTAAGAAGGTATATACTTTCCAAGCTAAATATTGTATACCTTAGGCTTCTCAGAATTTGTTTTGTACCTATTTTCAATATTAAATAGTAACCTTAGTAGTAACCTATTTACTGTTAAATTCATTATTATATTATATATGGTTAAGATCCATGAAAGTAATCTGAATTATGTACTCCAGGGCGTGGATAGCTCGTCGCATGAAGCTCGACCAGAACTTAGAGCTGCAACTGTTCTACCGCGACTGTGAGCAGGCTGAAGGTTGGATGGCTGCCCGCGAGGCCTTCTTGGCGCCCACAACGGTGGCTGACCAACAGGATCAGCCTGATGCCGCACCAGATAATGTGGAGCAGCTAATTAAGAAGCACGAAGACTTTGACAAGGCTATCAATGCTCATGTGAGTAATTATTATCATTGCTAGTTGTCCTATCACAGTAACGAAGAACCCTTTTTTCTGTTGTGAATTCCTGATGTATGCCCATGTGACGTGAGGTGGAAAATCTACTACAACCTCTCGTAACAACAGACACTAAACATCTACCTACCGTGCTTTCGAAGGAGCTCTGGGAACATGGTCGTATGACTCCAAAGCTAGTAGCTAATAGCTTAGTTACATTTAAAGAGGTTTATTTATTCAATTAAGGTGGAAAATTAAAATTGTTATAATACACAAATGAAAATTTTGTGTTTCTTGGTAACGAGTGGTATAAGTTACAATCATTCCCTAGTTATTTAATTTATTTTACATTATATTAACAGCAAAGCGCCAGAAGTATGGAATGTAACGTAATGGCACAAATAACTAAAATATTAATAAACAACATATATTTATCTAATATGATAAACATTAAATACACGAGTTAATCACTTGAGAGTGACTGTAGAAAGATATAACCCGAATAACTGTGTGATCTTATTGGATAAAATCAATGGAAGATATTGTATGTACGATATGGTACGGTATTTGTTTAAGAATAAGCCTCTTTGTTGCTCTAAACACTCAGACAGAAAATTATGTTATATATAAGTATTTTCTACTGTACGCAGGAGGAGAAGATAGCTCAACTCCAAACGTTGGCGGAACAGTTGGTTGCGTCAGATCACTACGCAGGAGATGATATCGGTAAAAAGAGGCAACAGGTGCTAGACCGCTGGAGGCACTTGAAAGAAGCCCTTATCGAGAAGAGATCGAGGTATTACTTCTTATTTAAAACAATTATATCTTTGGTCCTAAAAAAAAACAAAGGAAGGAAGGAGTACATCTTCATAATAAGATCGCTTCTGTAACCAAATGGTTGAACACGATGCCGAGCATCGTAGGGGACAAAAGTCTAATCAACTACTTGTCTGTACAAAAACAGATTAGTGAGACGGACACAGAAATGTCTTCGCCCCCACGCCCGACGAGGGGAACGGGATATAATCTTTTAGTATTCTAAAGTTTCGTGTTTAAGTATTTAAGGTAAATATTTATTTGTCTTTTAGGTTGGGAGATGAACAAACACTCCAACAGTTCTCTCGCGACGCTGATGAAATGGAGAATTGGATCGCAGAGAAGTTGCAGCTTGCTACTGAAGAGAGCTACAAGGTATATACAAATATAACATTACCCTTCTTGAAAAAAAAAATGAAATAAATAAAATGCTTAAAATTAACTTGACCCTTATAACAAGTATTGTTTCAAAGTTTTCCAATAAGAATAGAAATCTATAGAAAGATATTTTTTAGGACCCTGCAAACATCCAGTCGAAACACCAAAAGCATCAGGCATTTGAGGCTGAACTGGCTGCTAATGCCGAAAGGATCCAATCTGTGTTGGCTATGGGAGGTAACTTGGTCCAAAGGGGACAGTGCAGCGGAAGCGAAGATGCTGTACAGGTATGTCTGGCCACAGAGATAAATAGAATATTGTACAAATATTACACAACTAAAGGACTGTTAAGTTGTTTATAAGTCCCACGTGCTAATTTGAATATTCTATAATAGAGCGTATTACAGTCATTGTATACGTTAATATATATATTTTTTGTATAGGCACGTCTCGCTTCCATCGCAGACCAGTGGGAGTTCTTAACCCAGAAGACGACAGAAAAATCCTTGAAGCTAAAGGAGGCAAACAAGCAGCGCACGTACATTGCTGCAGTTAAAGATCTGGACTTCTGGCTCGGAGAGGTACTTATTTTTGTTTAAAGTACATTTTGGTATATATCATGTCTCGATAAAAATACTTTACTGATCAGATGCTAGACACAGACTAGATTTATCATCTATTTATTTAATATATCCTAGATATATAATTAATAATAAAAATACACTAAAATTTAAAAATTTCATATATTTATTCTAAACTTGCTTAAGTGAACTTTTTTGATAAAGTTAAATGATATTGATGCAATTTTATGTTCCCTAAACTAACTGTAATACTACTAAAGTAATAATACTAAACTGAAATCTATGTAAATTTTACTAGGTGGAAAGTCTTCTAACGTCTGAAGACTCTGGCAAGGATCTGGCTTCTGTACAGAACTTGATGAAGAAGCATCAGCTCGTCGAAGCTGATATTCAGGCGCACGAGGATAGGATTAATGGTGAGAGGCTTTTTATATCTAGAACTTCAGAAAGTGATCCTATTTAATTAATATATGATAATATTGATGACGATTAAGAAAACATTCTCTCTTATAAAAGATATCTATCGTAATATTAGCTTTATAGCTAAAAAATAACTATAACTTAGAATTGAAAAAAATTATATTACATCGCGATAGACGATAAGACGATAATATCATGTCAAAAAAACCTTTTCTATTCCTAGATATGAACGCACAAGCTGACGCTCTAGTATCCTCCGGGCAGTTTGACAGCGCGGGCATCGGCTCCCGTCGTACCGCTATAAACGAGCGTTTCGAACGCGTGCGCAGTCTTGCGGCTCATAGGCGCGCCCGTCTGCACGAGGCGAACACTCTGCATCAGTTCTTCAGAGATATTGCTGATGAGGAATCCTGGATCAAGTGAGATAACTTTGTTTTGTGTTTTTTCAACCAATCAACAATAATTTATTCACGTAGGTACATTGTGGGTCACACCAACCATTAAAAAACTGGAAGCTAAACTTACATTACTACCTAGTTCTACTAGTTCTCAAATCAAGGAGCGTAAAACGAACTAGAAGAACTGGCAAGAAACTCATCCCCCTACTGTTTTTATCGCTAAGTTTGATTTTACTGTCTTCTGTCGTACTTTCAGTGCACTATCAATTTTTCTTGTTTGAGTCAGTCAGTTCCTGCAAACCCAAGCATTTTTAATAATAATACATTTAATATTTACAGGGAGAAAAAGCTCCTCGTTGCATCCGACGACTACGGGCGCGATCTGACTGGTGTGCAGAACCTATTGAAAAAGCACAAGCGTCTCGAAGCCGAATTGGCGAGCCACGAACCAGCGATCCAGGCTGTGCAAGAGGCCGGTGAAAAGTTAATGGACGTCTCGAACGCTGGAGCAAACGAGATCGAGCTGAGACTAAAAGCACTCGCGCAGGCCTGGGCAGAGCTGCAGGCGTTGGCGGCTGATAGAGGTGCCAAGTTGCAGCAGTCACTCGCGTACCAGCAGTACCTAGCTAAGCTGGATGAGGAAGAGGCTTGGATAAGGTTAGTAACATTTTAATAAAACACAAACGGTTTAAATATTTATAACAGTTGAACGATTAATAAATTATTTTAACTACGGCCTGACAGTTCGTAACATTATTTGCTTTACCAAATAAATTTCGAAATTTTGAACTGTACATACTACAATTTTGATTAGATATTTTTGACAAGGTTTGGCAGTACCAATGTACACAAGTACCTACTGTACAATTGGTGTCAGTTTTTATTATTAATTTTCAATTAATCCTAACACCTTTAAAGAAGTGTAATTTTATTAATGAAATTAAGTAGATAGATTCAACATTAGCGACAAGTGTTTAACAGACGCAATACAACAAACTTTTAGTTGGAAAATTAATTTAAGCCTATAATTTTGCGTTATAGCGAAAAGCAGCAATTAGTGGTCGTCGGCGAATGCGGTGACAGCATGGCCGCTGTTCAGGGTCTGCTGAAAAAGCACGAGGCTTTAGAGGCTGAACTGGCTGCCCGCGGTGAAAGAGTTAAGGATTTGACTGCCGAGGGCGAGAAACTACTAGCAGCAGGAAACATACACGCAGAGGCGCTGTCGCACAGGCTGCATGCGCTGCAAGCTAAACTGGATAAGCTTACCTCCCTTGCTGCTCGAAGGTTAGCTACATCCACATACAATTTGGAAATCTTACCTTTTTGGTAATTGACAGGCTCGTTGGGCTTATGGTATCAATGTATGGCTAATAATCAACGGGTCGCGGGTTCGATCCCCACCGGGTCAACATTTTTTTAATTTTTCTGAAACATGTTGGTCTTCAGCTGGAAATCTTATTAAATGGGTGGTAGAATACGAGAGGTTCCGTGAGGATCACGGACAATCGTCCACAGATGAAAAAGCCGCGAAGTTTAATCTACGTATTGCCGAATATGCAAAGCCCAAATAGGTCGATAGCGCATCTTGTGTAGATGTTGTATGGCTGGGTTATTTCACCTCCCATCAAGTGAACGCCATGTTGTCTGTCCTCCTCTATCATTAAAAAATACCTTTCATATTACAATTTGTCTATAGAAAAGCGGCGTTAGTTGACAACTCGGCATACCTGCAACTGTTATGGAAGGCTGATGTAGTGGAATCCTGGATAGCGGACAAGGAAACGCACGTCCGATCCGACGAGTTTGGACGGGACCTGTCCACGGTGCAGACGCTGCTGACCAAGCAGGACACCTTCGACGCTGGTCTTGCCGCCTTCGAGCACGAGGGTATTCAGAACATTACGGCGCTAAAGGAACAACTCGTTGGTGCCGGTAGGAATAAATTGCTTATTGTGTAGCTGTAACTAAATTATAAATCTATTTCTTTTTATTATAAAATATGAAAAAAGCTACAAAAATTATCGGTTTTAGATTGTTAAAAAATATATACGACACGGGCAGGACTTGAACCGGTATTTACAGCTTTCCGACGAGCTCTAACCAATTGAGCTACCGTGTCCACACTTTTGCTTTCTTCTTTTTTTTTCAACCTATTTATACATGAAACCTCCAGGCGACAGTAAAACGTTATTTACTTATTAACAAATCCACTATGACTTAGTTTCTTTATAAATATTTGCTTATTAATCACATAAATATGCAATGCGGCGTTTTAAAATAACTGTTTCTATTAAATATATTTCTCCTTTTAGGCCACGAACAGAGCGCCAGCATAGCCAAGAGGCACGCAGACGTTATATCTCGTTGGCAAAGGTTGCTGGCTGATTCGGCTGCAAGGAAGCAACGTCTCCTTCAATTGCAAGACCAGTTCAGACAGATTGAGGAGCTCTATTTGACGTTTGCGAAAAAGGTGATTATTCAATATGTTTAAGATAAGAAGTTCACAAAAACAATGTAATCTTCACTAAGTCTTAGTTTCGGAGTCTAAATAAAATTGTTATAATCATTCGTGTTGAAAATGGTGGATTTCCCATCTTACCTTATATAGTTTTTATTTTAATAGATTAGAGACCACAATTTATTTATTGTTAATAATTGTATTCTTCAGGCTTCAGCGTTCAACTCGTGGTTCGAGAATGCCGAGGAAGATCTTACCGACCCCGTTCGCTGCAACTCCATCGAGGAGATTCGCGCGCTTAGAGATGCGCACGCGCAATTCCAGGTTTGTCCCAGATTATTGTGAGCATATATTTATTATTACTAGGGCGTTATTGTTACATAAAGACTTGTTATAATTAAAAGTTATTCTATATTATGTCAATTTTTATTGTAAAATAAGATCAAACTGTCGCTTTGTTTTAAAAGCTAATCGTAAGCACTTTAAATGTTTACAATCAGTCTCTCAAATGTTCTATATGTAAGTATGTAATTATTTGGGTTGCAGGCATCACTATCTTCAGCCCAAAGCGACTTTGAAGCGCTGGCGGCCCTGGACGAGCAGATCAAGTCGTTTAACGTGGGTGCCAATCCTTACACCTGGTTCACAATGGAAGCTCTAGAGGAGACTTGGCGCAATCTGCGCAAAATCATCGGTAATCTATGATACTGTTATATGTCTATGGCTTTGTTTGTCCGAATTGATGTCTCTTTGGTCAATTTTTAACAAAGGTCTCAATTTTAGCACCTTGTTGGTGTATATGAAAAAGCGCTGAAATTAACATTTTTTACATATTCGCTGCGATTAACGTGTATACATTAAATATAGCGGAGCGCGACGTGGAGCTGACAAAGGAAGCCCAAAGGCAAGAGGAGAACGACAAACTGCGCAAAGAATTCGCGAAACACGCCAACGCCTTCCACCAATGGCTCACCGAGACACGGTAATTTGACTATTAAATAAAAAACAATAACGATTTAATACGTGGTCCTACGTTGACCTTGACCATGGCTGCTGCAATGCCTTCGATACCTCGGGCCGTAGTTAAATTCATTTTCAAATAAGTTTAACTCATATATTTCGCATTTTAAACCGTTAAAGTATTTTATTTAAACATGTACTGCTCGCATAAAATACAGACAGTATTTAATTTTACTTTTAACAAAATTCCAAAATTGTCTGTAGAAACAAACAAGATCTTGATAAAAACTTGCCAAGCTATATACACACAAACATAAAAATTTAATTATTACTATGTACAGGTACCGGCTGCTAGGCTGGGACGGGTAATGTACTTGAATGAAGTGTGTTTCTTATGTGACTTCAAATCATTCAGCTCTCAGTAAATGGCCCTTGCAAATGGCAGATGTAAAGTTGGGGTTAACATCATTTAACACTCAAAATAGATGTTATAACAACTAAATTTATAAATCGTTACTATATATACATTCATTTTTCGTATCTAATACAAATATGATGTGTGTGTTGATGGTGCATGAAATTAACCTTGGCTTGGAAGATATGACGAAATAGTAAGTTTGGTATCTCGTTTTGTAAAAACCTGTGTTCTTTCAAAGTTGATGTTAGCTTAACATTATTGGAAGAAATCTATGTTAACAAAATCAAATGGAAAAAACAGGTATTTCAGAGTATTCAAATAATCATACCATGTATGTACAATAACATATCATTAGTGCAGATCAAAGTTTCTGCTTCTAGAAGGTTAATCTATTAATAGGAATATCTAAAAAGCTTTGTTTTTCTAGTACATCAATGATGGAAGGTACTGGATCGCTGGAACAGCAATTGGCCGCACTCAGAACACGCGCTGGGGAAGTGCGCGCGCGCAGACAGGATTTGCGACGTCTTGAAGAGCTTGGTAAGGAAATAGACTCCAATAATGCTTACCAAGAAAAAACTTTCAATTGCTCAGAATATCATCAGCTATAATAAATCACTTGCAGTTACATCAATTTGTGTTCATTTTGATTTATAGGCGCAGCACTCGAAGAGCATCTGATCCTTGATAATAGATACACTGAACACAGTACGGTGGGTCTCGCCCAGCAGTGGGACCAGCTGGATCAGCTCTCGATGCGCATGCAGCACAACCTCGAACAGCAAATACAGGCCAGGAACCACTCTGGTTAGTAAAGTATGCCTATGCCATGCCTATGGCTAGTAATCAAAGGGTCCAACATTTTATAATGTTTCTGAAACAAGTTCTAGTTTGTCTTGAAACCTGGTTATTAAATGGGTGGTAGGAATATCAATAATTCTGCCCCTACTCACAAACTGTCTTCCACAGATGCAAAAGCCGTCAGGTCTAATCGCGTTTCAGTTTTAGTATGTGCATTTCCGAATATCCAAAGCAAAAAAATAGGTCGAGAGCGCATCGTGTTTTGTCGTCGTGCACAGAGCATCGTTTATATAGAGAACCAAAAGTGTTGTATAAAAATAAATCAATCCATTGGGTAGGTTGTGGGTTGATGTTCTCGTATGTATTATATTGGCCATTTTAGTCTAAAACTAATTAACCAAAATGCATTAAATTTCCAGGTGTGAGCGAGGACGCGCTTAAGGAGTTCTCGATGATGTTCAAGCACTTCGACAAGGACCGATCTGGACGTCTGAATGCGCACGAGTTCAAGTCGTGCCTTCGTGCACTTGGTTACGATTTACCCATGGTTGAAGAGGGACAACCCGATCCCGAATTCGAAGCTATACTCAGTAAGTTGTCATTAATTATAAGTTAGAGATAATTATGCTTCTAATTGGCCGTTGTAATACCACGGTCACGGGTGCGAGCACCGTGGCAGGATTTTTTTTATTATTGTTTAGAATGCTATCTATGGCTTCATAACAAATATATGGAATGGCAACAATTCCAACAAGTGAACATTTTTATTAAATTTAAGTATGGCCCAACGTTTTGCACGCTTCGTGGCCACGGCTGGGCCGTTAAGTGCTTTTGTATTATTTTTTTTTCGTTTTTTTGAACAATCAAGACGCAAATTTGAATCTTTTCCAAATCATTACGTTGCGTATTAACATTTTATGACGTTTACAGATATTGTGGATCCGAACCGCGACGGCCAAGTCTCGCTGCAAGAGTACATGGCGTTCATGATCAGCAAGGAGACGGAGAACGTGCAGTCGTCGGAGGAGATTGAAAACGCCTTCCGAGCGATAACAGCGCACCAGGACCGCGCCTACGTCACCAAGGAAGAGCTATATGCAGTAAGTTAATACTTAAACTTACCGTTGTAATTATATTATCAAATATGTTACCGGTTACAGAGATCTTGGCTGTCCACTAGTTTGTATTTGTACGTATATAGACACAAACATTTTTAATTGTATTTATCTCACCGTCTTGTAAACCATGTCTTTCACATGAGGTTCTTTTTACTGCCATAACTATTCTGCATTCACAGCGTTAAATCTTGCCTGTGTCGTAATTTTTTTTAATCTAAAATGGATTTTTAATTTACTTGACCTATGGATCCATATATGTATACAACATATTAGTATAACTATTCTCCGCTTTACAGCTGGTAAATATATTTAATTCCATACAATGTGTAATAAAATCGACGTTCATTTCAGAACCTGACGAAGGAAATGGCGGACTATTGCGTGGCGCGCATGAAACCCTTCGTCGACACGAAGACGGAGCGCGCTATCCCGAACGCGCTCGACTACATCGACTTCACACGTACACTATTCCAGAACTAAGCACGCTATTAAAAATAAACTCGTATTTAAAATATCACTTGCGTTTGCATTCCATGTATAGCTATGACATATATAAGACATGTATGTCCTAGAGTTTGTATTACAGCGCCATCTCGGCTTAATATGGCTCATGGTACTTTCTGGTTTGTATTCCTTCCCTCTGAAGTCAGCAGAGGGATAAGAAGCTGCCGTTTCTGTCTTAGCCTTTAATGCATTTGCATCTGTTTGTTCTCAAATATTGCCTCTTGCTTATTTATTTTTTGTATCCAATTATAACAATAAATTCGTATAACTTCTAATTTGGTTTATTATTGAAACCACATCATATAATCGTTATTTATTTTAAATAAATACTAAACTTAGGCGATAGTTAGTACAATATTGCTACAACAAGTGATTATTAAAATATTTTATTTACATTATTAATATTTATATTAGTTATTTTTTACATATCTTGAATTTCTCAATATAAAATTACATAAAAGCATTACTAATACATACAGCTATTCGAATTGTATGTCTGACTGTTATCATTGCAAATAATATATGTAGTTACATTGTTTACATATAGGTTAGGCACAAACATATATTCAAATGTCAGGGCAATTTGGTTTTCCAATAAAATTCATGAGGACTAGTATAGCACTATCTATGTGTTCTACTATCTCTCACATAAACCATTACATTCAAGCCCAAAAATTACAAGTATATAATGTTTCTTAAAGAACAATATTATATACTTGTCATTTTCTTGTTAATAACCACTCATTGAAAAGAAAGTGACAAGAACATTAATCATTTATGCAAGCCTATTTGTCTTATTTCATTGTATAAGATTTTAAGGGACAATTTTAAAACGATATTTAAAGGTTCGAGTATATCAGCCGTCCTAATTGATTATTAGTCATGAGAACTAATTCTCTACTCTTAAATAAATTAACGGTTTAAAACGCGAAATAAACAATTGCAGATACGAGGAGACCACGACTGCTGCAAAGCATCTGAAACGTCAGTCCGTAGTTAAAATAACTTTTATATAAGTTTTAGTAAAATATTTCGCATTTTAAACCGTTAAAGTATTTTAAATGTGTACAACTCACTACTACAACGGCCGAACATCTCAAAAACCCTTCTCTTTCAGATCAGTATTAATATTCAAAGAGATAGCAGTGTAAAAGTTCACGTTCGTACAATAGCCGATTGTAAAAGACGATATTCCTCTGGAGAAACATGCGTTTTGAGCCGTTCAACTAATTCATTCGGGAGCGGTTTGCCGGAGTGTTGCAGATGCCGTAGAGACAATAACTCGCGAACAGATGGTCGCGCCCGTGCGTTGTACGTCAGACACCACTTTAAAGCTGATATCAATGATGGCGGTAGTTCTAAAAAAAACAAGGTTTGGATTTAAAAAAATATAAAGGAAGACACTGATTAAAGGCCAATTCACATAAAAACTTCACTCATGTCCCCATTTAGTCTTTGCTGAAGATGGATAATATACTATTCTTGTCTCAGAGATAATGCGACCAAAGCTATCTTGTCTGCAAAGCAAAGGTCAAAGGTTCCTATGAAATAGAGACCATGGACCGAAAGAAGATGAAAAAATAATACATACGATCAGCCGGAGGGTAGTCGATGCGATGGTTTGGGTCCAGGATTGCGGCCAACTTAGCCAGATTGGGTATGTGTCCGAACGGAGTGCGTCCGTACACCAAGCTGTACAAAATACACCCCAGCGACCACACGTCCGACTTGAACGAGATCTATAAATATGGAGAAATGAAGAATTACATAAACATAAATGAACAATATATTTAAGTTGTAGTTAATATATTTTCATAGACCAAGAGGCAAAAAAAAGCAAAAAATAAATGGTCCCAAATCAAATCAAATCACGAAAATTTTCATCACTACTTCTTATCCCCGCGTTTAAGACGTCATCTCAGTATTCCTGTAACATTATGTATAATATCCACCAGTATTTAAAATTTTTGAATGCTCTCACCTTGATATTCGAGCTACTGTTGTACCCTCCAGCACCACCCATTAGTGCTTCTGGACTGATATAGGAGTAAGTCCCAGCTGCTTGCGATCGTACCACACTAGTCGCATCACCACTTATTGCTGATGCTATACCAAAGTCAATTAACTTTAACCGACCACATACAAGGAGGAAATTTGCTGGTTTCAGGTCAGCGTGGATAACACCTAAAAGCAAAGAGATATGAACTTATTTAATTCCTAGCGACAACAGGTGATTACATAACACTCCCATACTATTTGTTATTTCTGTACATTATTATTATCATTTATTATAAATTAAATACAGGATATAATAAATATTATTTTTCTGCTTTTTTTTAATTCATGGTGTGGTCTGATCACCCTATCGGTATCCCCGATAGAAAAAGAAAATAATAATTTATCAGGATAATAATTAAGTTTGAGAATGGTCTGCAAGTGATGTGGACTGATGACCCGGCCTTCTATGGGTGTCCCCAAAAGAAAAGACCAATTAAGTTTTGTTGTTGAAATGTCACTTGATGTTTAAACCAATCATGCTTACCATTCTCGTGTATATAGTTAACAGCAAGCAGCATTTCCTCCCAGTAGTGGAGAACAAGAGCTGGTGGCAGACCAGCACCGCGCGCGCGCATAAATGACGACAGATCTGTCTCACCCACTTCTAGCACCATGCGAAGGAGTTGATTTGGTCTGTCATATTCACTGCAGGCAAAATAAATTTTCAAGGTTAAAAAAAATTAAGCAAATCAATTGTACTTTAATTGGATACCAGATAGCAGCTATGTCATAAGGTGGATAGAATAGATATTTTGTTTTTACTTTTTTCAAATTCAAAATTGCTTCTTTAAAACTTTTCCATGTACACTTTGTGGAGTATACATTTTAAAACCAATAAGAATTTGATATTAATAAAACCTCCCTTACCACAGCTATCGAGCTAAGATACTTTTCAAATGAGTTTTACTAACATATCGCGTTTTAAACCGTTCAAGTGTTTTATTTCAATATGTACTATTCGTGTAAACTACAGACAGTATTTAAAACAAAAAACCAATAGTACTAATACAAAAAAACATCCCCCCCCCTTTTTCTGTATGTGTTTCATCATTTATGTGGGATTTTAATCTAGGATGTCTTAACAGATAACCATTGAGCTAGGGGGCAATCTAAATAGGTTTAATAGATGGACTACTACTCACTAATCATATAATTTGATGACTCTATCTGAATTCTGTAAGTCTCGGAGCAGTCTCACTTCATTAATGTAGCCTTGAGCTAATTCAGGATCTGTTAAATACACACATTTAACTGCATACTCGCAAGATGTACCAACTTCTAGTACCTGTAATAAGACAGCAATACTATCTATTAATTGTGTACTCCTAACTTGTGAATGTGTAGGGGGGTCATGAGACCAAAACCCAAGTTTCTATATTGGACATCATGTGCTTTATATGCAAGTTAATTCCATTGTAACTACTTTCTTTTTGTTTCAATCTGAAGAAACTGTCTGTATGTGGTGTTTCTTAACGTCTAAAGGCAAAAAGTGTATCTATTTAAGAGGCAGACGGCTTGTATTTCAAGAGCATGCTTATCCAGAATCTGGTTATGCAAATATTAATAATTAACTATATAAACAACACTTACCTTATAAACTTCACTGGATCCACCAGTTCCCAGTTTTTTAATCCACAGATACTTCTTATCTCTGATACTGGTTGTTTTCAATAGAATTTTTGAGTTATTTACACCATTATTACCAATGCCCTGAGGGTATGATGGTGTTGCTGCATAAGACTGAGGCATCTGCTTTTTATTAAGGGGGGTTTCAGGTACAGGTAAGGCATTTTTTGGTGGTGCTGGGTTAGATGGTGGTTCAGGATCATCCTTTTGCTTCTGTCGGAAGAGTTCACACCTCACCTTTTCTCTGTTTTGTAAGACCTGCTGCTGTGGTGTTTTTTTATTGCTATGTTTAGCTGAACCGGGCGTAAATTTCCGTACTCCAGACTTAATAACGGGCGTTGCAAGCTTTGTCTTTTTAACGCTGTTCTGTTTAGCGATTTCTGGCGTTCGCTTTTGTACAGAGCTTGGCTTGCTGTGTGGAATTTTAGAGTTCGTGTTCAGGGGTATTAAAGGTACGTTTTGCCGTGGTTTCTCCGCAATAGGATCGCAAATAGGACTCAGATTACACTTAGGTGGTTTGCGGGCGCTTTGCGACTCTTTAATCAAACGACACTTATCATTAGCATCCGTGTTTTCTTTATCAGCACAACTAACAAATTTTCTCTCCGAGGAGAATTTCTTGAAGTTGTTTGATGCCTTAAACTGTGGAGTCGAATTAGTCACAATTTCGGAAAACGAATCACTTTCATCCGTTGTATAACTAGTATCGGGTGAATCTGTCTGCTGTGGCATCAAATTGGCCAGTAGTGCCGACATCGGCACTGGCGCAAATTTAATGCTGTTCGATGTAGATTCTGTATTTCCATTCATACTGCCACTTATTTTAAAGATTCAATAAACTTTATTTAAAATCCCACAATCCGTTACAATTTACAATTTTTAAAACAATCACAGAGAACATAGACGATAGATGTATGTTTTGTAAGCTGTCAAAAACCATAAGCAGCTTTTTCAGTTCATTATTATCTGTAGTGACACAGATTCAAGGAATTATATTGCCTAACGCCATCTCTTAGCGTTAATGATTTCGTTTCCTTATCTGTACCAATATTATAAGGATGTAAATTTGTTTGTTTGAACGTGCTAATCTCAAGACTACTAGTTCGAATTGAAAAGGTTGAGTAGAACATTTATCGAGGAAGGCATTAGGCTATAAAGCATCCCGCTGCGATCAATAGGAGCGAAGAAACTATGGGAAGTGGGGAACAAACGGGAGAAAATATTCATCTTAAAGAGTTTCCGTTCAGTTCTGTGCGAAAACTATTTAAAAAAAGGTCCGGGGCAGGGTCCGCGTCACGTGGGTACCAAATTTACTTCAAGGACGACAACGGCGACAACGTGCCGTCCCAAAATTTAGTTAGATATTCTTCCTTTTTTCGTCGATGTTAGTATTTTATATTATGTAATTATTGACTAACTGAAATGATTGATATAGTAAGTAAAACTGATACAGAATCAAAAAGTAATGACAGGATGATAAGTAATAACTTGTATGTCATTGCATACTAAGTAAAAGTATTGAAATATTTTGATGGATTATCAAATATTATTATATTTGCATGTCAAAGTTACAATATTAGTACTTCGTTACTAAGCTTGACTATTCTTAAAAATATATTCAACTGACATTTAGGTGTCACATAGATAAATTTATAATTATTTTTCATATCAAATTAATCGAGCACCTTATTTTATTTAACTCTGTCTTTAAAAAAATGGCCTCTGATAATGTTGTAATAAAACTCTCATTTAAATAAGTGTATTTTTATTAACATTCTCCTTACACTGATTTTGTTAATAGCCGTTAGCTATTATATTCTTCAGTGTTGCCATTATAGATTGCTTCTATAGAAGATTTTTTTATAGTACGTAATAATTAGGATTGTAATAAAGTCGTTAATTATATTTACAAAAAAAAATTGAGTTTATAAATATGATTTTTAAAATTAAGATTCCAATTCATCAGAGCTAGATATTGTCGGGTATCTGCATTCTGATGTTCCACATTCGCATTTCATCCGCTTCGATTTTACCGACCAGAACTTGTCACCATAGTCAAACCTGGAATATAGAAATGTGAAAAATTATAAGTGTCTCAAAATTCCCTACTTAATATTAAACTATAACTAATCTTAATAGTTAACACTTTTGAACTTGAATAATCATATTTACGTAAGTTCCTCTAAAGCAGCGATGTCTGTAAGCGCGAATAAGGCTACAGTAGGTAATCGCAGATCACGGCACTCTGTGAAGACGCGAACGGGCGCTAAATTCGGATGACAGCTGTGGTTTATGAAACGGGCCGCGCTTCCGAACTTTGCTGCGTCCACGCATAACAGCGTTTTATCATTACATTGCTGTAACAAAAATTCTTATAAGCCTAACACCATGCCAAATAATATCCTGCAATTAAATAATTATTTGGAAATAAGTAATCCATAGGTCGTTGGTTCATGTCCGGCTCGAAGGACCATGTAAAATGCTGATAGACTGCGGCCGGTTATGCACTAACTTTTATGGCGCCGATCGCATCTAAAGTGGGCATTACATTACATTCTCGAAACGGGTTATAATCTAAATATATTAATTTTTTTTATGTTCTCGAACAAATAACTTTTTATTACCTATCACAAAGAAAAGAACTAGGTAAACATTTAAACATTTGCAAGTTGTTTACCACAAATAAATAAATATAAAGCATTTTATCTATTGTACAATAAATATCCCCACCTCCAACAAGTCGTGTTTGACCTCCAACGCGAACATATACTGGTCCATTTCGCGGGCATCAGCGGTAGTGCAGGTAAGCAGTTCTCCACAATACAGCGCCACCAACTCGCCCCGTCGCACATGGTGGCGCGCGCGCAGGCCCCACCCGCATCGCGCGGTTCGAAACACTTGTACAGGCGCGGCGAGAGAGCCGCGACATTGGACACGTCCGACCACTCTATTTGTACATCGATTCTAGAACAAATAGGATCTAATCATATTGGTTTTAAGTAAAATGATCCTATATTTTTCATTTCAATGTTCCATAAGGTTCCTCGTGTCCTAAGGTAATCTATGTCAGAACTTTTAAATTGGCCTGCAACTAGTTTTAGAATAAAGATAAAAGAATTTTACAAAGTAATTTCTAACATTTGTAGAATACCTATGAAAAAAAAACTGTTGCTCATTTTTTTAACGAATATAAGACAGTGTTATGTATTGTATTGTGTTTTATACATCAAAACCCTTTTAACTTCATTATTATTATTATGAGCTTAGTGCATTACCACGTTACAGGCGCACGTATGATCGCACTCGAAGACCATGGGCGGATCGTGGTGGGGGAAAGACGGGAGAAGCCGACCACCGGAGTACCACGACTTCACGCTGAGCACACTGCACGAACAACTGCTCGAGCACGTCCCGTCAGTACAGGTACAGCTCTGAAAGATAAAATATAATGGATGTCGCAATTTAAAAGAGTAACTGACGAAGAGACATCAACACATTCTCACTATTCCAGCTTTGATTTTGAATTTTATTTCCTACCAAGTTGGTAATTTTTTTTCCCCAAAATTTTTTCTAAAATTTTATTAAACACCGAGTTTAAATTGGAAAAAGTTAGGCCCGGGAAAAAACTTGCAACCAGCATGCATGGTTGTTTAAAAACAATTGAGCTACTGTGTCCACACGTATCGTCGAATTTTACCTATTGATATATGCACCTGCGCATGTAATTTTAACCCTTAACACATGCGCATTAGGGTCGAATTGAATTATTAATAAGGTTGATTTATTTACTTATGTTGTATGGTCAAAATGTATTTTTAGTACATATCTCATGTGGCAAATTTTGTGTTGAAATGTGTAGGGTTTCAGAGAGTTAGTTTTAACAAAATTAATCGACTAAAATCTCACATAGTGTCACATACAGTTTCACAATAAAAACGAGGGGAAACTTCTAGACCCCGCAATTCGTTAATTACCTGTGTCATCTGAACCGTATTGTCAATGTTGATTAGTTCCGATGCTATGTGTCGGGACACATAAGTAAAGTCGCTGGGCACAGACTCGTCGTCCATTTCGTTAACACAACCCACTGGGTACGGTTCGCGACCGTTCGAGATGTCACTGTGAAAAAGACATATTTCATAAATATATGCATATAGATGGAGTAATGTAGAAAAATGATTCTCATTAAACCTATCAAACATACTTACAAATACTAATAGTGAAAAATTTCTTGACGTCTAGCCATTACAAGTGATGTGTGGGATGGCATTGCATGATCATGAAAGTCTTATACAATATATTATAATATATTTTATACGGGATTAATGACGACCTCGTGGTCTAATCTAATGGTAGCAATGTGTAGCCTGTAACCAATGGCTATACATTGCAACCATCGAACGAGGTCGTGGACTCGTTCCGGGTCCAAAAGACCCGGTAGGGAACGAATCCACATGTTGGGTTTCTCATCGATTTATATGTTTTCTGAAATATGTATGTTGAAAATTAAATGGGTGGCAGGATGAAAATTTGACAGGTGAAAAAGCCGTAAAAGTTTAAGTCAGGGCCTTAATGTCAAAATTAATCGACTGCACATGACGTTTAGATGCTAGCTGGGACATCTGATATATCATGAATTGAAACCCATGCTCGTTCTTACCTACTCTATTAAAATCGCTAGTTTTTTCTATTAAAACCTTTATTTTATTAAAGTAATATTAAGCAACAGAATGGAATCGAAAATTGCTTATTTCTACCAATGAAAGATAAGTTTACATCAGTTTAATTATAAACCAGTACCTGGCTAGAAGACGATATTTGGTGAAGGGTCCACCGGTAGCCACGGCGATTTTCATATTCAGGACTATAGCGTTGTGGCTGGGACCACTGCTGACGTGGACAGGTAGCTCGTTCGAAGAGTTCTCTATGTCGGTCTGTTGGATTTAAAACATAGATAACGTGACCCACTTATGAACCCTCAAAGATCATTTGAGGCTGCTAGAGGCAGAGTGACCTAATAACAAAAAACATAATTTTCAATAAAGAGGAAAATAAAAATGCGCCATTACGAGTTTGTACTATTATTTGTGTAGGAATTATGTTAATTAATTTTCGATCTGTGCTCTTGTAGATTTTTAGACTATGAAAATTGTAAAAATAACTGTTTGTAATAGTTAAAATTGAATTAGGCACTGTGCCTCAGCGGCCTCATTTCTCCTTAAGGAAGATGATACGCACCCTTGCACCTCTTGCTAGCAAAATCACTACACACGGGTAGTGGCCTTCCCGCGCCGCAATGTGCCTGAAAATTTTAAATTTTATTGCTCAAATTTTGCTCTTCCCATTATTTCTATATCCTATATGTTTTTTCCTAACTTGACATTTTAAATTCACAAACACAATTTCGCGAATCAAATCTGTGATCTTCTCATTTAGTTTCACAAAACTAGGACACTGGATTATACATTTAACTAATGAAATTATCTCAAATTACACTTAGTAAAAACCACAGATTATAAATAAAAAAACTGATTAACGGAATTTACGTAAATGGACAGAATTAAAATTTCTTTAAATTGTGTAAGGCTTTCACGGCCATCGTTCAGCATATCATTGTCTTTCGGGCTGTTCGATGTGAGGCCGAACAGCCCGAAAGACAATGATATGCTAAAATTTCTTTGTTTGACATTTCCATGGGGATGGTTTGTAAGCATAGTTAACGACAATAGAAGTCCTGCTCATGCACGATCACTGAAAAGCTTTACAAACGTCGATTTTAATAATGACATAAAACATTTTAAAAGTCATAAAAGTGATTTTTAATATGAAGATCGTTTATTCCATATGCGTTTGTGTCTTTATTCCTGTATCATGTATAGTATCAACGTTTTCTATCTATAAAAGATCATTACTGGGTCTCTAATTTTAAATTGGCCATATTTGTAATGTTTTCACAAGTTACAAAAAATACACTATATAAATATAATTAATATTATCTTATTCGGTAGTTTATGTGAGCAGTTCACATAGAGCAGCGTACAAAATAGGGATCGCTTGTTTCACAAATGTAGCTAACGACGATATCTAGCAAATGAATACATAAAATATTTAAATAAAGACATGACGTGAAACGTTTTCTATCTTGTTAAAATGTCTTTCCCATTCAATGTGTAGTAAAATCTTCACTAATGTAAAATTATTCCATTGTTATTACGTACAGAGCCGTATCTGCGTGGGCGTTGCAAGTGTTGATGATGTGTGGCGCAGCATCAAGCAGAAGATGTAACGAACGGGCATCGCCGGAGAGCGCGCACCAGTGTAAAACTCCGTTGCCCTCGCAATCAGCCGAGGCTGCGTCTGCGCCGTACTGCAGTAACAATCTATAAGGCCAAATTTTAACTGTTAACACAAAACTTGCTAAAAAATATAATTTTAAACAAGATTGCCCTTTGTCAATCTTGTTTAAAATAATAAAACAACTTAATAATTAAACACAGAGTAACACGATCTGTGAAAATTACAAGTGTATTTACACACCAAAATTAATTACAATCAAGAAAAGGCACAGACAGAATGTAGTTTTTTATATCCTGTTCAAGTCCTGCCTGTCTCATGTCTCATGTTTTCAATCCAAAATCGATTTTAAATTTATATGATTGAATTATTTAAATCGTTAATTCTCAAAAAGGACAGTAATGATCACGTTGCAACTGATTGTCTATTCACCTGACTACATCAGGATGCCGGTTTTCAGCAGCCCGTACTAGCGCAGTCCACCCGCCTTGGTCCTTCGCGTCGACGTGGGCCCCACTCTCTATCAATAGCGAGCAAACATCGTCTCCTCCATTCTGGGCGGCCATGTGAAGCGCCGTCATGCCTTCGGGGCCCTTTGAAATATCTTCAATTTAAACTAAACGTCCTAGACCATCATAAAGTGTACTTAAAACAGAATTTATAGAACTAATAAATTAACCCAGAATAGGTTTAGATATAAAATTAACAATCGCATGATTGTAAACACTTTTTTTATGCTAGCGGTGGACAGACAAAAATGGCGTGCATATACCATCAGAACAGGAGGCGCTGTTCTGATGGTATATGCACTGACCTATTTTGGCTTTGAATACTCGGAAATCCATGTGGACGGTGGTTCATGACCCGGTCGGAATTTCGATATTCTTACTACCTATTTAATAACCAGATTTCCAAACTAAGCCAGCCGTGTTTCAGAAAAATTATAAATTGTTTTAAAAAATCTTGGGACTTTGTTAGGATAGAACTCACGACGTTATTATAAGCATTTATATCAATTATTTGCCATGCATTGGTTGTTACCATTACACCAACACCAACCGTCTTCTAGAATAAAACTACTTTAGGTCACAAACTTCATCAAGAAATCCATATTACCTTAAGGTTAGGATCACAGCCTGCCAGCAATAGATATCGGATAACTCTCATTTGGTCCTCCTTCTTAACTTCTCTCTTTTCCCCTTTCTCCCCTTCGCATACCTCTTCGGTTTCTTTTGACTCCTCTGTTTTATCTAAATCGCCTTCTTCCTTTTTGATTTCCTCGTCTCTAGACGTCGTGTCAATTTCTTCTGGAGGCTCTTTTTCCAATAAGGCTGTATTGTAAACAATAAAATCCATTATTTTCTCAACATCAACTTGTAACCTACTAAAAGTCGAAAAAATACACTTCTTAAAAAGTAGTCAGAAATAATTACAAATCGCTAATGATAAGTTCACTATGTGGGTTACGAAAAGGCAAGTAGGTCTTGCACAAAGACATTTTATATAGTTTACTTTTATTAAAGTGCGACTCACCTAATACAGCCTTCATAAGAGGGGTACGTGACATATTGTCAAAAGCATCAAGATTTGCACCGGCATATTGCAATAGACACAGCGCGCCCAGTTGACCACTAACAATCGCCGCGTGCGCACACGTTCCACCCTCTATAAAGCTTATTGGCGTATTCAGTTCGTCCTTAACTGAAATAAATATTTTATGTAATTAGTAGTTAACATGAAAAAAAAGTTGAGCTGTTTAAAACCACAATTATATAAGTTATTTTTAATTTAACTACGATTCAATGTTAAGGACACATCTTCACTTCTCCCGTGAAAACGGCTGCTGCAAGCCGTTCGAAAGGTCGAGCCGTAGTTAAATTAAAAGTGAACTAATACATTTCGCATTTTGAACCGTTTAGTGATGTATTTCTAATTACTTAACATTATTTAAATCAATTATGACCTAATATTAATACTAAATTAGTGTAGTTAGATTTATTTATGATAGAAGAAATAGATGATATTTGTGTATTAGATGGACGATGTCAACTTCGTCTAACTAATCTTTTAACTTAGAGAATTGTTATTTTTTTGGGGACACCGACAAAATCCGATAGGATCACAGGGGTGAACAGTCCACATCAAAACAACTGGACCTGGAGTCTAATAAGACATATTAAACATAAATATATTATTGTAAAAAGAAATATGTTATTTAATGGTATGGCAGTGATAAAAGGTACCGTCAAGTAATTAAGTCCCTCAATTTGACTTCAATTTTTTTGGGATTTAATGACCTAGATATATACAACCTTTAGCCTTTTAACATTATTTCGGAACGCTAGCCACAGATGTATAGAAACTTACCTGTCTTAGTTATTAACATTTCCACAGACTCTCCGGCGATGATAGCTTCATATAGCGTATGAGCTGTGCAGTTCTCCATTGTATCAAAGTCAATCGATTCACAAAGTTTCTCCATGTCCGGTAATTGAGCCAAGAGATCTTCTGGAAATATTGGACTCCTACTGAGCTTCGATGCATGGATTGGAGCAAAGCCCATTTGAGCTGGTGTGCTGTGGAAGTAATTTATTTATCAAGGTATAATTTTGTGTTGGTGTAGCACAAATTGTTAAATTACAATAACTATTACTACTAAGATTTCCTAATGGCTAGCTGTATCAGCGACTTCGTCCACATATAATAGTAATTTTGAATATCCCAATTGGTATTTACACACCTTTTTATAATTATAAATTTAAGCAGTCTTGCAAATAGAAAGATATATAGTGGACTTTTTAGAAGCTTTAAATAGAAATCATTCTTTATAGAACCAAGCAATTTCCAGAATTAGGCAAAAACGGTTCAAACCCTTTTCATACAATTCGAAAAACCATAAAATGAATAATAATTCCCGTTTTTTTCCACATTTTTCGCTGTTTCTTCGCTTCTATTAGTTTATAGCCTATAGCCTTCCTCAATAAATGCTCTAACCAACGCAAAAATTCAATTCGAAACAGTAGCTGCCGAGGTTAACATGGTCAAACAAAATCTTTAACTTTATATATTAGTATAGATACAATGATTACATATTAAGTAAATGAACAAGCTAATTCCACATAGTATTTTCACAGATTAAAAATACAAATGTGTGAAAATATAAAAATTGTGATTATACTATTAAAGTAATTTTCTTTGTTATAAAATGGAAAATGACTGCTTTAAAATTGACATTACACTAACCATTGTTCCCTTTGCTCCGGGAGGTAGACCCGTCTGTTGGAGCTATGCATAGTAAGTTGGACCTTCCGTATATCCGTGTTGACCGGGGTCAATGGGGGGCAATGCACGCCACAATGGGGACAGCCCGTCGGCTCTTCCCCGTAGGGCACCGCGCAGTCCAAATGGCAAAGATGACCGGCAGAACATTGGTAGAACACGCCCTAAACAAATTATATAACACCGTAAGATTTAAAGTCCCTTGAATATATATTGATAAGTGTCCTTAATTATTTATGTAAGGTCTGTTATAAATCTGGTTAAATGAAACCTGGATAAATGAAAAACCTATATTATTGAGATGTATATGTTGCAATGATAGTTCTTTTTCATTAAATTACCTCCCTTAATGGAACTTTTTGAACCTGATCAAATGAGATTTGAATTCTAAGACCTTTTCAACGTTTACCTCTGTAATGGAGACTCTGTAGCTCAATTACCTGTATAAGTGAGACAAATTAATCAGGTTTTAACGCGTTATGACATGTTTGTTTACAAACAAACGCGGCGGCCTCTGTAAATGAGCTATGATTTTAAACTGGCTTAATTAGAAAACAGGATTATTGGAAACCCTTAATAATTGATGCATATGTTTAGGTCTCTTGAGATCCCAATTAACCAGGTTTCACAGTATTACCAAAATTGTGAGCAATCGTTAGTCCTATGAGTTACAATTTGCTAGGTATAAACCTTAAGACCCATGGATAGAATTTTTAGACCTTACCATTAATCCGCTACTGATATTTCGAAACTTACCTGAGTACAAAAGACGCCACACGTGGGACAACACATGTGCTTCTCCATTTCCATCGTGTGCAGCTTACAGAGTATCAGGAACGGGGCGCGCAGGCTCGCTCGCCGCATCGGCAGCAGAGATCCGTCTTCGCCTACCTGTGCTTTGTGAGAGCATCCCACGTTTAACCCGTCCACTATTTCGATAGCTTGGCAGAAGACTGGTTCTGGGGAAAACAGATCTTGTTTATAACTAAACAGGATAGACAGTTTAAATGAAACACTTTAACGGTTTTAAACGCGACATATATTAGTTAAATTTATTTGGAAATTATTTCAACTACGGCCTGACGTTTCGGATGCTTTGCAGCAGCCGTGGTCACGGGGAGATTCAACCACAAGTTCGACGTAGTTAAAAGAATTTCCAAATAAGTTGAACTATTATTAAGTTTATTTAAATGTGTACTACTCGAGTATACTACAGACAGTTTAATCACACAGTTTCCTTGCGTTTGTTTATACAAATGTTCATTTTTCGTATGTATAATAATTTCTTGAGGGAATAATATTAAATTACAAAAGATAGACATTTTTATTGACAGATCCTACTTTTATACATTTGACTTTACTAATGGTAATATAAATGATATGAAATAATTAACCTTCAAGTTCCTCAACAACAGGGCAGACATTCATAACTTCTTCGCAAAGGCAAGCCGCATAAACCGTCGACGAATTAGTGGGACTGGCAGCCAACGAACCTTCGTCTGCTCTAGATACACTGCTAAACCAAATGTCAATTTAAAGTGGGAACTCATACTGGACCACAAGTAATATAAAGAATTATATTTGCTGATAAATGTTTCAGTACAATAATACTGGAAATTCATTCGTACAAAAAAAAATACTGTAATATACAAACAAATATGTTTATATGTTTAAACAAATTAAAAATAACTCTAACTTACTTATTTTCATCGTCTTCCTCTGCAGCTGGTGAATCAATTCTTTGTCTTTTAGGTCCGTGTCTTCTGGAAGGAAAAATGCAAGCCAGACTAAGTTGTATGACAGTATTGAAAGATTTGATTTGATTGAGACACTCTTGATATAATTTTATTATTATTAAACAAATTTAAATTATATAATTTAATATCTATTTAGATTGAAACAAATTAAGACCCAGGCAAGACATAAACCAGAGTTCAGTGCTTCGTGTTACGTCATACCACGATGAGGAATATTATAGTAAAATTAAGGTTTTCAAACGAAAATTATTAAAAAAAAGGATATATATATTTATATCCTTTTTTTTAGTAATAATTAACAATAAAAATATATATATCTGTTATACAGCTCGACTTTTTTCCAACTTACTGGTATGGAACATACTCAAGACAAAAAATCCAGCATCAAAGATATAAGAATTTGTACCTTTTGATTGTTCTTCGCAGTCTTGTAGATCTTCTTGGTGCTAAACTGCAAGAAAAATCAGATATTCAGGTGATTTATAATTATGCTTGCCTGCTGTAGTAAACCATGTTTTATAAGATTAAAAAATAGCTCTTATGTCTCTATTAGTAAATATTATGCTTCATCAATATGCCAAGATATGATAGGTCTCTTATATATAATAAACTTACAACAGTAGATTTGTTACCGGTTTCCCCCTATTACATAAAAATTAATTAAATACTTACGACTCATCGTCTTGTGCCATTGGTGGTGATGGAATACTTTCATTAGAGCTGTAGTGAGTGTGAGAGTGCAGTCTCCGAGATCGACGTGGAGGTGGTGGGACATAGCAATCTCCACTGCTGCCACTGCCTGTCTCATCCGCTTGAAGAAGCTTTACTATGACTTCTGTGTCATCGTCTTCACAATCATCATTGTCAACATCAACTTCTGTATCACTGAAATATCAGTATAAATTGGGTAAAAAATACTTTAAAAGAAATAAAGAGAACAGAACGATTGGTACTAAGATGTCTTTTTCGAACTACAAATTACTACTTCCACCTTAATAAAAGTTTTTTATTTAAATTAATAATAAATAAACAAATAGAATAATTTTATTTTTTTGTTTTAAATGTATATTATCCCTTAAGTATGTTTGAAATCATGTTTTTTAAATGTCCATTTCAGTCACTTCTTTGCTTGTCTGTAGTTGTTCAGAATTATGTGGGCTGCTAACAAAACTATTATGTTATCTGAGAATTTTCAATGCTGAAGTAAACAAAGGTGGTTAATGGTGCCACTTAATCCTATTTAAAAGCTGAATAAACAAATAAAGGTTTCTTACCCTTCCCTCATTTCAGTGTCTTCCACATTCACTGGGTCTTCATCAGTGAACTGTCCAACAGATCTCAGACCTAAGCCACACAAATGCTTTAATTTCATCTCACTATCTTTAACTGTAGTTTCCTCCTTCTTAGTAACTTCTGTAGTCTTTTGTGCAGAGCGGCGTGTTCTTACACCACCCTCTGTTGATGTATCACCCAGACGGGAACTATTCTGTGACTCTATTCCCATACGTAGCTCCTCATTAGCTAGGACCTTTGCTGTAGGTTTTATTTTACGCGATGGACGTGTAGATGTGTTGGTAGGCTCATTATATTTCTCTTTTCTGGCTATAGCACTAGCTATTACGTCGGTGTCTTTTCGCCGCCCACTCGAGTGCTTCGTACGAGAACCGTCAAATGTGTCATCATTTTCCGGATCCATATCTTTCGTGGGCGACTCTTCATCAGAATCACACTTCGCACTCGTACGTCTCGCTGAACGGCGCGGATTTTCTTCGTGTTTCTCCTCTGGCGTAACGATTTTCATATTGCTGCTCTTAGCGCCCGATTTATCAGAGCGAAAAGTCAAAACAATGCGAGGTTTCGGTTCCTCAGACTCCTTTTTGGGAGATTCGAGGTCCACTTTCGCTGTTTCGTCTTGCGACGTGTCTGTTTTATGTTTTTTCTTGTTTGTAGGGTCGTCGTCGGCGTGCATGTTGCTCTCAAGGTTGCCGCGGCTCAGGCGAGGTCAACGCGTCCCCGCTTCACTTAATTTGTTTTTGTTTACAACAGCTTATTAACAACTATGACAGTCAGAACTTACATTATTAATGAAAGATTACTTTTTCGTGAAAAATATGATCAAATGTTTTTCACCAGGTGCACTGGGTCAATCACAATACATTTTAACAAGCGTGTTTAAATGCACGCTTATTCATTAATAATTTAATAGATGATAGTGCAACAGACTGTCCTTCTAATTAGTAAAAGAAATAGTAAAATGCGATAAAGCTACTTTTTACTATTGATAATTATACTGCTTTGCTTTTGATAATTCATAGTTGACAGTTGACATAGGAATCAAGACACATAGATTATAATATTATGTAAGGTAGATAAAAATTAAAAACCTATCCTCAAAACTAAACGTCAATTGCCATACATTTGGAATTTGACAATTTACAATATACTACATATTATATACCTATTTAATGTGTCGATCAAATGATAAACTTATTCTTTTCAATCTTTGCTGGTCATAACGTAAACTTGTAATAATACATGAATTAATTATTGACTTGCTTTAATTTTAATGTATAGTTGTATGAACAATAAAGTGCGGTTAGAAAAAAAAAACTAAACATTTATCGACAGTTTCATTATTTATTATATCAATAACCTTTTTAAAAAAGTTTGATTTTATCCTTATAAAAATGAATAAACTGTTTATAAGTCCTGAACATGTCCTCCAAGGAGGATACTTCCACGCTACTTTAAGAAAACTGCAGGAACCAAATACGAGTATTGAACCGCACAATATTATGTATCCTGTTTTTTTACTGTAAGTATTTTCGGCCTACTTATTTTATCCGTTTTAAGGAAACAAGTATTAGAGTCCGGATGTACACAAATTATTAGATACACCATATTCCTTACAAGTTTTCAATCTAGTTTAGAACTAGTTTTTGGTACTCATTAATGCTGCAATTCTAAGTTACTAGATTTTTCCTAGATGACGATGTATTTTTTATCTTTATTTGAAATAAGTGTGCATTTTGCATAGTCTTTTTTTGTACTCAATAAAACGATAAATTAATACATTGCAGAGTTAATATTGAATAAATTAATTTCCCATTGTATTTTCAAATTCTATTTGAACCTTTTAATGCTCTTAATATAACGGCATTTACTTTTAGATTATTAATAATATGTTATTTAATAAATATACATTAAACAAAGTATTAATGTTGGTTTTTAATTTAAAAAGGTATAATTTACTTTAGTTATCTAACAATTATTAAGTAGTTGAATAATAATTAATAATCACAGAATTTCTTCAATAAGACTATAAAGCGATCAACCTAATTTTAAACTTCTAATTATTATTAATTCTTTTAAACTTTTAGTCAAGATGATGATGCTATGCAAGCTGTATCAAGTATGCCAAATGTCTATAGATATGGAATCAACAAACTAATCCCAGCTTTAACTGAATTGGTGGAAAGGGGTCTTAAATCAATACTTATATTTGGCATTGTTGAAACTCTACCAAAGGTTAGCTATTATCCGTAGTGTAGATGTCAACAATTTCATTGTTATAAAAGAAAAATGATTATGCAATTTTTTTGTGATATGCCTTAATATTTTATAGACCTAGTAGTCTCTTGTGAAAAGTAGAATGAACTTGGTAGTAAAATTAAGATTTTTTTAAATTTAAGTAAATAATATGATGATGATAAGTTTGGATTTTTCTTGAAGTATAATATTGCTCCACTTAACTAAAAGGTGAACAAACAAACAAAGCTACATTTATCTATTTTCTATATATACCGTTTTTATTATCTAAAAAGAATAATTTTCAGGATCCCACAGGCTCTAGTGCAGACTGTCTGGAAAATCCTGTTATCAAAGCCCTGCCAAAGCTTAAAGCTGCCTTACCTGATTTATTACTTGCATGTGATGTATGCTTATGTCCATACACATCACATGGACATTGTGGAGTCCTACACAACGGCGTTATAGACCATGCTGGTTCTGTTAAGAGGATAGCTGAAGTGGCATTGGCATATGCCAAAGCAGGTATGTGTTAAAAACATAGTAATAATAATACTGATACCCATACAAATTAAGCTATTAGAGTTCATGTGCAAATTACATTTTTGCTTATTAATTTTTGGTGATGACAGCTCTTCATAAGCTTTAGCTCTGTAAGAGAACACTTTAACGGTTTATAACGCGATATATTTTAGTTAAACTTGTTTGAGAATTATTGTAAACTAAAGATAGTATCCGGTAAAAGAAGTTTTATTAAGGGATTTTTCATGTTTATTTTACTTCAATATATTTTTAACAATATAGAATTCCACTTGTATCTTTTGTTATAGAAAAAAATGATAGAATTGCCTTAGTATTCTGTCTTCTTTCCTTAAATGTTAAATCACAAATATTATGAACTAAAGGTCACATTTTGTATACCCATACTAATCTAATTTTATTTATATGCAGGAGCACATATAGTTGCCCCGTCAGATATGATGGACAACAGGATTAAGGCGATAAAAGACGCGCTCTTCGATAACAAATTACAAAATCAGGTAATACTTTTATTCATAATTAGACTAAGTAAATTTGATTTATAAAATAATTATAATTTGTCCTAAATGATGGTGAACACTACGTCAAAACCGCTGATCGTAGGCAACGGAAACTTGTAGCTAATCACTTCATTGAGTTCCCCATTCTCACGGACATTGGGTTATCCAAATCTTACTGTTCCCTCATCCAAATCTTCCGGCTTAAACTTAAATCGAACTGGTCATAAGAATATCATTGAAGATAACTTTTTATTTATCTATCTTGTTGTTGAACTTAGGTCATTTGAATTATCAAAAAAAAATTAAAAACTTGTGTTGTGTTGTGTCACTATATAAATAATGTAGGGACTAGAGAATGTCTAAATTAAGACTGTTTTTTAATTTCAGAAAATCTTGTGAGGTTTAAGCTCTTAAGTAAATAGAGCACATTTCTGTGTCTGCTTTCCCACAACTAATTGTTGTGGTGGAAAATTTTACCTTTCACGAAAACAATGAATCTTCTTTTCTCGGGGTACGAACTCGAATCCCCTTGCTAATAAAGCTATGTGAACGTTTATTGTCTGTGTTATAATTTTATAAGTAATTAAATTGAATACATTTACACGTAAATAAGCTAATTATATTCATACAATCATACGATTGTGCCCTAGTCTAGTCACGAACATCTAATTATCGGTTAAAATTCATTGACAAGACCTTGTTTAAATTAATATGATAAGCTACTTCTTTGTTAAATCAAAATTAGTGAAACACACAAAGAAATCGTTATATTTATTTTTAGATTAGTATGAAAAACTGTTAAGTCTTAATCTACAGATTTTCGATTATTGGAAGCCGAATAGATCGGCAGCGCATCCTTCAAATGCTTTAGAGCTGGGGTATTTCTATCAAGTGGACACCAGTCTACCTCCATCATTAAAAAAATGTACTAACATCGAAAATATGGTTTCACAAAGTTATGTAATATATTGTACACAGTAGCGTAGCTAGGGCCCCTAACAAGGGCCCCGGTGCAACTAATCCTAAGGCTCAAGAAAGAATCTCCTCTTTTAGCATAGCGCGAATAATTAACCTCCAAAATTATAAATAGCAACAAGACTGTTAAAAAATCCTTTTTTTCTACGCTTGTATCTTTTTAAAGGTTAGAGGGCCCCTAAGTAGCACAGAGCATTTTACTAAAACCATTTTTTTTTCCTTTTAGTTTTACTATAAACGCTTTATTAAATATAAGTTTATAGGTTTCAGTGTTGTCATACTCCTGCAAATTTGCCTCGTCCATGTATGGGCCGTTCAGAGATACTATGAAGAGTTCTCCGATGGCTGGAGATAGAAAGTGTTACCAGCTGCCACCTGGCAGTTCCACTCTCGCCGCTCGAGCAGCTGTAAGTTTATCCACTAACGGTTTAAGTATTGTGTATAGTTTACGCACACACACATTACACGTTAAAAAAAACACTTTTTAACGCAACGGGACCACGTTTGCTGCAAAGCATTGGAAACATCGGGCCGGAAATATATCGCGTTTTAAACCCTTAAAAAATATAAAAACAGTCTGAAGTTTCGTCATCCATTAGCCCTTAACTGTTTCCATTGCTGGGATGGCCTTCTATGATTGTCACCCTTAATCTACTAGCAAACAAATACACACAGTACTAGTTTTAGTAAGATTTTCTTTACTGTACATAAAGATACATATTTTGGCTGTATGACTGTGAATCTAGCACTAATAAGTAAAGCATATTAAAATTGTATTATTCCAGGCTCGAGACGTAGCCGAAGGTGCAGACTTCCTCATGGTGAAACCTGGTCTTCCATATCTGGATATTGTGAGGCAGACGAAAGACAAATACCCTAACCACCCTCTCTTTATATACCAGGTTACTATTTAAACAATTATATATGTATTATATTCATAAAAGTCTACTAATTTAATGTTTCTGTAGTTGAACGAACTACTAGTAATAAGTAATAACATTACATTATCCAAGTATTCTTTCTCCATAAGATTATTTACACAAGATCATCCCTGAAAACCCGTCAAGTCCTGCCCGTGTCGATTTTTTATTCAATTTATTTTGAATTTTTAATGTACAAAAAATTTGAATAAAAAAGATTAATCCCTCTTAAACTTAATTAACAGTCAGCCTGACTAAATAAGTAAAGGATAAATTGAAATATTTTAGTTTATTAAGTGTACAAGGCCTCTTGTAGTCTATGGTCTACCAGCTAAGGAAGATGGTCACTTCTTCCTTTTTCAAAAGAGACCTAGTTTATTTATTATTAATTATTTTTATATCGGATGTAATTTAATTTGCATTCAAAACTAGGTGTCTGGTGAGTATGCCATGATCTCTCGCAGTGGAGAAGGTGATGACATGGAGACAGTACTGATGGAGACGCTGCTATGTATGCGCAGAGCTGGTAAATATGTATATCAATTATTTCTTAAGCAATATTAAGGCTCTTATTTAATATGCCTGTACTTGAGGTGTTTCACGATGCTTGAATAAAAAAAGACCGCTGAAACACTAACATGTTTCTCCTCATCTAGTGGCAAGTCAAATTTATGTATTAAAAAACAAATTTAAATAAAACACTTTAACGGTTTAAAACGCGATATATTAGTTAAACTTATTTGAAAATGATTTTTAACTTCGTCTCCCCGTGACCACGGCTGCTGCAAAGCATCCGAAACGTCGCGCCGAAGTTAAAAATCATTTTCAAATAAGTTTAACTAATATATCGCGTTTTAAACCGTTAAAGTGTTTTATTTAAATGTGTACTACTCGCGTAAACTATAGACAGTATTTAACAAATTATTTGCTTATAAACAACTTCTAACGGTTTAAAACGCGAAATATATTACTTAATATGTTACGTACAATTTATTTAGCCTCGCCTCTACGGTTCAGATGCTGTAGCTTTTAGGTATTATATTTCGCGTTTCGAATCGTTGTGATTTATTTGAAAGTAAAATGCAATACTTAATTTATTTTTTTCAGGTGCTGACTGCATCATAACTTACTTTGCGCCCTTGATCCTAAATATTATATCGATGAAGTAATAACGTACTTTGTATTTGGATAAAAAAAATCATGACGTATAAAAGTACAGTTAAGTTACTCAAATTTAAAGAAACTCCTTTTCAAATATATGACTGATAAATTATGATATTAGAGATTTTATCGGTTGGATTGATTTTAAGCAAATCGTGCAGCAATGGCCACACGTATTTTTTACTTAACTTCTGACTTAAAAGACCTTTAAATAAATTTTTATGACATTTCACACCAAAAAAACTGTTTTACTTTCAAATTTTTTATGAATTTAAATATAGTCAGTGTTTTGGGAATATAGTTAGAAAAATTCCTTAATTCTTAATTTTAATATCCATACTCATTGTGACATAATGTAAATTAAGAATAAAATTATTATTAGGATGCAATGTTTATGACAATTATTTTAGTATTGGTTATATTATGCTCAATTTTATTTGGTGTTTAAAGTACAATATCTGTTGTAATGGTTTTATTATATATTTTTTCTATTGAAGCTGGTTTTTATTTCACTCTTATCTGATATCTACTAACTAATTTATAAATAATAAAAAAACATACTTATAGCGCTACTTACTTATATAGATTAAAATCTCTCGCTGATGTGAACAACTACATCTTCTTTATATTTTTGTTAGCTGTAGTATATTTCTAACAAATATGGTATATATAATGGTATTATATTTATGCAAAATAAAGGAAATTTTAAGGTTGTTGACACAAGCAGGTACATCTTGCAGATTGACCGGTTATTGTTTATATGCGTAGTCTCTAGATAAAAAATAGACGATTAACACGCCACTTAACAAAACAGAAGAAACTTCTTAAAATGTAGTCTTTTTCATTCTAGTAAGACGTTATAATAAAGGACAGTTGTTCACTATATCATTACTTTTAAGTATAAGTAAACCAACAAAGAATTTCGAACGTTTTTAAACGCGAAATTAAAGTTAAGTTAAAAACAAGTAAACTACACATAGTTAATATATTTTTAAATACGTAAAAACTATGTATTTCGAGTTTTAAATTAAATTAATTAAAATGAGTTACACATTATCTTCCTTATGAATTGTTTCTTTGCTCTCGAACTTCTTGTCGTAGTAATTTTTGTATTTAATAAAGGACATTGGATTTAATGAAATATTTAAATGTATAATAAAATTATAGATCTAAAAATAGTTATCATTAAAAATATTTTTGTACACAATATTATGAAAATTAACAGATAAAAAAAGAGTGATAAAAATATTGAGAAACTTTCGCTGACTATATTTTGAAATTCACGCCAAAACATCGTCATCCGCTTTCATCTTATATCCGGATAAACCACGCACGAATATGTTGGCAGTAACAAACGTGGGCCAATCATGTTCAGCCAAGTAGAGAAACTTGGACCAATCAATGACGAGAATGCAAAACGTCATCGGGTGAACAACCAATCAGATTAGCACACGCAAAACACTAGCGCTAAATAACTGCGACGGCGGCGTGTACAACTTCAGTTTTTGTCAAGCAATAGAACCTAACAGACAGTGCGTTATTAGTGATTCCCCTATAATTATCGTGCAAAGTGTTAAAATCCGTGCGAGTGCTGCGATATTTCATCAGAAAGTCTATTTAATTGTTTAAGGTGAATATTTGTTCGTAAATCAATGCATATGTCTTTGATAAACTAAGATATATCGATTTTATAACCTGATTTTCTCTACCGTGGGCCAATTTTGCAGGGATTTACATTCGAAATACTATAGTTATAGGCGTTTATTCATTTTAATTGTATTTTCAACTTCTCATTAATATACTTAAATGTTAATTTGATCTTGTCACGTCAGAAACTTCTCGAAGCACTGGGCCGGCGCGGTGGCCCAATTACTAACTTACAATACCGTTATCTGTTCACCGTTAAAACCTACTTTCGGTTTCATTGACTGTTCCAAATACGTGTTCTAACTGTAAGGTACTATTTCTTTGACACGTAATTAATGACGTGTTCTTAAAATCTGTGATCCTCTATTCGCCCTTGAAATAGTTCATTGAACTCGTAGTTAAAAAGGAACCACGTACGTCGTCTCGTGAGAGTACAAAGATAGTTTCTTACTTTTTAACAGAAAGTTTCATCTCATCCGTTACTTGTTTCAGGATAGTGAACGGGTACAAAATGCGGTGGTTCTTACTGGCGCTAGTTTGCGTCCTGGCGGTCTACGCCGAGGACAAGAAGGAGAAAGACAAGGATATTGGTACCGTCATCGGTATTGATTTGGGTACCACTTACTCATGGTAAGTGAAAAATTGCAAAAAAACTTAAATTAAATATATGCTTCATTACGACAATTTAACTATATAGGCTGATATAATATTCTTTAATTACGAATCTGCCGACTAAGATCTACTAGAAGGTTCCAATTTGATTAAGCTATTATTTCTTAAAATGGGATTGGTGCTCGTATTTATTTAAGAGGTTAGAGCTGACCATATAATGCCTTTACATATACAGTTTGCAAGCATTCAAGTTTAGTTAGTTTTATATGGCTAAAAGGAATTTTCTTAAATCATCACTATCATATTCTATTCAATTATTTAACAAAAATTCTCTCTTGTCAACAGTGTTGGTGTCTACAAAAATGGAAGGGTGGAAATCATTGCCAATGACCAGGGTAACCGTATCACACCATCTTATGTGGCATTCACAGCTGACGGTGAACGTCTCATTGGAGATGCTGCCAAGAATCAGCTTACAACAAACCCTGAAAACACGGTGTTTGACGCCAAACGTCTCATCGGTCGTGAATGGACAGATACCACAGTTCAACATGATGTCAAATTCTTCCCCTTCAAGGTGCTAGAAAAGAACAGCAAACCCCATGTATCTGTCAAAACAGCGCAAGGTGACAAGATCTTTGCCCCTGAAGAAATTTCTGCTATGGTCCTCACTAAAATGAAGGAAACTGCCGAAGCTTACCTCGGTAAGAAGGTAACTCACGCTGTTGTAACTGTGCCAGCCTACTTCAATGACGCCCAACGTCAAGCTACCAAAGACGCCGGTGTTATTGCTGGTCTTAACGTCATGAGAATCATCAACGAACCAACCGCTGCCGCTATTGCTTACGGTCTTGATAAAAAGGAAGGAGAGAAGAATGTTCTAGTATTTGACTTGGGTGGTGGTACCTTTGACGTGTCACTCTTGACCATCGACAACGGCGTGTTCGAAGTAGTCGCCACAAATGGTGACACCCACTTGGGAGGTGAAGACTTTGACCAGCGAGTCATGGAGCATTTCATCAAACTGTACAAGAAAAAGAAGGGTAAGGACATCAGAAAAGACAACCGTGCCGTACAGAAGCTCCGTCGTGAAGTAGAGAAGGCAAAGAGAGTTCTATCATCTGGCCACCAGGTTAAGATTGATATCGAGTCCTTCTTTGAAGGTGAAGACTTCTCGGAAACCCTCACCAGGGCTAAGTTTGAAGAATTGAACATGGATCTTTTTAGATCCACTTTGAAACCTGTGCAAAAGGTATTGGAAGACGCGGACATGAACAAGAAGGACGTCGACGAAATCGTACTTGTAGGAGGTTCTACTCGTATTCCCAAAGTACAACAGCTTGTTAAAGAGTTCTTCAACGGCAAAGAACCATCTCGAGGTATCAACCCTGATGAAGCCGTTGCTTACGGTGCCGCCGTTCAGGCTGGTGTCCTCAGCGGTGAACAAGACACCGACGCTATTGTACTTTTGGACGTCAACCCTCTGACCATGGGTATCGAAACCGTAGGTGGCGTCATGACCAAACTCATTCCACGCAACACAGTCATCCCCACCAAGAAATCTCAAATATTCTCAACCGCTAGCGATAACCAGCACACAGTAACCATCCAGGTCTATGAAGGTGAACGTCCCATGACCAAAGACAACCATTTACTCGGAAAGTTCGATCTTACTGGCATCCCACCCGCACCAAGAGGTATCCCTCAAATTGAAGTCACATTCGAAATCGACGCTAACGGTATCCTTCAGGTATCAGCCGAAGACAAGGGCACAGGTAATAGGGAAAAGATCGTCATCACAAACGACCAGAACAGATTAACACCTGAAGACATCGAGAGGATGATCAAGGATGCTGAGAAATTCGCAGATGATGACAAGAAGCTAAAGGAGAGAGTTGAAGCTAGGAACGAGCTCGAGAGTTACGCATACTCAATTAAGAACCAGCTTCAAGATAAGGAGAAACTAGGTGCCAAGGTTAGCGACGAAGAAAAGACTAAGATGGAAGAAGCTATCGATGCAGCTATCAAATGGCTAGAAGACAACCAAGACGTTGAAGCTGAAGAATACAAGAAACAGAAGAAGACAGTCGAAGACGTAGTCCAACCGATCATCGCTAAGCTATACCAAGGCCAGGGTGGTGTACCGCCTCAGGGCGCCGGCGAAGATGATGAATTCAAAGACGAGTTGTAAACAGACTGATGACCGAGAGATAGCCAAATGTGATCTCCGTTTTGACGGGCCACGCCCACCTCATTCGGACTCGTGTTTTAACTCGTGTTGTGTATATTTATTGGTGTGCCTGTGTGTGGTATGGACGATACTGCCAAATGCAGTCGGCGTTGTTGAAACCACCGTTGACTGTAGTCGCCACTCTCGTGTGAATGCGTGCGCGTTTTGTATAAAAAATTGATGCATTTCTAATTTTAATAGAGCAATAGAATTAATCGTGTTTGGAGGTGTAACTCGTCTGTCTCGTCACGAGACTAAGTGTTCTGTATCGTATGTATAATATTGTTTTTGAGACTGCTGAATTGTTAGCTCTTAATTAGCAGAATAATGTAGAATTAATTATTATGGAATATGTACGAGGAGTACATAATAAAAACAATTTTTCTATTAAGAACTTCTTTCTTTTATTTCCTTCTCAGAAAGCTTTACTCGCCAAAATACGATCGTAAAATAAAATGTCATTCTCCATGCACATTACGCAACTGAGAGCAATATTCAATGTTGAAGGCGGGAGACGCCATGATAGCCGCTTGAACCCTCACTTGGATTTGATCTGAAAATGATAAACGAACCAAAATCGTAAAATCATTGCAAGGAATTACAACGCTATAATTATACCGAGACAAAGGTACATTATTTGGTATTGTTATTATTAAATTGCAATTGTCTCGAATACATATTGATGTCTGGCTACTTTCAAACCTCAACAAAAATGTATATATTGTATGATATCGTGTATCTTGTATCTTACAATACGATGATTTAATCGGTTAAAAGTATCGCAAGCATAGACATTGACAAATTAATACAAGATAAAAGAGGTGTAAAATCCACAATTAAATCTTAAATACGTCTAGAAAATTCCAAAAAATTATTTCACTTCTGCAACTAGGGGATTACGAAAAGCGATAAGGCAGCTACATATATGTAGATAACATATAGTAGTTACTTTTAGTCGTTATGTCACGAATTGTCGTAAATCGATTACACACTGATAAGGTATTGTTGTGAAGGGACTAATTAATTTCTAAACATTAAATTTGTGTGGATATATACATAAGATGTTTCTTTTGAAACAATTTTTATAGCCCGACCTCACAAACGTATGTCGGGTGTTCACCAATAATTATGTATAGGTCTTTATGATTGTTATAAGTACATACATAGAATATTATATGTATATACCAATTTGATCGTTAGCGATCACTTGAACGGCAGTTATTCCGGCAGCTGCTCTCAATTCAGCTAAATTCTCGGTGAAGTATGTGTCCAACTGAAATTATAAAAACCTATACTTTAGCGAACATAATCAGTACTTCTTTAATTACGAAGTTTTTATTAAATGTATGCGATTTCAATTCAAACAATAAAAATCCAATATACCTACCAAACGAAAACTAACGTGTACTCATTAGTTTTCGTTACACTTTAAACAAAAATTACGTCACTGTCAAGTGGTTAAAGCAACTTATATAGATGATTGGATAGACCACGTATCATTTTTTATAGAAAAAAAATCTAAGAAGAAGAAATTATGACATCTCAAATAAAAATGGCATTATCTCTACCGCAATGTTTGCATTGTTTGCACAAACCCTTGCATAATTAATCAATGTAGTGTAAACTTCATAATTTCGATATTATAATCTAAGAGCTCATACCTCAACATCTAGCTTTTCCAGATCCGGACTCCTGGGAACAACACGGGGACCAGAACCCATCGGCATATCGTGACCTATATATGGATAGACGGAACCACTTAACTGGCGAATACGGGAAGTCTTTCCCGAGAAATGTATACTTATAGACATGATATCAATATAGTCCCAACGAGTAGACACAGAACATTAAGTCAAGTAAGTCAATTATATGTGTATGTACACCTTAATCTCAAAAAAATCTGCTGGTTTTACAATAACTCAGCTGGTCACATCACCCGATGTAACGCGCGGAGTGGTAAGTGTAAGTTGCAGACCGCAAAAAACTTCTAACGTAAGCGTAAGTACTCAAACAAATAATGTAGGGTTCCCTAAACAAGCACTAAGAACGCTGCTTAAACTATTGTCATCGATCAGTATTAATTACTAAATAAGTATTTACCTGTGCACCAATCAACCCCTCGGGACTGAAGCCGCGATCTGCACGTTTTCTCGTCGACGTTCAAGAATATAATTCTGTAAAAAATATATATGACACGCACATGTTATAATAATTAACGCTTACCTGTTGCTCGCATGGTAGTTTAGGAAAACTTGGGGAGGAATAAGTAATCGATACTAAAAGAATTTATAAATTATATTAGCTTTTATTTTTGTTTAAGACCAAGCGTCATATTTATTTAATATGGCCAGCTAGAGTTACTCTATGAAGCTTAGATTTACAAAAAAACATGCAACTTTCAGTTAAGTTAATCTGCATCGTGTCAAAGAAGTCTATAGACAGGCGTATCTAATTGAATCTAACTTTCTCTTTGAAAGTAATGCTTTGTAAATGGTTTCAGAACCGAAAGTAATATTAGTTAACCATTTAAGCAAAAAGGTCTACTAACAAAACTACCCGCGAAAAAACAAAACGGACAAAAAAACTCAACCGATGGAATTAATTTAAATATACACATTTGAAAAGACTTGTATTAAGTAGGTATATTCAAGTAATATGTGGAGTCAGTTTCACTACTAAGGTTCTTTCTTAAAACATTGTAATACTAAATCTTACAGGCACTATCAAGGTGCTTTACTGCTATTTGTATCTAAGAGATGATAAAAAGTAGACGAAGTCTAGGTTGTTTTGTAGAAAATATGGTTAAAGCTACCGATTAGGTGGAGTGGGCATCATGTCCAGTAACTCGAAATCAGTACCGGTCACAGGGTAGCCCGTTAAAACCCAACCGTTATCGATGCAGTCCTAAAAAAGATTATATTATACAAATACCAGTTCTCTGTACAAACATCATACAATCTAATAGTTGACACTTTAAATTTTTTTTTTTTAATTACTAAGAAACCTAAAAATTATGTATTAGAGAAGTCTGTCTGTTTTTAAAGATTCACAAGAACGGAAATAAAAATTTAATCGAAGTGCTTAATATGGCAATCGTATTTTCGCCATATACCTTCATAGCGATCCTGCGACGGACAACGTCAGCTCGCAGTTGCACACTACATCCCCAGTTGCGAAGTTTCTCACCGACATCGTCCTTCTTCAACTTCGCTTCACTGAATAACGCGTCAAAGTCCACTGTTACAGGGTGGAATTTTATTTAGTAAAGCTAATTTTATAACAATAATAATTTCTTCCAAAGAAGCAATTTAGGCGGGCTCGACAGTGTAATGGGAGCAATCTATGTCTAATAAATAATGGGTCGTGGATTCGATCCCCACCAGGTCGAAAAGCTTTTCTAACCAAATTATAATTTTTCTGAAACATGTTGAACAACATCTAGAATTTTGGATATTAAATGAGTGAAACGAACCACTGTCCACAGATGGAAAAGCCGTCAAGATTAATCGGTTTTGGTCTGTGGTTTTTCGAATATCAAAGCTGAAATCGTCAGCTAATCTTGTTTAATTGTTATATGGCTAAGGAATTTCACTACAAATTAAAGTAATACACACAGAATACAAGATCAAAGTGTTTAGCCGCTAACATCGCCTGCGTCCGCCTACCAGAACCGCGGGGTCCTAAGATCAGCACGCGGTAAACCCCCGGAGCTCCAATAGCATGAAGCCCCTGCCCTCGTCCCTGGGCTCCGGCTGCGCAGGCCCGTATCGCATTGAAACACTTCATCCCTTGCTTCTCATGGTCATCGTCGGGTTCTATGTAGACTTCCTGAGATAATAAAAAAACGTAAAAAGAAAATTTAAGAATAAATGGTTTGATGATCTTAAAACATGTTTAATATGAAAGGTAAACCTTCAGAGTAGACTTATAGACAAACTTGAGCCCTTCAAAGTCTTGCTCAGAGAAGGATCTATGGGCCGTCCATGGGTTTTCATCAATATGGCCCACAGGTGGGGGTGGAGTTAGGACTAAGGTCACTGTAGGTAGCACACCATCTTGCTGAAGACACTGGGCTTCACGAACCGTGCAGGGGTGGTCTAGCATTGATTTACTAAATTAAACTGTTGTCAGAAGTATATGTAACATGTATATTATGAGTGTAAAATAACGTATTCCCCTGTAGAGCATCCTATGTAGAATTAATTTAATTTAAATCTTGCTAGATGTTGAACCAAGGAACTTTTGTGCTTAACGCAATGCTAGAGTAGCTAGTAGGTATATTATTTTCGTAATATATGAAATCCTTTAATATTTCTTGTTAGGCATACCAAACATCAACCACCCCGTCTGCGGTACTGGGTCCTTCAAAGTCAAGTTCTTCGCAACCTCAGACAACAGTTCTGGTGAAATGCAACCGGGCACGTAATCATCGTGCTGAAACATCATATATCGTTCAGCGTAGAAGAAGAAGAACATTAAAGATCGAAATTATTTACATTGATTTCATGAAATATATATTATTATGAATCAATTGACCAAACCATGAAAAACTATATAAAATCCAAATGTAATATTATAAAGTTCTAGAGTTTGTTTAATAGCGCTAATCGCAGGAAGGTACTTGTTCCTGAGAATTGAAAAACATTTTGTGTTTGATAGACAAATTATCAAGGCCATATAACATAGAAAATTAAGGCCAATAGGAGCAAGGAAAGAGAGAAAATATGAAAAATTATTTATCGTCTGTTGCGTTCACTGCGAAAACGGTTAAAAAAAACGAAAATCCGCAACATTTTAATTGACTTGCACAAACCCGTTTTTATAACATTCGAATTTGGTCGAATTTAATGTTTATACTAATGATTGGTTAGAGTTGTTTCCACATAATAATATTAATCTGGCAAAAAACATTTGCCGGATCAGCTTCTTTCATTATAATTACGGACTGAGCTCTCTTAACACTGTCAAAGCAACAAAAATACACACTTGTGTTGTAAAGGTAAATGTCAATAAAAGGTAATTTTTACCTTTTCATATCGATCCAAGAGACAGCGGCGAGTTATAACGATAAAACCTAGATTCTTAATCATTTCGTGAACGAGTTTCTTTACATCTGAAAATCATGTATTTTATTCCATTCATAATTTTTACTCAGATGTAATGTGTTGCATTCCAAAAAAATCAAGAGGTCTTGGGTTCGAACTCGGAATAATGTGTCTGCGGTATGCAATATAATAACCATTTTTACTCATTTACTTCGTCATTTATACGAACAACACACGGAATGGCAAGTGTCGTTTGAATGTTGAATTAAAAAAAATATATACTATATACATAGACTACACATAAGTTGTATAGTGTAGATATTTTTTATGTAACTTAAGCTTTTTGTTAATAATTATAAGTTATAACCTATTTGAAGTTTAGGAGATACCAAAAGCATGACTTTGTCGACATCTCTTGTTATGTGTAAGTGACGACCAACAAACACTTTCATGTGTTTTAAGTGATCTCTTGGTAAATGGATCACTAAATCTCTAACCATATCCTGTAAATCGATATATTTATTTATATACGGAACATTGTTTGTCATAAAATGAAAAAGCAGGTGGCAACAGCCTCGGCTTGGATCATCGCAGCTTAAATAAAGAAGCATACTTACTTTAAATAATTTGTAAAGTCTATGCTTTTCTAGATAGGGTAAGAAAGTTTCGGGCATAGTAAGGGGCCTTTTCGTGGCATCTGCTTCAGTCATTTCAAATTTTTTTATGCTGTATTAAATTATTATAATTAAACTTCTAGTTGACGTTAAATTGACATACTACACTAAATAATTCACAAAATGAGGATTGATACGAATGGAATTAATATTTAAACGGCTTGAAACAATAGAAATATATAAGGATAAGCTGTGGAATTTAAGTAATTCAACGATTCTATGATTTCAAACAATGTTACTGTCAGTTGTCAAGTTTGACGTTATGTGATATGAATCGAAAGATATTTTATGGTTATGTTTTGATTTCGATAAAGTAATATTTTTTGTTTCTTGTTATGCGATTATTGATTGTAAGAAGCAGTATTTACTCGTTTGTCTTGGTTTCGCAATGCTGCTGTATTAGGTCAGATGTCATAACACTATATTGATAATTATGATCAGTCGCGATGATCACACGCACTGTTGCAAGTTAATATTTTCTACTATTCGCGATAAAAGTTAGATCATAGTGAAAACGCTCTAACTTTTAAACACTGAAATTTTCTTTGATAATTTTATCCAATTTAGTGTGCCGATGCCCGGCATCGGCTTAGGACGTAGTTTAATAGCAACAAAACTTGGAAAAATGTTTTGTAATAAATATGAAGTAAGAACACATTTCTGTACGAAATACGAAGTATTTTATTGCTAAATTATTGTATTTTACCAATTTATTTATATTTTAGGAAGCTGTTCATAAATTGAACTCATTGCAGTCAAATAAGGCTACAATTGCACAAATAAGGAAGCATATTAAAACAGGACAAGTAAGTCAATTTTTTTGCATATTGCATAATGTTATTTATAATTAATTTTCTAGCCTTAATTATTAATTAGGTAAAAAGTATAAGTTGTTTGTTAGCAATAAGTGTTATTTGTGTTTATTATTAAATAGTATTGTAGAGCTTGTTACATATTTACTTTTTATAAAGAAGATATTTTATTTTATTTATTAAAAAAAAATGTTGTTTTCTCTTGTTGCCTCTTCATTATTTGTCTTTTAGTATTCAGTTATATAGATAGATACAACACATGTTGCACTGCCTAGACAGCTTTACTGCATACATATGTAGTAAACCTGTGCAGGTTTACTGCTTGTGCATTGTATTTTTGTAATGAATGGGACAATTAAACACGGAGTACACAGTAACAATTGCACAAGTTATAATTTTTTTAAATCTTAAATAAAATCATTTTTTTAGAGATGTACAAATATGAAAGACATGGAGAACTATTTAGTGAGAACTGGTGTCCCATTGAGTAAACTTGATGAATTATCTGTGATACATGTTGCTGGGACTAAAGGAAAGGTATGTTATTCCGAGTTTATCATATTATATTGTAATCCTGTATGATAAAATAGCTCAATTCTTAATGTATTAGTTAGTATGTTATATTGTGAGTAAGAGGGAAAATTTATATTAATTATACATAGTTTTAGAAACATACAGCTAGTCATCTTAATTATAAATATTAACATAATCTGTTTATTTAATTTAAATATCAATTCTTACAACAATTGTTCATTGTTGAGTAATGTTTCTTTTCTAATCTGTAAATATATCAATTATTGATAAATCACTACAATCTAGTATTTGCTACGGCTTATATTTTATGATGCAACAAAATGAACTTAAATATAAAAATAAACTGATATGGTTATCTAAATTGAATTTTTACTATTGAAATAGCACTGGCATTGGAATCAGGCAGGGTGTTCAGAAAATTTTGATGCATGATATAACTACTTAGAATGTCATGGTGCTGCGGTTTAAGAAGCCTGAAACCCAAGACTTTAATATTTTAGATGATTGATAATTAAAAATATTGTACATGCTGTATTTCAAAAGGTTGACAGAACATACAATGTATTAGTTCCAGTATCCACCTGATCCATCTATCTCACGTTTTTTATCTTCAGAATATTTGTTTTCTATAGGGTTCAACAAGTGCTATGTGCGAATCGATACTACGGGCGTATGGATATCGCACTGGGTTCTATTCATCACCGCACTTAGTCGCTGTCAGGGAACGGATTCGATTGGCTGGAATACCGCTCTCGGAGGCCACATTTGCGGATTACTTTCATAAAGTATATGACGCACTTTATAAAACGCAGGTAATTTTTGTTTAAACAGACTGTAAAGACTATTCACAAAACGTAAAATAAACTACTAAACATTTTTCTTTTATGATTTTGGTGCGCAGTTTGGGATAGAACAACAGACCAAGAAATTAGAGTGCATTCCAATATCCTTCAATCGCTCTTGGAACATGTAGAAGATTAAATTAATCTACACATTTATATTCCTTTTGGCAAAGATAATTCCATTACTTAATAAAATGTTAAAGCTTGTTACAAGTTTAAATATGTTTAATTCCGTTTAATCTTTATAGGAGTATGAAGGTGATATGCCAAAGTACTTTGCCTTCCTAACTGTAATGGCATTTAATGTGTTCCTAGAGCAAAAAGTTGATGTCGCTGTTGTCGAGGTGGGAATCGGCGGACTCGTAGACTATACTAATATTTTAAGGTGAGCGATTTTTTAAATTTACTTACTACTGTGTCTAAGGTACATTTGTATTAAAACTCGGGTTTTTAAATGTATAATTGATTAAAAGGCTATAATATCAATCATACACAATTTGATTTCAATATGTTTAACTGGCCTGGTACCTTTGAAAATTACTAAGTTATTCCATGAGTGCAAAGAAGGTGCATTTTGGGTAATATGGGTAAATTCAAGAAAACTGTGTAATCTTTAAGTCAATCATAGTTTGTTTTTGTTACATCTAATAATGTTTTCATTTGTTTTTAGGAAAGTGCCAGTCATTGGTATAACAGCGTTAGGATTGGACCACACAGCAATTTTGGGTACCACCTTGCCAGAAATAGCGGCTGCTAAGGCTGGCGTGATGAAAACAGGTTGTTTAGCTTATACTGTGCAGCAGGAGACAGAGGCTATGAAAGTCTTGCAGCAAAAAGCCTGTAATGTCAATGTAAGTTGGTCTGGAAGAGAACAGAAAAAACATCCTTCATGTCTCTTTTATAATTCTAGAACCTTGCTTATCAGAGAATTACTTTTATTTAAGTCTGTTAACTTAGTATTGTTTAGAAAGAAATACATAATATTTATTTCTATAGTTAATTAGTAACGATTTAGTATGTATTGGATATATGCTAGACCATTTATAACATAATATACTAAGCCGCCTTCAATACCACTCATTTTTTTGCAGTGTCCACTCACCATTGTACCTAAATATAGTACATATGCTTTCCAAAATGGCTTAAGACTATCAATACAGCTAGAAGCATATAAAATGAATGCATCACTCGCCATACAGTTGGCACATGCTTGGATGAGAATAAAGTGTAATAATAATGTTAAGAATCCAGATTTGTTAGTCAAAACACTATCAAAGGAAACTGTTATCGGTTTGAGGGATTGTAAATGGCCTGGTCGATATCACATAGTAGAAACTGAATGGGGCAGTATTTATCTTGATGGTGCACATACTAAGGAATCTATGGAAATTTGTGCTCAGTGGTTTGAAAATAATTGCAGGTAAATAAAAGATTTCATTTCATGAATTCTCCCTAAATGCCAGGCCTTTGCTGGCCTTATCTTATGGTAGAAAAGTTTGGCTAATAATCGCCATGGTGAGCATATGAATAATGGTTTGGGCCCCCCTCCCTCCTCTAAACATCACGTGTATTTTTAGTACCTACAAAAATTAAAATGTCTGGATATTAGATGGATTTAAATCGGTAGAAATATAATCTTATTTAAGTTCTGTCTGAGTAAAATGAACTACACAGATGAAATTTAATTGATAAGGTTTCAGTACCCCCTGGGGATTTCTGATTTTTTAATACCCTAAAGCCTCACGTGATTAATGGACACCCCTATGGTGAGAATTGAATAGTGGCTTCTGGTCTATGACCTGAAAAATGGTGGGGATCAAAAGTTTATAAATTCTGTCTGAGTTAAGAACTACACTGATGAAATTTAATTGATAAGGTTTCAGTCTGGGGCTTTTTTGTTAATTTAAAAATTATATTTTGGTATGTATAGTATAAAAAATCCATTCATTTATAAGAAAATAATTTATTTACATCTATGTAATATGAGATAAAGCGGTTAATTACCATAGAATTTTAAACTTATTCAATTGTGAGTTGTTTATCATTGACATCCAAAAGTCTATCAACATCTGTAAGCCATAATATTAATCTATCTAGATATCCCCCATCTTGCTTATAACTCAATAATAACAATTGCATATGTTGAAATGCCATTTGCTCCCTCAGTAAATAATCTAACCGTCTATCCCTTAGAGATAGTAATTTAATGAATATTATAGCAATCAATGTCCACTGGATTGGCTTAAACATAATGTTATTTGGCTGTAATTGAAATGTATTTACTAGGAGTTTAACATCGCCACTAACAGACAGTGTTAATAATCCAAGGGATCTTAATAAGTCTGGTAATACTTTGTTTAAATGTTCGCACACTATTCTTCGTCTTAAAGCATTCTGGGCATTTTTATCTACTAGCGGTAATAGTGTAATATTTTCTTCTGTTGGTGCGGTGGTCTCTGTATTACAAACTCCTGGAATCTCTGTTTCCCCTGCAAGGAATGCTTTTACCTTTAACTGTAGATTTTGGCTTTCCTCTTTTAGCATCGTATAATCAGGTAATGGTTTCATCTCTCTACATAATGTTTGTGCATCATATTTTCTATCTTCTAACTCTAACATGTTTAATTTACGGCACAGAGCTTGATATTGATCGTATGAATTTGATTTGTAGAAAATACTCTGTGCTTGATTTTTTAAATACTCTTTAATGCTCTCTCCTTTATCTTCTACTAGTTCTTTCACTTTGTCATCACCAAATAGGAAGAGTAGAGTGTCCAATGTGAACCACTCGGCCAGACATTTCTCTACCTCAATAGTGATAGCAATAACAGAGGGTTGTTTCTTTGTAAATAACTTTTTAGGGGTTGGCGTCTTGTCTTTTTTGCTAAGCGGTGGTGGCTCTAACAGTATGGGGTCAATTTTCTTCTCTGGCTTTTCAATTATATCACCAACAATATTCAATGGGTTAGGTATTGGTTTCCTAGGGGACATTTCAGTTTTAACTTTCACATTTGAGTTTTCTTTGACACTATGTGGTGTCATATGATTTATTTTGTCAGTATGCTCAGTGCTATTAGAAAGTTCAGTGTCTTTTTTGGTTGTTGTTTTTGTTATGTGCTTTTGAGATACACAGTTTTCCTTGATTTTTGTGGAATCATGTTCCACCTTTCCTTTTTCATTGAATACTTTATTATTAGAAGTATTTTCTAAAATATTCCCATTTTCTGGAACGTCACTTAAGCTGGCTTTAGTAAAATCATTAATAGATGTAAATTCAGGTTTAATTTTAATTTTTTCAATCAGACTTAAATCAATCTCTTGTCCAAGACTTCCAACTACGTCTTGGTGTAAAATATGAAATGTTGGTACAATTTCATATTCCCTGAACCATAAAGGGCTGGTAAGCATCTGTTTCTTGACATACATGGCAGATTTATAGCACATATTACTGCAAAAACTCTTCCGAGCAGTGATATCGTATACTTTGTTGGTTTTCGTCGAAATTCTATACTTTTGCTTAGGTATATCTTTTTCAAAGACTGCATTCTGGCAAAGAGGATAACCGCAGAGATGTACAATCGATCGCTCTTCTATGATGTCTTCGAAATGGCTTTGATTTATGTCTGGTAAACACTGGAGTAAATCATTTTCGCTTATACATTTCTCTAACAGGCTTTCAACGATTTGTTGAGCTTTAGCATTGCACTCTCGTTTCTTAATAATAGCCCTTTGGATTTGTTCTTTTGTCATCTCCTCAATTTTTGTCGGCTTCTTTTTAACTTTAGTTTTACTTTGCTCCATATTGACGGTGTATTTAACGCAATTTATTTAAAATTATTTATCAAAGTGAACAATATCAACCTATAAGGTTGATGTCAGTTAATAGTTCTAAAAGACAACAGCACTCAATGTTATATGTCAACGTCATAATCGCGTGCTTGTCTATTTGAGTATGGATTCCTACTTTTTTGTTAAAAATGATTTTAAACATTTATTTTTTGTTTTTTTAGGAATGCTGACAAGGTTTTAATATTTAGTGCAACCGGGGATCGCGACGCAGAAGTTCTATTAAAGCCACTTGCCCATATGCAGTTCGACGCTGTTTATTTCGTTATACCGACATCCCATAAGGAAGTTAGTAATAAAAGTGACAATTATTCCATATTGGAGCACAATGAGCTTATATCTAGGTGTAATTCGTATGCAGATATTTGGAAAACATTAAATAAGGCTACGAAAAATAGTTTTGTATTGGAATGTGTTTCAGATGTCTTATTAAGTATTAAGAACAGCAAGAAACAATCTATTTTAATAACTGGATCATTACACCTTGTTGGTGCAGCTTTGTCAATTATTGATCCTTCGTTAAACAGCTCGTAATGTGATCATTGTTTATACTTAGTCTTAGGTTTACATAAATGTTGTTATGATTTATACAATGTACTTATATAAGTACCTACTGTTGTTGGGTTTCAAAGAATAAATGTTATATTACTAATTCGTAGCTATTAATTTCTAACTCATCATTATCAAATCATTTCTTACGTAAACACTATAAATACTAAATACCACTTTAGGTGACACAAGTTTTATTTTCTGTAGTAATCTAGTCTTTTTTTACTTTTAATATAACTAAGCAAGCCAAATAACGTACCGTGTAGGTAAGTTTGTGTAGATTTTACTACTAATGCACATATTTTACAAGTTTAAACTTGTAAAATGAATCGCAATCGCCAATTACCTAGTATCTAATCTACAGCTAAGTAATAAAAAATTATAAACTTTCAGCTGATATGTCAATTGTCGAATTCGTATTGTCAATTACCAGTCCGTCTTGTGATTGTGTTTAATAATAATTTTGAAACTAAATTCATCTACACAATTCAATATGTATTATATCGTTTGAAACAATCACATTACATTGTTAAAACAGTGTTCGCCGAAAACACACGTTACATAACTACCGTTTTCATTGCGTACCTATTGAAACATTCGAATAAACTATATTTACTTTAATACGGATTTATCAGTGATAAGGATGTAATCACTTCATTTAGGACAAGAATTATTTATGAGAGCAAGGATGGATTGCTTTTACCGTCGCTAGATAGTAAAAGGTAAGGTTTTATACTGTTTCCTAATAATTTCCTTCCAGGTTGAAACTATTAGAAAGTTTTCAGTTCAATTTGCATACAATAAAAGTCAAAACTCGAAGGGATTCGAGCGATATTTAAGATATTTTTATTTGAAATTGTCAAAACATTTATTGGGAAATCATCTAATTATAGTTATGCATTATTTCTAAAAAAAATAAACATATGAACTAAACCTATTAAATGGTGGATCATGTTACTATCTTGTGCAAGTTATTCGTGACTGAGGAAAATACTTGATTTTCGTTTAAATCTTCAAAACAGGTTTTAAAGAGAGGCACCTTAAGTATAGTATAGGACTATGCTTCTGCAAATAATGATAGTACATTCTTAAGATCAATGATTAGCTTATATAAATGTTATCAACTTGTTTATTTACGTATCATTATTGCAAGGAATATCTTGAAACCTTATCTTGTCATCTGTATTCGTTAGAAGTATAGCACTAGTGTATAATAAATAGTAATGTTAAATACAGCTGAAGAGGCAAAAAATACAATTCAATCAATAAGTAGATTTGGGATATTCATTTAATAATATTGGTTAACAAGTTGTGTGAGAGCTTATTTTGTTTAAAACAAGCAAAGAATGTTTAGCTAATATAATCTATCATTCACTGGGCCATTGTTCAGTTATGTTTATGATAACATAAATCTATTGATAACAATATCACAGTAAATGAATCATCAGTTTTTGTCATGCAGTTTGTTATATACAAGTTGAATATACTGTGGGTTACTTGCTGTTGCATAAAAACATTTTTTATAATACAGTTAGTGTATGTAAATTTGTGTTGATTGGCACTATCAGAATCTATTTGCTTTTTATGTTCTTTAGAATTAAATAGCTATCATTTCCGGGTATAAAAGACAAAAATTACAGCTTTAAACCTACCTGGTGAAGTAAAGGATATTTGAAACCGGTTCTCAATATATTTTTTATCACATACGAAAAAATAATTCTAACGCGTTACCAGCTAAGCCACAAGTCCTATCGCTTTAAATTATGTAAGAATTCTATCACAAATTGTAAATCCATTTAGGTGAAGACGTCAAGATGTGTATGCACATGTGGATGTGGTTTGGCTACAATGTCGGCGAGCTGCTATTCCCTGGTCTCAACATAACTACGCGATGGAGCTTCGCCCTCACGTGGATAGTCTTATTTTTCGTCTCTCTACTCTTTGAAGCTTCTAAGGTAGGTTTCTACGCGTGTGACAGTAAGACCTTCTATTTAATATAAGTGCACCATTAATTCATTTGAACAAATTTTGACTCGTAGGACTTAACCGGCATGTAGGTTCCGTGCTGTTGATCTACAACAAAAATAAATTTGTTTTTTCAATTTATTTTCGATTTTTAAATTATATAGTCTTCAGTGCAAAGTATTAATGTTTTCATAAGTGCACCACTTCATTTTTATTTTCTGTTAAGATTTTTATTTTTAGCTTCTTTTTATACCTGACATAAATGTGTTTTTATATCTTTAATAATAAAGGATCACTGTCGGTCTGTCTCAGGATCTTAAGCTCCGCGCTCAGAGTTTTATATTCACACATTAATTATTTCTCTCCTCTACCATAATAAACACCCAATTATTGGTACATAATAGGTGAGCACTCGAAATAACTAAAAAGGTTACAATAAGTATGATTACGCCCTATTATTTATTGACTACGTTACACAATATTTGTGTAACGTAGTCAATAGGGCGTAACCATTAACCACTTTATTTATTAAGTCAGTCATATAGCTGAAAAATGTCGACAACGCCTCTTGTATAGATACAAGAGGCGTTGTCGATCTTTTTCGGCTTTTTCTTTGGATATTCTGAAATGCACAGTCTGAAACCAAAACGCTATAAAACTTTACGACTTTTTCATATGTGGAGGATCTTGCACCCGTTTAACATCCAGATTTTTAGACGAAATCCAACATGGTGCAGAACAATTATGTATTTATTGGACACATAATATTATGTACCTGATGGGTTCGAACCCACGTCCCGTTGATTATTAGCCATATATGCTACCATTAGACCAAAGAGCCAGTCAAAATTGCAAGCTCTCGACAGAGTTTTTTCTTTTTTTATAATTCCTTTTCCAGACTCATAATATGAATTTATTTTTAACAGGTATACTTAGCAAGGGTTCAGCGTGCCGCTCAAAAAAAAGCTATATCCATACAGGTCGGATGAAAGGAGGACTCTACTTTGCGAACGGTAAGACGACTAGAAGAATAATTAAAATATAAAGTAAATAATGCTAACAAAAATTTTAAGTCGCCATTAAAGTGATTTTTAATATTGAGGTCGTTTGATCCATATACCATTGATATTTCGTTAAACTATATGTCATCTGTGGCAATGATTACACTCTATAAAAGGGCATTACTAAATCTCTATGGTTTGAAATCAGCCATTTTTGTTGTGGTCTTATGCCAAGTTAGAAAAACTATGACACTGTTGGTCAGGAAATTCAGTCTTATGTCTCTATATGGACAAACATATTATTTCTCTCTCGTAATTCGTCTCGGGATTCGTTCGTTAGCGCACTATTACATCTCAACATTTGGTGACAATTATGTGTTATCGTCTGTTACAGCTTTATCTTTGTCACACTCTAGGTAGGACGATGGTTTCTGCAGATATATCGATTACTTAGTTTCGGATTAAAATTCTGATAAACAATAAATCTTTTAATGGATTGGGCATTACGTGAATAAATTTTTAGATTGTTAATTATTAAAAAATATATATTACAACTGTGCGCTACGACTTTCTTCGCGCGATAAATTAACTTGCGATGATTCGTTTGGATACATAACTACCTTCATATATTATAGCTCGTAGATTGTATTATACCTGAAAACCACGGTAAAACCGATTGGTTGACCATTGTTGTGAATGTATTAACTTTAAATTTCTTTCCTTAACGCCAACAAGGCTTATTATTTATTTTACGCAAGAACCATTACTGAAGTATTGCTGGTATTCCGAAAATAAGACCATAGACATAATTCTATTGAAGTGCGCATGCTAGGGATATGGTTTCGTTTTAGTAGTTATAATATTAGTAAAACTACATTCAGTTCTAAATGGGTGCAGCTGTATGAATACGTATTACGCGAACATAGTGCAATATACACAACAATAGTTCCCTTCCGCATTTCGTTGTAATGATATTTGTTGTTAATCGAGGGCGTGGCGTTCTTGATTTGTTGCAATTCTTAAAGCAAATTGTGTAAACGTAATTTCTTCTCCCAAACACTTTGAAACAAATTATGATATACACACATGTCTACAGTTTAAAGATATATATAGTCTCACACAAAAGTTTTACGATAAAAATTACTACATATGTGATTTGAAGTCCCACTACTAGTTCACGGTACTGACGCAAAGGAAAAGGTTAGAGAACTGAGACCCACTATGCCACTTAATGCGGATTTTAACGACTATCGTCCTTTATTATGATAACCGGGACTGCTGCTTAAGGTATAAAGAACATGAAGGCTCCTAATTCCGTACTTTAACACTGGTTACTGCGATTTCTTGGCAATTTTTCCCCAAATCCCTAATTTTGGATCTAAACTGAATAAGTATACAAACGATAATATAATGTTAAAAAATAACAAATTCTTGTAATTTAAATTAAAGTCATTAGTTAAACTTAATTTGAAGCGGTCACGACTGGCGTAAAGCATCGGAAACGTCGCGCCGTATTTAAAATAATTTTCAAACAAGTTAAACTATATATCGCGTTTTATTGTAAGTGTTTTATTGAAATGTGTACTACTCCGGTAAACTACAGACAGTATTCAAATTCTTGTAATTTCGGAATATAAGGAAAATCCTAGTACAATATGGTTTGCGATCGACAGATACTCAAAAAGTATGTTAAGAATGTTGAAAGTAATCGTATTTATGTAGTTCAGGGTCGTGTCTTACCTTCTATGCGTTACAATTCTCATGTCGCATGTGCATAGAACAATAGTTTTTAAATTAAAATTATAAATAATATTCATAAGAAATAAAAATTTCTTTCAGATACTGTCTGTAGTTTACGCATATAGCACATATTTAAATACTGTCCGTAGTTTACGCGAGTAGTACACATTTAAATAAAACACTTTAACGAGAAAACCTCCCCGTGACCACGGCTGCTAACCTGCAACCGAAGCATCCTAAACGTCGAGCTGCAGTTAAAATAGTTGTCGAATAGATTAACTAATATATATCACGTAAAAGCACACATTTAAATAAAACACTTTTAACGGCTTAAAACGCGAAATGTATTAGTCAAATCATCTGACGTTCGGCTGCTTTGCAGCAGTCGTCAGATGTCGGGCCGTAAAAATTTCGCGTTTTAAACCGTTAGAAGTGGTTTTATTTTAATATTTTAAATAAAAAAAAAATCGTAGACACGGGCGGGACTTGAATCGTCATGCATGTTGTAGAACAGCGACCAATTGATCTACTGTCTTTTTATATTGTTGCGACTTCTTATTCTGTATGTATCTATACCAACTCTAAATGTATGTTTGTATGTCTTACAGTGAACAGAGCAACCCGATGGAACCAACCACAAGCAGAAACGCAAGCACTGGTCAAGTCAGTCGCTGGTCTTCCTTCCGATTGAGGTATACTTACGTTGCCTGTAAGGATACGTTGAAAGTTACCATTAAGTTATGTAGTTTCGCTCGGGCAGGGCACAATAAAGTATGAGTAAGTATACAACCCCGTTTCCCCATCGTGGGGCATGGGGCGGACACATTTCTATGTCCGTTTCAATGATGCGTTCTTTAACAGGCAAGTAGTGGATCAGACTTCTGTGCCCTGCCTGGCCGAAACAATTGTTTGTTTCGGCCATTAAACATATTGCCTAGCATGATCATATGTTAACTCATGATCTACAATTAACTTTTACAATAAATTAGCAATAAAAGTAGTAATTTTTAAAATACTCTTAATACTGTTGTTTATATGTTATTTGACGGGCTGGTTGGTGTAATGGTAGCAATGAACGGGTTGGGAGTTCGATTCCCAACGGTTCAACATTGTTTTTAATCAGTCTATTATTTTTAATCTGGATATTAAATGGCCGATAGGAATGTCGAAATTCCGTTCACAGATTAAAAAGCCGTAAAGTGTAATCGTTTCGTTTTCAAGCTGTAGACTTCTGAATATCCAAAGCTAAAATAGATCGACAGCGCGTCTTGTTTAGATATTCATGATATCTTTGTAATATTCTTTGTCCCTCAAATCCTTCGATATTTAGCAGCCCGCAAATCTTTTATTTTTAGGACGCTGGTTAATCTGCATCAAACCAGTGTGTTCTTGGTGCACAATGTGGTGGGCTACCTTCTGATGCTGGTCGTCATGGTCTACAATGTGCAGCTGCTATTGGCTGTTGTCCTAGGAATGATGCTCGGTAAGATCTTATCGTTGAAAATTTAATCGTTGGATTGTTTTGTTTTTAAAGAAAACACTTAAGGTTTAAAATATAAAATTATACGCAGTGTGTGACCATTGCTGTGCAAAGCATAAGAAACCAGGCGGGTTAAATTGATTTCCAAATAAGTTTCACTAATATATATTATAACCGGTAAAATGTTTTTCTCTCTATTTTTTTTTTTTGCTTTCTTTTTTTTTTTGCTTTTTTATTCTACAATTTATTTTATCTTTACTTTTAAACCTAATCCAAAGACTCAATTTTCTGAAGTACTTTAGGTATTAAAAGATTCAAGGCGAAAATTTTATCTTTCTTTAGCAGGGACGCCGACGCAAAGTTCTTTTTTTAGGTACATACTAAGCTTTCAATGCATTTTCTTCTTTCTTTTACGCGGGAAAGTGACAATGTCTTTGTTTGTTTAAATATTACAAATCTAAATAATATAGCATTTTAAAATATAAAATATTTCTTTATACACCGCAGCTACGTTAGACTTAAAAGAACTGTATTATTTTCCAAAATGGTGTCGAAAGCATTTCAAATTCTGTACAGACAAATTATTTTTATTGTGTAACTGAGGCTTCATGTCTTAAGCACATTTTTCGATTTCTGATAAAATCCTCTTGAAATCCAGGCTACTTCCTCTTCGGACCCAAATTGACAATGCTGCAGATGCAGTGCTTCGGTACCAAGAGGCTGGTGATTTGCACCCCGGAATGTGATGACACAGGTATTGTATGGCTGGAAACGTATAGGAAATATTTATCCGAATATCCAAAGAGAAATAGATGTTATTGGACCGGGGTTTCCTAAAGTTAAGAAGTAGTTGATGAAATTTATAATTTCTTTCTATCAAAAAGTCTAAATCAAACGTTTTATGAGTAGACTTAATTTTTCTTAGCCTTATATAACCTAAAGCTACATCATTAGCTGATGTAACCCTAGACTATATATCTATTATAAAATCCCCATCCATCCTTCCTGGACCCAGACCGCTGCAACAAAGAGAAATGCAGTTGGGAGCAGTGCGAAGGCAAGCTCTGTAAGCAGATGGACGCGCTGGAGCTGCAGCAAGCCACTACGCCGCTCTCACCCGAACCCTACAGACCGTCCTGAGTATATCCTAACGCTTGTAGATAATCCACAACTCCTTTGGGTACTATTCACGAATCTCGGTCTAGGTTCAGAGCGGAATTATTATGCAAAAGAAAATTTGAGTTGCAGATTTTCTCGTCGTAAAGTTAAGATTTCATAAAGGTAGTACAAAATTACATATTGTCTGTAGCTTAGGTGTACAAATTTAGATAAAACTAATAAACACATTTAAAAAAATATATATCGCGTTTAAACCGTTAAAGAGTTTTATTGAAATTGTATTAAACCATATAAATACGTCTCAGATATTATAAAAGTAGATGTTATGCTTTTAAATAAAACACTTTAACGGTTTAAAACGCGATATATTAGTTAAACTTATTTGAAAATGATTTTTAACTTCGGCCCGACGTTTCGGATGCTTTGCAGCAGCCGTGGTCACGGGAAGACCCCGTGTACTACTCGCGTAAACTATAGACAGTAGATGTTATGCTTGCAAAAACAGTTATGAAAAGGTGATATTAACAGATTTATATTTGCGCCTTGGAGTTGTGCTAAGTTTTAACTCACTCCGTAACGGAAAGCTCTGTCATTAGCACTTGTACCATTAATTATTATTATTATAAGATTCGTGAATACCAATCCTACCTCGTCCTTTCATCACACATAGCCTAATGTAGTATGTGTAAAAATGTATGCTTATTTAAGATTAGTACGTTTATTAGTAGTATGTTAAAACATATCGCTTTTGTTGATTGCCAAGATTTCCGAAATTTTTGCCGTAACCTACTCCCCTACGAACAAATGATTCGTCGATTTTAACAAATCCACTGTGATCTATATCTATCAATCTATATCAATCTTTCAAAAATGGCTTTAATTGTTGAGAGTAACAGCACGGAACGTTGTGGATGACGGTTCATATCCTGTCCGTGTCGTGTATTTTTTTAAATCTAAAACCGTATTTAGGCTTTATTTTTTTGTTTTTTATATGCATAGTTTCAAGTTTTTTGAAAATTTCTTTCAGCCGAAAGCTCAACTCCACCGCTTCTAAACTCGACGCAAAGCTCCGATTCAGATTTATACGTCTGTCAAACACGCACTTGCATTCAACCTTCGCATTACTTCCCTGCTAGCAGCTCAAACCAACCTAATACTTGCTATTATGGTGCTAAGAGGTGCCCCTCCAGAGTTGCCAGAGCGAAAAAAACGCAGGGCTGCCACTACGATAAAGAAGACAGCCCAAGTGTGGAAGACGCGCAACTCCTGCGCACCGAACGCCAGGGCTGCTGCAAAAAAGAGAAACCGCCTGAAAGCGCCTGCTGTTCTAGTCAAAATACACAAGTTATAGTTCACGAGAGTGAAACAGAGTCCCAATTAGAAAGAGAAGACAGCCCACAGATAACGTGCTGTCATAACGCTAAAACTGCCAGTGACAGCCAAGAGGAGATTACGAAGAGCTGAGGTCTCTGCTTAGCCTCTTACGCGTATATTTTGTTAGTGTAACACTATTTTTTCTCCTATTATATCTGTACATATTTAAATCGCATACGAAAACGTACCAATTGTGTCAAATACGCATGGAGTTGTTTCGATTTGAGCTGATACCTTCATATGAAAGCTTCGCTTTTACGTAACGCGTTACGGCCTTATTTTTGAAATAAATATCCTTTATATAACTAGTACGTAAACTGATATGTGTTCGCGTTTATACTTGTTTGCAGATAGCGCAAAATAAGCAATGTAAAAGACTATATAACAAATTTGCTAGATAGTTAAAAATCTGACGGTGTCCAAGAGGAATTGGCTGTTGGTTTAATTAGTGCAATTGTAATTCTACTCATAGTTATGCATCTATACGATGAGTTGTTGACATACGTATTTTTATAACGAATTTATAGATTTTAGCTAGATATCTTAATATTTTTAGCTATAGAGACTGAGCACTAAGTACCGTTGCTATTACGCAGAGAAAAAAGACACCATAATAAATCTTCTTTATGTAAGTTAGAGAGAGAAAGCGTAAAAAGCTTATGCAGACCAAATCGTGTTAAAAAGAGACAACATTAGATAAGGACATTATAATTTATCTCTCTTTGGCAGACAACAATGGCGCGGTTATATTTGTGTTTAGTTTTCTGACTATAATTTACTTCATTACTAGTTCGTTATTTTCATATTTATTTAGTGCCAAATTGTTTGTTATATTTGACTATATATCATAAAAATAGAAATATATTTTTCTAATTACACTTGTTACTTTTAATCAGTACCCTATTTAAAATGAAACACATCTTATGTCAATAATATACTTTATTAATAATGGAACATTACATAAAACATTAAATTAATTACTTAAATTAAATTTGTTACAAAAATCACATATCGGAGTGCGGGTGATATCGTTTTGGTGAGATTCATATCCGGATATTAAAATTGCATAATCATTGCTATCTCTTACACATCCGCTGTTTAAAAAGAGAGAGCGATGCATTAATAAATTGTCTCTAGTTTTATATCAACTGATAAAACACATTTTTTATAACAATGTATGTCCTGTTTACTTGTGGTAGTAACATGGAGTCTGTTAGAGATTTCCAAAGGAGGGTAGGTATATTAACCATTCTAGACTGGTCTTTAAAGATGACTACAGTATCTATAAAGATAGATCTATAAAGTTTTTGTACATACGACATGTCCCATTGTTATGTTTACAAAATCCAGAAACCTTAAACAATTTTCACATGTTATTGCACATTATGGCGTTACATAAACTAAACATCTATATAGATTGCTCCACACTGCTGATCTAACCAATGGAACTGGTCCGGAATGCTGTGAATGCCGGTTCAAGTCCCCGCAAGTCGTATATTTTCAAACTATATAGATGTTTAATTTGTTTATTGTATGTATTACTGGTACACTAATTCGTTTTAAGTCATTTCTGTATCACCGCACTCAGATACTTACCTGCGAGGTTTATCTAATATGGCAATTGTCTACAGAAAACAATAAATAAGACTGCAAAATGTGTTTTCTATACAAATAATATAAGCGGTGAGGGTATGTGGAATGGGATAAACTTAATACAATCATTAACAAAGGATCAACTTAAAACACGTGCACATATCAACAGTGCATTGTTTCCCAACGTTGGGACGCAGATAATTCTACTCTGAAAGGAGTTTTAGAGCCAATCCGCTAATATATATTATAAGAATGCAAATCAGAACCGTTAGGGTTAGAGTAACTAGGATACGTTAGTAATTTATAAAACTAAACCTTTCGAATTTCTAACTTACTTAATTTCTATCACACTCAAATTAAATATAACATCTAAATGCAAACTACATTCTTAACAATTATTCTTATAGCGTTTACGCAATATCGTATACTTGGTGGCTCTGCGCTTAATTTAACAGTATTTTATAACGCACGTAAGCGAAATGTCCATTACTATCCCTTGGGAGTTAGATTTCAACTTCCAAAGATATGGATTATACAGAACATCCCTTCAATGTCTGGTGCATCATACTGGGCATGAGTATAGCCCTATACCAAAAAGATTTTGAAAGCTCAAAGCTCGATTTTTTAAATAAAAATTGTATGGAATCTTGTGAGGCGTAAATGCAAATAATGAGGATAGTTTTTCAGATTTGTACGTGTCGTAGTAAAACCGAATCGTATAACTCAAGTAGGCGGATACAAATTCCTCATTTAAAAATCTCAAAGGCAAAGAGTATTGCGTAAACGCTGCGTTCTAGATCACAGAATTAATAACTTCAATAAATAATATAAAACATATCCCTACACTAATCTGTGTCTTAGTTATCGACTTAGCAACAGATTTTAATGTATACAGTAAACAACTGATTTATACCCAATGTTTTTAAATCAGTACATCCATCTTGTTTTAACTTTTTAAGATTTTAAATATGACTGGGAAAATAATCGAAATGTAATGACAAAAACAGAACGGTGACACCATTATGCTATTCCGTTATAAACATGAAAATCTTATTATATTTGGTCATTGTCTGTTTGAAAATCGACTGATCAAATGTGCATCGATCAAGCGAACTTCAAAGCGCCGGAGTCACTAGAATTTTACTGTCAATCGTAGATAAAATTCTACGAGCTTTGTAAACTTATTTCCATTTAAAGGAGCATATAAGTCAATTGTTGGAGTATTGGATGTAAAAATTGTAACTACCTCATGTAAACCATTAGTGTTACCAACATTTGTCGAGAGCAGAAACAGAAATTTCTTCATCACGGTGTTGCCAGTACCTGTACTTTCCGTATTCTTGTGATATTCGGGTTAAGCAGTGAGCTCCCAATAGTTCATGAGACGTTCTCCATTGGTCAGGCACATGCCGTCTGGTCTGATGAAATTGATCTCTATTGTCTTGAAATGTTTCTTCAATTCTGCGTCAAATTGCTGAGGAAACAAAATTGAGTACAAGTTAGAACATTTATATTTAATATGTTAAATTATTTATTGATAGACAAAAAAAACACATCATACATAGGTACCTACAAAGATTTCGCGGCATTTTGCAATCAGATTTAGTTCAGGACTACGACCTCATAACAGCTCAAAAATCCAAGTACCAGAAAGATTCTTTGTACTTTCATAAATACCTGTTCCGTTAAATTAAAAATCTTTTGTCATTCAAAAAAATAAGACGACTAGGGCGGGACTTGAACTGGCATCCACATAGTGCTGTAATAACTAATTGAGCTATTGATACCATATGATGAACAAATAGATACATGCACCTCTCGCGCAAACTCTCGACGCCAAGCCAAGGTTATAACATAACCTTAGAAAACGCCGAAATAAAAGCGTGTCAACAGGATACCTTAGTTCCACGCGAAGGAAGCCGCGGGCACAGCTAGTTTGTAATATCAGTAATGATAACAATACCTCAACGTGTTCCGGGGGCGCAAGTGAGGCGGGTTTGTCTCTGGAATCGAAAGCGAGCAACCGGTTAGCAGCGCCGCTGACTCCACCGGCCCAGTGCCGGCACAACGCACGAACCTCCCACAGCGAGGATCCCAGCGCCCGAGAGCGAGCCGCGCTCGTCTCTTCCATTACGTACGGGTCGTTCGACACTGAAATTGAAGAAAGAAAACATTATTTATTAAAAAAATAAAAAGTATTTAGTCAGGAAACATTTCCCAGGGTTTCCAGCTCTTCCATATCATTAAATAAACATGCATTTTATTTAAATATTAATGTGTGTGTGTAATGTGTATAAGTATGTAAGTTGTTGTGTATGTCTTGATGTATATGGGTGTGTTAGAAAGTGATTGATGGTGAGGATTTAGTGTAATTTAACTTTAAAAATCGTATAGTCAAAGAAACATTTGAACGTTAAAACACGCGATATATAATAGTTAATATTTCAAACGTTTTGAACGGTTAAAAATGTGTTATATAATATGTGTACCACTAATCTTAGACAACGTCCAGATAATAAGACTTTGTATTTACGAATTATTTCGGTTGAAAAATTTATTATTTTTTAAATGTTATTGCACTATGAAGGCACTAGATAATTTTAAGATATCGAAAATACGTCAATTCCTGCCCGAGTCGAAATTTTTGTTAATTTAATTTAGATTCTTAAAATCAAATTATTTCTTTTGAAAAATAAATATTCATTCTAGTTTTGTGAAGTGAAAGTGTGTGTGTGTCTCATATTGAATAAAATATACAGATTACTGTTTTTGAGTGAACCAAATAAATTCGGATAAATCTGATATTATCGCAAAGTAGGAAGGATTTGATTAAAGGTATACTCACTGATGGCTGGACTGTCTTCGGAGCAGATCATCCTCTTAAGGGCAGGGTGTCGCAGTAAAAGGTTGGCGACTAGTTGTAGGCACTCACGAGCGTCCTCCGGCGAAGCTACTAGCGCCAGTCGCGAGATACGCTTCGCAAACGCTGCCACTAGACTCTCTGGCAGATGTCTGTCAGTCAAAATAATTTTAAATAGGTGCATATACTTAATAATTTCTCTTAGCACACACTACATTCTACTTCTTATTTCGGTTTAATGTTCGCAATGATGTCTGATACTTAACATAATTCTTATTATGAATTAACTAGCTGTGTCAGCGACTTCGCCGCGTAGAATAGTTATTTTGGGTACCCAAATTTGTTTTTGCAAACCTCCCCTTCATCAATATAAATTTAAGCTATAACTCATGACTCTCCTGTCGTTCTTGCATTAATCTTAAAATATAGACATATACACTCTTATTACAACATAAGACCAACCCCAAACCTGGTTTAAACCCCAGTTTATTTAAACTCCTTATTACAAAACGAAGTTTAACGTTTGTACTGGACTAACTATGGTTCTATTATATTCATTTAGACCATGGTTTAAGAGTTAAACCGAGACTCCGCAGTTCTGGTTTAAGATTTTTTTTGTAATAAGGCCGACAGTGTCACATTTTTTTAGATAATTTAAAGGGGAATGATGATTCCTAAAAGAATGCTTTTATACATATTTTTTGGGTATCTTGAAACCCAAGCGCAATGTTTTCTAGCCTAAAGCCTTTCTCGATAAATGTACTAAGCAACAGAAATAAAGAATTTTCAATTCAAACTAGTACTTTTTGAGATTAATGCGTTTTTGGGGGCCCGGGGGGCGGGGGTCCCCCCCCCCCCCCCCCCAAAAAAAAAGGATAAATCATTTTAAAAATATCCTTTCTTAAAGTGTTTTATTTAAATACTATGCGTAAACGACAGAATAACGTTCAAACAAAAAACAAACTCTTCATATTAGTACTATTTATACATTAGTATAGATGTATAATTTGTCTCGAATATTTTAGACTTCGTCAAAAAATCGGGTCCTTAAATAGGCGATAGGAATATCGAAATTCTTTAACGAATCATTGCCATAGAAGAAAAAGAAGTTTTCGCGTCACTACTTACGTGGAACTGAGAAAAATGTCTGCTAGATGAATAAGTCGCTTCTTGTACCGCGTGGCAAACATTTCCGGTTCAAACATGGCGTAGAGCCGGTCGTAAATATCCGGATACGAGATGTTGTGGTGTCTCACCAGTTCCAGGACACCTTGCAAGCCCAGCATACTAATGGGGCCACCTGGTAAACAATTTATAACCAAATTTAAAAAAATAGAGTTGATTTGAAATTTCAATATTTTGCACATCATGGTACTATAAAAATTATAAATAATAAAAATAAATGGAAAAAAATTACGACACGATCTACAATCGATCTTTAATTTAAATAATGTTTCTTATTTATTTAAAATTGTAAAGCTGTTAATTTTGTTTAATATCGAGTATAATAGTTGTATATTGTTAAAACGCGAAATGTTATCACATTGTTATTAGTTACGATCATTTACAATTTATTTTAACTAAGCGACCACAGCTGTTGCAAAGCATCCGAAACGATAGGTCGTAGTTAACATAAATTGTAAATAAGTTTAACTAATATATTTCGCGTTTTAAACCTGTGTAAAATAATTGTTTTGTTAGCAAGCAGTTGATCGGACTTCTATACTCTCGACCGAAACAATTGTTTTGCCAGGATTTAAAAGTAAGAATTCCTGTTAAGCAAAATGCTAGCAACATTATCAGGTACTATAATTTTTTAATCAGGATATGAATACAATTGCAGTCAGAGACGAAGAAAGAAACTACTGTATAAGTGGAAGTCAATTACTTACCAACATCTAGACTATCGCAGAGCATATCAGTAGCGAGGTGCGGCTTATTAAGGAGCGGCATAAGCCTCTCCACGAGCAGCATCAGCGCTCGCCGATGCGTGCGCGACTCTTCGCACAAGGGCCACTGGCAAGCGAAACCCCAGCAGCGGTTAGCGTTGCGTCGACACGATATCGGGTTGAATTGGAATGGTGGTTTATCTAAAAGTAGAAGGTTCTGAATAGTTTTAACTGTAATAAAGAAATAAATCTGTTTCTAGCACTTTTAAAAATAGTCCCAACTTCCTTTCATGTTCATTGCTTTCAAAAAAAAAAAAATTCAAGACTTCTGTACTCTAAGAGTTAAAACTTTGGATATAGAACTATTACTTTTTTAAAGTTGATACTTGAAATATCTTAATAATATTGCACTGCATAAACGAAAAATCGATTTTCGGTGGAAAAATTTTACCACACAGGCAGGACCTGAATCATTCACAAAGCACCAGCACTTGTTGCACCGCAGCACAGCGTTGTGGATTCCAGTTTAAGTATTAACTTAATATCGATCTTTAATCAATAATAATTATACCTATAGTATCAAAGATTATTTAATATTACCTTCACTGGCACATAAAACTTTCTCCTCCTTTTCTTCGTCAGGGTTTTTATTTTTATTCTTAATGTCCGTTGGAATTTCACATGCAAGCAGCTTGTCTAAGAGCTCTAAATAGTTCTGCATGTAGACATGAGTCGGTGACCTATAAGTGAAACATATAGATGCTTATAAATAATAAGGTACTATAAAATATCCAAGCACTATTAATAGTCTAAAGAGTCTAGAAAAAATTCTTGTAGAAAAACGTTCTATAAACTTACTTTTTGTATGCAATAGTGGTTAACACCTTCAGTCCAAATTGCTGCAAATCCCTATATTCTGTGAACTCTTGGAAGCGCATGATTTGTGCGGACATAGGTACTTCAGAATCCAGCAACACGTTGAATATATTCTGTAAATAAGTATAAACAATGTGGGTAAATAATTAGTTAAAAAATTATCATGTGACATTCACACCATCACAAGTCAAAGTAAATAAAAAAGCCTTCAATACTTATAGTGATTTAAATAGCATTAATAAGATGTTGTTTCATTAGTTACCAATGAAAATGACAACTTGTTTTAAATCCCATTTGTATTGTAAGTTATTCCAAGATAATTATTACCTTCAACCTAACTGAAGGGAAGTAATATCCATTCATGCTCTCAAGTGGATATTTTCCTTCCGCCTGCATCAGCTTACATAATGTCACAAGGGCTTGGAGACGAGAGACAGTCTTTCCACGTTTCATACACTCCAATGCACGGGATAGGGCAGCTTCATAACATTCCTTTAACCACTTGCGATACTCTGCTTCAGGGCTCTGTTGGTCTAAAATATTTGAACTCTGTTGTGATTTAATTAATAAGAGTGCATTATTTTAATTACCTTTTACTGTGCTGTGTAGTACAAAGTTATAATTAACCTATACATATATAACATGAAAATATGCACATAGCAGTAGAGTAGTTCTTTTCTTACACTTATAAAACATTAGTGTAGAATTTTGTACTATACCATTGGATAAATTGACTATTCCTTAATAGGCATAACTACAAATAGGTTATATATTCCAATAGTAAGTAGTTAAGTTGCATGCTTTTCATTCCAATTTTTACTTAAGGTATTTAATACCTTCCATTAAACTTAGAATCAAGAGTTCTATTTAAAATTTTAATTTTAAGACCAGTATATAATATATAAATACCAGTAATATGCGCCAAAATATCAAATTCACAAGTCTTTACTGATGTGTTCTTTATTGATGGCTTATAATAAAATACGTTATATATTTAGTTTCATTCATTCTATTATTCCGATAAAATTGTTAAGTGTTCATATTTATCACTCTTCTACATATAGTTACTATTATCACAACAATTTATTTTACCAACCTACATAAATTGTACTTCAGCTGATAATTATAGAAAATCGATATATTTAGTAACCATAAGTGAACATACCTGATGGCTTTAGTGGTACGACTTCCTGAACAAGATCGCCTCTTTTTAGCAGCTCCGTAAATATCACTTCAATCGCAAGCAAAACTGGTGTAAAGCTATCGGATTCAGCCTAAAATACAAGAATAAATGTGATAGAAAATTAAGTAACCTATGACGCAGTTATAATATTATTTATATTATACTTAATAATAACTTTACCCACCTCAAACATTTGTATGATATCGGCAAGATTATTGGCATGTTTTCTTGAGTTTAAAAACTCATTTGCCTTATTACGCAATTGGGCTGAAATCATTTTTGATAAATTTTGTTGCACAGCGGCCATTTCTGTATTGTAATTATTTAAAAAGAAATGGCTATAGATAAAAATTCAGTAAGTCTCTTAAGCACAGAGTACCAAACACTTTATAACTATGAAAATATAGATAATAATTTACTTTATAGTGAGAACTTTGCTTTTGAGGTTATTTTTTATCTGTCAGACTTAAGCGGCTTCGTTTGTTTTGATATCAAGTAATGGTTAAGTTTTTCTGAATTTTAAACTAAAGTAATAATTCTTTACTGAGAAAATGGACGGTGATCTCTATGATGAGTTTGGGAACTACATAGGACCGGACCTAGAGTCCGATTCAGAAGATGAACAAAGTGTGTACGGTCAGGATAACCGTGATGCCGATGAAGACGCAATGGAGGAAGACGAGGATGTTGATGCAGAGCCTGAAGCGGCACCGATGTCTGTCGTGCTTCATGAGGACAAGCGGTAAAAATATAATTTTCTTTATAATAGAAATCTGTTAGCAATTCCCACTTTGTGGTTATGTTTAGTATGTTCTGCAATGAACTATTGCAAATATTATAATAAGGCGATATAAAATAAATATTTGATAAATAAGATAATTAGGGAATGCTCCATTTTTAATATACTTATTACAACAGTGGTCAATTTGGATTTATTATCTTTAACTTGTGTGTATTAGAACTAAAATGATCAGACTAAATTTTACCATCTTCAAATACTAAACATTAACCATTTGTGCATCATTTTTTATATTTTAGCTACTACCCACAAGCAGTGGAAGTATATGGGCCTGATGTAGAAACAGTAGTGCAAGAAGAAGATACCCAAGCACTAGATAAGCCTCTTATCGAACCAGTAAAGCACAAAAAGTTTCAACTTCAAGAACAGCAGCTACCACACACAGTGTATGATATGGAGTACCTTGCTGACATGCTAGATAACACCAATCTTATGAGGAATATTACTTTGATGGGACATTTGCATAATGGTATAGTTTAAAACATTGTCACATAATCTATGTAATAAAATCAAAAGTGTTTTCCTATTTCATAATTTTATACAAAATGATCAATATCATTTGGTGATATGGCACATTAGTACCATCAGAGTAGCTATGGTATCTTTGTTTCATTGTTGTTCAGAGTCCTGTCTTATGTTGAAAGGTTGGTGATCAATCTACATAAGCTTCTGCCGTATCCCTAACTCCCTCTATAGAGCATGTTCTGTGTTATGTAGTTATAACATGTAAAAACACATATTGTATTGACTATTACAGGTAAAACCTCCTTTGTTGACTGCTTGATTCGTCAAACCCACCCAGATACTATCAACAATGATACAACCATTCCCATGCGATACACAGACACACTTTTTGTGGAGCAAGAAAGAGGAGTATCTATAAAATCAATGCCAGTCACACTTTTACTTAAGGATATTAAAGGAAAGTCCCATTTACTGAATATAATGGACACCCCGGGACATGTTAATTTCAGTGATGAAGTAACTGCAGCATTAAGGATCTCTGACGGTAAGCATACAATTAAATAAATAGACTGAACGATTAAAAAGAAACATAGTTCTCAAGGTCTGTGAAGTTTCTAGTAATTTTAAGATATCAGCTTATAAAAAACTGTTAGTGAAAAAATATTTTAATTATTGTGTATGCTATTTATTAAAACATTTTTTAACAGTCCTTTAACAATTTATATTTAGTATTTTTACTTCCTGTAAGAAATAAAATTTAACAAAGATTTAGCATTAAAATTAAACAAATACTTAAGAAAGTCGTTTAAAATTTGTTTTGTGCAGGTGCCATACTATTTGTTGATGCCGCTGAAGGAATAATGCTTAACACGGAACGTTTACTCCGTCACGCTGTTCAAGAACGAGTGCCACTTACTATTTGCATCAATAAAATAGATAGATTAATCTTGGAACTAAAGTTGCCCCCTGCAGATGCCTACTACAAACTGAGGCATATTATTGATGAGTTGAACTCGGTGTGTGAGACGACACATCCCCAGGACAACCCTGATGAGCCTGTCACTATATTCTCACCTTTGTTGGGTAAATATTAATAATTAATTAATTATGGATAAACATAAGCATTAATTAATTTACCTAGTTGTGTGTTACTGTGTCAAATGTTTAAATAAAATGTATGGCCTGCCCTACAGAAACACTAAACTGGTTGGGTGGGCAGACCATTATGGTTTAGCCTTCTACTTGATTTTATATCAATCAATCAGTGAAACAAACACAAAAATATGTCAGCCTCATGTTCTACCAAGGAAAATACGCTTTCACTTTCAATTGTATGTTGTCAGACTTTTACCTATGCTAAAGTTTATAATATACTGTTTATATATTTTTTTTACATCTTCTCTTGGTAAACAATGTAGTTTTGAATAGCTTATATTATTGTAAGAGATAAATTGGGTCTCAATAATTTAAGTTGATGTATTTCTTCTAGGCAATGTGTGTTTCGCCTCATCTCTATACGATGTGTGCTTTACACTGGAATCTTTTGCGGCTATGTACGCAAATACTCATAGTTCAAGCGGTCTACGCGCATCAGATATGGCCGCCTGGTTATGGGGAGACGTGTACTTTAATGCGAAGACGAGACGCTTCACCAAGAAGCAGCCGCACTCTTCTGCTCAGAGAAGCTTCGTTGAGTTCATTTTGGAGCCATTGTATAAGATATTTGCTCAGGTACGCCACAATTGATACCCAGTCTTCATTCTTGACATGTTACATCTAGTTTATATATTTAAATAGTTAAAGGCAATGGACTGAAAATAAAATAAAAATATCAAAATCAAATCATTTATTCCACACACAAAAACACAAAAAACAACACAAAAGTACAATAAAATAAATAATAATAATTTCCTTGTTAAGGTGGTGGGGGATGTGGATACTACATTGCCAGACGTGTTAGCTGAGTTGGACATTAAACTGACGAAGCAGGAGTCTAAACTCAATGTGCGACCTTTGCTGCGTTTGGTCTGCAGTCGGTTCTTTGGAGACTTTTGGTATGTTAAAATTAATTTACTTTATAAGTTACCTGTTTCTCATAGAATAAACGAAACAATTATTAACTTTGATCATACTCTTTGGTATTTGGCTTAGGTCCAAATGTTTGACTAATATTTAGTCAAAGGGTTGTGATCCCCCCCAGGTCCATTATGTTTCTAATCAATTCAATATTTTATTAAACATTAGACTTCGTTTCGGAGTCTGGATACTAAATGCGAGTACGAATTATACAAATTAGGAAATTCAACAAAACAACAATTGACATAAAATATGTTTATTTTATATTAATCATTGACGACATTTTTCAGCGGCTTCGTGGACATGGTAACCCGTCACGTACCGTCACCACTTGACGCGGCACCTCGCAAGGTGGCCCACTGCTACCGAGGTGCTTCGGGCCCTCTATACGATGACATGCTCAACTGTGACCAATCGGGTCGTCTCGTCGCTCACACCACCAAGATGTACCCTACGGATGACTGTACCTTCTTCCTTGTAAGATCATTTATTTACTTTTAAATGAGATTAACGTGTTCAAACAAACAAACTCTACAGCCTTATAATAAATTAGTATAGATAGGTTGACGTTTCAATCCGCCTAAGCGACGGCGTTAGGGATTAAAATCAAAATATATATTTTTACAGGTCTTAGCTAGGATAATGTCCGGTACGTTATACGCTGGCCAAACGGTACGGGTGTTAGGAGAAAATTACAGCACACAGGACGAAGAAGATTCTAGAATAATGAACGTGGGACGTCTGTGGATCTTTGAAGCTAGATATAAGGTATTAATAATAGAGTTCCTATAAATGGTAAAACCCTTAAAATTGAAAAACTTTTCATTTGTTTTGCTACCTGTTTGTTTATTATCGTAAAGTAACAACTCGTTGATTTACAGGTCGAGTTAAACAGAGTACCAGCTGGTTGCTGGGCTCTCATCGAAGGCATTGACCAGCCCATAGTGAAGACCTGCACTCTGGTATCGGCAGATGAGGAAGAGGAGCTTCACACATTCAAACCCTTACGGTTCAACACCCAAGCCATTGTCAAGATAGCAGTTGAACCAGTTAACCCATCAGAATTGCCAAAGATGCTTGATGGATTAAGAAAGGTTTACTATACAATTATTTACCAAATATAACATGTACTTTTTTTTCATCTTTTTAACTGATACCAACTAGGAAGAGCAATCGTTTTTAGAAACAGACACAAAAATATATCTGCTACTTGTCTTATAGGATAGTAATACGCATAGTTTTAGATTTTATTGGTGTTTGTTTGTATTGAGGTTGTAGAAACCTAAGGAATAATTAAACTATATAAATTAGAGTAATAAAGGCATTCGTTTTAACATTTTAAGTAGCTCTATTTTGTTTATAGGTAAACAAATCATACCCAGTGTTATCCACTCGGGTGGAAGAAAGCGGGGAGCATGTAATCCTGGGCACAGGAGAGTTATACCTCGATTGTGTGATGCACGATCTGAGAAATATGTACTCCGAGATAGATATCAAAGGTAGATTAATAATATTCATTAATTTCATTGAATATTATATAGTGACACACTTTTAAAAATATTTTCGATGACCGAAATAACTATTCTACGCGAATGAAGTCGCTGGCACAGCTAGTATGTAATAATTTTGTGTTACAAATAATTTAGACTATGTAAAACTGTACTTAATAAATGTATGTGCTTATCTTCATTCAGTTTGTTTAAAAAAATATTTATAATGTGGTATTAGCTGTGTACATGGCAGCAGTAAAGTTCTTAAAAGTCGTAAAAAATAGTTGACTTTTAAACATTTAATTTAATAATTATTTGATAATGATGTCAACGAGGAACGTCATAATAATTAATAAGTTTTGTATTGTACAAAACTTATTAATTATTTGTTATATATTATCGTTTGTTAGTGATAAGGCCGCCCATTGCACTTTATTCTAGCATATACGTTTTATATGTATTATTATTTTTTGTGCAATAAAAAAATACAATGTTGGATTTCCAGTTGCTGATCCCGTCGTATCATTCTGTGAGACTGTGGTGGAAACTTCATCTCTTAAGTGTTTCGCTGAAACACCGAACAAGCGGAATAAGCTCACCATGATAGCAGAGCCCTTGGAACGAGGTCTCGCTGAGGACATAGAGGCTGGTGCTGTCTGCGTCACTTGGGACAGAAAAAGACTTGGTGAATTTTTCCAGACCAAGTAAGCATATATATTTTGTAAATGGCCCTTTTATATATATTTATTATGAACATCGTTTTGTATCCCCTGTAGAAATAAAATTAAAATGTTTTCTAATTCACTGTTTTCAGATATGATTGGGATTTGCTAGCGGCTCGATCGATCTGGGCGTTTGGTCCAGACGCCACCGGTCCCAATATTTTAGTTGATGACACCTTGCCCTCGGAAGTCGACAAGCATTTGTTGGCCTCAGTCAAGGATAGTATTGTACAAGGTAAGCATTTATTTAGGTGGTGGCTCAGTTATATGAGGTTCTAAATATTTACTCTTTGAGAAAAAAGTATTCAATGAGTTTACAAAATGAGTTACACAAAATTATGCCCATCCCATGTCTCACATAGTAGACATTAAATTAAAATCAATATTATTAGTAACAGCGTTATAAAATAGAATTAAAGTTATGGTGATTTTTGTACCGTTAATATAACAAATTAACTTTTTAGGATTTCAGTGGGGTACCAGAGAAGGACCGCTTTGTGAGGAGCCCATACGAAATGTCAAATTCAAGATCCTGGACGCGGTCATAGCGCAAGAACCACTGCACCGCGGTGGAGGACAAATCATTCCCACAGCGAGAAGGGTATTTAAAAAGAACCATTCTTCCAGAAATAGCCATTATTACGTGCTTTGTTTCATTTTCTCCTAAGTATTTAAAAAGATTTAAAATGCCTTTTTTTATCACAGAATCAAGTATAATAAAAATATATATCATTGATGTATATTGTAGGTGGCGTATTCTGCATTTTTGATGGCAACACCGCGCCTAATGGAGCCCTACTTGTTTGTTGAAGTGCAAGCGCCGGCTGATTGCGTGTCTGCGGTTTATACAGTGTTGGCTAAACGTAGAGGTAATTAATCTGGTATTTCTTGCAAGTTTATAAATAGTGACGTAATGGAAATACAATCCTTATGGATGTCTTCCAATGTTTTGTATAGGGCACGTGACTCAAGATGCGCCGGTGCCAGGATCTCCCCTCTACACGATAAAGGCGTTCGTGCCGGCCATAGACTCGTTCGGCTTCGAGACGGATCTGCGCACGCACACGCAAGGTCAGGCGTTCTGTCTGCAAGTGTTCCACCACTGGCAGATTGTGCCGGGCGATCCTTTGGACAAGAGCATTGTTATACGGTTAGTTATCGATACTCATTTAGTACATAGTGTTTTATTTACTTAACTTAAATTGTTAAATTCGATGTGGATTATATAGACATACATTCCATCCTATAATAACGTGTTTTCTACGATTTTTACCTGCATCAAAAGATGTTCAAATATAAACGATAATTTTTTGTCATGCATGGTTTATTGCAGACCCTTGGAGCCGCAGCCTGCAACTCATTTAGCTCGAGAATTCATGATAAAAACTCGACGGCGCAAAGGCCTTAGTGAGGACGTGTCTATTAACAAGTTCTTCGATGACCCTATGTTGTTGGAGCTTGCCAGACAAGATGTGCAGTTCAATTAAATTATAATATAATAAACGTTGTTTTTTTTTACTATAATGTAAGTGAAATAATATTAACATATCAAATAAAATAATCTATGAAGTATTATTAATAATAATCCTTGCTATAGTCGGTGTTTTCTACAAGCAACAATTATTGCTTTCATCAAATTCAAGCTACTACAATATGACTTTATGTCAAAATGTTTATTATTCAGATCGACTGCCAAAAAAAGGGCTGGTCAATTATTATCTAGACTACTAAGTTAATATAATAAGTTCTTAGGCACATCCGATATCCTTTTTGTTACTCCAAAAAGGATATCGGACCTTTTTCTTCACTGGAATTCTTACATTCCGTTAAATATCAGTCTGTTTAAATGTACAAAAACAACAGAAACAAATTATTGTTGTTTTATTTAAATGTGTTAAATTATATGTTGTATCTGTGTATAAATATATAATCTATCACACGAAAAAAGAATTAATGAATGATGACGTTTGACATTTGAATTGACTGACTGACTGTGTTGAGATTAGCGCCGTTACAATCATTATAGCGTTACTACATTTTTCTTTTAGTTTTCAACTTCAACGGTTACGGTTATGCATATCCGTTCAAGAAAAATCATAGTAAGACTAAAAATTTAAAAATCAGGGCGATCTAAGTAATGTCGGATTTTATTGTTTAATTATATACTTGTCGTGATGGAACCGGATGAAAGAATCGCCGCAAATGGTGACATTTTTGTTCATCGTTTGAAACAATTAACTGATGAAGAAAAAGGACGTTTGGCGTTGCAGAATGCACGTATGGTGCCTGAAGCGAAAGCGGCGAAACTTGAACGAGAGGCAAAGAGGCACTGGGATATATTTTACAAGAGAAATGAGACGAAATTCTTCCGTGACCGCCATTGGACAACACGTGAGTTTCAAGAGTTGATAAATTTTGACTCTGAACAACAAATTGTGTTTCTCGAGATGGGTTGTGGTGTGGGTAACATGATATTTCCGTTATTAGAAGAGGGTTTTTCCAATTTCTACTTCTACGCATGCGATTTTTCACCACGTGCGGTCGATTTTGTCAAGTCTAACAAATTGTATGATGAGAGTAGAGTTAAGGCGTTTTGTGCGGACCTAACAACGGATAATCTGTTTGAGAATATAAGCGAGAACAGCGTGGATATAGCAAGCTTGATTTTTGTTTTATCTGCTATTCATCCGGACATGTGGCCTCAAGTTGCACATGTTGCCTTTCGTTGTTTGAAGCCGGGTGGGGTTTTACTGTTTAGAGATTATGGTAGATACGATATGGCTCAGTTGCGGTTCAAACCCGGGCATAAAATTGCCGATAATTTCTACATGCGACAGGATGGCACCAGGTAAATTAATTGCATATTTATTGTGTGATAGTCATGATAGTCACGAAAATTTTAATAATGTTGTTTCATGTATATTTCCACTTGGTTCTTATGTTAAGAATTGAATAATGAGTACCTAGTTATTGATTATTGATATATTTTATATTGCAGGTCTTATTACTTTACCGAAGAAGAATTAGCAGTACTCTTCAGCAAAGCTGGATTTGAGATTCTGTCAAACACTTATGTACAGCGAAGGACAGTTAACTTTAAGGAGGGAATTGATGTCCCTCGCATATTTGTACAGGGAAAGTACAAGAAGCCTGAAACTGAAGGTAGTAAATTAGTCTTTGCGTCAATAGATTCAACACCCTTTTTAATCAATTGATATTGAATCAAAAGATTTTATAAGATGGAAATTTGAAGAGTAAAAAAACCTTTTCTATTAAGTTATTCCGTCACCAATTTAAATGATGAAAAGTGCTAACCATTGAAATAATAATGATTTGCATGTATATTAGCTCTAGCTGATTGGGAATAGCATTCACTTAGCAATAATGTCTAGTAAAAAAAATTAACAAGTTTTTTCTGTTTTAGACCAGACTTGAACTTCATTTAAAGTGGAAAAAAATCCTGTAGGGTGCTGACACAATTTTAACAAGGAAAATTTAAATATTGGTGAGTATTTATTGCCTTTGTCAATTAGTGGTAAAACATGTTACTAAAGTTATTATGACATATTTTCTTCCTATAAATAATACATCTATATGATGATAGCGCAGTGCAGCCGAAACTTTTTAGTTGTCTCACAACTAGTTACATTTATAGCTTAGGGTTTATTCTTTTATCTTGTAAAGAGTTTTGTAAGTAAATTGTTTTTAATTTGAACTTAATATAATTTAATTGTAAATTCTCATAGTTAGGGACACTGGTTGTGAGATATGATGCATATTAAAGCATATCTGAAAATTTTGGCATTCAAGTGGATAGCCTTGTAATTTAAAAGTTATAAAGTGACTATTGTTTATCTTTCCAGGTCCCAAAACTCAGAAGAGCAGTCTTGGTAAATATATATTTAATTATTTATATGATAAAAACTATTTCTAGAAATTATTTTTAAAACTTAATAATCTCATATTTTTTGAAGATTTGTGTTAGTTTGTGAATATAGCTTCATGTCAATTGTTAAATTAAGCTGACAAACAAAAAATTCTGTAATAACCTAACACACATATCATATTATGTTAATAAATATTTGTATGATGACTTCATAGTTCATCTGAGTTGCGTTGATGTATAACTTTGCAATGTCTTTCGCTCCTATCTGATACAGCATTGTTATCTAAAAACTATGGTATAAAGAAAATAAATTCTATAATAATATATTTTTTCAGCTTTAAGTGATGGCGCCCCTACCTAGAGATCATCCAGTATTCCTGATTAACATGTGGTAAGTATTCTGGTTCAGTTATACTTGTAGTTTTGCCTTACGCACAGGTGGGTTTTATGCCCCAAATAAGATATTCTTTAATGATGACTTCATAGTTCATCTGAGTTGCCTTGATGTTTACCTATGCAATGTCTTTCGCTCCTATCTGATAATATATTTATGCAGATGAACAACAAGTGTATAAGATGACAAAGATAATAGTTTTGTTATTTTTTTCAGCTTTATTGTGGGCTAAATTCTGAAAAGATAAAAAGGTAAGTGTTGAATATATCAGTATTTTTATACAACATATATTTTTTGACTTTATAGTGTTTGTACAACTTAGATTAAATTTGCTTCTTCATCTAAAATAATCTTAAAAAAAGTATTTAAAAAAATTATAAGAATTATATCTAAATGATGACTTCTTGATAGGGACATCTGATTTCTAATGCTGTTAACATAACTATCCATACTGATTCCATTAATACATTTACTAGCTTACCAAGTTCCTTATAACAAGTGCATTAATTAATTTTTATTTTACAGACATATGGTGTTTAGAAGAATACCTGCTTATTATAAGGTGAGATACGTTTACCTTTTTAAAGTAGTTATTTAAAGGTCTATAAATCTGTACATACATGTATTTATTTCACTTTTATGGCTATTGAAGGCTTTAAATAAGTATTACCAGATACAATTTGTCAATACTTGAAAAATTATATGATGATTTTAGATAGGGACATCTGATATATAGTGCTGTTTACATAACTATCCTCACTGATAATAAATAAATAATATTTATTAGCAAGTATATTTTGATGTACATTCTATACAAGAGATCTCTAATTGTTACAGGTGCGTTCAAGAGCAACTACTGCTATTCTTTGGGGAATCATGTGGTAAGGTAGGTAACATTACATGTTATTTATTATTTTCTGAATATATTAGAAAAGAACTTTGGAGGATTAGAGTTTATCTTTATTAGCTCATTTAACATTAAAATTATTGTTCTGGAGATCAAAATATGCTTAAGCAGCCAAGAGTGCAATATAATAAATAAAATATTTTCGTTCAGATTAAACTAATATGATGACCAGACCTTCAGGTCTCCCTCGTCAGAGAGAACCCAAACAACCATGTTGATCACCTAACACGTCTGATTTAAAATTAACTTACAATATGTATTTGATATATCTAGCAAAAATACTTACCAACTTTTTAAATTTCAGACATCATGGCACTCTTAACTCATGAAGGAAATTAGGACTGGCAGTTAATGGAAGACATTTTATAGGTACCCAATGGTAAGTTTTAAACTCCTAATAACTTTGCCCTATAGTATTTGAGATATTAAAATCCTTGGCTTTTTATTACTAACAAAGTCAAACCATAGATGCAACAACTGTTTGTTATTTAGGACACATATTTTACTTTATATTTGCAATGATGACCAGACCTTCAGGTCTCCCTCGTCAGAGAGAACCCAAACAACCATGTTGACCACCTACCACGTCTGATTTCTATGTTTACAACTAACTACCATAGGTTTATGTAATGTCTATGTAAGCATCTCCTTTTATTATTTCAGATGTTACCACCAAGTCTTGCTACCATCAATAAATCGTGATAATAGAAGTACACAAGCTATGGTAAGAACTGTTTAGGTATTTTGATAATAATGTTTAAAAATGTAATTTCTGGTTTACAAACCAACTGATAAACCTATTATTGATTAATCTCTATTTTTGGCCTAAGTCGAAAATGTTCGAAATGTAAAGTGATGACCCGACCTTCAGGTCTCCCTCGTCAGAGAGAACCCAAACAACCATGTTGACCACCAAACGCGTCTGATTTATTTACTAAAATACATGAAAAGTAATTTGTTATTTACAATTCTTATCATTATTTTATTTTTGTTTCAGATGTTTACTGTCAAGAGACTGGTCTGAGAGGTATGTTTTGTGTTTAGAATACTTTTTTAAAATTGAAACTTCATTGGTTTTGGGTTCTTTGTCTGACGTCCTATAGCAACGTGGTTCGAATTCAATCGTTGCCTGTAACTCAGACTAGATAGGCGTGGTCAAAACTGCCAAAGTAGCTCTATTGCGCTACTTAGGTTATAGAGACGCACTACAAAAATCTAATTAAATCTTTTTAAGAGCATTTTGACTCTCCTGTACTTTGAGATATGTTGAATAAAATACATATTTATTACTTTGCGTAAAAATAAGCATTTATATAAGAGATTATATATATTAAGTGTTAATAATACCATACCATATACATATATAATTATAAAAATGCAAAGATTGCGCTAAATAATTAGTAATGATAAAACTTGTTCAGGTCCGCAGCCCTTTTCTGATGGATATGGACAACTCACATTTAGAAAGGAGATCTTTGGAATTTTTTTTTGAAATAAAACATATTTGATTATCTTTCTTCTCTTATTACATTACTCGAAATTCACAATCTGTCAACCAAAGTAGAAAGAGATCCTAGAAGTACACCTTATTGAAATTATTTTGTGGAGAAGTATTAATCACAAAAATGAAGTTAAAGGTGGTGAACGCGCACCACCTACATGCTTATGAGTAAAAACTATCATGTTTAATAGGCAGCTCTTACCAGGACTTGAACCTATGAGGAGTAATAGCCTTAAACAAGTACCAATCTATAAATACTACAGTAGACTCGTTAAATCAAACCTCTATAAATCAAGGTTATCACGAGTTCCTTACAAAATCTTATTATTTTAACTAAATAGATTTTTATGCCCTTTTTAATTCGAACGAAGTGAGCACATGAATTGCTTCTTGGGTCATTAAATTCACAAAAATGTACTTGTTTGACGTGTTGAAAAAAAGGCACAGTTTCTAGGGTGTTCACGGTTACGTTGCTCTTCTAGAATCACGACGAACGGACAGACAAACATATATTTTTTGACGAATCTAAATAATTTTATAGAGAATAAAGTATGTATATTTTATTTTATTTTAGTAATTCATCAACACTTACATAATAATTCGATTTTTATTAATTTTCTCTTACAAATTTCAAATACTCGATAATTGCTAATTCTTTGAGTCCATCGAGTTTCGAATTTACGAGAGTCGACTGTATAGGTATATCCACAAAATTTAATGAACGCTGTACGTAAGCGAAATTTTCAAATAAAATTATCTAGTTTCTTGTACATAGTATATTTTCACAAGAAGAATCTTCTCCTGGATGTCTCAAGTTGATGTCTGCGCCCTGCTATGATCCATTCGTAATCCCCTCGTTTGGAATCAAAGGTTCCTTGCTGCAGCGAGATAAGTTTTAGAGTGAAACGGGGGCCCAATTCCCGTAGCTTAGCTCGTTTGCCGTCCGATGTGAACTCATATCTAGAGTAGAAAATCATATTATTTTACAGCAGCGTACAACTAACTCAAATTATTATTATCTAAAAGTCTCTGGTTTTTAAAACTTATACACAATCAACATTCTATGTATTCTTAATTCTCAACAAAGTCTTGTGGTCTGTTGCTCACAATTAGGACAGGTAAGGATTATGCTTTTAGGTCCCACCTATGGTGTCTGAAGAATATGTAGTCCCGCTGATTGTGAAAAGTGACAGCGCGTCGACCACGGAATTGGGGCTCGTAGTGAAAGAGCGCTCCTAACATTCGTCCAACGGTCAGACCCAGACGTGTACTGAAGTTGTTAAGAATCACCTGCAAGAGTAGAGAACAAAATTTATTAGCTAGTCCTCGCAAAAATAATATTGTAATTCTATAGATTAGCACTTTAAACTTTTACTAATATCATTGAATTCAGATTGTTAATAATAAGATACACCAATAAAAAATATATTGATACAATTCATTAAAAATTAAATTTTTGTTGAATGTAATACAGTGTTTTATGTATCTAAGTATATGCTCTATAAAATTTATGGGACATAATAGCTGTTTTGTTTCATTCAATGCAGTTGTCTATGAATTTTTTTTAGTATTTTTAGCAATATACTCACTTCGGGTCTGTGGTTTGTGATTTCTTTAAAGTCTTTCCTAAGTTCTGGAGTTATCTTACAACTGGAAAGCCTAAAATGAGCGGTGGGCCCATTTGGCAAGTGTATTAATAGAAAACCATTTGGTTGCTTCTGATTCTCATTGATAATAATCACATCTGTCACCTGCTCACGTATCGATGACTGGACTATCCGTTTTACAGATGATCTGAAATATTTAGGTAGGTTATTAAATGTATGGTCCTCAGGTGTCTGTAAAATGACCTCATCAAAATGCGGCTTACCTTTGCCTATATCTGGATATTGAATTCGGTATGATTCTGGTTAATTCCCTACCAAATATCCTAGTTTTTGTATGTGGGTTATCTGAATAAGTAATTAGAACTTTAGGTTCATAGGAATTTTCAAAATATGATGAGAGTTCATCTAATTCCATGTCTTTTTGTGCCTGAAATAGAGATTTTACACAGTTATTATTGGTACATGAAAGTGTGGACAATTAATTCAGAGTTAAGTTTCTCCAGGATTTATCTACTGGGCCGTAAGAAACATATTACTATTATATTCTAACCTCTTCTTGTTCATCTGCTTCAGCAGTAGCAAGAGTGGTCTCATCTTTCTCTCGTAGTGACTCCAAAGTGTGCGGAATCTTTTTAGGTACATCGTCCCCTTCTTGTTTCTTCTCCAATTTACGTCTATAATATGAAAACAATCAATACCATGCATATAAACATTCTAGAGTAGTAAATTATACTTACTTCTTTTTGTCTTTGCCACGAGCCATTTTCAGTAACTTTTATGTAAATTGGATTATCTTTTTAAAGTTATTCAATTACGTATTTCGCCTGCTTCCTTTGAACGAATTTTTAGTTATATTGTTATTCTCGGTGTTATTCTATTCACGTGGGAAAAACAGACGTTGTGGACAACAAAGACATTGACAGTTGAAGATATTGACAGACTGCTCAAAATGCCCTATGCCTTCGTACACAGATAGTGTTCGACGTATAAATATATTTTTTTACAAAACGGCCTATATTCTACGTTACAAAACAATAAAAAAAAAGGAGAATACGTTAAAAATTATATTTAAATAAAACACTTTAAACCGTAACCGTTTACACCGTTAACACCGTTAAGGTGTTTTTTAATGTGTACTACTCTCGTAAACTATAGACAGTATTTAATTATATTTAAAGTAACCGTGCAAATGTTTTTTTCCATCTTACATATTTCAGTGTTTTTAAAAGTTTTTTGGAATAAATTAAGTATATACCTTTAACTAAATTCATTTATATGCCTATAAGTTCATTTTGTCGCAACAGAACATAAATATTTACCCTCATATGAAGCATGCCGCATTAATATCTTCTGATTGTTTATTTATTTTGCTCTGTGACAGAATAAAGCGATTAAGCAATTTAGTAGCATTTTAATGCTTACATCTTGCATAATCCCAAACATTGTCAGCTGCGTATAATCTCAGTTACATTTTCCATTGTATATAATACATAGACAAACTGTTTTTAACGGTATATGAAGATGTTAGTATATATTAGGAAATTCATGTTTTCTCTACTCATAAGATATTGGGTTATTTTCATTGAATAAAGAAATGTATTTATACATAATATCTCGTTTAAGTTTTAATCTCGTATTCATTACACACGAAAATAATATCGTAAGATGATTTGAGTTTCAATCTGTATCCCACTAAAATATTTGTACGTAGAGAAATCGAATGAAAGATTTTTTATATGAAATAAAAAGCGACATAAAATGAGTTTTAGACACTATTTCTTATCCCCGTATGTTAATGAACGTGATTGGCGGTTTGCGAAAGTTTAAATCTTATATAACAGGTCATTCACTGTGTTGAAACAAAATTGATGTTTTAAACGTATTTAGCAATTAGCTTATAATACTCGCGCAAACTGCATAATATTATATGTGTAACCTACTTATCAACCTGGGTAGGAACAAATTATTAGCACATTATGTTTAAAAAAAAACATAGTTGAATGATACCATGATGTAACTTACCTATTCCTTTTAGCAATAGTATTTATTATTCAAACAGGTAGGTTTAAAATGTAATTAAACAAAAGCTTCATTAGAATCATAAGGTATGCATATATTTTCTGAAAGTCATGCTTATGAATTACCAATACCGCTTGGGTATCAAATACACGTTTAACAACCAAGCAAAAATAGCCTAACAAAAGAGCTAACAATATTATGATGTTTCTAAGAAAACCATTATTTGTTCAACACTCTAAACAAAAGGTTGGACCGTGTGAAAGCAGTCTTAAAAACTGGTCAGGTACCGATGACGGTTTTCGGAGTTATGTTTGTCATCATTACCAATGGTCTGTGTAATAAAGTTTCAACATAGATCAAAAATGCGTGGGGTTTTTACATCTACGCGTTACTTTCAATAAAAAGTTATACGTAATTGAAGTTTGTAAGGTATTGATGACGAGAAGAGTTATTGAGAATTTAAATCGGGTAGATGGTAATTTATCCGTGAGAAGTATAAGTAAACGAAATACCGTATCTGCAGTATGGGGCATGGAGTACTTAGACAAATTTCAAGTTTGTCACAATGGTCGACTTTATTTTCAGACAAGTGCATAGTCTTGATTTCGCTATACGAATCCACCTTTCAAACTTTAGGCAATTTAGATAACGCGCAGTATATAATTAGCAGATAGGGTAAACATACTGAAGAATTATTAATTATTATTGTTATTTGGGCTTTACATAAGCTTAGCCTATGATGGGCCTCATGTAATTGAAACCAGCGCCCTCTGTTCGCAAGAATAGTACTGAAACTCCAAACCAGATGGCAGCTCTGTACTATGTTCGAAATTTGAAGCAACGCCTGAAGTGAACAAAGGAAAGGAAGTGAACGAGTTGTGTTTGCTTTGTGCCTGTAATTTGTATCTAGCAGGTGATGTTGTGTATTTTAGAGCATAACTTTGTTACAAGTGTCAAGTCCAAGGCTATTTACTTTAATAAAACAACAGAATAATGTGGCAGTAAATATATTCAGAAAATATCAACCAATGTCGACTCGTATTCGTCAGTATAAAATGTTTAATAGACAAGTATCGATTAGAAAAATGACAGTATCGTCGTTATACAATACCAACAATTGATTTTTAAGTTCATTATTGCTTTATACAATCGTATCGAGAACATTCGATAACAAAGATATTTCATAAGATAACTAGATACCTAAACTTAGGAATAAGCCAGCCGTCTCCACTATCATCCATTGTCACGATAAACACTTAATTTAGATATAATAATTACATATCACAATAAACGTCCCTCCAACGCCTCGCATGTAACACACGTATAATAAAAAATATAAAACGAAGGCACGAGATCTACTATTCGCTACGACTATTGTAAACATGCCCTAAAATGTTAGTCTAAATGCACACGTGCAGAGGCACGCATCAGTCTAATCGGCCGGGAGTATATCTAACATAGTTTCAGTAGCATAAAGAGTTAAAGCGGCTCTGGAATATAAGAGTGGCTCGGCAGAGGTCGTTCCCCGTGTCGAGTCCCAGTATTGGAATGTTGACGCGGCCGCTCCCGGCGCAGCGCGGGCGCAGGTAGCCCCGCGACCCGGCCACGGCACACTAACACGTCACTACCACCCACTGTCCTTTCCCAAACTACACAGTGTCCTTGTCCTTTCCCTCGAACTTCAATGCTAGATCGCCCATTAGCTCTTTGTAAATTAGAGGGTCGATGTTCTTTCCTAGTTGGTACAGCACGAACCAATCGCCGATTTGCAATTTACGCGCGACGGTCTCGACTTGATCTTGAGGCGCGAGGCGGCTGCGAGCGCGCAACAGGTAAAGGCGGACGCGAGGACCCGCCACGACAGCTGCGCGGTACAGAAGAGATATGCCGCTCAGTACCGACAGAATGATGAACCAGAACCAAAGGAACACGTAGATCTTTTCGTTGACGATGTTCAAAGGTAGGACGCACAACCCGTCGAACTTCTGCACGGTTCCCGAAGGACCGTATTTGTGGAATGTACATTTCGTCACTTTGGGGAAGACGCGAGCCATCGGGTCTTCACGCTCCTCTGGCTCCATTTCGGTGAAGTGGACCACGTCGCGGCCGTAAGTTGAAAATTCACCGTCCAAGAAAAAGTCCATAAAGTATATCTGGCCGATGACATTGATGAAGTTCAACACTTCACAGATAAAGAAACGGAACGCGTAGAAGTTTTGCGTGTTCAGGTTTGTATGGAAGTAATCGACTAATAGTTTCTTGCGGTCTTTCTTGCAGTCTTCTCCCACTACGGGGCAGTTTAGATCGAGCACTAACATTTTGATGCGTCCTCCTTCCCATGTCTTCCACAGATAGCGCGGGACGTAGAACAGAATGGCTTGGAAAAACAGCACGAAGCACACCCACTGGTAATACTTGTGGTATTTCACCTCGTCTTGACCGTCCACGTGAGACGCTACACCGGGTTGCACCACGTCCTTTCCGACTCGTCCCACGAGCCTGTTGGGAATGGTGAAGGTCGAGTAAATCCAGCAGTAGGTGTCCATGACGGCGAGAGGTATCTCGTCCACGATGCAGTCTATCGGGTCCCCGATGTACTGCCTCGACGTAACGAGCAGGGAGAACGTGACCAGGATGATCACGGTGGCTTTGTAGTGGAGGCGGAACACATTGTTGTCAATGCACACGGAGTCGAGCTTCAGAAGGCTCTTAACAGAGCCAAAAACGTCAAACATGGCGGTCGTCTAACCGCGGGCGCGCGGCGCGTCTGTCGCGGTACTAGTCGAACGGGCGTACGCTTCGCCCTCGCGTCGAATGAAGAATGCTGGCGGCCGCGGGGCGAGGTTCGACGAGGGAGCGGAGGGTAAGGGGCCGGGGGGCGGAGCCCCCGCCGCGTGCAGTCGCAGTCTCCATTCGGATCAACGACACAGCACTGACCCTATTTCCACCTATATTCGTGGCGTCATCTGGTAGCCGCCGCCGCTAGCTACGCATCTCAAAACAAGCATTAAAATGACTCTCGGTGTAACATACAACCGACACAATTAAATACGCAGTTATCATTTGATTGTATCATTTAACGAGGCGGCCGTACGTTGATAGTTTTTGATATCGCACTTCATAATCGTGTAGCCTCTCAATGCTGTTGTTCAATCTAAGAGAACGAATGAACCGTGACGTAGATCTATCAAAGGTCGCATCGGCTTTCATCAGCGGCATAACTGATCGAACCAGTCGATGCAACGCGCAAGGATCTGGTTTGGTGAATACGCTTTTTGTATAGCGCCAACTCATTAAATTACAGTTTACAATCGAGTTATGCAACTCGGGTAATAAAGTTATTACGCGGAAGATTGACAATCTGAGAAAATAACTAATTATTATTTAAATTGTCCTTACATCATAGTTATCGTGGAGGGTTCGAGAAACGGGTTCATTGTTTGACATACAATAATAGTTCGCTACGTGCAGGCGCTTCCAAAGGTTTTTACGTATCCACTAGCAATAATTTTACATAAACGTACCTTAACGATAAAAGGGCTAAGTGCAAATAGAATAAAATTTAAATAAAAATCAAATCTATAAACCCTAACTCAATGATAATCTTAATTAATTGTACTAAATTACTTGTACCTATAATATGGTTAAACATACCCACATTTTAGTTATAACAAAGACAACAATTTATAATAAAAATTCTAAATTGATATTAAATTAAACAACTATTACGTAATTAATTTCTGGGAATCTATTAACTAAGTGGGAAGAAATACGACGATTTAAGAAAATGTCCCATGTTTCATGATCATTCATGACTTGACATTAACTTTTAATTGGTATCAATTTTGTTCGTACTTGACCTAATGACGTCATAAACCACTCGTTAAGATATTAATTAATCGCAAACAACCGTTTTAATAGATGTACCTACTTGTTAGATTGTAAACTTCGTGTTTTAAAGTAGCTTGTGATCGAAAGATTAAACCTAAATACTGTATATAGTTTACGCGAGTAGTACACATTTAAATAAAACACCACGGCTGCTGCAAAGCATCCGAAACGTCGGGCCGAAGTTAAAAATCATTTTCAAATAAGTTTAACTAATATATCGCGTTTTAAACCGTTAAAGTGTTTTATTTAAATGTGTACTACTCGCGTAAACTATAGACAGCATTGGTTATCTGTTGAAATTTGTACATTTAGTATTAATTGTAATTTTCCCTTCGACAATACCTTATTATTAATGAAACATTTTCCTATTCTATTCATTCATTGACTTTAAAAGCTAAGTGAATTATCAATGTAAATCGTGATTACTAGAAATATTCTACTCAAATTACTGCTAATGTTTGTAAAAGAACGATGTTTCTTACAATATTATCATTATAACTTTTTAACTAATAAGTAAAAAATCAACCAGAATGAAGGGCTTTATACAATTTTTCGTGTTTAAACCCGTTAATTATTAAATTTATTTTTTATTATATAATATATATTATTATATTAAATTTTCTTTCTTGTCATATGCTTACCGAAATTTATTTACTCAGTATTCAAGCCCCACGCCGCGCTTTGCATTAATGCTAGATGAGCTCAAAACCAGTGGTGACGGTTACTTAGTTATGTTCGTAGTAGTGTATAATCTGAGACACAGCTTTTGTTATTTACTTGGTATGTTAATGATTCATATCCGTTTAACATTGAGTGAACGGTGATATCTATAAATGGAGTATATTAATGATATTTCTTTTATCATTACTCGAAACTGCGTCATGCCATAATGATTTGATCACATGATTTAGACTTTACAGTAATCTAAGTCTGGTAGAAAATATTATATCGTTGAATGATGATTGGTGATTAGAAACTATTGTGTTCTTTTTACACGAGTAGACGAAGAGGTTCTATTTATTGAAGGTGGAATAACCCCCAGAATCTACCCACATCTGATAGTGATGAACGTTGTCCTATTTTATGGATATTCAGAAATCCACAGCTGTCTTGAATGGAGTCTGTGGATATTTCTATATCCTTACACACATAGAATATACCACATTTTTTTAAATCTGATACCTGTTTTACAAATAAACTACACCGGATTGCTGTCGAACCTTCGAGCGATCTAGGACGGCTGAACAAGGAGTTTTTATACAATCAAGCACTAAATCAATATCTTTTTTGGCTTACTACATAAATTACGTTTTTACATGTGAAACAAATTCATTCGTACTTCGTTAAATTTATCTTATCTTGGCAAATTCAAGTGTAATAGAAATTGATACATCTGCGTACAAGGTACAATTTGCCTTTAAATTTTAAATGAGTTAAATAACGACCTTGGCATGATACCTTAAATTTTAAAAGAGTTAATAATACAAGTTTAAAACTATATAGGATATACACATGAACATGTAAAACTAATTTGTATAACCCCTACGTACCTACCAAGGGCGGATCCAGATTTGGTGACAGGAGGGGGTTACATAGTCGTGGTCAAGTTTTTTATTAAAGTACACAAACGTACAGTACTTTTATATGCGATAATAAAATTAAAAATAAATATTTATTCTTTATTGTACACTCGAAGAACAACACATGTTCAATTGGGGTCCGCCTAAGTCTTAAATCAAGACCTGGGGACCAGTCGTGACCCCGTGACACCTCCCCCCCCGCCCTTTTTGATACACCATTGTTACCTAAATTCTTCAGAATATTTAATGATTAAACCAAGCAATATTATGTCCCTTTCTTTGTTTTTCGTATATGACAATCTGAGAAACTTAAATATTATATTCCTACTTTGCAGTGCTTATTCATAGTTGTCAGAATTCGTCGTACGTGACTCGCGGACGATTGTTCCTCGTTTTAAACGGAAAACTGACTTCGAAAGCGGCGCGACCGCACATGATGCAATGAAACGGATTTATTAACTATTAAGTTAGTACCATTATGCAAAAAGGCAAATTTATATAACTATATCTTATACGTCAATATAGTAACGCAGCTGATAAATTGTTAAAAGGGTAGGTGAAGGAAAACCGACGTTTCATTAAATGAATAAAATGATTTGTGTCAACTACCTACAGGTATATTTACTTGTTATAGCCGTAGGAGCAAACAGCTCACTACATGGAAAGAGATCTTCTAAAGGTCTCTAATAAATATAATAGAGACCTAGGATTTATGCAACGGTAGCCACGGAACAGAGGCCACAGAGATGCGTTGCCGGCCTGGAAGATTAAAACTCATATACACCCACATTGAGTTACACCAATGGTTTTTTGTTTAATGTCATAATGTAGCAGGTACGTATCGAAGCTAGATGGACAAAGGAATTCTATAAAGAATCGGGGAATCCTCATGCCCTCTTTTTTTAGCTTGAACTTATAGCCTCAAAAATTATGGCTTAAGAACAGTTAATTTAAAAGTTAAATAACTACCTTCTTTCTTTTTGTCTTCTAAAAGGGTTCTTTAAGCTTCGCAACCGTGGTGCTCTGCACCACCTGGCCCTACGATATCTACGCCACTAAATGTATCCACAGAAATTCGGTATACAAAAAAGTCGACATTTACTACATATACATGTAGGGTAACCTCAAATCTTAGTTAGTGTTTAATTCTAATCCTTAAGATTTAAACGTTTTCCTTTAGGCTGTGGTTTCATGACTTAATCATTACTTAGCATTTTATGCAGCAAAGGGGCTTTTACGCTATACATATGACCTATAATGATTATAGCTATAATATATTCATAAGTTTAAGAGGCTCGAGCTAAATGATCTTTAAGATTTTTTTAATTTTTTTGTACCAGCTCAGAATTCAGAAGGAGGTGCTGTTACCCATTTCCTCGAAGCGCAATAATGCCTTGACGGTTGTTCTCTAAAAGTGTGGTGGAATTAATTATTATTAAAAATAAACCTATAAAAATCCTCTGAGAAATATGAAATTTTGGTAGATTTTAGTAGAGGAGGACACAAAAGATAAAATTGAAATAGCATCTAAACAAGATGCGCTGTTGGCCTTTTACGGACCTTGTCGGCTTTCAATATTCGAAAATAAAATTCTGTAATTCTGATGTTGTCCCATATACATTCAATTCAAGCTTATCGTGATTATCAGTTGAGGTTATTATTTAAACAGAATAAAATAAAATATATCGTTCAAAGTAAATTGTTTCTCATATCAACATCAACAACTGAATACCAAAATAACAGGTCTTTATAAAAATAGAAGTGTACGAGATAACGAATTGAATTAAATACAAAGTCCAAAATACCGTTAAACCGTTTCTGTGTCAAAATGTGATGAACATTTAAATAGAAATTCTCAAAAGTGCCTTCTTGATCGCTGTCACGCCTACGCGCATATTAATTCACGTGTGAATTGATTTTTGTTCTTGTTTTTTTTTCAATTCTATGAAATAGATACGTACAGTACGAATATTTTAACTTTTTAAACAGAAAAGCAGTATATTATAGGAGGGTACATAGACCATTTACCAATATAATTTATATAAAGCTGAAGAGTTTGTTTCTTTGATCGTTTGAACTCAACAGTTTAAATTTATAAAGATGAAGAGAAGATATGCAAAAACAAATTTAGATGCACATAATAACTTAAATAGTCTACGCGGACGAAGTCGCTGTCAAAGCTAGTAATTTATATTTCACTAAACCAAATTACGAACTTTGTGTGAAGTAAATATATTTTTACTTATTAGTGCACTATTAGTAGT